TCGGTCTTGAACTTGGCTACTGCCACAACAGGGCCGAAGATTTCTTCTTGCATGATCTTCATATCGTGAGTGACATTGGTGAAGATTGTTGGCTTGATGAAGTAGCCCTTGTCTCCGTGACGCTCGCCACCTGTCTCAATGGTAGCACCACCCTTCTTACCCTCCTCAATATAGCCCATGATGCGGTCGTATTGAAGTTTGCTGACTTGCGGGCCCTGGAATGTGCGCTCATCGAAGGGGTCACCAACATGGTTCTCCTCTGCTCGCTTCTTGAACGCCGCGACAAACTTATCGTAGATACCTTCTTGTACGTAAACTCGGGAACCAGCACAGCAGCATTGACCATGGTTGTAGTAGATACCAAAGTTGACCCAGGAAATTGCTTGCTCAATGTCCGCATCGTCGAAAACGATGTTAGGTGACTTGCCACCGAGTTCCAAGGTGACCTTCTTGAGATTGGAAGCTGCGGCAGCCTTCATGATGGCACGACCGACGACGGTGGAGCCGGTGAATGCGACCTTGTCGATGTTCATGTGGGAAGCGATGGCAGCACCAGCTACCTTTCCAAATCCGGAGATGATGTTGAGAACACCAGGAGGGAAACCTGCCTCCTTGATGAACTGTGCAAAAACGAGACCGGAGAGTGGCGTTTGCTCGGCGGTCTTGAGAACAACAGTGTTTCCTGTGCAAAGAGCGGGACCGATCTTCCAGGCCAACATCAACAGAGGGAAGTTCCAGGGGATAATTTGCCCACAAACTCCAATCTATGGATCGTTAGCGCTCATGTTTATCCCAGAAAGATCCTCTCTAGGGTTTTACGTACCGGTTCTTGCCTGGTGTAATGGAAAGATTCGTGGTTGATGTCAATGGTTTTACCCTCGATCTTGTCCGCCCAACCACCATAGTACCTAATGGTGCCGACAACGGCACTTACATCACCCCTGGCCATAGAAATAGACTTGCCATTGTCAAGGGATTCGACTGCGGCTAATAAATCCGCATTCTTCTCTAGAATATCCGCAAGTCTAATCAGGAGGATACTTCGCTGTTGAGGAGTAGTTTTACGCCACGCGCCGTTGAATGCTTTTCGGGCTGCGGCTACTGCTAAGTCGACATCCTTCTCTGTGGCTTCACTCACGGAGCAGATAACCTCCTCAGTAGAGGGGTTAATAACTTCGAAGGTCTTCTTGTCAACGCCCTCAACGAACTCGTTGTTGATAAACCTAGACAAGAACGGTTAATTGATGGACAAATACGGAAATTGAAAAGCTTGGATTGGTGCAATTAGGTATTTAATGCTGACTTACAAACCGGTTGGCTGGGTATACTCGCCGGTGATTGGCGTCTTCAATTGCACAGATAGAGGCATTGTGATACCAAAGATGTTTGTTGATTTGTTCTATGCAAGGGGTAAAAGAAGATGTAAGCGGCGTCGACCTGTGAGATTGCACTTATTATAAATTGGGAGATGAGGATGACTTTTTTGCAATTCTAAGATAGGCTGAGTTGTGTTATATGTAAATTGAGAGGAAGAAGAGGGGTCTTTTGTATGGAAGATACTTTCAAAGGTACATGTAGGTATAAAGGCGGGGTAGGTAATAGACGGTGTCATCTCGTGTGGCGAGGCGCAGTTACTACCGGCTCGCGGCTACCCCAATTACTACACCTAATATCCTAGACAAGATATGTACCCACACTAACACTACGCTATGGATAGAGGATTTCCACTCTCTCGGACGCATGGGGGCTCTTTCTGGGGCAGCCAAGGGAGGCGTTGTTTCTGGTTTCTCTGGGTTATGGGGAAGGAGTTGTAGGAGTTAATTTCATTGGCAAGCCAAGCACCGAGATCTATCACGCTTGCCGTAGGTGGTCCCTACTAACGTCTACTAATGTACGAATCCGTCGTCTATTGTACCTAAGTGTTTAGTCAGGGTCTCTAGCTCTGTTAAGGTGTACACTAATATCTACCTATCTTTCTTTACCCCGCACTTAGGAGATAAGTTCCTACATATTATGAGGTACTAATATACCAATAGCTTGACGTCGTAGCTCGATCTTTCAATGGTTTCCTAAACGTCGTCATGAAGTCACCCGCATACGCATATCAAAACCTACTACACAGTGGAATGAATATACAACCTCCAACTTCCAATCTCCCATAACTCCATCGGATTGAATAGGGGAATTTTGCCACATTAGCTAACCAGCTTTGCCAGCACCGAAGGCTGACGGCATTAGTTCCTTGGTTTCTTAACATGGACCTAGCGTCCCCCGCATTGTGGAGGAATTCTATGATTTTTCGGTGCTTACCAGAGGACATGTCCCCGGTCGTGCAGGTGAAGCGACACCGTATAGACCACTGATTCGGTACGGATTAATGGAAGTTAAATTAAGGGGAACAAAGAGGAGCCGCGTAGCTGAAGCTTACTTATAGGTGAGCTGACTGGTTGATAGGTGAGCTGATAAGCTAGATGAGCTTATGGCTTCCTTTTTCGGTCCTGACGGAATACTCTGTTGGCTTACACGCTGCGTCTATAGCGCGCCAGCGTTGCTCGTGATTGGCTCGTCACACGTCACATGTTAGCCACCGCGATCGGAATCTCAACAGAACTTGACGTGTTGGGTATACGATCCAAAGGTCGAACGGACGGACGAACGGTTCAATAACGCGATTTCGTGTAACATTCTATAGCAAGCGTGGTTCCGCAAGCTCCGGATAGGGGGAAATCCTGCGACTCATTTCGTTGTTCACCTGTCCATCTACCCAGGATACCCCGCCGAGTTCTCCGGGGACCCCACGTATCTATCGTCGAGGCGGGAAACTCCGGAATAACAGAGTTATCCTAGGCTTATGGTATGTATGAATTTAGAAATAGTAAATAGTAGAAATTGCCAGAGTTTATGTAGGTTGCTTCTCAAGCTTCATGTGACATTCGTACTCGCACTTATTTACTTCTAAGTCGAATCTCGTTACAATACATCCCATATCTCTTATATCATCTCGGGTTAACAGGTAGCGAACCTAGCCGCCCACCTTGATGGACCCTTTAAAACCCCCATATTTTATTTATTCTCCTAGCTTGGTATCTTGATGAATTCGGTGCGAATGAAAATACACCGGTGTTTGATATTCAAGGATCAAGCTTGGCGAGGTAGCTAATTAGCCGCAGTGTATAATAACGTACCCCTTTGATTGGCATTCAACTGCACAATATGAAAAACTTGTATAGTACGCAAGGCCTTTTAAAAAGAGAGAAAATGGCTCTTGCGGTGTTAGGTTGGCCAATTATATCTACTGGTTGTGGCTTTAGGGTATGATTTTGAGATAATGACGTTACGCCTCATGTACTATACAGAATTATGGTGGGGTACAGTTGCTGTTGAATGCCAGTCAAGGACATGAGATGAACTTAGTAGATCTACTATAGACTGGTGTGATATAAGAACCCGGGGTACGGATATTAACTTAGTTGATTTGATTACGTTTCCACGTGCGAGCTTGCGAGCACGTGAAGTTTTCCGAGTCATGTGCGCTAACCGCTGCGGACCCTTTTTGCAACATATCCACATTTGCAACGGCTCAACGTGGAGCGAAAATTAATGGCCGGGTCTCGGCATTTGACCTCCTTAAATGATTAAAGATGATAAAAACAAAACAAATGATAGAATGATTATGATAAAAATATAAAAATTATCTCGAACAATAAGTGTCGGGATAGATGATAATCCGTCCCGCACGAGTATATAGATGCGTGTCTCCCTTGAGACCGCATCTATCTCGATCTTACGATCATGCATCATTGAATACAAGGTCTCTTGCTGCATCGTTTGTTGTTTCCTTTTTACCCCTAATCCGTACGTACGTATAATATGGACTAGACCTTGTCTACCGACAATAAGAAAAGCCAAAGAATGAGATTATATTTCTTCTCATTTTATATGACCATATTTCATATTTATTTTTAACTATAATACGTAATATTGAACTTGGAGTAAAATGCCAAGACTCGGCCATTAAAATTCGCTCCTAACTGCGGCTTTCCCAAATAATGACGTTACTAAGCTGGGAGAAACTATTTAAACAAATGGGTGCGCATCATAGATTAGATTTTTAGGTGTCTGCGAGGAAAATACTTTTGGTTATATGTAAGAACAGTATTTCAGCACTGACAAGAGCCATAGTTTTAACTATCCCCAAGGGACTAGGGACAAGATGATCGAGTGTAGGAGCATCTTAGCTACACGGATGCTACTCTGTCTATAGTACCCTTCTATAGTCTACTGGGACTGAAGAGTATATTTTTAGAGCTGTACTTCTGCAGCTAACAAACTTCGTTTGGTGCTTAGTATGCGTTAGTATGCCATCGGGTTGGATCAACTTGAGATTATCTGCATTCTAATCTGAGCCTCATCCATTACCATGACATCTAGCGCTACCCCAAGTTTCGTGCTCAGCTTAGATCCCTACGGATTTAATGACCGGGCAACCAATTATAATTGTTTAGGTTAATCAGATTCGTGCTTATGACGATGCTGCCGAGAACTTCCACCTGCTCTTAATCGGATGTAGAGGAATACGTTGTCCTTTTTAACAGTTTATAATGATATGAGATGAGAGAAGCTGTATGTGCTTCTTTAAGAGATTGACCAATTAACCACTCTAATTCTACCTATCTCAAATGCTTAAATTATTTGAATCCTCTAGTGAATGGATAAAGTAGGTTTGTAAATTGGAATATAGGTAGGTACTCACGTTATTATTTATTTCTATAATTAGATTTATAATTCCGTATGTACATATTTCATCAAGATAACTTCCGGCGCATTAGGTAAAAATAAAGATTTCGTCTTTGGAGAAATTAAAGTTTTTGGACTGCATTTGTGTATCGTGTTGATCTAAAGCTGTTGGGGCAAGAAATGAGGGCAATCTTCTAATCTTATCGGGCGCTTTGACCAAATTTTCGCCGGTATCATTATCTGCACTATCAGCGCTCGAAGAACGTTGATAGGTACGTCAAGACATCTAACTCATTTTAACTGTCGACGGCAGCAACTACCAATTGCTTTACCATTGAGTTCCAGTGCCAATGTACCTACTGTCGCCTATAATAAGCTAACCTATGGCTGATGTCGCTGAGGCTATTGCGGCGGCCATCGCTGCTGCCGCGCCACCGACCAGTAAGTAGTCAAACTTTGATTTCTTTGCACGTTCTTCATTATTAAACCTTGGAGCCCTCAGGAGGGCAAGTTTTTCTGCAATGTTACTATTTCGCATATATTCCTCTAGTAAGAAGTATTTCTACTAACACCTATGGAACAAGGCCCTCATATTAAAACCGAGCCATTAGTCGGCGATGCTATGGTCTTGGATCATTCACCCCAACCGCCACAGTCACCTCTAAAGAGACCGCGAACCCCCGACCAAGATGACGACCAAGCTAGAGACGAAAAGCGACCCAAGATAGAAAGTGAAGTGGTGAACGAGATGGATGAGATTGCCCTTCTTGTCCAGCAAGCCCAGGCCGAAGCCATGCAGCACTTCCAGTCCGAGCCTGACAAGGTTGACGATCCTCCCTCTAACGATGCCGACCATTTCCACGATATATCCAATGGTTTATCCAACAATATAAACCATGATATACATCACGATATATCGGGGTTAGATACGGAATTCGAACAGCGGGCGCCTAGTCCTGTTGACGATCCAGAACCGCGCCCGGAGTCTTTGTGGAGTAATCCTAGAGATTTTACGCGGCGGAAGCATATCATACCTGCACTTGGGAGCCTAGTGAGTGTTTTCTGGACCCGCTGCTCGTGTTAAAGCGACTAAGGATTTCTAGGCTGTCGATATTATTACTGCATGGTCTGAACAATCCTTGGAGGACACAATCGCCACTCTAAGCGGCGATTCAGATTCAGACATCGCGAAAGAATATGTCTTATTAAAAAGTGCATTCGATGTTCAGCGGAAGCAACTTTCAGATACGTATCCATTATTATATCCAGAGCACTTGAACGTCACCAGTCAGACTCGAGAAGTGATCAGGATAGTGAATCTTGCAACGACATGCGCAAGTGTCTTCGGTACCAATGAGCTTGGCTTAGAAGAGGTCAACGAACATTTTCTACGCATTTTCGTTCCCGAGAACCACGAAATACCTCGGGATGCAGCGGAATTATATATGGGCCTGAAGACTCAAATTTTCCTTGCTGTTTTAGAAAGTGAACAAGAGAAAGCCAGGGACCAATTTCTAGACGACCTTTTTGTTACAAGATTGGAGAGCTCTTTGCAAGAACACCACCCAAGTCTTCCATTGACGGCTACTGAATATGAGTTTATTGCAAATGCAAAAGCGCGAAGAGCAATGCTCCTTAATGAATCTACCGACATGGATAGTATACGTACGTTTGCCACGTTTAATTAAGCTCACAGACAATAATTCTAACCATTCCCTAGAGGCGCTTAGCAAACAGTTTACATATGAAGCATTTCTCGATAGTCTAAGCACGTTCCTTAATGATCACATAGAAAGCATTAGAATTCAAGGTACCGGAAGGGTGGAGACTACAACACCGATAGAGGATATTGCGCAAGACGAGCATGTCGGCCAAACATTAGACGAGGCTTTTGATATTAACGCTATGATTGCTGAGGCCTCAAGGGCAGCACAAAGTGCTCTGGAGACAACTGGAGAAGAGTCTCACGAATTAGATGACCTCTCGGCATTCCTCGCAGAAAATGTTTCTAAGGCGGTCGAACAGGCCAAAGAAAGCGCCACAAGTACAGAACTACCATCCGCTATCGCATCCGCAGCTGAGAGTGCCTCGAGGGCGACTATGTTGGCTTTACAAAGCATTCAACAGAACCAGTATCACCCGACGACACTTCCCCAGGCTCCTGGTAGGTTTAGTAATACTGATAGCGAGAGAAATGTCTGCTCACCTGATGTAGCCCAAGCATCCTCGGCTCAACCTCCAAATCAAAATAACTATCAGGTTCAACAAACGCAGCAGACACAACAGACACAGCCACAGCAGCAGTATTATCATTACCAGCAACACCACGCAACTAATGGGATGCCTTCGTACCAAACAGTCAACGATCACCTCCCTCCAAATCAGAGCGATTCGACCCCAGCTCTCTATGAGCGTGCCCGACAGGCGGCAGCAGCACGATCTTCCACTCATGCGCGGCGGGAAGGCTCTCACTCTACTCGACGCCCTTGGAGTCCAGAGGAAGAAAAAGCACTTATGATGGGACTTGATATGGTTAAAGGCCCTCATTGGTCGCAAATATTATCTCTCTTTGGACCGAATGGATCTATCAGCAATATCCTCGCAGACCGTACCCAGGTACAATTGAAAGATAAAGCTAGAAATTTGAAGCTGTTCTTCCTCAAGACCAATTCAGAAATGCCCTACTATCTTCAATGTGTTACCGGCGAATTGAAGACAAGGGCCCCAACGCAGGCTGCGAGAAAGGAGGCTGAGGAGAAGGCAAGACTCAACTCGGAGGAACAGCAAGCTCATGTAAATGGTATCTTGACATTGGCCGGCGGGCTGCAGAACAATGCTCCATCGATACATAGCCCTTCGGCAGGAGTGCCCAGAAGCGCAACACCTAATCAGCCGCTGTCGCACCCTGGATCGCACCCTGGATCGCAACCAGGAACACCGAGGATGCCACATCAATCAGCTCAGCAGTCTGCGCCAACCCCATCTTCTCTGCCCCGTCCAGTAATACCCGCACCACAGCCAGTCAGCCTCCCCACATTCACATCAACGTCTCATCTCCACACTCAGCCGCATATTTCCCAGGCTGAGCGACATACGACTTCTATGACAAATACTCTTACACCTCCAGTGATGGTTCCGACGACAACTCAAGCCACTGCTACCGTATCCCCACCCATAACGGCGCCGGCAGCAACTACTGCCTTACAAAACAATGAACCAGAGAAGAATGAACTCAGTAGTGTAGACGCGGCAGTGCTTGGTTTGAGAGCCGCTCTAGAAAGAGAAAGGGAGAGAGAAAGGGAAAGCGATGCGCTGGCTGCTGTTGCCGCTACAGCCTACTCTGATGAAGGAACAATGCCTTCTACTAATTCTGCTACATCCGCCGCCACGTCGACTGAATAATACTCGGTTCTAATGGAAGGACGCGGCGTATACTTTTTCTAGGTATAACTCACGAGACTCATGTCATGCATGATTGATACCCCTGGGCGATTTTGGTGATTCGGAGGCAGCGAGATAGTCAAGGCATAGCCCGACAAACATTACATAGTTGGTATAAATCGAATTAACCAGTCAACCTTTCTAGTTGCACCGGGTCCCGGTTGTGGATTGTGTTATACAAGTTCGTCTGGGTCCGCCCCGCGGGCCGTAACCACTCAGCCCTGGGCGCGGATACGTGCGAATGATGATGCATTCTGCCGATAAGGATTATTGGATGGCTTTCTAGAATGTCCTGTCGCTCGCCATCACCGTGTTTTCTTCGTCGACCAACAATGCCTCATATTCTACGGAGACATGTGCAAAACAAAGGTTCTGTACTGGACAACGACATCTTGCTGATCTCACGGCATCGTAATCCTAGCGCTAATATCCACCTAGGCTTGACTCAGCCTTATACTTAACTAGGTAAAAAAGGACCAATCGTTTCGCATCCGTCTTTGGTAAACTTGAGCCGCAACCTACTCTATATTCTTAACCTTGCCGGCTTGTGCCAAGATTATGGATATGACAAACTACCTTAGGTCTCTAAGGTATGTTATGACCATTATGAGAACTCGCTGGCCCTACGGGAGCCTACTGAACACAAAGAATATCGTAGCCGGGGCACAGTATCCATTTCGAGATGTTTGATCACTTCGATCGGCCGCCTCAAGTTTTGCCTACGCCCACCGAACACGTCATGCCCGTATTGGCCCCGCCACGTCGATGTCTATCCGTCCCGCTTTTAGGGCCATGAGAAGCTTCCGGGCCGTTATATCTGCCTTCGGAGTCCGTACTGAGTCAAATATGTCGACTCATCCTCAAGTCTGCTAATCTTGGACCTACCAATGCCCTGGGGAATAGAGTAACCCTTGACCAATTTTTATGGCATACAATAAAATAACCTAGGAATACCTATTTGTTTGAAGTCGATAGAAACGAGAGACATGGCGCTGTCGCCCTGGCAGCTGTGCTTCCACGCGGACCTCAAGTGCCGTGTGAGGGCTTGCAACAATAGGAGGGTTATGGGCAACACGGCATCTTCTCTTTATTGCCGACATCACGCTTGTACCGTGTGCCTCAAGTTTAAGACGTGTTTAAAGCGTGGTCATGGAGAGGAGAAGATTTGTCATCACCGTGAGTTCTGCCCCCGTTCTTTACCCCTTATAAGACAGGTATAAAGAAATGGAGGAGAGGAAGATCAAACGGAGGGGGGGAGATCCTAATAGGGTCATTCTTCTGGAAGACTCGAATAAGCAGATCGCCGACACGGTTTACCTCCTATTCTTAGATCGTTGCTGCAAATACGTCGAAGCAGGCCGAAGGTGCCACTGCCCAAGAAAGGGGCAAAATCCAAGTTTCCCTTTTTGCGCAGAGAAACGTTGGTCTCACCCTCACTATTTAATTTACCTCCTTACAAAATACATTTGCAAATCCTTCTTAAATCTAGCGTTTTGCACTAACAACCGGTTATTCTAGACGGCTGTGCCCTCACCGAATGTAAGGAACCACGCTGTCCAAGGAAGAGCTCGCCATATTGTAATAAACATGCCTGCAGCATCAAGGATTGCGACCAGCCGCGGCAGAGTCCGGGTCTCGTACGTAGTGCCAAACTCTTTATCCCACTTTCCATGATTTCGAGACTATGATTGCTTTATGGGGTTTATCACTTTTACGATATATCGATATTCCCTAGATCCCCTTTCCAGCAAAGGCATTGGTTATTGATCTATCGTCGTAGTGCTGCCGCCAACACACATGCCACGGCCGGGGATGTATAAACTGTATTAACAACGACTCTTCATCCTCTCCGCCTCCGGGCCAGGGTCTCCCATACTACTGCCACGGCCACCAAGTATGCCAAGCAGACGGGTGCGAGTCCCTCGTATTCCACGACATCTCGCACCGGCCAGTCAAATACTGCTTTCGGCACTTCTGCGCAGCATCGGCGACATGCGAAGGGCAGCGTGTAGAAGGCGACGGGGCGCAGGCCGTAAGTTTTACCTGACCTACCTGGAATTAACTTCCCCCCTTTCTTCTCTACCAGCACAAGATAAACCAACCTCTAACTACCAACCACGTATGCTAGTGCCGCGACCACTCCTGCGCTCTCCATCCAACTTGTCCCAAGCCCCGCGTGGATGTAACCCGGGGTCTCTTCTGCGAAGACCACGAGTGCGCGGACCCCGCGTGCCGGAAGCAGACGTACGACGGCGGCGGCGGCGTCGTGGGGAGCAAGTGGTGCGCGGACCACATGTGCATGGCGGCGTTACTGCGACAGGCGGACTGCGTGAATCGGCGCGAGGGCACGGCGGTGAATCCGCTGTACTGTTCTGACCACGGACCTTACGCGCATCATCTGCACCCCGGCTTACACCATCAACATAACCGTTGCCGCTGTCGGGGAAGTAACTGTCGAGGTGGGCTATGTTTCCGGGCCACGGCGGCAGTGATAGCGGGGGGTAGTAACGGAGGAGGAGGAGGGATTTGCGAGTGTCATTGTGGTGGGGATGATGATGAAGATGGCGGCGATGACGATGATGATAGTATTACGGATCATGGAGACGGGTGTGGAGGAGGAGGGGGAGGTGGTGGTGGGAGCGGCGTAGGGGTGGGAATAGAAGGTTGTGACTGCGGTGGTGGTAAGAAGAGATAGTGAAGCTGAGGTTAGAAGACATGTTGAATAAATAGACCGCTAGCTAGCCAAGTTCTTACTTTAACTGACTGCTACTCAGCTCTTATTCCTATTGCACATGTAGTTGACCTTGTCTGGCTTGGATTACTTCTAGAATGGTTAATCGGTGATGACTTGCAAGCATTACCCTCAACCCTCCATATTCAAATAGAGCACTCACTGTAGGTAGCATATTATAATAAATAGACTGCGAAGAAAACAACCCGAGGAACGCCGGTGCTTAAGCAATTGGACTCACTTCGCGTATATTGGATGAATGAGGATATAATCATATATTCCCTGCGTAAACTCGTCAGAAAATGACCGGTACTCTGCTAATTCCCTTAATAATACAATTCCCATAACCTATGATTCCCACAAGGCCACGTGTAGCCCATAACCAACAAACACCGTATCTAATAACCATGTAATCCTATCGCAGTGTAAAGCAAGTTAAGTGTGTGTAGCATGATGGCATCTCATTACATCATTTTACACTCTTTTTCTTTTTCTTTGCCCCCTCCTGCCGAGGAGGTATTTCCAGTAGGAACAGGGGGTGTACTCTGGCGTCTCCTCCCTGGTGTACTAGGTCCAGCGCTGTTCTGCCCACTCAATGCAGATCTTCCTCTAGGAGTTGCGCTCGGACTACTTGGACTACTCTCTGGATGGCTCGGATGCCCTGCGGGTGGCACGTACGGGGTCGACTTGGAAGCTTGCTCATAACTTGGTGGTGCATCGTCCGCGTGTTCATCTCCGGGCCGGTGGGTTGTCGAAGCCGGCGGAATTAAGGACCTAACTTGCTGTACCGGCCTTCCTCGACTCGCCACCGTGCTTGTTGATTGGTTAGCCGAGCTAGTCCTAGCTGGCGGCAATGGAGCATTGCTGCCCCTAGCAATAGAACCACGTTGATTGTGACCTCCGCGGGTTGGGGCACCTTGCCGGCCTTGCTGCTCGATAAATTGCTCAGACAGTTGACTCTCACGACGGCGAGCTGCTTGTTCTGCGCGATGTCGTTCCTCTTCTTCTTCTTGTAACTGTAAAGCTAAAGCCAAATCTCGATCTTCCTGCTCATGTTTCGGTGAAACAGACGTGCTAGGATCCGGTTCGCTAACCCGGCTATTCCGTGATCGCCGATTACTAACTGTTTGCCATCCGTTCCCGTGAGAATTGCTACTTGAGCCTCCCTCTCCATTCCAGGCACCTGTAATACTTCCGGATGATCGTTGGTGCTGAGGCCCTCCAACTATGCGGAAATCGCCGGAAAAAAACTCAGTCCGTTCGCCGCGGACATCTACTAGTGACTCCCAAACGATCTCATCGTGTGTATAATACCCTGCATCTGTTACCAAGGTAAATAATCTTTTCGTCTGGGGATGTCGGTATAGAGTAGAAAAGTGGTCATTCCGAAACAGGATTGACACCGTCCCAGGTCGAATAGCTTTTGTAATCACCTCGAGGCCCCATGGAGTGAGTTGTGTTGCCGAGGTACTAAGAAAAGATTTTATGATGATGATGTCTTGGTACAGCTGCTGCTCCTGCTCAGTCAGGCCCATCTCGGAATTGCTGAGCTTGTCTTCGAGTTCTTCTTCTCGAAACAATATGCTCTGCGCATCATCGTATGAAGATGCTTGTCTGGTGAAGGAATCGTATACCGGGTCATCCTTCGGTGGTAACCAGCCGTGTATCAAGGGGATGGAAAACGTAGCATAGAGCCTCATGTCTCGCGTATTTTCAAAGGTCCCTGGGGTAAGATTTTCGTGGGTTGATTTTTGGATATGCAAGGGAGAAGACTCAGAACTCGGGATAAACCGTGGATTGACGTTCATACCGGTGTGGAGACCTTTAAGAAATGCATATAGTTCCGTCATATCTGGCAAGGACACCTCCGGGTTGGTATGTCGGTGGGTCATAAGCTCATCGACCACAGCTTCAAGGAGGAAATTCAAACTAATTTGTTCGCGAGATCTTAGAGTCTCGACAAGATTCGAATTCGTCTGGTTAGCAGGCGTCGTCAGGGTAAGCGCATTCACGAGCGCAACCAGAGGACAAGGGCCATTAGCGTTTTGTACAAGTATAGGCGACCTACGAGGATTCTTAGCCGCCGTAGCATCAATCCAGTTGATATTTTTAATCTGGTATGTTTCCGATTTATTTGTAGCGCCTGGTGACTGCTTTCTGGGTGGCTGTGGTGGCGGTACTTCGGTCGACGCTCGCCGCGGTGGTAACATCGGTGGCACCTCTGTAGCAGTTACCCTTAGAGGAGCTGTCGTCGTAGGAGCCGTTTCTTCCTTTGGTCTTTCGCCATCTGCATCCATGAAGTTCTCCCAAGTACTTTGCTTGGATAGAGTCCCCGGGCCCGGTTCTGGTATTGGCTCATGGTCAATTAGATTCCAGCCGTCGACGGTCTCTGAGTGTACGTGTGACCCTTGTAACTCCGGTTGTTTACCCTTATTACTAGGCCCAAGATCATCCCAGGCATGCTGGTCATCGAGCATTTCTTCCGCCTCTCGGGACCTCTCTGGCATTGGTTGTAGCGGAGGATTTGGAGACGTATCTACCCATGGTTGAGATTCCCCCCCAGTATGTAAAGGCAGTAGGGCGGGGGAATTTGACACAGGTCCTGTAGAAGTCTCTCTCGAAGGCAAACCCGAGTCCCACACATTGCTCTTAGACTCCTGATCGGGTAGGGGCGGTACTGGCTGTAAAGGATTAGAGGGCCTAGAATCACCAAGCGCCGGCTGCCAGGGATTTGTATTCGTTTCGGGTTCGGAAATGTGTAGTTGAGATAATGCGCCTGTGGGCACAGAAGTAAGTGGGGGCGCCGAAGGAGGATTCGCAGACGTTGCCGATGATTCTTGGCTATCTTGATTATCTTGAATAGCCGGGTTGGCCTGCACTGGCTTCCGTTTGAAAGGATTCGTTTCGAATCGCGTACCTCCTGGCCACAGAGCTTTTGGCATTTCATCTAGTTTAACTTTAGGCTCTGTTACAGGATCGGCGCCGTTATTTTTATCGCGATCATCCCAGGGATTTGCTTCGTCAGGACGATAGGTAGCTCCAGGTTGAAGGGCGTGGGGTATATCCTGTGATGTATTATGGCTCCCCGAAGCCGCAGGGTTTGTGTCACTGTGGTGAGATATTACGGGATCCTCCCTCGCCCACGCTCTGGCTGATTCTGATTCGGAATCGCTAGGAGGCCACAGTTCCTGTCTTACACCTTGTATGCTAACCGCGGGTGGAGGTGTATTGGTGTTCGCCGAGGAACTGTCAGGAAGCGGCTTTCGTGCGACCATGGTGTTATTTCGGCCAAGTTAATACGGCCGAGTTGGCTATCTCCCAGACAATCTCGGGTCAAAGTTGACAAAGTTGATTGATAGACGGTTCGAGCAGGTAATCTCGCTAATATGGAATATGGAATGGTTAACTAATAATCATAAAGCTCGAGATTGCGTCATCACCGTTATGATCGCATAGGTAGAATGGTTGCGCCAGTGAGGGAAGAATTTGAAAAAGCTCTCGGAGTAAGACTTCAATCAGAGAATACAAGCTTAAGGGTTGCAAGGGCTTTATATATCGTTTCTAGTGTTTATATCTTAAGAGGCCGATCAAAGCGAATAGGTAGTAGAACTGAGAGTTCGGCGCTCGGTACTTTAGCGGTTTGAGTTAAATCTGAAGCAAACGGCTAGCAAATGATGCAACGTCACTAGAAAAGAGCTGATTCGTTAGTGTAGGCAGACACTACCTACATAGGTTTAGGTAGGTAGGAACCAGACGATCTTGGCAATCAAGAGGTACGAATAGTGGCGGTGGCGCATAGCTAAGCTCGGTCGTCAGCTACCTACTACCTAACCTTTAAGCCATGAGTATTTACAAACTCAGCCACACTTAGCACGGCGCTTTTTAACCGTGACAACTTACAAGGTTCCAGGCTTGGGTAAATACTACCTAATGTACCTGGTTGCCTGGTATGAATTCATTAGATTTAACCTATTTTAGCCCTCGGTAACATTTCTCCCCATTTGAACAATCTCAACATTCAAGTTTTCAATATATTCGATACGCACTATTAAACTCTCTGACTTGTCTATCTTCTACCAACGCAAGCACTTACATACGCTCCCCGCGTTCCATCAGAGTGGAGTGTGGGGTTCAGGGGGTTACTACATACACTATGTATGTGATATGTATCTGATCCATTATGTGCATGCATGTAATGACATAACTACACTAACCTTAGGTGGGCAAAGCAAGGCAAGACAAGGCAAAGTAAAACAAGACGACCTATTCAGAATAGGCAGTGTCGGACATTCAATTTCGCCATCTTCCGATCAGACATCAGACCATCCTTATTTCGGATACCAATTTCATGTTACATCGATGAAATCACTTAATGATAAATGATACATACCTATAGTAATATTCATCCTCTAAAATCCCCTCTCCGATGTGTTCACGAGGCTAGCTTCAGAATCCCATATCTCATTTAGTAACAAACTACTCATCTCAGATATTCGAATCGCTCTTGATCGCGAAGCTACTCACCATGGCCATTGTTCAAGATTGGCTCCCAGCTAGCCAAGAAAACTACGAGAAAATCCTATTTTGGTGGAAACTTTACCCTCTGGTAGGTTTGTGTCGTCCGGCTCTTCCATGTAGCAGTACTAATTTTTCACTCAGTTGGCATCTTTCCAATGGATTACTTCGTGGTATGGCATGGGGAAAACCTCAGTTCAGAGCAAGTTCAATCTGCCTGGACGAATTGCCTGGGCCACGATGGAGGTTCCCGGCTTTACCACTCTCTTATATATTATGAGCACGCTTCCAGCTAAACACGGCATTGAGGACCTACCGTGGCAGAACAAAGTCCTCGCTGGCCTCTTCGTTATTCATTACACTTACCGTGCCGTTATCTTCCCTATCATCCAGCCGTCTATGTCTCCCATCCACGTGCTTGTCTGGAGTAATGCTATCATCTTCCAACTATGCAACGCCACCTGCATAGGCAGCTGGCTAGCAGCCTATGGCCCAACCACCCAGGAAGAATGGAAAGCCCAGAACTGGTCTGTTCTGCAATTCTCAGTCGGTCTTGTCCTCTTCTACGTTGGACTCGCTGCAAACTACTTCTCCGACGAGGAATTACGCGAGATACGCCGAAGTGAACTTCGACGCCAGGCAAAATTGAAGCATCAGGGCAAAACCGTCGAAAAGCATTACGAAGTTCCACAGAATGGGCTGTTCAAGTATATGCTTTATCCCCACTACTTCATGGAATGGGTCGAGTGGCTCGGATACTGGATCGCCGCCGGCATCTCCTGCACCCCTGCGAGGTCCTTCTTAATTAACGAATTTTTCGCCATGCTACCCCGCGCTGTATCTGGTGGGAAATGGTATAAGGAAAAGTTCGGCGATGATAAAATTAAGGGAAAATACGTCATTATTCCCGGAATCTACTAATAGCGGTGCGCGTCATTTAATCCGAGGCCCTTCAATTAGGACCTTCTCGGGGCATATAGCTACTACCTAGGAGGTTACCTAGGAGGTAGGTGTACATATCATATACTGATTTGCAAGCGTTCAGAACAGTTCAAGAATAGCACGATGTTTTAACTTTAAAAACTCTCTATCATTAATCAGTTGCAACCCCCGCAATATTTCTTAAATTTATACCTATATCATTTATAATCGATACGCTTCCTTCTATGCCTCCGTACTAACTTAATACCTTACCTTGGATACCAATGACACAATATGATTCTTTCTGAATAACTATGTCTTTATGCAAACCCACCTTGAATATTGTTGTACAATTATGCCGCTAGCTTCAGAATACAGCCGAGTTGTTATTCAACAATAACAATGATTGCAAAATCTAGGAAAACTATAAGAAGCAAGAAGTATCCCGTCGAAGTTGAAAAAAAGAAAAAAGAAAATATAACTTCGTATGAATATTAATCTCATACTGCACCAACCTCCTTCACTCTTGGAATCAATCTACCCCAAAAACATAGAGTTGAATCGCAATCATGTCTGTAACAATTCATGTAATTCGCCACGCCCAAGGCCCTCACAATGTAACAGTCCAGGCTCGTATGACGCCCGACCCCCATCTCACCGCAGAGGGGCTGCAGCAATGTGCACGTGTGCAACAAACATTTCCTTTCGCCATTGACGCTATTATTTCATCGCCGCAAAGACGAACTATTCAAACTGCTTTAATTTGTTTTGGAAGTTTTGTCGCTGGTGGATTACGCCCTCAATTACTCGCGGATCTACAAGAGCCTGGTAACCTTCCGTGCAATGTGGGAGTGGATCTTAAAACACTCGAACAGGAGTACGGACCCATAATCAATACAGATAATCTTGACGATCATTGGTACCGAACAACTACAGCATTGTCTTCAGACCCAACGCAAATTGCAGAGCGCGCCCAGCGAGCGAGAAGGGTTATTCGAGAACGTGCCGTGTCCATGCTCCAGAGCGTAGAAGGCCAACCTGGTAACCATGACATACACATCGCTGTTGTTACTCACTCAATATTTATACCATTTTTAACTGGTGACTACTCCGGTGGAACAAGATTCTTCCGCAATGCGGAATGGCGGTCGTACACGTTCAGTGACTTAAAAGGAACTGATGATATTGCTGCGCTTGTAGAAACTGACCAAAGTCTCCAACGACGCGGAGCTACGAGGCCGCAGCCAACTCAAAACGTAGCCGGCCGGAATGCCATAATAAGCCGCGTACTCGATAGGGCTGAGCGAAAATCAAGCCTGTTACCACCAGCTCCCCAAGCACCATAAATAACATGAATTTCTACATCCCGATTGTGCTAGGATGGACATCTTTGGTTGGCGCTTCTGATGATGATGGCGAGCTCCAAATCCCATAAATCTCCTAAGGCCGTTAGATACTAATATGACTGATGTCGCTGAGTTTTAACGAGAAAAAGGCGGGATTAGCCATACCTTGATAGTTATCCTCTAGCTAAGGAACTCTAGAATAAAAAACAAAATAAAAAACCTGATTTGGGCGTTAGTACAGCTTTGAATCTCTTGGTAGTTTACCTGATATGCCCAGTCTAATTTTCAGAGGCTGACCTCCACGTGAATCGTTAAAATTTCCACCTTTATCCTAACAAACGTAATTAAGCTTATAATCCAGAAATGAGATCCAATAGTAATCATAATGGAGATTACCTATCCCGGTTCCTATATCTCTGCTTGAACCCGAAGGGTGTTTATAACTAACTAGTAAGTAGATGTGAATGGTGTCGACTTTTCCCAACGAAAAGTTTTATATTATTAACTAAAGTGCTAGTAAAAGTATAAATTCCGCTTGTTAACGAGGAACCGTGAGTCTATCTTAGATTAGAATAAAGGTTTTTGTATTGGATATTCTAATGGTTTAAGGATCTAATGAAGTTATAATAAACTTATTAATGTTCCCGTTAACTAAGTTCTTTGAGATGTAACTCGGTAAAGACAATAAAACTATAGTTATTGCTTTACACTTGTCGTTAGTTATTGTCTTTATAGTCTACTTAGGCATGTTTCAGCTCATTGAAACTCGACTCATAATCCGGCTATAAGGTAGGTATAGAATTAGAATACAAAGCTATGGTAGCGATAGTGAAGTAGCTTCTTGTCGCACGCCGACTTCGCTATGAGCAGTTTACAAAAACCCATCTAGTTACCATAGTTCTTAATGGAATGGTAAAACTCTCGCTTTCGGGCAGTTTAAGAGTCTATTTTAGAATTTCTGCCCAACTTGATTGATTACTACCCTCTTCCCGATGAATGTTGTTTTGATCGGACCAATGGCAACGCTCTTTTGATCTAAAATCCGACATCGGTAACATGTGATTGGTTCTTTTTAAATCGGATTCACGTTAAACCGATCCACTGTAACCTTTTCTTGATCGTTGTGAGGCCCCTGTTATATTTCAAAAAGTGCAAATGACTCCACAATCCGAACGATACCCGGCTACGGGAATAGCCTTGGGGATGTCAACAAATGCATAAACGAGCCATCATCGATGGGTTATCGCCTTAAAATGAGCCAATCATCGTTATTGAGCTTGTCTTGTCGCACTCGAGTTACCCCACACCCACACCGTCTGCCGTACATCGCGGCTCCAGAAACCTGGGAAGATGGTGTTGAGTGGGGATACTTACCGATCAGAGCCGACACATATGTAGAAATAATTACCAGGGTTACAATTAACAAATCATTCAGAAAATAGTGGTACTGTACATTATTTTCAGTTGACTTTGCCCCTGTCAGAGAAATACAAGGGTCATCACTAATACACAATTCCCGAAGTGTCGGTATGAAAGTAAACACTATCCATATTCCCAGGGTAATAGACCTGACGAAGCCTATAATGGAATTCAGGACTCAATTATACTTTGTTGGACTATTGGAGAGTATCCGTTTTTGTTCCTTAGATACTTGGGGGTCTAAGTGACTGTTGAAGGGCGTGGGCTTCTTGTTCTCACCGCAATAATTAATGTAGGATATGCATTGTTACCAAGTTCGGTAAGATGATCGTCACGGTGCGTGCGCCCTTCGCGTCCGGCGTCGCCATGCGTCGGCATTATAGAAAAATCGCGGCCCATAAAAACTTCGGTCAACCCTTTCCGTGGCCGCAATTCCCGCCGGTCAAGTTTTTCTGTTTGTTATAGGTATCAAACTCTCGTCTCTATAGCTAAACCTTTTAGCCTCTACTACCTACCCCTAGAGTCTTCCAACATTGACAACTTCGCCAGCGGAACCTTCAGGCCATCCCGTTCCGGTTATGACAGATCCAAGCGCAACACAGACAGGTCTCAGGCCGCAACTAGACCACGTGGCTACGAATGCCTCTTCGCCGAGTTATAGGAGCATCCGCAGGCTTGACAGCGGTCTAAATCATTTCGCAGAACTTGTTCAGAGTATCAGTAATCAAGATGTGGAAGCCAGATACAAGGTAGAAGAAGAAGACAACAGAGTACCGACGGACGATACGCCAGACCCAAGCCAGTTCCAAGGTTCCGAAGGAAAAACGATCATATCATGGGAGGTTAACGACAAAGAAAATCCCTACAATTGGTCTCTAGTCAGTATATTCCCCCTTGAGTTATGCTCTGTTTTGGCGACGCTAACCCCATTCATAGGGGCGGAAGACCTTCATTGTCACATCGTCAATGGCTACGGTTGCCAATAGCACCTTGGGCAGTTCTCTGCCAAGTATGGCTATCCCTTATATGACAAAAGAATGGGGAGTTACTAATCAAACACAATTTGTCCTTCCAATATCTACGTATCTCCTAGGCTATGTGTTTGGGCCCATTTTCTGTGAGTGAATCTCAATGGCGCCTCCCCACCACGCGAGAGGATCTTGTTATCTAACCTCTCGTTCTCAGGGGGGCCGCTAAGCGAACATCTTGGACGCCGAAATATCTCTACGGGATGCTTCATAATGTACGTAATCTGGACTCTGGCCTGTGCCCTCGCTCCGAATTGGCCAGCGATGCTTGTATTTCGATTTTTCGTGGGAGCATGTGCCAGCGCGCCGATTGCAGTAGTCAGTGGGATTCTGGCGGACTTATTTAATGATCCAGTCACACGTGGTCGAGCTATGGCATGCTTTATGGCCGTGAGTATCTAATCCGAATATGTACCTTTGCTGGCCTAGAGCTGATTCCTATTTGAAGATGACTGCCTTAGGGCCCCTATTAGCTCCAATCATATCCGGTTTCTGCTCGACAAGTATCGGTTGGCGATGGACCTTCTGGATCGGCCTTATGATTGCTGGAGTGACGTTAATAATGGCATTTTTCCTCCCCGAGACTTACGCGCCGGTTCTCCTTAGCCAAAGGGCGGCAAAAATTCGAAAGGCAGACCCTAAAGCCCAGGTTTACTCCGCTTCAGAGCTTGAGCCGCATGACTATAAACAGCTGTTCACCAGAGTCTTAACACGGCCCATCCGTATGATATTAACCGAACTTATTGTGACAGCGACGTGTCTCTATCTTTCATTAGTCTACACAATCTTTTATATGTCATTTCAAGCGTTCCCAATTATATTCCAGGATATTTATGGTCTATCTCCTGGAGTCACTGGTTTATGCTACCTGCCCGTTGGTGTCGGTGCACTTCTTTCCGTCCCTATATTCTTCGGGTATGATCGCATAGTTTTTAACGCCAAAGCCCGTGGTACTCCATGGTCACAGGTGGAGGAATATCGTCGGGTCCCATTAGCATGTTTGGGAGGACCCTTATTTGCGATATCCTTATTCTGGCTTGGATGGTCATCGCGAACAAACGTGCCATTTGTTGTGCCAATGCTAGCTGGTATTCCTTTTGGCGGAGGTTATAGTATGTGCATTCCCAATTCTCATAATTGTCCCACTGCCAATATTCTATCCCATTAAGCATAAAGGATAAGGAAATGAGACAGCCTCTATGGTCCACGGCCACGTTTATGGTTTCGGAATATGGACATTGCTAACTTCAATCATCACAGTGTTGATATTCATGGCACTGCTGAACTACCTCACAGATGCTTATGAGATCTTCGCAGCGAGCGCGAATGCAGCTGCTAGTTCTTGCCGCTCTGTATTCGCAGTTGTTCTTCCGCTAGCGACAACACCTATGTTCGCGCGGTTAGGAGTCAGTGGGGCCTGCAGTTTACTCGGGGGTTTGAGTCTACTTATGTCCGTTATACCTTTTATCTTTATCTGGAAGGGTGAGGATATTCGAGCAAGATCTAAATTTTGCATCGCGTTGAAAGAACGAAAGCTTGAGATGGAGCGGAAGAATGAGGAGGAGAGACAGAAGAAAGCCAGGGTGCTTGGTAATAACGGCGTTGCAGATGAAAAGGAGATTGAAGTCTAAGAGGTAGGTAGGTACCTAATACAGCTAATACTACCCAAGATATAGTATGTACATATAATTAGAACTTCTAACTACCTTGTCGGAAACCCCCTCCGGCGGAATAAGAGTGGCCCTTGATAGATACTAAGGAAGCTTATTAGGTAAATAGTAATATAACTATTAGTTTGTATGAAAAGGAAATCCTGTAAGACGGAATTCTAAACTAGAAAGGTTGGACCATACCACTTCTAACTACCTATCTACCTAATTAATTTCACCTTGAAGCCTACTTCTACGAATTATATCCATTGTTATTCATCAAGGGATTTCTTACTACTATGAATACCCCTTTTTTCTTTTTGGCTCGCCCGCTCCATTCTAACCCTTGGTCGTAAGGTAAGCAGTGCTTTCAACTAAGAATCGATAGCGAGCCCATCTGATTCTGGAGGTCCTCGATACACTGTAGCGAGTATACCGTGTTAGTATTATGATTGTAGGAAGAGTGCCTGAAAGGGTGGTCGAAATGCTTACCTTTCCGAGCATATATGGCATACCATATCGCGCTAAGAACCATAAATCCAACGAAGACTACAATCGCGTAGTTCATATTAACCTCGGTGACCGGCAAGACGGTAGGCATAGAAAACAATACTACTTCGAAAACAATCCAAAGTATCGCGAGCAAATTAACCACCAATCCTAAGTATTTCCCCATGGTCCACTTGGCGCTATTGACTTCCTTGCGATTATGAAATAGTGATATAGCAATAGGTATCCCGTAAGATACGGCAAGGGATATAACGCCAACTGACACAAAGGCAAGAAATGCCGATGAAGATCCCAGGTTGATTAGTCCAAGGAGCATCTCAATGAGCGTAGTAAGCACAAGTGCCCAGATCGGCGTGCCGTGGCGTTCGTCTATCTTCGACCAGAGGCGAGCAAGTGGAATGGCATTGTCCCGTGCGAAGGCCCACGTACATCTCGATGCCGCACAAGTAATGGAGATTGAGCAGAATAAGGTGATTATAAGGACAAGTAAAGTAAGAGCGAGTCCACCTCCAGGCGACCCCATGACTTTTCCAAAGATATACGGCAATGCTTGGCCTACTGGCGCTGTGATTACATCTGCCAAGTCGGGCAATGTTGCGCATAGGGGAATTATCTGGTCATATGAATGTACTTAGTAAAGTTTTATACCTAGGTAGGCATATATAAGGTGTCTAATGGCCGTTATATTCGCCTAATATTCATAGACTGTTGAATTGAGAAGGTGGGTACTTACAAAGAATAACCCAGCAATACCACCAACCGGTATGCAAAGAGATATCGCGTTTGGTAGCTTAACCGTGGGATCACCGCATTCCTCTGCCATTGACGAGATCATCCCAATAGCCGAAAACCTGGATTGCCATGAGCTTGCAATGTTCGCAAAGATCAAAAGAGAAAGCTATCGTAACTCGAGAAAGATGATTAAACAAACTCACGTATAGGCCGAAGGTAAGATCCCAATCCAAAACGAAAAGCCGTCCCAGCCAGAGAGCGACGTATCGTAATGCCCCTATGGACGAAGTTCTCAGTATATCTTCCTCCATAGCACTGTGCATAGATTTCCTACCAAAGTGTAGCTGGGAGAATGTCTGCCGACATCTGCTTTTACGGAGAGGCAGATGCAAGTAACGACGATGCTAATGGCTGTAAATATAGCACATATCGTGTCGACTAGTGGGAGAATTTTATTGCCATAGGCAACTAAAAAGAACGTAAGAATACACACGGCATAGAAGATAAGCAAGAGTTGCCAGGCCTCTATAGTGAAGTCTGGCATGTACAATGACACTGCCGCAGCCAGCATAGACGCGAACCCAAAGTTGACCGACAGAGTGATGGTCCAATTTCCGATAAGCCATGTCCAGCCGGAGATGAAGGAGAGACCTGTCCGATATCTCGGGCTAGCGAGCTGGAAGCTCCAATAATAAGGGCCTGCTGACGTCGGATATCGAGAGGCCAGTTCGCCTAGTGATAGAGCGATGCATTCGCCGAGGATTAAAACCACAATCCATCCGAGAAACATTGGCAGTTGGCCTGACAACTAAGCGTTAATATGAGGACGGACATGTAACGCGATGATTAGCCACTCACCACCGCCATAGATAGCGCTGATTAGAGGACCGCCGAAGCCATATGGTATCTGGATATATTTCAGATATCTACCCAAGTTAATTATTCGATTGGTTTAGACTTACGGCAGCGATCGCTAAGGATTGGAATAATAAAGTAAACATGGATCGGTTGCGTCGTAGCTCTGGCTTGTAGCCAAGCATCGTGAGGTTTTGTACATCATGTATCGTTCCGAGTTGCGTATGTCCCTGTTCGAAATCCACGACGCTGGGCAAGCCAGCCTGGGGAATCTTTTCCTTGATAGAACTCATTATGATATACGATCAAGTCCACTTATTAGGTCTACTTGACTGGGGGTGGGGGTGGGAGGATGTTATGAGAACTTGAAGTTGAGAAACACAAGATCTTAATCATCAGGTTGCTATCACGGAAATATACCTACCTTTATAGGTACCTAAGGCATTTAAGCTGCTCATTTCAGCTTATCTACCTCAGGCGCAATAGGCGCATAGCTTCAAGCCATTCGCGGAGGTTCGGAGTCTATAGATAAGCACAATAGAAGTATTATTCACTTAACTATTCCTGGTGAAGATGGCCAGTTTGTCTGAGAGGCATTGCTTTATGTCTTGGCATCGCCCGCCCTTATCATTGCTATAGTAACCTGTGGTAACAGCAGGAGTAACAGTTAGATAGATAACGCCCCTGGAGATGAATGTAATACATATGACGTATTTGAATCTGATAGATAGGGAGAACAGCGTCAAAATAAGTGCCGATTTTGTAAGTACTAACATACCAGGAGTCTCACTCTCTTATCCACATAACTCAGCGAAATACTCGAGAATATCTTTATGGCTTATATTAAAATGAAATTTAGAGCCAATTTCATACTAGTAGGATTTTTTATAATTGTTTTGCTTAATATATTCCGAGAGAACGTTTTATAAAGGTATTCCCTTTGTTAGGCACTTATTTTGACGCCGTTCTGATAGGAGGTAGGTATCTGATAAAGCTACCGCTTAAGTACAGGGCTGTCACGTGAGAGCGAGCGACGCACTAGTACCTATTACAGTAAAATTAGAGAGTTCAGGTCACCTGACAGGGCTGACTAATCTGACATCCTGTTTACCTGTACCTGTAGCATCATCCTTCTTATTTAATCTAATATCTGCTAAACTCTACTGCCGAGTCTTTAAGAGTAGTGGGAAGTAGACAGGGTCTCTTCGGCTCTTTAGAGCGTCTAAGAAAGCAATAACAAATTTCGAGATCCCCAGAGGCTTCGCCCGATATATCCACTCCGTTAATGACAATTCCTCTATAGCGTCGCCCTCTTGGTCTTCAAAGTGCTGCCTTAGCTTCCGCCAGGCGATCCTCTGTCCGCTAGGGTGATGAATAAACCTCACCCACTTCCCTTCGTCCGAAAGTTGTGGTGTGACCATGACATGGAGAAAAATGCTATCGGCAACGTCCCCTACTGGTGCGTAGTCGACAAAACCCTCGACCTTCTCCAGGGTCGGAATGGCCTTTAGCGTTTTGCTATACTTCAAAAGCGTATTTGCTATTTCCGTCGGCGGTGCCCCTTCACCGACTACTGAGCATGCCCGATAAACCCTTACTGGGAGCCCAAACTGCTCTGCTAGGGCCTCAAGATATCGCTCGCACGCCCACTTCGCTGCCATCAAGCCATCTGATCCATCCACTGGGGGGTAAAAGCGCGAGACCGAGATTTCACCAGCGGTCGTCTGGCCAGTAAACAGAATGACGCGATTAGTGGATACGAAATGAATTGGAATCTTGCGTGGTAGCGCTAGACGGGCAAGGTATTTCGTCGCGCCCAGTGTTTGCGGGCGGAGCGATTCGTAGGAATTCAGAAAGGACCCTTCGCCGCCAGCATGAATAATAACATCGACTTCGCGTGATAATGCCCCGGCTTCGGCTTCGAGCAGGCCCAGAGTCGGCATGGCGAGGTTGCCTACGTACGTCCGTACTTTGGCGTACTCGGGTAAATCTGTTGTTGGCTTGAACGCGTCTATCTTCGGTACGCCGATGCAGTGCACTACGGAGATGGAGCTGTCCCGTACCAATCTACGCAGGATAGCACCCCCTAGAAATCCCGTCGATCCTGTCAATAGCATCACTTTACCCTTGGACCGTGATTGTGGCGCCACGACTTGTTCTAATGTTTCTGGCAGCTTCGCGGATATATCGGTCTCACTATCCCAGTCTACGAGAATTTTCGATAGGTTGAGAGCAGAATCGGAGTAATTAACGTTTTCCTGCTCGGTTGAAAGTGGCGAGCCCTTCTCTTCATCATCCTCCCGGACTTTGTCTTGCGTACACTGCGAATCGATTCTTGATGCCATACTGCTGAGTGTATTCTGTAGAAACATGTCTACCAGAGGAATTTCAACACCAAAGTTTTCTCGAACAAGTACTTGAAGTTTCATGAGAAGTATTGAACTACCCCCGACGTGAAAAAAGCCAGTGTCCCTTCCAACGTGCGATACATCGATCACGTCCGGGAGTGATTCCATCCATAGACTTTTGAGCCGCAACTCTGTCGCTGATAGGGGAACTCGCTGTTCTGATTCGCTAGGCGCCGGGAGTGGGATAGAATCAAGGGCTTTCCTATCCCTCTTTCCGTTGATAGTAGTAGGAAGATGGTGTAGTGGAATCATCATGGCCGGAGACATGTATAGTGGTAGGGGCAGTTCTGAGGATAGTTGCTTCAGGTATCCTATGGTATCGCTAGGCGAGGAATCCAGAGAAAAGACAACAAAGGCGATGAGGAAGGGAGGATCACCCCTGGTAGTTACCATTGCATCAACTAAGAACCCTTGCGCTGTACGAAGAATGGTGTTTGCTACATCGTCGAGATCAATACGGAAGCCCCTAAACTTGATCTGCGTGTCAGAAGCTGAGCGGCCGAGGAATATAATGGATCCGTCGGCAAGAAGACGACCTCTATCCCCGCTTCGGTACATCCGGACCCAGTCATTTGTTTTGTCTTCGGTGAAAGCGAAGGGATTGGAGACGAACTTCTCTCCGGTAAGTCTATCGTCATTAATGTATCCAAGAGTCACGGTGGGCCCCGCGATGCAGATTTCCCCTGGAAACCCAACGGGAACGGGCCTCAGGCAATCGTCAACAATAAAGATAGACACATTCAGTAATGGCCGCCCTATTGAAGGATACTCTTCGACTGAGTTAGACTGGCTGTCGTTGTAAGGCACATTCGTGCTCGAGAAAAAAACAAGCTTCCATTGGCCCAAACCAATTGGTAAGAGTGACGCCCGGTAAACCTAACCGGTGGAAGTCGTGCTTGAGCTGAGACGTCATGTTCTCTCCTGCAGAACAGGCAAGCCTCCAGCGAGAGCATTTCTTCAGATAGCGGCTCCCATAGCACAGTAGGGTAGAATACTCAGAGGGAGTGGCCAATGTGAGGGTGATGTTTTCGGAAGCCATTAATTTCGATATTTCAACTGAATGTCCTTTGATCGACTGAGGCACGACGACCAGTGTTCCGCCCTTTGCAAAGGCAATGAATATCTGGTACAGTGAAACATCAAATCCCAGGGAGCTCTGCTGTAGCACTATCTCCTTTGGGCGAACCTCATTATTTTCCATGAGCCCGTACGTGCTATTCATAATATTGGCTTGCGATAGCAGTACTCCCTTGGGAATACCAGTGGAGCCACTAGTATAGATTGCGACGGCGGGTATGTCCGCTCGAGAGCAAGCTGCTGTCGCCAGATAGTCACCTCCACCCAGGGAGAACAAGTTGAGTGCTTTCGTTTGGTGCCCACTCAGCGATAGCGCTGTTTTCAGCGTATTCGCCTGGCAAAGGATCAGAGGCGGACGAAAGTCTTCAACCATGAAGGCTAGACGGGCTGGCGGATTTTGAACATCAAGTGGTACATATATAGCACCTAGCCGCAGTATTGCTAGTATTGCGGCCATGGCGTCGCTCGAGGGCTCGAGGAGAACCGCTACATAGGTACCAATGGCCATCCCCGCGGCCGAGAGATCAGTGGCGATAGCATTGCTCCGATTGGCAAGCTGAGCATATGTATAGACATTTCCATAGCCGTCTTTAACGGCGATATCACTAGGACTGCTTTGTGCCGTTACTTCCACACAGCGAGTGATGGTTTCTGGGAACTCAAATCGCTTCTGTCGGCTCCTACCTACTTGCACTTCCAATAGTGCATCGGAGGGGCTGAAAGGACTGGAGTCATCCAAGCACTGTTGTGGGTTGTGGCAGATTTGATCCAGTAGATGGATATAACTCTGGACTAGCAAGTTGCAAGCATCGCTGGTGTACAAATCGTCCCGCACCGTAAGGGATAGGAAACAGCTGTCCTGCGTAGGCTCTGTAATCGTAAAATGGAGGTCATAGGAATATCTGACTTCGTTTACTGCTCGATGTCGCAGCTCACAATCACCGAGGGATGTCTGCCGAAGCGCCCCCATGCGATAGTTCACCAGGACTTGGAATAGAGGAGTGTGAGTTAGCGACCTCGTTATGTTCAGGTCTTCTAACAAGACGTCGAATGGTAGTCTTGAATGGGCCAGCGCCGCGTATACCTTGCGAGCGATGGTCTGGGCAGTTGCTTCAAAGGTTTGCGCCGAATTTCCGCGGTAGAGGCGCAGAGGAAGGAGGTTCAAGAAGAGACCAAGTGCATCGAGATACTTCCCGTCCGTCCTATTCGCGTCGAGTATGCCAATACAGAGGTCATCGGCGTCTATAAAGCTAAAGAGTAACGTTTGTATCGCGACGAGATGTACGTGAAAAGGGGTTATATGAAGCTGCCTACTCAGCTGCTTAATTTTCACTGCAAGCTGCTCGGAGATCCGCGAATTAGTTGTGTATACGCCGTAGGTTTCGGAGGCACAGCGTGAGCGGACGCGAGAGAAGGGTAAGAGAGGCAAAGGGCTTGGTAAGGTAGAGAACTCGTCCCTCCAGAACGCTAGGTCATCCGCCAGCCCTCCCCTCTCAATCTGAAGCCTCTGATCCATGGCAAAGTCCACGTATTGGACGGTTCGCGGTATCAAGGGTATCATTCGGTAAGCTGTGTCCAAGTCTTGAAGGAACAAGGAAAAGCTCAATCCGTCCATAATGATATGATGATAGCCAAATACGACCATGCTCCAAGATGGCGTCTGAGATAAAAGCGTAGCACGGAACACATCCCCCTTTTCCAAGTCGAACACGGAGTTTCTCATGCTATCAAATTCCTCTTGTGCGTCGGCATCGCTGGATATCTGCCTGTGTTCCAGAACTACTGGAGACTCTCTAAGGATGCCTTGCATGCCGCTCCCCGTTTCAGTCTGCGTGAAAAAGCATGTTCGAAATGGTTGGTGGTGGGACACAGTGGTTTGGAAGGCTTTCTTGAACCGCGGTATGTCTAAGGGGCCTTATGATATTGTAGAGAAGAACTACATTATATCTCGTAGGGTCTCCACTATAGGTCCTCATGAACCAGAACCTAGATTGGGCGAAGGACATGTGCTCTATCCTCTCAAAATTCGAAGATGCTTCTTGCGGGGAAAGGTCTGAATGCAGCGGAGCTGGCGACGGCGATGGTGGGCAAGCAGCATCTCCTGGAGAATCTGATACCGTCAAGACCCGAGGCCCAGCGGAGAGTTGGGCGGAGACGACGTAGTCATCATCCCCCTGGACTGAATCTTGAGTGATACGCTGCACAGGGAGTGAAACTGGACGCAGATGCGTTGCCTCTGCGATTTCTTTCTGGAGCTTCCCATCTTGCTTCATTCCGAGTACTATGTCTTCACCGCCTTCGCCACCAGGACGACCTTTCGCATCCTCTACGTTTTCATTCGACTATATCCCTATTAGCTCAACGTTGTACTCTAAGGCCCAAGATAGGGGTGCAAAATAAAAGGTAGGGTTACATAATCTTCGGATTGCGGTCGGCTCGTCAAGAGCGCCGAGTGGAGAGACAGGTCAGTCGTCGAGTTGTCTTGGGAAGCGGTATGATCCGTAACATGGTTGTCATCGATGGAACTCATAGGGCGGACATCTTTTTGAAGACTTAGCTTTTGGTATCGAGCCATCGCTGTTCGGAAGTTGAACTTACTGGCGTTTCCCGGGTCAGGAGTAGAGAGGCTTGCAATAACAAAACGACATAGTTCGGTGATTGTGTCGCCACTTAGTAGTTTCAGAACTGGTACATCGACCTTAACCTCCATGATAAACCACGATCTGATCTCAATAGCGATTAGTGAGTCAACTCCTAGGTGAACCAGGGAGGCGTGTTCGTCGATATTGTCGGTGCTCAGCTGTAAGATACTGGCTAGTCTTGAGGAAAATCCTTCTTGAAGTATTCTGGCAGCATCTGCTGAATTTGCAGCGTTGGCAAGCTGTTTGCCCACGTGCACAACATCAGCTCCGCCCTGCTGCTCCAATATGTCATCCTCTTCGAGGATGAAATGTGAGAACCTTGGATTGTAATACCACGTTGGTCTGTTATCTGCATTAATAGAACCTAGAACGCTTTCCAGACCTGTGATGATTTCTGGCTGATGCCCAGGGTTGGGGCGTCCCGCTTGGATAGCCTCGAGAAACATGGCGTGAAAGTCTGGTTCGGTAATCGGTAAGCAGTGATTCATTCTGCGTAGGTACTCCTCCAGGGCCGGGCCAGCACGAGAAACATAGCCGACCTCTGTAAGCATGCCAATGTCGAGTACCGATGCTGCAAAGCCTCGGCGTCTTCTCTGGGTAGCAATACCCGCCATAAACATATTGGCGGCGGCATAGTTGAACTGGCCGCGGTACCCGGCAGCAGCAGAGACAGACGAGAGCAAGATGAAAAAGTCGAGGTTTTTATCCCGAAAGAGCTCATCAAGGTTTATCGTCCCGTCGACTTTTGGTCTTAAAACATCGGTTAGCGAGCTGAAGGTCATGTCAACGAATATTGAGTCGGAAAGAACCATTGCTCCATTAACCACTCCAGCGATAGGAGGCATCTGGCTGGAGATTTCGGAGCAGACGGATAACAACGCTTGTTTGCTCGCGACATCCATTTGAAAGACTTTGATATTAGCACCCATGCTCTGCATCTCTTCGAGCCATACCCGGCCTATGTTAGCATGCCGGCTTGTCAATACCATGTTCCGAGCGCCATTAAGAATCATCCAGCGGCAAAGGGATTGTCCAAGATCCCCCGTCAAGCCGACTAACAGATAAGTTTTATCGTGAGAGAAGTAATATCTCGGCTCCAGTGGGTTGATGGTTACCGAATAAGTCCCTTCCCGAGTCCAGTCGACGACGCAGAATGAGGAATTCTCTGCGGCGACGGGAACAACTACCATCCATTGTTATTGTCAACGGGAAGATTGTCAACAGCTCGCAGGACTACAAAGAACGGCGATGTCGTGCAATTGCCGCTGCGGCCCTCCATAGCAGGCCAGACTGTTTATCTATCGTACCCAACAAACTCGGGAGCAGAATTAACTAAGAATACAACGTAGAACGGAATCAGCTTCGAGCAGAATGGGAACGGCACTCCCCTGCAAGTGTCAAACGACGAACATACGGTTCAGGTGGATGCCAATGGTATGGCTAGCTTTATGCTACGAGACTCAGAAGCTGTAGCCGCAAGTACCGGCTGGAAGTCAAGCGGTGATATAGAAAAGCAAGCGTCGTCTGAAGCGGCGTCCTGCTTGACAGTGCCCGGGAAATCGTCAGGGGTCGGGAGTCCGGCTGGACCCACACCTTCCGCCGGCACTAGTGAAAATGACGACTCCAAAAAGTCCGGGCTGCGGGGCCTTATATACTAGCGAAATTTACATCCGAGTGTCTTATCCCGATAGTTTTTGTACTGATAGTTGTAATTTGATGTCAGAAGTTAAGATTATCTGCTATCGAGCGGATGGATTTAAGAGCTAATACATATATGCAACCGCCTAAATAACGTAAGTTTACGATGTTGGCGACCTTAGATTACTAAAATCATTTTACTACTACAGATATGCTCAAATTCTTTTCCCTATGATCTTGGATCTTGCTTAAGAAATTATATCACGCAGTATAGTAAAGGCTTTTTGGGGGACTTGTATAGGTAGGTAAGACTTGTATAGTTAAATAAATGCAGAAAGACATGGGGAATTACGCCAGTCTATTGTAGTTGACTCGTGAAGAGGCATCTATAACTAGTAAAACTAGTATCATCTAGAGTTTCACGCTCAACAATCAGGTCTATGCTAACTAGATCCGATCCTCTACCCTCAAGCGTACATAACCGTGGCTGGGTAGTCACATATAAAACCATTCCATCATACCCATATCTGTACGTGTTCTGTACGTGTTTTACGCCTTAAATCGGGGAAACTGAGATTAATACATTCTGCTATCGGCGTTTAACCCTGGAATTCTTGCAGTTTGCTTTCTTCCCATCGCCCAGGGACGAGAGCAAGTGGTACAATACCAGAAACGTGGATCTCGGGGCCAAAGATCTTGGCGTTCAGGCCAAGCTCTTGTGTCGCAGCCTTCATGTTCTTGAGACCTTCCTGGTAGTTAGGACCGGCACGGCGGACCCAGATTTGGACGTTGTGCTCGTTCAATTGCTTGGCATATTCGCGAAGTGCCCGGATAACACCCTTGAAAGTAGACGCCACATTTGTGAAGTTGGCAATACCGCCACCAATGAACAGAACCTTGCCCTTGGGGTCCATAGGAGCGCGCAGCATCAAATCCAAGACGGTACGAGCATAGTAATAGGTCTGCGACTCGGTAGGGGCACCGGAGTATTCACCGTAGTTAGCTAAATCGTCGGCAAAGCCAGCAGACGCGATAGCATCAGCATAGACGACGGAAGCACCACCACCAGCAACCAGAGTCCAAATACGGCCGTTAGGGTTTAGGACAGTGAGCTTCAGAGAAGCGCCCGTCTTAGCGTCCAGTTCAGCAATGTAGGCTTCCTCCTTGGTAAGTTCACGGCCAAATGGCGCGGGGAACTCTATCGGAGGACCAGCATCAACATTGATCTTGTCACCAGCGCTAGAGACAGCAGTGATACCCAGGTTTGTAGGTGACCGCGCGATAGCCCATTTTACGCCACATTCAAAGTCGGCGGTTTGATCTAACTTAGCAGCAAGATCCAGGAAATAAACTTCGGCCGAGGTGCCAGCGTCGTTGGGAATGACAACTAAGGGGTTGATTTCCAGGTAGGTGAACTGGCAGTCAACGTACACCGCGTATAGACGGGTAATGAAGTCGACTAGGACATTGTGAACACCCTGGGGGACCTTCTTTAACAGCGTGTTGGCAATCTCCTCATTAGAGGGATATTGCGAAAGGTCAACAGGAATGAGTAGTTTCTCGGCCTTAGCATCGACATCACCAACGTCGACACCACCTTCGTGGGTGAAGAGAATCCAATCTCCCTATTAATGAATTGGTCAGCATTTGTTTTACGTTGATTGGTTGATAATATTTGTTTTAAGGAGATAACACGTGAGAGTAAGGCTGGTGGTATGTGTTGTTGGTACGGTGGGCGAAGGGGGAAAGTGGATGCAACAGGAGCGCATATGGTTTAGCCTTCCGTTCGCCCGTACACACCGGTTCACTCCTGGATTCCCAATCAAATAAGAGCACGGCAGTAGCCATTTTGGTGCACATAATAATTTCATAAGTGATAAGAACGCAACCTCTCCGGGACTTCCTGGATATCGTTCGCATTTCTCCTCATTTTCCCTTGTTTATTTCAACGTCCTGATCTTCAGTCTTCAGGTATCCCGTATCCTCGCAGCCACGCGCTGGCTGACTGTCATTGGAATAATTCGCCCGATGAAAAAGCATCGGGCATAAAACAAAGCTCGACAAAAACAACGCAAAATGCTTAAATGGGGTGCTGCACTTACATCTCGAACTGAGTTTATGTTGATGTAGTACTCAGTGCCTTCCGGGTGAGGTACGAAGGGTTCCACGAGGAACTGGCGCAGAACACCCTCGGTGTGTTCGACCTTCTGTACCTTGCCGGCGCGCTGGGCAATCCACTCCTTCGCCTCAGGCCAGGACTTGTTAAGGGCCAGAAGACCACTCTTGCCTCGCCTCTTAATCAACTGATCAGGCTTTGCAACGAACTTGGCGCCGCTGTGAAGTAACCAAGGGTACGTGATTTCGGCCTGGTTCAGCACCGCGTTAACGTCAGCATCCTCGGGGAAGTAGAGTGAGGCCAACTTCGGCGGCGGGTTGTGCGTCGTGGGCTTGGGAAGAGGACTCGGCTTGATGACGGGAGCGCGAGTGAGGTGGTAGTTAAGAATGGCCTTGCCGTCGGCCTCGAGGATTGCCTTTGCGGACATTGTGGCGAGAGAAACGAATTATACGAAAGAGGTATGTGCTCAATTACGCTCTATTCAATTGTCAAGATCGTTTCTAGAAGGGACAATCAGCAACTGCGTTTTCTCTGACTTCAAATGAAACCACAAGTGTGGAAGGGGAGAGATTGAATTTGGACTTGTAGAGTTCGAATTTTGGAGAATAAAGGTACAGGAGAACTCGGTGCAGATAGACAGGCCCGCAGAATGAGGGGATTGGCAAGGCCATCTTCTTTTTCTCTTACCTTGTCACAACTGAATATCTCTCAACCTAGTGATATGGAGACTACGATACGACCAGGGGATTATTATGGTGAAGGTTGGGGAAATTTTTGATTGCAAAAGCGACAATGTTGACTGCAACAACAACAACAGCAAGAAATTGGAAGATTGAAGATTGATCCTTCGAAAAGACTATGAAGGTGCGGTACGATACGGTAGTGTACGGTGCGAAGCTCCCCGCCAACGCAGGTCCAAGTTCCGTCCCTTTTTTTCTTTTGCCCAGAACCCTTGGAAAACCTCATTCCACTTTTCGGCACAAGGCACTGCTGGCTGGTCTGTGCCCAACTAAACTCGGTGGATCCTGCTACTTGGTGGGTGCGAGTGGGTACCTAAATTGAGTTTTGGAGGGGCGCTAGACCAATGTACCCTACAGGGACGGACAACATCACGCCAAAACCATTGGGGCGATCCTGGTAGCCCTCGTCAGCAATCGGAGGAGCGTTTTCGTACCGGTACCCCAACACAAACAAACGCGGTCACCTGCAATCCTATAATCAATGCCACCGGGTACCGACGTATATTGCTCTTATCTCTTACACGGCTGCATGTATGTATTCACGCATTTTGCAAGAATCATGGCAACATCCATACACGCGCTATTCTTAATTTGAATGCCTGGATCTAGGTACATATCTGCCTATGCATTATCTGCCTATGCATTGAAGCTAACATTATCTTTTTTTTAGTGAGCTACGTCCGCTAAAGACAAGTAAAGCGAAGCTTAAAGCTGTCTGTTATCGGTATCATTTCTTCCAACAGGATCTTTCTGTTGGATCTTTCCTATATCATCAATATCAAGATTCGGCCGGCTCTTGTCTTATCATTGGCAGATCGGGCTTATGACTCGGGTTTCGAAGTCAGAAGGGATCGAGGATCAGTCGGCATTGGAAGTGTCCAATCCTTCATATCCTTGATCCACCGCGATGACAAAGCTGTCAGACAGCCTCAGCTGAGGGAAGATGGAGTAATTCGCAATGCGAGTATCACGCCGCTACCCATCTCTATCGGTTATGGAACGTCCCACAACGAAACATCCGTAACGGACTTTACCCCGGAGTTGGATATTGGGGACTCCGGAAAAAATATGAAAATGAGTGAATTATAGTGTTACCTACTATCATTCCCCAATGCGGTGGGCCACTTAGACGGATGCAATACCTATGTGCACCTCTTTCAAGTGTTTCAAGTGAATGATGCTTGTCTACACATTCGAAAATTCCATCGCGTCTTCCTAGGTTTGATATTGGCTCATTTTTATTTTTTTGGTAGTCATTCATGACTATTTTTTTTTTCCTTTACATTTATTACAGGTATACTTCATACTTTGTACACCCATATGCCTTGCTAGTCCGGACGAAGGAAGCTCAGTCGGCTTGCTGTTTGTCCAGGATGGTAAGATGAATAATAAGACGAGACGTAATCTGGTGGAAGGTGAGGACCTTATGGGACGTCGATGTTAAGATCTTGGTACCGGTACATAAAAATGGGGATCTCAAAGGGCGGGGACATATTGGCAGGCCAGCTACGTACCGTTCAATGGTACCTCACTACCTAAGGTACTGAAGCTTTAGGTGGGGTGGCCTCATCAGATATGCCCAACCAGCAAATTTCAAGTCGCCAACATAAGCAGGCTTGCGCAGGATCAACAGGGTCGTTCAGTCCATCGGAAGTCAAATATGCGCCATAATTGGGCCAACAAGACATCACCGACATACTATGTAGTAGCGTGCAGGCTATCGACTCTGGTGAAAAGGGGTCCAAATATTCAACAACACACATAAAAATTTACCCCAACTGATCCGGGCAAGACCGACCAATTTTTTACCGGACATTCTGTGTGGACTCTTTTTACGTCGCGACAGCAACAAGCAACAAGCAACAACCCAGGTCTATTGCATAGAAACGGAAGGAAACTGCGGTTGCGTCGCTTTCCTTTTCCTACACTATTTTTATCATCCTTCAACCGTTCAACGCTAAACGTTTAGGTACAGGTATGTATGTATCTTGCATATTCCAGGTCTCAGTCTTACCCGGCATATCCCAACCCCGTTTTCCCCGCTGTTGAGTCTTTCGCGGTTGGCAGTGGCAGCATCAATCAACTTGGACTGAGAAAAATAATTCCCATCGCTATTCATAGCCCATCAAGTCAATCTCTTTCCTCTCAATACACATTTCATCCCAAATACTCCCCTTTTCCCGTGATAGCCTCTCTCGCCATTAGCTTGGTGATTGCAATTTCGTCTAACACCTGTGCAGCTTTCGGGGCGACGACACGGTGAATTCCAATCTTAAGGTGCGTCGAGTTTACAACACTTCCTTTTTCAATTCTTAGCCATTTTTCTTGCATTGTCCGTGTTTCATCAACTACCTTAGCTTGGTCTTTCGCCGGTCCGATTCAATTGGCCTTGCTCAGCTTTGACGCTGACGGACCTGCTGAATCCTTCCAGTGCAAAGGCGGGTTGAATCGGCCGTCCTAAAAATCACCGAGAATCCCAAAGCTTGGTTTACTACTGAATAGTCCAAATGATTCCCCCTCTATTAGCGAACCTACATTCTATGAGCTATATTCAAACCAAGTTACGTGACGTCTGTAGCTAACTTTGGTCGCCCACACCACAGAAAGTTTTTGCGGATTTCATACGACGAAGATGTCTTCAGCTGCGGCTAACGGTGTGAACGGCACCTCCAGCGGTGGGTTATCCGCCAACGATAATATCGCTCGTTTCGCTGCTCCTAGCCGGCCTCTCAGCCCCCTTCCCGCACACGCCTTATTCAACGACAAGACAAGATGCTTTGTCTACGGTCTCCAGAACCGAGCTGTCCAGGGCATGCTTGATTTCGACTTCATCTGCAAGAGGCCCACACCGTCAGTTGCAGGTATCATTTACACTTTTGGTGGTCAATTCGTCAGCAAGATGTACTGGGGAACCAGCGAGACCCTTCTCCCGGTTTACCAGGAGACCGCTAAGGCCATGGCTAAGCACCCCGATGTTGATGTTGTAGTCAACTTCGCCTCCTCGCGAAGTGTCTTCAGCTCAACGATGGAGCTGATGCAATTCCCTCAAATTAAGACCATCGCTATTATTGCTGAAGGTGTACCTGAACGAGTAAGTAAACACTACAAATAGCCTTAGCTGATTAGCCATTTATTAACCCACGTAATAGCGAGCACGAGAAATCGCCCATGTCGCGCGGCAAAAGGGTGTGACTATCATTGGCCCTGCTACCGTTGGTGGTATTAAGCCAGGTAGCTTCAAGATCGGTAACACCGGTGGTATGATGGACAACATCGTTGCTTCCAAGCTTTACCGCAAGGGTTCTGTCGGCTACGTCTCCAAATCTGGCGGTATGTCGAACGAGCTAAACAACATCATCTCACAAAACACCGATGGTGTCTACGAGGGTATTGCTATTGGTGGTGATAGATATCCGGGAACCACATTCATCGACCACATGCTGAGATATCAGCAAGATCCTGACTGTAAGATTCTTCTACTGCTCGGTGAAGTTGGCGGTGTCGAAGAATATAAGGTCATCGACGCGGTGAAGCAAGGTATCATCACTAAGCCAATTGTCGCATGGGCCATCGGTACTTGCGCAAGCATGTTCAAGACAGAGGTTCAGTTCGGCCACGCTGGTTCCTTCGCCAACTCACAGCTCGAGACCGCGGCTATGAAGAACAAGCAGATGAAGGAGGCGGGATTCCACGTCCCTGACACATTTGAAGATCTCCCTCAGGTTCTCGCTGCTGTCTACAAGAAGCTTGTCGAAGAGAAGACCATCGTCCCTCAGCCGGAACCCGTTGTTCCTAAGATTCCCATCGACTACTCATGGGCCCAAGAGCTTGGTCTCATCCGGAAGCCTGCTGCCTTTATCTCCACCATCTCTGATGACCGTGGACAGGAGCTTCTCTACGCCGGTATGCCTATTTCTGATGTCTTCAGGGAGGACATCGGCATTGGTGGTGTTATGTCTCTCCTCTGGTTCCGTCGTCGTCTGCCTGACTATGCCTCCAAGTTCCTGGAGATGGTTCTCATGCTTACTGCTGACCACGGTCCTGCGGTCTCTGGTGCCATGAACACGATTATCACCACCCGTGCCGGTAAGGATCTGATTAGCTCCTTGGTTTCCGGTCTCCTCACCATTGGTTCTCGCTTCGGTGGTGCGCTTGACGGTGCTGCAGAGGAGTTCACCAAGGCTGCCGATAACGGCCTCAGTCCCCGTGAATTTGTCGACTCTATGCGCAAGCAAAACAAGCTCATCCCGGGTATTGGTCACCGTATCAAGTCGCGGAACAACCCTGATCTCCGTGTAGAGCTGGTCAAGGAATATGTATTGGCCAAGTTCCCCAGCCACAAATTGTTAGATTACGCATTGGCTGTTGAGACGGTGACCACCTCAAAGAAGGACAACCTCATTCTCAATGTTGATGGATGCGTTGCCGTCTGCTTCGTCGACCTGATGAGGAGCTGCGGCGCTTTCAGCGCCGAAGAGGCTGAAGACTACATGAAGATGGGAGTCTTGAACGGTCTATTCGTCTTAGGCCGCAGCATTGGTCTAATTGCCCATTATCTTGACCAGAAGAGACTGCGTACCAGTCTATACAGGCATCCTTGGGATGACATCACTTACCTGCTCCCGACTTTGTCGAATACTGGACCCGTCGGTGAAGGCAGAGTAGAGGTTTCGGTGAAATAGATAGACAACTGTTATATTCCGCGGCGTATTTAGAGGTATCGCATTTCAATGCGTTTCTTTTTTCTCCTGATAAATGGGAAGAGTTTTGCTAGATAGTTACGCAGGGGCAGAGATAGCTACTCCAAAAGGTCAGGTCGAGGCTGATTATGAGCGGAGATTTACCATTTAGTTCAGCAGACGCATGGTCAGAGCATGTCTGTAGCATAATACCAAGTCGTAAAACTCATTGTCAGTGTTTTTATTAATATGTACCAAAAAAATTGTGATATTTAAAGAGGCTTTTAATCGAACATGGAGTTGGTCCGTGAATAGTGTTTACATAGCAATACATCCTTGCCCCTTTTCCGATATTTTCTCTTTTAAAAAAGGCGTGATTAATAGAGCATTATCTCCCAGCTTATGTCCCTAGCTTACATAATGCAAGGCAATCGACCATAGGCGGCAGTTGGCAAAACCTCGGGTGGTCCACTTAAAAGTCAGCATTTCAATGTCAGTCAAGCTTCGCAAGGACAACTACAGTCGTTGATATTGACGTTTAATTCGCGTAAGCCCGTGAAGCTTAGTCGGTTTGCAAGCGCCGGGATAGTTGCTTGTAATAAAAAGGTATGTAATATATTCTTCGTCGATGATCCCAGCAACTTTCAAACCTCTCCTCTACTCTAGCGTTCTTCGAAGCTTCCTTAGAAAAAACTTCCAAGACATCAACTAACAAGCACATCAGCAATCTACGCCAGAGCACGACGGGCATCAATCCTCAGGGATAAAATATCCGCTGTACTATTCGAAGAGGCAATTTTATTCCCACCATCTCCACGACCTAATCGTCGACTCGCCCAACTCGATCCATCCACCCACGCGAATAAGAAAGAGCAAGAAAAATAAGATGTCGTACTTTCGCATAACACTTCACCGCTCTGCCATCGGTCTACCAGAACGCACGCGCGGCGTGCTAGCCGCGCTCGGTCTGCGCAAGCGCTCGCAAACCGTATTCCACCCGGTATCCTCGCAGTCGGCGGGTATGATCCTTAAGGTCAAAGAGCTGGTCAAAGTGTCCGAGGTCGACCGCGCGCTTACACCTAAGGAGCTGCGCGAAGAACGAAAGCCGGAACCTGGTTTCTGGATCGAGAAGGCTGTGCCGCGGTGAGGGTTTTTGGGGTTGGTGCGAGGAGCGGCGAGGCATGCTTAAGACGGCAATAGGGAAGAATAGGGTGGCGGAGAGGAAGTTGATATACTGGAAAGTGTGAGGATATGGGTGCCTTTCTAGTAGTAACTTCAGCCAGAATCGTTGCCGGTAAGAGGCAATGTTTCGAGGCCGATTGCTAGAGGATTCGTGGGCTTGCATTACCTACGAACTCAAAGCTATTACCGTTGGTTATCCGTGGTCGAGTCGGAAGGCCTACCGGCATTCAGCTTAATACGGGAGGTCGCTTAGGATTTATGCTATGTACATATAATGTACAATCAATACAGTAAAACATTCACATTCTACTTGCTTGTTTAGGGCCGTTTAGCAGTGATTCTCCCCCTGTTCCTGTTCGTATCTCCAGAGGTCTAACTTTAAAGCCACAACTACCTGACGTAAAGAATCATAATGGCATTACTCGGTAAGATCAAGTAAGCTAATCAATTCATAATGCTAACGTGAGGGGATTCCAAATATAATAATATACCTTTAGGCGATCATATCCGCATATATCAATATTCTTATACCATTAGAGCACAGCTAGTTCAAATCATCTAACTCTTTAACTATCAAATTCTTTTCCTTCAAAATGCTCTCCTGCCCATCATTTCATAACAGGGTCCTGGATCTTCAATTACATCTTCAATACTTTTCATAATAAAATTCCCCCTACAACTTACTAAGTAACTCTTTGTGTAACATATCAGATTACCTCGTCACTCTCCCTACTCAAAGATTGGGTGCCTTTTCCCATCAATAAAGGTTCAAGGTCTCCCGTTAGACATATAGATATTGCTAGAAGTGACTACCAGTGGGCGTTACGCGACTAGCCCCCTAATAGTAATCCACTCGGCTATTTGCCTATCGGAGTCTGTAATAGGGGGGAAGTCGCCAACCAGGTGATGGTCCCATTTAATAGATCAGCTAGCTTATCAAAAGCATAAAAATAGAGGCAACGAATGGGAAGTAACGATTAGGACGCGTCCAAGACGCGCCCAGTATGCGATTGTGAAACCATACGGATTCAAGGATCATATTTGTTCATGTCATGTCACTCTTTATTTCCTCAACCATTTATTAGCTTTCACACATGCCTATAAGATGCCTACTACACGAGCCAAAGCCATCCTCACCAACTTAATTGGATTGGTATATTTGTGATTCCCTAGATTATGGCGACATCGTTGTTATTGGTTATTATTAGGATTACAGGATTATTAGGATCTAGCTATTGTTTATATATGCGTACAATCGCAGGCAGCGACAGCCTCATTACAATGAGTGCCTGAGTCGCTGTTGCTATGGATCCACATATTTGGGAAGTTCTTCCGTATCTTGCGGCTCTGAAACCGGAGCATCGGTCCTTCTCCCGATTGCCAACTTCACCGATCCCGGAGATCGTCCGGATCTCTGCCGGCTCCGTGATCCTTACCTACTTTACAGTCACCTGCCTTCCCCTCCTTACAAACACTCTTTATAACGTTATCTTTCCTTCTTGTTATAATTATTGTCTCTCGTATACACTTACCGGGTCTCTTCTATATACTTATCGGGTCTTTCCTATACATTTACCAGGACTCTCCTATACACTTATCGGGATTCTTCTATACATTTATCCGGACTCCTTTATACACTTACCGGGTCACTCTTATACACTTACCGGGTCACTCCTATACAATTATCGGGACTTTCCTATACACTTATCGGGACTCTCTTATACACTTACCCGGACTTTCCTATACACTTACCGGGTCTTTCCTATATATTTACCGGGTTACTCCTATACACTTATCGGGTCTTTCTTATACACTTACCGAGTCTTTCCTATACACTTATCGGGACTCTTCTATACACTTATCGGGACTCTTCTATACACTTACCCGGACTTTCCTATACACTTACCGGGTCTTTTCTATACACTTATCGGGACTTTCTTATACATTTATCGGGACTCCTTTATACACTTACCCGGACTCCCCTATACACTTACCCGGACTCTTTTATACACTTATCGGGATTACTCAGTCCGGTTAGAAGGTTTCCCCTTATATTACTTTTTGTCAGCAACTTCCTTACTATACTGCTATAGCAATGCCCCTTCCCATCGCCGACCTTCCCACCGCCGACCTTCCTACCGCCGACCTTCCACACCAGCTTCTCCGCCGACCTCCCCGGCGACCTTTCCGGCGACTATATTGGCAACTTCCCCACTACTGGAATCCGGATCCTTCCATTCTTTACCTTCACAAACACTCAAATAATTATTTAATCCTTCCTTTCTTCCTTACCATTCCTCTTCTTTCATAAACATTTCACCATCAAGGACAACACTCTCCCCTTCTTGCATCATATTTTTTCTACAAATACACAGGCTTCTGCTGTGGTATTCTACCATTATTAATAATTTTACTATTTACCTTCCCTAAAATCCATTCCTCACACTATCTATCTTCTACTGGGAAAATATTTCCTAGAGGTGCGTATCACTTTTTTTTCCCTCTTTCTCGCACACATTCATCTCGCACACATCCAAACAACACAATCATCTAACCCTAAGCCCTCGTGGATACAGTGTATCCATGTAGGTATTCTACAAGGTAATATTTACCCGTGACTTGTACCACAAATTGTTTTATTTATTCTCCCATCCTTTCAAATCCTCCCCCTTCCCTCTTCTTCAAACCCTCTGCTGTTCACCTCATCCCACAATTAGAGCCCCGGTATTCCATCACTATTATTTACACTATCACCTTCGCACATAATTATCACCACGATCGTCGTGGCTTACTACTACGTTATTCTAACCTGACTAGGCAATGTCGTTACCTTGGGTTTTCGAGTTGTGTTGCTTGATAGCCTTCAAAACTGGAGTCTTGATAAGTCATCAACTTCGAGCGCAAGAAATAAAATAAAGCGACTTTAAAGAAGTCTGACGGATATTTCGCGCGAATTGTTGCAAGTCACCACAGACCATCTACTCTAAGATAACTACGACATTTCAGTCACTACTAAGAAGCGAGGACCAGAAGTCATACACCTTCACAGCAGAACAAGCCATACTGAAGGTCGAGCCGAGTTAGTGTTGTTGGTTATAGGTACACATGTGACCTGAAATTAGAATGGAGCGCGAGAAGCCGAAGCGCTAGGAGGCGAAAGCCACCAAGAGATAGACCTTCGTCCTGACTGGTTTAAAAGCATGGACAACCAAACGGCAATCGAGGCGGCTATTATCGCTGCACCGGTAGACTTCACAGGTGGAAACCGTATCGCACAAGCTCATCACCATGTCTTGGTGTCACTAATTAAATTAAATTAACCACCAGGTAAGTCCATTGCCGCAATCGAGCGTTGGGATACAGTGACTAACACGGCTATGATTAGCAGCTACATAATCTAAAATAATACACCGCTAAATATGGTTGAGGATTAGGCATGGCCTTCGGCGAGTCCAAAAAACTGTCCTAAGGAGTCTATCTATTCTCCTCCGCGGTCCTTACGCCTCTTTGAAAGGGCTCCCCTAATGGGTGTTCTTTGCCGACAACTCTATAATAAGCGCAGAGCTAGCACTACCCCCATAAATCCAGGCGAGGAGTTGTTCAAGCCTCTCAAGGCGTCGGGAAATCCAACGAACAACAACAAGAACGGCGCCATCATTTCCTCATTATCTTCTTCCACACCATCAACTACTAGTTTAGGTGGCTTGATCTACCCTAGGTGAGTCCAACAATCACACATTGAATCTCATAAGCTAACGCATATCAGTTAATAACAAGCCGCTGCTTAGGTTAAAGGAAATACCTTACGGGGGTTGATCGACCACGGGATGTCATATTCACGAGGTCCATAATGAATACCCTGGACTCGGCTCGACCTCGATATTCAGCTACTTCTTTAAAAGCAAGGCTCTATGATTGTGGTCCTTCCTGAGAGACACAATTCATCCAACATAGGCACCATAAGCATTCACCCTGAAGGAAATACAGTGAAAATACAGCAAAGAAACTCCAATGCGTCATGAGCAATGACGTTAAAAGGCTCTGGCGGTCACCCGTATTAGGCCGACGAAAGGTGTTTGGCGCGGAGAAGATACTATGGCCGGTTTTTTCCCCGGCGCCGGCAGCCGTCTAGGTCATGAAGGAGACAGAGTCGCTTCTGTCCCTATCCTCCGCAAACAGTTTAGTGGGGTACAATACGAAAAAAGAACAACCGCTGCTCCTAGTTTAACATAACTCTAATTTACTCAGAAGTTCCCGAGACGCCTAAGGTCCGGGACACCAAGCTGAATGACAACATCCGGATGATTTTTTGCCGGGAGGATAAGAGACGTCGGTGCAATACCAGCGGCACCGAGTATTCCGAACCGAAGTGGACCAGCCGACTTGGGCGTCTACTTGGGTGGCTAATCATCTTGATGCTTGATGGGTTTTGGCATTAATAGCTGTTGGACCTTAAGCTACGGTTGTTGAATGCTTTTTGTGAAGGGTGAAGGGTACTTTATCCAGCATCCCCCTTCCAGCCATCTGTGCTTTGTAGTAGGTTGTAGAAAGTTCCTGCTGCTCAACTCCCGCCATGACAAGTTCGACAGGCCAAGTGTTAGTGGGCACTCTAAACTCCGCTGAACCACGAATATTGACTGAAAGGACATGTGGTCGGCCATTAGTCTCTGAGAGCACGTCACACGAAGGAAAGCGACTGAAATCTGCCAAGTCTAGTGACTACAGACAGCACTGGCAACGACGACAATCATATCTCCATTCCAACTCATAGTCTGTCGCAGTCCACACAATCCACCAACCCGCTATCCATCTGCAATCCACACCGACGACGAATCGACAAATAGATAAATCCATAATCCACAGCCGACCTGGCTTTAAAAGGATCCGGAGACACTTCCAAGGACACGCCGGAAGTCTCACTGAATAGTCATCGGAATCGACTTCTTCGACCACATCATGTTTACCCACATGGGAACTGTATGTTTCTGGCCAGGGTGGAATATGACTGTTACGATTGAACATAAGTTCGGATGGCGATTTGGAGTCATCTACAAGCTTGTTCCATGTGCAGCCATAGGACCCACGGCCTAAGCACCAAATTTAAGATTTCGGCCAGTTAAAATGTCAGAAACTCGAAGGAAACGTACCCACGAAACTGACCCCCAAGTTCTAGCCCCGAAAGACAAAGAAGAATAGGAAACCGTATCGCACAAGATTTGCATCAGATCATGTCTAACCGAGTTTCATCCCGTACCCGACGCAAAGGCCAGTCTGTGGACTCGATGGGAGTTTTACGTCGCGAGGAACCCAAGTATAACTTGGACGGGCTGTTGACGTGGTATTATAGCCGTATAACGGGAATCCGCTGGTCTGATTCCAGAGATGTGGAACTTGAACTGAACTATCCTGGTAGGACCCCCGAATAACCCCCCCCCCCACCTGTGAAGTCTACATCTGCTCTAGATTCTAGCAAGTCTAACGCGAGATATAACAGAAAACTGTATGGGCAGGCTTTGTCGATTTGCAGAGAAATATGCAGACGAAGACGGGTTTAGTGTATAGCATGATTAGAAGAGCGAGACGTTCATCTGAAGCAGCGGCATGATTAACGCCGAGGGTCAGATCCCGATCCCGATCCCGAATTGGCTCGAGCCATTGTCAAGAGGCTTGTCCGAATGATGGGGTCACTGGAGATTTTCACTGGTATGATGATGATGAGAACGTCAACGTCTATCAGTTGCTATAAGCTAGGTGGCTACAGCGGCGCATCCATGGCGCTTTAGACGTCTAGAGTACTACTCCCTTAAGGGAACAGAGCTAGAGTTTCGCCTGACATGAGAGATCCTCGAGTTCGTATCCCCAGCCCCTACCTGCCTATAGCATTACTCTGCCTGGTTAGCGCCGGCGCCAGGTAGCCGACTTTGATCAAGGGAAAAGCCGTCGAACACGCCTTCTTATAACGGAGATGGAATCACCCTCAGCGCCCAGCAGTGCCCAAGGAAAATCCTGAGTCGGACCGATTTTCACTGGCAAGGTGTCTTTGAAAGCTGAACTTGGACGTTTTTGCCTCACAAAGATCAATCGCGACCACGTATACTTGAAGGGTAGCTGTCAGGGTATAGTGGGTCAGGGTGGCTACAGGGGTCTGTACGAGTATATAAGAGGCGCTTCGCGCCCTCATCAGAGGTTAGAAGGCCAGGCGTTACTAAGTTCAATACAATTACTACTTGGTCTACTACCCTGTACACTCACTCTATGCATGATTCACCTCACTAGGGCATCTAATCCTGACAGTAGCGCTTGTCAAGATAAGGTCAAGTCACTGCAGGACATGAAGGATATCTTGGATAGACATCACGTCCGACCACGGGATGTCATATTCACGAAGATTCTTACAGGGGAAGGCGAGGATGCAAATTATATCGCATTTGCTGAAGAATGCTGAAAGATACGGTATATGAGCTGTAGTTGTATATTGACTTGGTCTACCAACTGTATGAGTGAGGAGGGAGGTCCTTCTTATATATACCTTCCATGCCAACATACCATGTACTGTACCTGAAAGTAGTCCCTTGACCACTCACTTCAACAAAGAAGAAGAAGAAGATGATAATGATAACGTTTACGTCTATTGATCTGCTCTATGCTACCTACGTAGATACAGCGGTGCATCTTTGGCGCTTTAGACGTCTAGAGTACTCCCCAAGGGCAAAGACCGGAAGGAGGATGATCAGTCGCAGGTGATGGCTTCATAAGTAATTAGCGTGCGAACAAATTTGAGAGTACACATTGGATATTATAATAGGCATAAAAGCTTGTACGATAGTGTATATCTTTTGGTCATGACTTCTATGGTTTGATTATTGTTGTGCATGAAACTTCAACTGATCAAATGGAAGGAAATTTGGAGTTGCCAGTTCTCTTCCTATCTTGGTGCTTCAGCGTCGACATCGTTATTATCACCTATACTAGTAGCCGCCTCATTATAACACGCAGCTAAACCCATATTCCCCTAGATAACGTCCAGTTCCGCTATGAGAATTTAAACTCTGGTTTGGTAGGCAAAGTTAGGTACCTAGGTATGCCACTGCGAGCCTCACAACTCCTGATAGTAACTAGGCCAAGTCTCCTACGATCAATAACAAGACAGGAGAAATATCGTATTATATAAGAATCAATGTAGATATGAGAAGAATCAAGACCAGTAACTTGCTTCACAGCATGGACTTAATAATTACGGTAGCCCGGGTTTATTTAGCAGGCAGGAACATATTGCCATGGTACCTAAATCAAGTCAGACGGTCACTTAATGGAGCGCGGCGCTCAAGAGTACCTGAGGTATGTAAGGAAATGCCAATGTACTATTATTATTAAAGGAAAACAAAGTCATCGTAAAAACAAAGTCATCGCAAAATCAAATGCAACCTCGAGCAAAATCAAATGCAACCTCAAAGCATCCGTCCAGACCAATACCGCAAATATCCCTCCTTTATGCTGCAAGTGCATAAATCTTATCTCCTAGGGAACTGTTACATTAGGTGCGTAACCTAGTAAAATGCCCCAGCGGCAAGCTTTTCGCGTTGATCAGAGGAAATCTATTATTCGTACAAGGGGAACCGAAATTATCGTTCCAGAGCCAGAGGCGCCAAAGACAGTGGTGCGGCAAATGGTGTTCCGGTCTTCATCCCTCGAGAAGACAATGCTTGGCGGAATATGCTGTGCTGAATGAAAAGTTGCAAGTAGTAGGAATCACCAATAGAGCCAAATAACCGTCACCAGATTAATCCTTGGCCTTCTGAATATAGTCCTGAGGAGGGGATTCGTAATGGCTGACGAAGTACTTCGTGGTGTTCTTGGACAACCAGGTACAAAACTTGACTAGTTCCTCGCGTAGACGGTTGACCGATTGCTGGTCCATGTTTGTCTGAGCAACAAGCTCCGGCAAGGACACTGTGGGTGATTAGCTTCTAGTCATAGGCTGATGCGAAAAGGATGATTTACCAATCAGGCGCATCAAGTGCTCGGGACCATAGGTATCGCTTGCAGTCTTGCCTTGATACTCGGGATCTTCGGACATCCACTTCTGGTACATTTCTGCGTATTGGGCACGTTCAAATCTATCTATAGTTAGAACAGTGTTCCCAGCTGAAGGAAGCGCAACATACCGATAGAGGAGAATGCGACCAAGGGACTTATCGAAGTAATCTTTCAGGCCTGCTAAGGTCTCTTCAAGAATGTCCACATGAGAGGAGCCGGCAGTGCGCTTCGGGGTCTCATAAGCGGCATAGTCCTCGAGGATCTTCGTCACCGGGTGGGGATGAGGGAGAGGGACGAGTTGGTTGTTCTTTGTGATGTTCTCCCAATCATCAACAAGCATCGCCTTCAGGATGTCAGGAACAAAAAGCTTGATGGAAGGTCTGGAGTGAAATGCGTCCTCCTAGAAAAAAAAAATAGAGTTAGCATCAAGACTTCTGGTAATATTAGGCAAGTAGTTCTAGATTTACGGAATCATCAAGGAGGGTAGCATAAGACTTGTCTGGGGCCGGTATCCCAGCTGTAGGTATTTTCACGTTGTGGGGCATTCCTCGGTACCAGCGCTCCTTCTCGCGGGTCATTGTGCCGTTCTTTTCTGCTTCCAGGATTTTGGGATGATCGGGGACAGGAGGAAGAGATTTGAAACGGCCGTCGTCAACGAGTTGGCCTTTCTTGTTGACGTAGTTGAAATTAGGAGGAGGCAATCGAAGAAGGAAATCCGCTGCCTCTCCTCCACGAGCGAGCCGCTGTTCTTTCTGCATGAAGGCTTTTTGGCGTTTTTCAACATCCTTCTCCGCGACTGATAAACCAGACGAAGACATCGTCAATGCGGGTAAGGAAGCTTTCGAAGAGGTACCGGTGGCGACTGAGAGCTTTTTGGAATTGGTTTTGGTTGATCGCACAGGGCAGTTTGCTTCTAGCGCAGTAGAGGATTGTTTTTCAAGTACCTTTTCAGATCCAACAAGCTTCTTAGGAACAATTTTAAGCTTGATCTTAGGTGCCTTCTTGCTATGAGATGTTTCGTTGGGTTTGGGATTCGATATGGTAGGAGGCAGAGATGGTGTGGACATTGCAGTAGAGGCGAGTGCAGGGTCCACAGCAGCAAGGTCTTGGTCAGTTGTTGCCATTTTGTCATCAGAGGCAGCGGGCTTTGGTAGCAGAGTTGCTGCCGTCTGGGCTGCCGTCTGGCTACGAGTTCGCTTGCGCGGGGGCTCGTAATCGTTAATCGAAACTACACGCTTCTTCTTTCTGGACTCCATCATTGCTACCCAGGGGGTGACGTGACCGAATGAAGCAAGAAGATCGTTAAAGGCGAAGGCGAAGGCGAGCGATTTGTCGCGGAGAAATATAGTTAGATTTCGACAACACGAAACCGAACTGTTCCAAACTCACGTAGGTATCGTGGTAATAGTGCCCGTGCGGTGAATAGAGGAGAAAAAACTTTGTCAAGTGTGTGCCCGGCAACGCGTGCATGCGAGAAACCCTTCTTCCCGGACGCAGGCAGTTGGTGATTACGCCCCTCAATCGTAATTGTGCTCTTTCCCTGCATGAATAAAGTCGAGACGGCCGCCAGCCGCCGCCAGACGTGCCTCAATCTTGACCAGCAACGTGGATAGAATAACTAGGTACTATCCGGTACATGCTGCGCGACGACGCCTAGTTTAACAGCTCTGGCCCGAGTGACGAAGACCTCGGTGTGTATTCCATCAACCGACCACCCGACCACAGACAAGTCCTCGCGGAGAATGTTGCGCAACTACTAGTACCTATTTATTATGGTAATGTCCGAATCTATTGGGTTGCAAGCCGTAGTCACATTTTGCTTGACCATGACCATGACCATGGAATTACTTTAACGAACGGTACCGTGACCATGACCAAGGTAGGCTTAGATAAAGGGCTATTCCTGACGACGCATCTTATGTTCCTTATGTTCCTTGATGGAGTATATGTGGCCCCTATTTCTCGTAGGCAAGCGGTGTTGATCAAGGAATAGGAAGACTGATGCCAAACCGAAGACATATAAAGCTTACATTCTCCAGGGCCCAATACGGTATGGCATAAAGGAGACAATATTAATAAAAATGGTTAACTTACGTTTTCAAGTTCGTAGTCCCTGCCTCGTCGGGGACCTCTGCCAAAGCTTGAGGATCCGGCAGCACGCTCTTCACTACCTCGAGCAGAGCTCATCTCGGAACCGTTAGCTCTGATACCCTTCTTTCCTCCCTTGGAGCTAGAACTTCGCATTCGGGCCTGAGCCTCTAGCTGACTAGCTAGCTGCTTGTTATCTTCGGTGAACTTGCGGATGCGGTCCTGCGAAACCCAGTCGTCCCAGCTCGCCTTCCATCCTTTGTAGTGGATACGGTACTGAGCATCCTCAGGCTTCTGACCTGGCTTCACAACCACCTCCATAATCTTAGCCTCGTACATCAAATCACCGTGAAAACAGAGCACTCTCTCATCTTTGGCGTAAGGAGGGGCCTGGTTCTGTCTTGATGGAGCCATAGCCGACCGATGTATTCACCCTGAAAGATGATAGACGAATAGGCGATGGATGATGGATGATGAAAGGGGCTTGCTTTATGGCGAAGCTGTCTACTCATAAAGAAAGGCTCGAAATGGTAAGTGTTATTAACTAACGTGAGGAAGAGTGATGAATAATAAATAAAGTTATGTATTTGAAAAGAATGGTGCTGAAAGAGAAAGCTATGAAAGTTGCTTAGCGCCGATCTTATTACCATGAAGTTGAGGGAAGGTAGGTACTATCAAAAGATTGCTAACCTAGGTATTACCCTATCACCCTATCACCCTATCGCTCCTGACGCCAAAAGCTCGGACGCGTTTTCTAACGCGCGTTGCTTTAAAGTGATTTTCCCCAATTCACACCCCGGTGCGCAAACATTATTCCGGCCATTCTTCCCGAATTAATAGAAATTCCATTAATGGAACCGGACGCAATCAATTCTCTTCTTTATGCGTAGTAGTTTAAGCTTTTTATTTTTATTTTTATTTTTTTAGCCATGGCAACGAATGAGGCCACAATTTTGCGCAACTATCTACTCCTCCCGGCCCGCCTACCTACGATCATCTCCTTACAAGAATTCACCTCTCTCTTCCCTAAATCTCAACAATCTTCTCCACAAATCCGGTCGCTCTATAGAGATCTACAGCAGCAGCGTAACGCAGTAGTAGATGGCGTATCCCAGAATATCGAGGCTCAGGTCAAGCAAGGTAAAGCTTTACGTCGAGAGGTGATCAAGGCTCGAAGAGAAGCCGAGCTAGAGGAACAAGATGACGAGATTGAAATTGAACGAATGGTAAATCATCCTACCTCATACTAAGTGGAAACACCATCTCTAATTCAATTACAGCTATTCGGACCTACTTCCAATACCATACAGCCGAAGCAACATACTCTAATGACTATTCTACCCGCGATGGACGATGCCATCACTGATATGGAACATGAGATACAAGCAATGGAGCAGGAGGAGACCGCCCTCCTTGAGTCTACTAGACAAGCCGTCGGCAACATGAGCGACCTCCGGTATGGTCGTTTTGTCAATCCCAAATTAAAAGACGAAGTCCTAGATGGCCTTCGACGCATGCAAGATGTGTGTGAACACAAGACGTAAATCACGATACATTCCGATTTATTAGATCACTACCTCCTATGTGACCCCGACCCAATGATACACAATGCTTATAACGAAGCTTGAGTTGCATCCCAACATGACCACAGCTAGTTTTAGAGCGAGTGTCCAATATATAAACCACAAATTACCATTATCTTCGGGGAGCAGCTTGGCCGGCTGCAGGAGGTCGTCGGCCACCATCCATTTGTTGGTTCAAGCGGTTGCTCCTGTACTATTATCAGTCACTTGTTCTATACCACGGGGCTTGAATAACTCACATCATGCTCCTGCTGAAAATAGAAACAAGGATCATAAACGCCCAGCTAGGGAGGATGTTAAAAGCCCAGAGAACCCATCCAACTGGAGCTGCAAGGCCATTCTTGGCTAGAGGGCCGTTAAAAGGATGGAAGAAGCCATCATGCAAATGGGCTGCGGATTTGTAGCCCTCCTTCTGCAGTTCGATAATGTCATCGGAGGTGACGGTTGTCATGTTGAATCGCTTCGTCCAGATGTTAACAGGCGCTGGTTTGGGAAGTATCTCGAAGATCCACAGCGCGCCGGCCGGGGCGGACCAGGAGTTGCAAAGGACGGGTTGATCTTCGCAGTTCAGGAGAGCGGCATGAGGAGAACCTGGTGTCTCAGCCCACTTCGCAGCAGTCTCGTTGAACGCAGTCTCGATCCTTCCACAGTGGCCTAGTTAATGTTAGGGGTGATGTTTGAGTTTTGGATCAAAATGACAAGAGGAAATGCTCACCAAAGCAAGTCTTGTTTCCGCCTGTGATCAGAACCCACCACTCCTCTGGAGTTGTGGCGTCTGGCTTTACGGGCCCATAAAGGGTTTCATTCCAGTTATTCAAAGACAGAATATCTATATTCAAGTCGCCAGCTTTAGCTTCAGCAGCAGCGGCAGGATCATACTTGTTAGGATGAGGAATCTTGGAGGTGAATTTTCCCAAAACGCTTTGGGCCTGGCCCAAATAGTTATCAAACTGAGCTTTATAGTCGGGGGTATCTGCGGCTGCTAATAGCGGCAAGCCGAGAATAGCTGAGGCGGTAGAGAATCGCATTTTGCTTGCAATTTGTGAAATACAAAATATGGTAAAGTAGGGGTCAAGCTTCAAGTCTTCAAGTCTTCAAGTTGCTGGTGGATAGCTCGGGATCGGGTCAAGCCACAACGGGTCGGAAAAAATGATGTAATTTTCTGTAATTTTCTCTTCTCCAGCACGGCAGGGCCAAGTAAAAATCAATGGAAGGAATTGAAAGATGCAGAATAAACCCCTAGAATAAGGATATAGTAATGAGGCAGAATCTCGAAATTACAACGGCCAGCTGTCTTGAACTGGTAAAAGAGGAAGTGCAGAATCCAGAATCTATAAGGGTAGAGTCTATCCAACTGGAGAGTTGCAGAAGAAAATAAAATCTGTCGAGTAACGGATTGTCTAGGGTCCTAGGACGCTGTTCGGTCTTTCCAACAGCTACTTCCCCGGATAGCTAAGCTAGATGATATGACAACATCCTTCCCTGCTTCCCTACATTTTCTTGCCAAGCTTACCATATCCACCTCTAGCAGTGCATTGTTTTGTTGACTGGAGCGCTAAATCCCACTCTAGGGTAATCCCTGTTAGCACTGAGCCCCGCATGCTCTGTGGCACAAGAAGTACCTAACCGTAACATTCGATAGGTACCTACAGTACCTATTCCGTACACGACCATCAAGCCACCGTGTTGATGCGATAAGAAGAATACGTCAATCACGATAAGATAGGTAGGAAGTACATCCTATTATTGGTGAAGTAGAAGCAACAAGCAATACTTCTCCCAATAGAGCAGTAACAAATAAATACTTAAGAATATGGTTAGTTCATATCAATTCACCTCCAATTTCAAGTTAACATAATATAATAATGACAAGGCACCCGAAACTGCGAATCAGAAACGCAAGCGAGGCCGTCCGACCAACGTGTCGCGCGACGACGGTGACGCGTCAGGATCCCAACTCGCCATTTCGAGAGAAGGCCAGTTAACTACAAATTCCGGAAACACGAGAGATTCGGAAATGGAAGAATCATCCCGTCCCAGGAAGCGCGGACGTCCAGCCAACGCGGAGATTCCGTCTCAAGCACAACCCGAACCTAAACCTTCTCAAACACAGAAAGCCAAGAGGAAGCGTGGGCCATCGCCAACATTACAAACTGATGATAATGGAGATGAAGGAGGTGAAGACCAGGGGAAACTACCTACTGATCGAAAAAAACGCGGTCGTCCTCGAGCTTCATTAACGAATGACGAGACCGAGGCTCAAGAACATAACGCAGCAAATACAAGGGATGAAAATGCATCTCGAAGCAAGCGCGGTCGCCCAACGAAAGAGTTGGAAGCAGCTAAGAGCAACGAAGTCGAAGATGATGAGGCCGATGATGAGAACGAGGGTAACTCGAGCCTTCTTCGACGGAGTGGACGCATTCGCCGATCTCCAGAGTCATCAAATAAAGGGGCCCAAGAGGTAGCAAAGCCAGCCAACGAGCAGAGGTTACGCGACCAAATAACTAATAAACGCCAAAAGAAAGGACGTCCTCCTACAAATGAACAAACTACAGCTGAAGCAGAACATGACCCTACTTCCCTGCATAAGAAGAAGAGAGGCCGACCTTCTCTCAGCATTCAACCCCCAGCAGAAGCCGACCCTGAACCCCAAGGTCGGCCAAAGAAGCGTGGTCGACAACCACCACCTGACGAGAACGCTTCATCATCTACGAAAAGAAAAGGAAAGAAACCCCAAGACCAGCCAACACAAGGCCAAGACGGTTCTATAGAGGAAGAGAGCCGCCCTAGAAAATCCAAACCCCGTCAATCTAATAAGACATCACCAAAATCAGGGAGACGTAGACCATCTCCCGACGTACAAGACCGTTCATCATCACCTGATTCAGCTACCTCTCCGCCCCGTTATCGACACCTCGCAACGCGCACGCGCCGTGTCCCTCTCAACATCATCGAGTCTAAATGGACAGCGCTCGAGCAGCCAGCTCTTTCCAGCGTAGCTTCGCTCCTCCAGTCAGCATCGCGGCCTGTGCTTCTACGTCTCAGCAATCCTCAGCGGCACGGCCACGCCGCCGCGGCTCTCAATGCCGTAAGCAAACGGCTTTGTACCAAGATCGCGCGAGGCCTACCGTTCCCACCGGCTACCACGTCGACCCGGCGTGAAGAGGAATTCGAGTTCGAGCGCACCGTCTCAGGTATCCAGGCTCTTGAGTCACAGCTCGATCCGCTGCTTCATAGTGTTGAGCTGTTGCGCCGCGAGAAGGAACGCGCCGAGAAGGAGCTTGACCGCGAGTATAAGGCGCTCGCCCGGCTCGGCTCCAATGCGCACGCCGAGGCTAGGGAGAGAAGGGATCAGATGCGGAAGATGCATGTCCTAGTACCGGAAAAGCTACCGCCCGAGTCGAGGGTTGACTCGGTCGGGGAGGTTGTGTCTACAGAGAATAGTAGCGGTAAAGTGTTCGCTGATCTGGACGACGAGCTAGCTGGCCTAGCCGGCCAGATCGCGAACCATATGGAAAGCATGCGAGGGAACTTACAGCAGATCGATGGGGTTGTGCCCGCCATTACGAAGAGCCAGGGCCTGCTGAGGGCTGCACTACAGTCGCGGTTGGATCGTGAGCAGTTGGATAATATCATACTTGGCTAGCTATAGAAGTGTCTAGGTAATAATGACCCAACTGACAAAGAACAACAAGTCCTACCTTATATGGACGTGAATAGGCCGAGTGTGTAAATTAAGGATCCGGAATGTTTCCCATTGTTAAAGACTTAGGTAGGTACTTAGTAGGGCACATTGCGTCAAGTCACATTACTTGCCTCAATACATCAACTGTTAGGTCTTTGTCGAGGGTCTAAAGGGGCCAAGAATCGCATTCACATACACACCTTCTCTTTAACAAATTACAATCCCTTGTGACAGTCAATGAGCTGGACCCTTAATATTACATTGAAAGGGCATGTTGACGCTTCTCTGATATGATAATAGCTTGTTTTGAAACAAACAGATCCCACGGCCATTGACTATCAGGAGGAAGGCTTGTGAAGGAAAGTATAAGTAATTAGCAGTTAGAGACGTAGAAAATTATTATCCATTAACTCAAACGCATCAATTCCTTTACTCACTTCGATCTACTTTCACTATCGAACGTACGTATATTTATAAATTCTCGTACATATCTATTAAACTGAAGTATATAATTACTTGCACTACCAAACTAATAATATATCATCATGGACCCCAACGCATTATCACCAGAGCTCCGAGAGAAAATCCAATGGGCCGGGAACGGTGTGTTGACGTATCGTGATGCGTACAACAAAATGGAAAACCCACCACAACCGCAGCACGGGTACGGAGCACCTCCGGTGGATTACAATCCATACGGGAATGGCGCCTGGGCCGCTGGTCCTAGTAACGCGTATGAGCAGTCTCAATACGCCCCCAGCACTGCGTACTATCCCCAGTCATCAGCCTACCAAGAGACTGTGTATGAAGCCGAGTCCGAAGTCGGGTCCGAGCAGGACACGGTCCGGGGTACCAATACTAATGGATCTCGGACACTCGTTGGGGGCAGCCAGAGCCGAGCCGGAAGTCGACAGTCAAGCCGAGCGCCTTCATCTTCACGGCCAAGGGGACCGCCCAGCCAATCATCATGGAGGCCGCCCTTCGCCTCCCAGTTTGGGAGTGATCAGGGCTCCGTCGCCTCCCCGAGCCGAACAGAGACGATTACTCTGCCACTAACAAGGGCCAACCTAAGTGCCTTGTCAAATGCGTCCCAGCGCATGTACCCGACACCGTCGCAGCTGTACAATATGTCGCCAGCACATTCGCCGAGCCCAGTCCCGCGCGGCGATACGCGTCAATACCGCGACCAAGCGAGCTCCCTGGGCCCTAGGAGGCAGAGTCGTCGACAAAGTACCACGGACAGTGAATCCGGCGGGGCCCCCCTCTGGCCTTCGGGGTCGAGGAGACGTGGTGCTTAGATGATTGCTTAGATATATATATATATATATATAATAAGTGATAGACCTCCCAAGTCGAGCGGCTCTAAAGGGGGGCGAGTGTGTAGTAAGTAATAACAAGTAATACTAGTAATAGAAATAATAAAACAATTATGACAAACACTATAGAGACGAAGACAAATAACGTCCGTCTATAATAGTTTTAGAGAATAAGCCGTGATGTAATACCTAGACCAAGTTGTAGGCAGTGATAGAAAAACACAAAGCGTGATTCCAGGCGTTTATCTTCGAGTTGTACCCGAGTGTCTCGGCCCCTTTATAAAATAACCACCAGGTAACATCGTTGAAGCGACCCGTTGCGAGTCTACAGGCTAGAGTTGAGGTGCTGGCCATGACGAACTCGAAATGTCCCCTTAGAAAGATTTAAGCCAGCGCGTGTAAGACTTAGCGGGAAAAAAAACCCTTGCTCCGCTGTCGACGGGTGTACTCGGGTTAGAACCTGTGTTATATTATCAAACCACCAAGCTAGTGATTAGGATGCCGGTTGCTTCGGACATGATATAGTTGGCGTCCAGGGCGGCGTTTATGGGCCAGCTAACCTAGTTATTGATAGGTGGATGAAAGAAAGCCCCGGGTGTCTCTTCTACATTTCAGCCGCGCATAACGGATCCCCTAACCTCCTTCATGGTGCTAGAGGATGCAGACTACCTCGGCACAAAGTACATATAGCGAGCGAGTCGAAATATTATTCCAGCCGATAAATGGTAGTACTACAAGAGTTGCTTCCGTGTAGTTGTATAGAAATAGAATAAATATCGGGATATTATCTAGGTAGGAAATGTAGAACGAAAAATATCTTCAGTATGTACCTAATGTATGGTCATTGACTTAGCTTAGACCAAGAGTTCTTCGGGGAACAGCGACGTTATTCTCATCCCTTTTAGGCCTATCGTACATGGCGATGGGGTCGGTTATAAAATTGCCAAGTTCAGTATGCCAGCCAACACGGCATGTATTTGGAGTAGTTTTCAAAATAGGTGTTCTATTGATAGTGATTCGACAAAGTGTGAGTACGTAACACGATGAACCTAGGATAAACTGGACTATAGTATTGGTGTTGAAGCTATTGTGATATATATCCTCCTTGATTAGACCACCAGAAGGTTTCGGTATTTATATGATATACTAGCCGGAGTGGCATGGTTATAAGGCAGATGTTAGCTAGACTGGGAGGAATACCACGCTTTTCTACCCGGGAACATAAGAAACAGATCCGGATCAGTAAGACAGCAGTGACAAGATATATTGTGAAATCGTAGATGTGACATCACACCTCAAATGACATGTCATATTCACTAAACACCGCGCAAGTGTACATGGTTCTAAAATGGATCATAATATATATCATAATCTCACATACTGCATAAAACAATGACAATATGTCAGACAAACGGAAGCTCCATATATCTCCATTCAAATGGTTTCATCTACACACTACACTAAATACACAAGAATATAATGAAGGCGGCATATGGCCTCTCAACACGCGCACTGTCAGCAGTGCACGGCGAGCTCCTAGTAGATAGCCGAAGGTACCAACCAGCCTTCTTCCCACGTTCCTGGCGACCTGACCGGAAGCGGGGATTTAAGAATCAGCCAAGACCGCGTAATCCAAGACACTTTCTTGCAAAATCTGACCCAAAAAAAAATAGGAAAATGCTTGCTCTATTTCATCTGCGCCTTGAATCGGCGCTTCAAAAACGTGTCGTGCAGTCGTCCCTCGTCATGTTTGTTATGCTACAGTTCGGGTTATTGTAATTACAGAGCAGAACGCGCATCGATTTTTTTAATCGATTTACCGGAGGACGACGGTGGGGATGGCAGTGCCGGTTGGGTAACTGGGGGCAGAGCCAGTGCCGATGGGGACACTAGGCGCAGAGCCAGTACCAATGGGAACACTGGGTGCGGAACCAGTAGGGAAGACAGGTGCAGTTCCGTTACCGCTGCCAGTAGGGTAGGGGACGACAATGGCGGTGGCAGTAGCAGTAACGACACCAGTCTCGCTCTCCTCAGGAGTGCACTCATCCTCATCATCGCCCTCGCCTTCACCCTCACCGCTGCCGGTCGAGGGGGTGCTAGTGGTAGCAGCAGCAGACTCGGAGGCAGAGACAGGGGTAGAGGCAGAGGCAGACTCGGTGACGGCCTCAACAGCAGTGGTCTCAGCAGCAGGGGCGGTGATGTAAACGGTGCTGGCGGGTTGGGTCTCGGTGACGGTAACAGTGGTGGCAACACACTCACCAGCGCTGCTGCCGCTGCCGCTGCCGTTGCCGTTGCCGTTGCCGCTGGCGCTGGCGCTGGCGCTGACGCTGCCGGAACCGTTACCAGAGCCAGTCTCAGCCGCGACGGCAGTAGTGGTCTCGACAGGAGTAACGGTGACAGTGCGAGTACCAGTGGAAGTGCGGGTCGTGGTGGTAGTAGCCTCGCTGCTCACATCGGAGGCAGAGCCAGAGCCAGAGCCGTTACCATTGCCGTTACCGCTGGCCGAGCTAGATTCGGGGATAGGAACAGCAGTAAGGGTAACCATCTGAGTGAGAGTGGACTTTAGGGTAGTGACCAGAACGGATCGAGAGCTCTCAGGGCCGACAGTGATGCTGACGGTCTGGTCAACGGTGCTGAGAGAAGGGACTACAGAAACACCGGCACCAACGCTGGGCTGGGTAGCCTCAGGAGAGTTGCCGCTGGTGGTGCTGGTAGGGGCGGGAGTAGAAGTGACGGTGCGGGTGGAGCCGGAGATGAGACCGCTGCTGTGAGCACCAACTAGAGAACTGGAAACAGACTCGATAGCAGTCACGGGGCAGACGGTGGTAGTAAGGTCGATGACCTCGGTGACGACGGCGGGGCCGGTGCTGTTGCCGTTGCCAGTGGCGGCCGGGCAGTTCGTCACAGTAGGAGCACACGAGGTAATGGTGTGGACGGTGGTAATGGCGACGGTTAGGGTAGTTGAAGCGTCCACGGGGGTTGAGGATTCCACAGGGTACCCGGAAGCGGTATCATTTCGTCGCCAGTGGAAATGACGGGGTTGGTGGTAAGAAGCCGAGGCCATACCGGCGAAGAGGCCGAAAGCTACAGTTGCGGACTTCATCTTGATATTTATTTGCGGTTTACGATTGTCTAGATGTGCTTGACAAAAGTTGTTCTAGTCTGATCTCGCAGAGTATATACTTCGTTGCTGTCGAAAGAGTGGACGTATGCAATAAGCAATGCGGGTATCAATGAGCGAAAGTCTATTTCGCGTAGAAAAGGACCAGGGGGGTGACCGACGACGTCGAAGAGAAAAGAGAGGCTTGAGATAGACTCGAAACGAGAGTAACACGCAGATGGTGAGGAAAGAAAGGGAGAAAGGAAAGACACTTGACGATGATGGAGGGTGGTGAGCCTTTTTACACTACCCGTATCTCACTAGGTACTGTGTGTACAGGTCCTACAGGACCGACTCCTTACCTTGGCGGCTAGCGTGAAGAAGCCCGGGGAGACAAGTCTTTCAACCAAGCATACCCAGGCATAACCCGACACACCCAGCATACCCTAGCCCCGTCATGTTGATGTTGATGATGAGTTCGACCTATTAGGGAGGACCATTTGGACCCACAGGATGATGATGGACCTGGTAAAAGTGGTAAAATGTCGTTAGGGACCGGGGATGGGGGGGTCGAGGGGGGGGAGGTGACAGGGCGGAAAAGAGAAGGACAAGCAGCTTGAGCAAGTTGAGCAAGGGAGGGAAAATAGGAAAAAGCCGTCGCTCTTCCTGTGCCACTTGTGCCCCTGAGCCCCACGCACCATTATCGTGACCCCTGTCAGTTACATAAAAACGCAGGTACAACATGGTGAAACCGGCAAAGAAACCAATAAGAATTACGGAATCATAACTAGCTGAGGCTTCAGTACATACACTGCATAGTAGCTAGCCATGAGCCCGTAAAGCCTTACGTACGCAGTTTGTGCAACAATGACGACGCAGAATGGCGCACTGCATGATTCTTTTTTTACTAGGTAAGATTTGTTGTAGATGTCTTCAGGTACATCATCTGATCGTGGTTTGGTAAAAGTTGGGACGAGATTAAGACGTTTTGCCGTTTGAATATTTGAATAGTGTAGGTATTTTTGGCGATCGACAGGCACATCTTCGATTAGCTTAATGATCTGCGATGTAAGCGCCGCGCCAGTAACGCCATCAGATAATATAAACTCATCTTGATCTCTTGGTCTTTATCTTTAACTATTTTTTTTTTCTCTTTTCGTTGGCGTTGGCGAAGCACATTATCGGTACCTACATGTATTACCTAAATGTATTAACGATTCGGCTCATATGCGCTGCGACCATCCTTGGAATACACTATGTACTTCCTTAGACACGTGGAATACAGCTGCAGTTAGCAAGCATAGATCATAAAGTTCCAATATCATGCTGTAAGACTAAAAAAAACGCTGTGTTGTAAGACGGGCCTGCACAGAGCCGCGAATAGTAAATTCCAGAATACGGTCCCGCGAAACGATGCGCAAACCCATAAACAAGCGACGCAACACGGGTTGAGACTCCCGCATTTTCCTGGCGGACAAAGAGCGATCGATGTCTGTCCCGTCTGTCCCATCTTTCTTCGTAAGTTAAGCGGTGCCGAGGAGACGAATTATGCAGGGAGGGCTAGTCGTGACACGCTCGGCGCATTCCAGCTCGGTTTCCAGCTCAGTAGTGCATCAAAGGGCGGCTCGCAAAATCGCATTCAATCGCATTTAATCTCGAGCCGGGGGTATCAAGGGATGATTCGACTATGCGACGGTCTTTGACTTCTAGACCACACGCTAGACCGCACGCTCATCAAAGAATCTCAAACAAGCCCCTTGGCGCCACGCCTGTCCTTGTAATATCTAAGAGCGGTAAGGTTTTTGTAGAATCTTCCACGAACCTCGTCGCCATTTTTTATCTTTCTTTGCGAGAAAAACAACCGTATACCTACCATACTCTGTGTAGGATCAGTTGCTGATGAAGTCCTAGAGTAAAGATCCCTTCCTTTCCATGTGGTAGCCGACGTCAATTAACCGTCGACCTGCCCAATTCACTCTTTAATTACGGTCTTCCAGAGATCTAGCATTCGCTTAGTCTTTTTGGTTGGTCCGTGCTAACAGGGTCTTTTGAGTGCGTAGGGTCCCAATCCTTCAATTAACGACGCAGCGAAGGTTCCCGGAGGTTACCTCATTAAGATTGGTGAAATTATCAGCAGCTGAATTCAGAAATATGTGCGGGGACTAGGATAAGGCTGGCTCAAAATCAGGAAATTCGGGAAAATAAAGGAAAAGGAGCCACTTGGGTGGATCTCTCATTACTCTTATTACTAAAACACCGCCGAACAATATTATGAGAACAATATTATGAAGAAAAAGGGGCTGACTTGCTGTTTCACCAATTCGGCAACTGGATTATTATTCGTCATCATACGGAATACCGTATACGCAGAAGCTGTCATTTCCTCATCAAGCCCAGTTCGGCAGAAACCAAAAAGGAAAACAGAAAATTAAAGAAAAGGAACAATCTATTGAGAGCCTTCCTTGAGAGTCGTCGGTAATTACCTCACATATATCTGCATGCGCATGGCGTAACGCGTTAACGAGCCAATAAGACTCCAAATTCGAAATTCCCATGATGCTCGCCTCGGTCCGGTGCTACATCGTAAACTTTACACTACTAGCACCGTCTCTACAAGTCTAATTAGCATACGCGGATAAGTTACAGTTCACCTTCAATTTTCACTTTAGCATAATTCGGACCAGAAAAATATTGTTTGAGGAAGACTCAATTCTTCCCGAAAGCATCACCCAGTTGAATTGGGATACTTGCTCACACATCTACATCTGATCGCAAAAGCGATCCTTTCTGCACGGAGCAGACTAAATGCAAGAACGCCACTTACTCCCCAGGCCCGGTTGATGGACCATGTGGTATAATTCTTTCCCGCCCTTTATATGCCTGCCTAATGTTGAATACTTCCGAATCCCGCCAATCATTCCTGTAGAACTTTTCTGGTATAGATCCTTTGAGAACCCAGTCCTGTAAAACGCCGATGTTGAAATCGATTATGCAGTTCCCAATGGAAATTTTTTTTAGCAGGCAACTCCTCACATCCTCATGCAATTATCATCAATTCTCGTAAAAATGGAACGCCAACCTCCTCATGTGAGAGGCAATCATTTAGCATACTTGGCGCGGAAGAACTTGGCTGCGTTGACCATGTTAACCAACGCCTCCTTGGTCTCCTTCCACTGGCGGGTCTTAAGACCACAGTCGGGGTTGATCCAGAGCTGCTCAGGCTTAAGGTACTGAAGCATCTCTTCGATACGGTCCTTGATCTCCTGCTCGCTGGGAACGCGCGGGGAGTGGATGTCGTAGACACCGGGACCAATGTGACGGGGGTAAGCCTCGTCGACGAAAACGCCCAAAAGCTTTGAGTCGGACTTGCTGTTTTCAATAGACAGCACGTCGGCGTCAAGAGCGGCGATGGCGTGGAAGAAGTCTTGGAACTCAGAGTAGCAGAAATGCGAGTGGATCTGAGTCGAATCCTCGACACCGACGGTAGAGAGCCTGAAGGCCTTGACGGCCCAGTCAAGGTAAGCCTGGCGCTCCTTGCCAGCTCGGAGAGGTAGACCCTCACGAAGAGCAGGCTCGTCAACCTGGATGACATCAATGCCAGCCTTCTCGAGGTCAACAACCTCGTCACGGAGGGCTAGAGCAAGTTGCTCGGCCTGGACGGACTGGTGAACGTCATCACGAGGGAAAGACCATCTCAAGCAGGTAACGGGGCCAGTCAACATGCCCTTCATGGGCTTCTTTGAGACAGACACGGCGTACTTGGACTCCTTGACGGTCATGGGGGCCGGGCGAGAGATATCACCAACGATAATAGGAGGTCTCACACATCGAGAACCGTAGCTCTGGACCCAAGCGTGCGTGGTGAAGGCATAACCGTCCAAACGCTCACCGAAGTACTGAACCATGTCGTTTCGCTCAGGCTCACCGTGGACGTAGACATCTAGGTCGAGCTCGTCCTGGATCTTGACGTTGGAGTCAATTTCCTGCTCAATGAACTTGTCATATTGAGCTTCCGTGATCTCTCCCTTGGTGAACTTGTTTCGTTGCACTCTAATTTCCTTGGTCTGGGGGAAAGAACCGATGGTTGTAGTGGGGAAGAGAGGAAGGTTGAGCTTCTTTTGCTGCTGCGAAATTCGGGACGGGAACTCAGACTTTCGGTTGTAGTCCGAGGGGGCAATCTTGGATTGCCTTTCCTTGACTTGAGGGTTGTTTGTTCGCTTGGAGGTAGCGCGAGCATGTAAAGACTTGGCGTTAGCCTCAAGAGCCTCTCGGACAGAAGCAGGTCCCTCGGTAACGGCCTTAGCAATGATGGCAATCTCAACAGCCTTCTCGGAGGCGAAAGAGAACCAGTCGGCAATTTCAGGGTCCAGCTTCTTCTCGCTGGCGAGCGTGTGGGGAGTGTGGAGGAGAGAGCTGGAGGTGGCAACGATGACGCGGTCCTTGCCAAGCTTCTGGATGGCAGTCTCGGCAATTTCAATTGCACGCTTTAGGTTGGTCTTCCAGATGTTTCGGCCATCGACAACACCGACAGAAAGGGCAGTCTTGGGTCCAAGAGCACCAAGGACAGTCTCAAGCTGTTCAGGGTTGCGGACAAGGTCAATGTGGACGGCGTAGACATCCTTGGGGAGGAGGTCAATGTTGTGGACGATGTCACCAAAGTAGGTGGTGAAGACCAGGCTGGGGATCTTAGCAGCCACGCTAGCGAACTTCTCGTAGGCAGGCTTGAAAGCAGCCTTAGTCTTGGCAGGTAGGTCAAAGACGAGGACAGGCTCGTCAATCTGGACAGTCTCGGCACCAGCTTCCTTCAGCTTAACGAGGAGCTCTTCATAAACAGGTAGAAGCTTGTCAAGAAGGTCAATGGGGTTGACGCTCTGGCCACGGTCGGCCTTGCCCAGGTGGAGGAAGGACACGGGACCGAGCAGTACGGGGCGGGTGTTAATACCGGCCTCCTTAGCCTCGAGGAACTCAACAACGGCCTTGGGGTTGGCGGTGAGCTTGAAGGTCTGGTTGTCTTGCAGGGTAGGCTTGACGTAGTGGTAGTTGGAGTCAAACCATTTGACCATTTCTAAGCTGGGAACATCGACACCACCCTTCTGGTGACCACGGCCCATGGCAAAGTATTCATCGACGCGGTCGAGGCCAGCGTTGGAGTATCGCTCAGGGACGGCCTGCGGAATTTCATATTAGCTAATGTGTAATAGGTAGCGGTCAAGAATTTTGGTTGGTAACTTACACCAAAGTCTTGGATGTGAGAAAGGACATGGTCGTAGAGAGCAAAGTCGTTGCTAGGGATGACGTCTACACCGGCATCCTTCTGGATCTTCCAGTGGGCAAGACGAAGACGCTTGGCCTCAGCGAGGAGGTCAGCTTGGGAGAGGTTGCCAGCCCAGTCTTAGAGATGGTTAGTAACGCAATCTTGGGCAGCATTATCCAGTACGGCTGGAAAGGCCGGTCAGAGCAACTTACAAGCTTCAGTTGCCTTCTTCAGGTCACGGTTCACACCCATACGGGGGAAACCCAGAACTGCAGATTGAACCATTTTGAAGGTGGTTCGAGGTATCTGGGAGAAAAGAAGCTTTCTTTGACGATGTTAGAGATATATTCTTTCTCCGGAGTACAGTGTAGAGAGGGGGAGAGAAAGAAAGAGAGGTAAGGTCTAGACTCACGAGAAGAACAGACTGCTACTTCCAACTCTCTATATGTTAAGAGGGTTGGTTCAATTAATGTGTGACAACAGTCTTTGAAGAGGAAGTAGAAGAATTTAAGGAAGAAAAGGATGACAAGAGGAAGAAGAAGGATTCGTAAAGGCGTAAGCAGAAGTAAGCGGTGAAGGTGGGGGGGTTCTTATGTGAGCTCAGAGGAGAGAAAGACCAGTAGAACAGCTGGAGGGTTGCTGGTTCAATGAGGGGTGGAATACTTGGAAGTTGGTCGGTGCTGGTCGATGAGGGGTTAACAATTTTTTCTGTTGTCGTGCTCTGAGCTGACCAAACAGAACCAAAAGAGAGCCACTAAGCATGCACTACCTAGCTCTATCCAACAGGATATGTTCAGGGTCCGAAAGCGGGGAGCAGATACTCCAGTGATAATCCCCCCCATTGCTCAGTCGCTTCCTTAGCATCCGTTAGGTTGACCTGGTTGGAAGGTTGAGGCTGGTAAACACCCCTTGTCCACCTTCCCACTGTGCCCCTCATCGCTATGTAAGTAAGCAGTAAGATAAGGTTTAACGTCTACATCTTGTTTGCCATACTGTTAATACCTCATGTACCTAAAGAAGAGTCGTACCTAGCACGCCTTCCGTTAAATAATCAGGTATCTACAATAAGATACATACTACATCCTACATGTACCTAGGTAGGTACATCCTGCCTAACAGATTCTGCTTAATTTTCTTTTTTTGTGACACGTGAAATTGCAACATTGAAGCTATTGGTTCTCCGCCATCTGCGGAACTCGGGGTTCCAATAGCAATAGCAAATTAAAGTAGCAAGCTACTAACCTTAGGTAGGTTAATCGATTCGCCGTCGACTACCTAACGTACTAAATCTTCTACTAATCATCTACTACTAGGTATGTAAATCTCCACAATTCAATTGTTTCTCCGGACGACACAACTCGGCTCCCGACCCGATACCCTGCATATTCCAATCCACACACGGGCCAAGTATGTAATCCTTCGCGGGTGGAATATGTAGAAATCTTAGGTGTCAATGGCATCAATCTACTACCCTTGTTCCGCATCCATGATGCTACCCTAATCAATCCCGCTTCGGCCGAACCAGTCTCCTGGATGCATAAAATAGCACCGCACCCGATCGGCCCCGGTTACATTCCTTCATATCAGAGTCGTATTAGTTTACAAACTATAGGTAAGTGAGTCTGCACCTTATCAGGTACCTAAAGTAAACAATAGCCGCATTGAAGCACCATGTCCTTAAGTGGATTTTGGCAATTGCTAAAATCAACATCGACATGTCAATTTCGTCGCTCTACCACACAATAGACAGACGATTAACATTGAGTCTATCCTTAGTATATATCTTATTTCACCTACATCTAACATCAAAAGGGTTGAGTCTATCTAAGTTTAATGATCGCCAAACCCACATTTTGTATTATTCTCGTCAGATTTTAGTCTATGTAAGATAAGAATCCAAGTCAATTCGTCCAAGAGTATTACGATTTTTTTACGTCAATTCCTAATTAAAAAATCACGAGTTGAAAGTAGACTTTATATAATTGACTTCCGAAAACACGTCTAAATATAAAGCATCTCCCGTATCGCGAACGTATGACTTGAAAGACAGCGCAGATTCAACCAGAATACAAACGTAGCACGTTGAGGATTTGAGGGAGAATAACAACAGTCAAATAACAATTAGCTACCACTGAGTATCTTCGAGTCTCATGCTAAAAGATATTTGATTAGCGATTGTGTTTGATTATAATAAGAATACAATAGAAGTGAGACAGTAGGCTACCTATTATGCAAGTCTATAGAATATCTTATCCATAGGTACCTTGTTATCTCGCTGCAATAAGGGGAAACCACATAGATAGACTCTCATAAGTTTACCGCTTTCCTTAAATTCACTATCAGACAGTAACTTCTTCTCAGTAATAAATTACGTCCTAGAAAGAGCTATATACTTAATTACTCGTATGTATCTAGATGATCTAAGGTAAAGTTGAATGGTCCGACACCAAATGTATCGAAGCGATTTTCCATGCTAGGTACTGGCCCCCTATCCAACTTTGGTTATATGGCTTCCGAGTGTTTCTTGGAAATCCACGACAGATATTAACCAAAATCCATTCGCTTTCGTTTGGACACTATTGAGAATGTCCATTTTCTGTTGTTATCGTACCCAGCGAACGGCAAGCCCAGAAACTGGCCAGGACGTGTTTGAACTCCCAACTCGCCCGCCACGTGTGAAGTTGACCAGCCCATCATTTCCCACATCTGGATTTGAGCTATCACCACCAGAGATCGTAGCTAAGGAAACGCCATCGCTTTCACATAACCGACTACAGGAGGCCACGGTAGATCCTACTATTATCGACATCGAAGATTCGGATGATGATGATGAACCGGTACGAAGTACCAGAAACTCTAGCACGGGTACTCTAGGAGCTATTAGAACCAAGTTTATTAGACGCTTGTCTCAGAAGTCCGAATCTAAAAGACATTCGCAGCAATCTCTTGGCACAAGCGATGAGGAGATCGCACGGCGTGCTGAACTGAAGCGATTGATGCGAAAGAGAATCCAAGAGGAGTTGAAAAGTGAAAAAGAACAAGAAGAGGTCGAGACGCAAACGGGCAATACTGAAGAATCGAAGCCGTGCAGCACCGCTAACGCCGGATTCCCTCGTGGTGGGCCGCGCGATAATATAGAATTTTGTGTCTTGGATGTGAGCGAACCTGGTCCTCAGGATAACGCCTGTGGCTCTCCGGACGTTGTGCTCCTTGCTCTCCCATCCAGCCATTCTCAACCAGGAATTTCCCTTCGCCGGTGTAGCTATCCCGGTTCCGGCTCGGCCCCCCGAGTTCACGAAGACGCTAACCTAGAAGGTCGCGGAGCTGTGAAGGCACGCAGCTCCTTACCACGATTTCCCTCTTCTCCCCAGTTAACTCCCGTTCACATACCGAGTACTAGAGGCTCTGAATCCCTCTGCTCATGGCGACTTTCCTACAGCGCCGAGCAACTCGCGAGGTACATTGGGGTACCCGAGGCGGTTAACTCTAACGAAACCTATGAACTCGCTGAAATTAACAATCGAGGCGGTATAATCGACGGAGAAGATGAACGTATCAGCCAAGTTGAAGACAATTTGCTACGTATTCAAGAACCCGCGACGAACGAAGAACGAGATGAGGATATAGATCACGACAAGTTGATCACAGGCGAAAGTCAGCAAGATATCCAAAGCAACGCAGAAAAATCCGAAAGTCTATACAGTGGATGTCCTGAAGATGAAAGCTTTAACCAAGATTCGCCATTAGATATATGGTTATGGAGCCAAGAGTTGCAATCGGTGTCTGCTACGCCAAGTAGAAAGACGAGCGGTATGATACAACGAACCGTTCCAGAGAGTTCTAGTATAGATGGTCCCCAGAACACTTTAGATAAAGTATCTGGAATGCGGTATAGTCCTCTAGAACTACGATCACGTAACTCAAATGCGGATATAAGAATCGAACCGGGCGAGACCCTGGATAACTGGCCTAGCGGGTTGCAACAGTCTATGAGACCTAGCGATGCTCTTGATGGTCAAGGTTTGAATGCAACTGACCAGACTCAAGAAGCCTCTTCATCTTTCTACGCATCTTCACGGTACACTACCAGACCTAACAGTTGCCAAACTACGGCAAAAGAGTCGCGTCTGGGCTTGATGGAGTTTCTGGGAGGTCGGAAGACGGTGGTTCCATTCTTAGGATTCAATCGTGCGTTTTTCTGCTGTATGAAGTATCACTATACCCTCTAACGTTAATACTTAGGGTTCAAATCGTCTAGTCGTACGACAGATGCTGAAAAGTCGGACGTCAGCTCCTACAAGACTGCCCCTGACAACGCCTCAGCGTTAGACGTGACTATGCAAGGAATGCGACAGCTACAGCGTCCTACGGCGGAGACAAACTCGGCAGCTGTATCGGATACGGCGAGTTTTAGACAACGTGAGACTGAGCTTAGATCGATTGAAAAGCGATTCGGACGAACTCATCCCCGCCGTGATATCACCGCTCCGATGGCCAGCAAGTTCCGAGAAGAATTTAGCGAACCTAGGACCAGAACTTCGATAATTTCCAGGAATTCCATACTAGCTAAGTTTCATTTACAGATTCCCAAAATGGCGAAATATCCAACTCAAGATACACAACGGTATAGTGTACGCAACACCAAGTGCAGCAGTGAAACGAACCTAGACGCCCAAGGTGTCCGCCTGGGCCAACATAAAGTAAGTACAAGTACCATCAACGGAAAGCAAGTGGCTTCGTCTCTAGAATAGGAATCCGAAGATGTTGCAAACTCTGTGGACCCGCGGCGACAGACTACTGTACTTGATAGGCATATCCCCAAGGTTCGACGGCAAGGGAACTCTTCAGAGTCTCTAAAGTATCACAAAACCAGTCATATTGATCATATACTCCACCCGAAGCCAAGAAAAGAACGAGGTTCGACTCTTAAGCCGCCGTCTCGCCACGAAAAAAATAGTAGTCAACAATCAGATATATCCAGTACCGTCCTCAGAGAGTGGGTGAACTTGATGAATGATCAAGATTCGAAGCCCCAGGACGAACAAAAGGTGGAGCCACAGAGCCATGCTCTTTGGAGATTCCGGACTCCTCCTGCATCGTGGGCGAAATGGCCTTCACATACGCGCCAACAACGAACGGGGCCAGCAGGAGAAGAAGATAATGTTATCCCGAGGGATTTTGCAGTTCGAGTAGAATCAAATGGTAGTGGTACGACGTGGTCTACAGATAAGCCTGGCGAGTCATCAAAGAGACATATTACCCCCACACGAAGTTTATCCGCCCAGCTTGGCAGAGCTGTAAAAGGAGGTTTAAGCAGAGTCGTCCAAGGCACTATAAATCGGGCTTCCTCGGAAACAAACCATACTCGACAGAAGTTAGACGGACACCTGGAATACCCCGAGCTTGAAATCATCCCGATACAAGGAGGCTACGAAGACCTACAGGCACTCGAACAACAAATCGATACAATGAAGCGCGGATCTGCAACTGAAGAAAGTCAATTAGCCAGCCTAGGTATAGATAACGTGAGACCGCCTCTGAGCGCGCGTCTGGCTGAAGAGGTGCATATGATACAGCATAAAGTCCCCAGAGAGGGTTTCCAGGATGACGAGACCGCGGTACAAAATTCACCAACAATTCCTGTTGCAGCGCTTGTGCAAGCGAGGCCAGTTCCACAACGTATTACTGTAGCAGCCAGTCGATCTAGGGCATCCGAATCCCACGACAGTGGCAAACTTAGTGAGCATGAACAAAAGCCAGAAGATAACATGGTAATGGCAGAGGACACTTGTAGCACGTGAGCAGCTTGACATCGGTTTGTACGATTAAGTCTATGAGATATACTACTATGATGATATAATTCTGTTAGGCAGGACGCGATACGATGAGGCTAGGTATAACTTAGATTAGGTAGCTTCTAATCTTCATAGAAAGGCGTGTTAAAAGCGCTCTAGGGAGAGGCGGTTACAATTAGTGAAGGTGGGGAGATCCATAGATTAGAACAAGTTAGCATGGGCTATAGCTGAAGGAGAACAAGGCAGCATGCCCCCGTTAGCATTTGCCGGTTGTCGCTCCGGCGAGATATGCGGTATCTATTCAATATCTGTATGTACGGGTGGAGTGCATCGGGCTCGATGTCTGTAGTAATATACATAGGGCCTTACTACCCATTACATCCTCCAACTCGATATTCTATGTATTATCCTTGGTCGAAAACCAGAAGCCGCGAAGAGCGGTGAGTTGGTCAGGTGAGTATATTGGACATCGCACATCTCGATAGCGTGGCCATGGGAGCGGAGCTCTTCCCGACTCCTCTGGTCGCGTACGCCACGTGTGATCGTTTCCGCGAAGCGGGGAGAAGCCGGGATTCTAGGTGCTAGTTGCTTTAGGTAGGTAGGTTACTCGGCTGTTCTCCTCGTTGGCGCGGAATGCCCCTGTTCAGTCGGCGCTTCTTTCACGGCCGGATAGATAGATAGATACCTTGCTCTTGTCGTGTTGTGTCGAAGAAATTCGGATTTTGGGGTCGTTCGCTTAGCCGTATATCTGGAATATACGTGAGAGGCTAGGACGCTGAAGCCCCTAAATTAGTTTTAGTAATATCCTTAAGTTTTCTTCATCTTAGGTATTATTATGTTGTCCTCCTAAGCCGCTGTATTCCTAGGCAAATTGTTAGGTATGAAGCCGAGGGGAGAAATTTTCATATAGCTATCAGTTTGTTTAGCAAGGCTAAGCTGGGCTTCATGGTAGTTAGGCTGCGTCACGGGGTGGAGCAAGAGGCAAAGAAACAACTTCGTCGTATATCTACGTACTGAAAGTGTCATTTGTTCTAGATATCTCATCTAGAATCCTAACGGGCCGCTCGATGAGAGCAGGGTACCAGTGCCAACAATACAAGATATTGATGTATAATTGGTATAGCTCTGTCGGTACTAACGTTGTAGTTTCCAATTGCTGCCTAGAGGACCACAGTAGTAATTCTGGAGAAAGGAGACGCACCAATATAATGCAATACCTGCACCCGATTGTTGGTTGGTGCTTCTAAGGAGGCGGTCTGACCTAGCTAACGAACGATAATAGCTTCTGTATATGTGTTCTTATTACTTGCAGGTGAACATCGCCGCTCCCCCAACTTAATGTGCCCCTTAATAGGTCGACTTACGGTAGGAAGGTCGATCAACTCGTAATTATCGTGACAGCGAGGGCGGTGATGGAAAGGGGGCTTGACGTGGCATACAGACTGCATTCGTCGACGGCTACGTGGAAGCACATATCTATGACCACAGTCTATTCTACTGCAACGCGTAAACGCCGATTTGGATTTTGAAGCTGGAGACCTTTTTTTCTTCTTTTTTTTTTGTAGTTTTGTTTCCGTCATTGATCGCTTCGCGATTTAGGAGACTCCATAGGGAATGATATATTCAAAGATAATACAGTACGATATCTATGGTTTGCAACCATAACGTAAGTAGGGTAGCAACCGTCCTCCACGGATCCAAGAATTCAAGCTATCACATCCCGCGGTGATGTAGCTTCTTCGTCAGTCGTCATCAAAACTGCAACATGGGGGCTGAGACGGCTGATCTGCAAGTCAGCCCTCGCAGCTAATTATTATTTAATCTCGTTTGCCTGACATGGCCATTGGCTGAGAGGTCGCAAAGAACGTATAAGCGGGAAGATAGAGCGGTCTGCGTATTTACCGTCTGGGCTCTTCTGGACCCGGTAGTTTGGTTGTTGCTGGTTGGGGTGTGGTATTGGTATTCAGGAGTCACCCAACAACAGCATTTGTGGGATGTACATATGTAAGCGCCATGTACATCGTCTTCTCGGGTAGTTATCCCATATTTTAAGCAGTCTTTGTTGACGAAATTCTTGCTGGAAAGAACTGGGTTCTACGTATTAAGGCAAAGGGGGACGACTTAGGTTAGCTGTTATGAACCTATAACTTACAAGCCTTGTCAGCTTGCCTAGCTCAGCTATTAATAGCTATAACTAACTTAGGTACTGAGGCACGAGAGCATTATAATGACCCGTGCACACTTCTAACATTACCGTGTTACAAACTATCAATTTGTTTCCATAGAAATGGGTCGATAAAATATGTACTTATCTTTTTTTTCTCATTCCTTTTTTTTTTTCTTTTCTCTTTTCTTATTTGATTTGTTTTGAGAATGACTTACATAGGGAGGGTAACATTACCTACGGTAGGTCTGCTGTAGGTTGATTATCAAATAAAAAATGATTATACTGTCTACCTATCATAAAGCGCGTTAAAGCGTTCCCACCGTTCCGGAACCTAAATGCATGCATCGTCCCAAGCAAGCGTTCCAATTCGGTCACGCCACACGGTAACACAGCATAAAGTCTTTACCATACGGGCGGGTCAGCTGGGTCGGTACATAGAAAAAAGTATTAATGCCGATATTACCTACCGAGGATACCCTTAATCAAATCATTTTTTCTAGCAATCATATCATAGTCATGTCTTTTTATTTCTTAATGCTTAATTTAATGCTCAATGCCTACTTAATTACCTAATTATTCATGCATTTCGGCGTAGTACTTCGTATGGATATCTGTTTAAGGCAGGTCGCTAAGTATTGCCTCTTGTCTAAAAGGTACCTAAGTCTAAATGCTGTAAGTGACACTATTGAGGCCCATAAGTCCACTAATAAAAAGTCTATCCGGGCAGCCGGGTATTCTAGGGAGGTACGTATCTCGTACACTAAAGCTGACCTGACCCAAGGCGATGAAACCAAGACTTCTTTTTTCTTTTTCTTTCCCATCGTACAACATGCGTACCGTAGAACCGGGATTCATGTGAAACGTAGCTCCAGTAAAGTTTGATATGCCTCCCCATTATTATTATTCACATCTCACGCGTCGAATCTTTTTGACCTATCAACTTCCTTACATCAGGTATATAAGCGTGGAAACGTGGAAACGTGGGAGCATAGAAGCATCGAAGCAAGGAAGTCTCCTAGGTTTTGTCCTTATCCCTTTAGGGTACAATACAAACCGAGGTCGGGTTTTGGTCTCTCACCGACAGAAAGGCGCCGCTTGCGCTCAGTTCCAAATTGCTGGGTCGCAATGGGTCGTGCTTGGGTCGGCGCGTTCCTATTCTTGGGGCCCCGAGTTGCGTTCATCACCTCACTTTTGGTAATTTTGGTAAGGTCGGCTTGCATCTCATTGAAAGTCTCGACACCCTCCATCTGCAAGCAAGCGGGGATCCCTTCCGTTCATAGCCAATAGTCCATCGTCTCGATATTGGTCGCCATATTGGCGGGGCTTTTCTCCGTAGTGCTGGAACCAATCCGTCGCCATCATTGATCACCAAAAACCCTACCATAGATATGTACTTCCCGCAGTCCCCCCGATCTACGTAGAAAGAAGGAAGAGCCTCTTGTTTAATGGTGCTCCTTTACGAAAATGCAACCTTGCCTTAAGCCCAACTAGACCAATCATAAAACCATCAACCGAACGTAAATATCTTCATATCTTCCTGATGAGTTAACTATCGCCTACGATGAACAGAGACCAAGAACAGCCCCAAATCGACGCCGACTCGATCCTATCGGTGTCGACGGATGAAGATGTTTTCGATACTCTTTCACTTTCTGCCGACTCCATATCCATGTCTGACGAAGTTCGCGATTATGTCTATGAGAACTCACGGCGCTATCACAAATACCAAGAAGGCCGTTATCACTTCCCTAACGACGATGCCGAGCAGGAGCGCGAGGATTTGCAACACGCAATGTTTATGCTTCTATGCGACAGTAAACTACACTTTGCGCCTCTCAACAACCCGCGCTCAGTACTCGATATTGGTACAGGGACGGGCATCTGGGCGATAGAGAGTAAGTGCGCACTTCAGCCAAAAGTGAATTACAAGTTACGCGACCTAATCCAGTACTAACAAGTTCGCCTTTGAATATGATTAGTGGGCGATGAGTATCCAGACGCAGAAATATTAGGGATAGATCTGAGCCCCATACAGCCTTTATGGGTGCCCCGTAATGTCCAGTTCCTCGTGGACAACATAGAGGAAGAGTGGCTCCAGCCGGCAAATTCATTGGATTATATTCACGCTCGCCAAATGGCATCGACAATTCGGGACTGGCCCGCACTTATCGCCGAGGCGTTCAAGTAAGATATTCGCACAGCGACACGTTTTTTTCCTGCTCACCGCAAGATCGTTGACCCACAGGGTGTAGGGCATTGAAGCCGGGCGGCTGGTTCGAAATACAAGATCTGAGATGCGGAGTCGAATGCGACGACGACACAATGCGCGAGGACGATCTTGTCGCGGAATTCCTTAGCAAAATCGCAGGAGCGATGAGGATTCTTGGTGTCGACTGTCTTACCGCCTTGGACAAGTACGAAGAGTGGTTGAGGGACGCGGGCTTCGTCAATATCCAAAGGACGGTGCTGAAAGCCCCGCTGGGAACGTGGCCTAAAGATCCACAGCAGTCACAAGTCGGCCTATATAGCCGGAACATGCTGTACGACGGCCTGCATGGCTTTGCCATCAGGCCTTTTACCCACGGTTATGGCTGGACCCCAGAGGAGGTTGAAGTTTACTTAGTACACGTACGAAAAGCGGTGTTGCGCTCTAAGGCGCACATTTACATCCCATTCCATTGCGTTTATGCACAAAAGCCCCCGGAGCCGGCCGCGGCGCGCTCAACATGAGCTATTCCCTTTACGATATCGTGGTGGGTTGATACTAGCACGGACTGAGGGCTCTCCCAGCGCTAGTGGATCGGCGTATTTAGGGGATCTATTCGTGTTTGATACCAACAATCCCGATCATGGTGGTTCGGTACGCGGCTTTTAGAAGGGGGGCTTTCAGGACGAGTGGGTATAGATGGGAGGCTGTCATTTACTGGTTTACTAGGTGCTCCTGAGCATCCCGTATCCTTATGCTTCACAAAATGTTGGCATGGGCAGGTAGTTCAAGGACCTTACGCATTGGCCGGGGCGGAATGGCGCTGCATTTACCTGGAAGGAGTCTGTTACAAACAAGGTGGTTTAAAAAAAAAAAAAGGATTCTCGAGGATCATGGGGGTCCAATCTGTTTTTACAATTGTGAGTCTGACTATTATGACTTAGTTACTTAGGTAAATATAGAACCGCATTATATTTCTATAGCAATAGAATTGCATGCTTTATTCGCTTCCATATACGCTACAGGGTGTTAAGTGGCTAATAATCCATTGCCTTAGGCACCTTAGGCAGGTAATTTTGTAGTTTTGGATCTGCGAAACGGAGAGGGATAACGAATCCATTACACAACTTAAGACAGTACATTTGAATAGAGCATTTCAGCGCCTAGGACGCGAAGCATATAATTATTCCGATGAAGTTCACTTACAGGTACCTCTGTGTCTTTATTTATAATACCATTTTTACACAATATTCGTAAGAACTGCGATATTTGTCAGGGTATAGTGGGTCAGGGGTAATCATAGAGGTCTGTCTATCTACTATATAAGAGGCGCGCGGCGCCCTCGTAAGAGGATAGAAGGCCAGGTGTTACTATTCCAATACTATCTTGGTCTACCTACCCTAGGCACTCGCTCGGTGTATGACAATCATCAACAAGTATTAATCTTGACAATATTATACATTGTTAACAAGGAAGTAAAAATGCAAAAAGACAGTTTAGGGGTATCGAGACCGCTGCCCGAGAACTAAGAGTATGCAAGTGGAAGCTCAGCGCTTCGGCTGCCCCGTTTTTTCTCCTATAAGAATAGTTATTAATATACATGAACTTGCATCTGACAGCTCTCGTAAGCGGTGTAATAGTTTAGGTTAATGCTCGGGGCGCTCCGATATCTATGAGGTAAATAACTACCTAGGCTCCATTATAACGTTCTATGAGACTCGGTCTAATTTCTAGAAATGGTTGACTAGCAATAAAGGAAAAGTATTACACTGTAGTACTGAATGCAAAACCGGAATAATAAAATATGCGGCAGTGATGTGGCGTATTGAGTAGTCCAAAATATGAGGTATACATTTCGACTAACCCAACCTGAATAGGAGGCGAGTGTAAGTTAGCTGTTAAATTGAGAACTATTCTAACCATGAATTTGAGACCGAGCTTCATCATGCATGCCATGCTAAAGACGCCAGGTACGTCCGCGAGATTTCCATCCGGGAAATTTTTCCTGGAGTCATCATCGGTTGGATTTTGAAAGCGATAATGTTATCGGGAGAGGGGGCTAACTCTAGGTATACTTATTTGGCGATGGAGTGATCAAGGGAAAGAGTAGTTCCACCTATAATGTTTGGCTATTCTAAGGAAGTGAGTAGCTTTACAGAGGCTAAGATCTCACTACTTATTACAAGCAATGTAAAGGACAAAGAAAGGCCATCTTTACCTAAGAGAAGCAGATGGATCAGGTACCCAATCCGCTAGGAGAGTTAAGAGGGAAAAAAACTCAACATTGCTAGCATGTAAAACACTTTATATTCAAACTAGCATTAGCGCCAAAGAGAGCGTGCCTGGCCGTCTTATACATGGATTTTATACGGCTCCCATACTCGCGAATACCTGTGCCGTCTTTGGAGAACTCCTTTCCACAGACTCAGGTCTTGTTGATGCTGAAGGATAATATATAGATGGCCAAAGAGCGGTGGATTAAGAAACGGCCAATGAGAGTTCGGCAAGGACTATTTATTGCTCACCTTTAGTGTCAAGTCAATATATTGTCTTTGAATATGGGGGTAGGACGGTAGTATGTAAATAGAATCGTTGACTACCTAGGTAGGTTATATACTTAAGGTATGCACAATTGTTTCTACATATCACCGAATAAATGTAATTTTAATCTGTCAAATGCATTGTAACGTACATAATTACGGAAAAAAAAAATTTTCCCGAGTATTTGTAGTTATTTTGGCTAATACGGAATAAGATTGAGCTGTAGGAGCCCGTGGTTAGGGTATAAGTGATGTGAAGGACCTATCACATTAAGTGCAATCAAAGAGAAGACCCACGTCCACGTCTCCATATGCAAGGAACGGACATCTTTAATCAGATTAAGATGTCCGTAGAACTTATGATTCACAAGTCAATAATATGACCGTAACTATATTTTATTTGGAATTGATGGCAACTAAGAGCTTAACTTGTAAATATTTAGGCCGGGTTTTAATACATGTTTCGGTCAATTATAAAACACTTGCGTTCGACTTCACCTATTCTGCCCATGACAGTCAGCTAGGTGGTATTCTCATATAACTATGAATATAAAAATATTTAAGGTTGTCATATTAAAATCATACGTGTTCTATAGCATGCTTGCCTAGTTAAGCTATATTCTTACATCAATGGTATAAATGATGTCTTATATCTGCCATCACATCTATAACTTCGAATAAGTCTTTACACTACTCATCCTTTAATCTCGGTTGGTATAACGGAACTGTGTACGAGAGGCATTTTGAGAGCAGGTATAAGTGCGTGTGTAACCAAGGGTAGTACGTGTCCTTTGCATTCGTCAAATAATATACGGCATATACGGCGTGACATGATATGTACGTATATGTAAGAGGTAATCAAGACGTAAGCACCGCTTTGACGTATCCTCCGCCCAGCCTGCTTAGATAACATAATCTGATTCCTCGTGACCCCTAAGGCTCTAGGCCCTAGACCCTGCGGCTGGGGTTGAAAGCTATGTCCACGTCCACGTACCTCATCGCCTATCCAAGCGAGTTCAAAATGCTACCGGTCTCGTGCCTTCTCGGATAGCTAAGCGAAGAAAAAGAGACGTTGGCAGGTTGGATGATAGACAGACAAGTTGGCCAATTATAGGATAAAGTTATAGATTTAAAAGTACTTGCTAGGTTGGTAGGTAGGTAGGTATATATTTATTTAAAATATAGAGAGTAGAAATGAAACGTGCCGGCAAGACTCGCTAATGGAGCTCGCCTAAACCTTCGGATCGTCGAAACAAGCAAGTAGGTTGACGAAGACGATGTGGGCACTAGGTGCTCCCATTGGCGTTCCCCATTGGCGATTAAAGGGAGAGGGCGGCTGAGTGTAGCACGAGGAAGTAACCTTGAATAATAAAGTGAGTATGTAGGTGAGTACCTAGGTAGGTAGGGGTCGGTAACTACGGCCTACTACGGTACTGCCGGGGCAAGAGATTGGTGAGATTGGGGAGATTTGGGTTGGCTGCGGGTTGGTTGCGGGTTGGTTACCCCACAAACCACCCAAACCTTCCCCTCCGAAATGATCCCTGTCTTGCTGCGGGAATCCCTGAAAAAGATGCACTAGACAGACTAGAGCACTGCGAGATGCAGTGTGCGCAGGTGCAATGGTGGGGAACAGGTAAACAAGAAGGTATAGAAGGTACTATATGTCATGTACCTAGGTAATTGACTAACTACCTACAGCAGCCAAAATCAGGTGGCTCTTTTAGAAGGACCTTTGGGTGGCTCTCGTACTTGACCCCGTGGCCCTCTTTCCCCCGCCTTCTGTCTTCTCACCCCCGCCTCCCATTCTGGCCTTCCCCTTGGATAGGCCTTGGATAGCCCTTGGAAAGAAGAATATGGAGCCCCTTGTGAGCCTTTTTGCCCCCACAATTTTGACGATGAAAGTTCTTGTCTTTCTCCAACTTTCGCATTCTTCGTCCTAACTTAATATCTCCATCCTCTTAGTTTCAATGGCTGAAAAACAGATGGATCAGTCTCAAGCTCGTCGACGACGACGAGATGGATCTTCAGGTGTACAACAGCGTTTGTGTACGCATTGCGGACGAAGCTTCAAGAGGTCTGAGCACTTGGAGCGCCACGTTAGAACCCGTTGGTTACCCCAACCCCAAATTCGACGTCCCTCGATCTGCACAACCTTGCTCCACCAAACCTCACACCTTTTTTTTTTTTTTTTAACTCTTATCCCCTTATCGTGCCCTTTAAATCGTATCTATATGGTATTCTAGAAATGTAAAATGAAAGCTAATTTCCCAATCACAGACACCAAGGAAAAACCATATGTCTGTCATTGTGGATCGGCCTATTCTCGTCGAGATCTCTTGACCCGCCATCAACGTATTACACATGAGACTTTGTCGCCAAGGTCGCCTGATGGCCCGCCGTCGGAAGACAATCATCAGTTGGCCGCGGCCGAAGAGGATCCTCCTTCCGAGGACCCTATCTCCTCTGCCGCATCTATTCCGGATATGAATATGAACCACAATATTCAGCAGCAGCACCAACAACAGTATTCAAATCCGAACCATGGTTTAGCTATTCATAACCAAGTTGTCACCCAGCCTTACCAGTTGATCACCGGCCAAGAATTCTACCCCAATGGTTAGTTAAAAATTTCCCGCTGTCCCACTCACTCATCAAAGTTACTCGGCCGAATTGAGCAACACCAACTCTAATAGACTACTCTCTTGTACCTATTTATTTATTTATTTATTGCATTGCTAATTCTCTTCTAGGCCAGCACTATTCCGGGTTTGACCATTTCCAGGAAATACACAATTTCCCCGACCCGGTCAGTCTACCTCCGGAATGGAGTCCATATCTTCATAGTCCGGGCCTAGAGCAAGACATGGTGGATCCTGCTTTACGAGGCTCGATGGTTGACGTATCGTCGCCTCTTTCCAATGAGAATTTCTCGGTGCACGGCTACAATCCTTGGATGTCACCGACTGCTCAGAAATGGGGCAATTAAGTGAGATCCGTTCCGGAACAGCACGACCCACTCCGAGCTTTGATCGTTATTCCGAATGATAACGAATCTACCAATCTACCATCCCGCCCTTTTCGGTACCTCGTGGCATCATGGCCATTTTGGCCGTTTAGGGCACATTATATATGAATGGGTACTGTTGAAGCTACACTTGAAAACAGTAAACCCAATCCAATAAATGACAAGGCGCATCTTTCTGGAGGCAGATATATCAAATTGGTGTGAGGAGGTGTTTTCTTGTCATGATGGTGGTTTCGATCGGCAACGAAGGGCAGCTGTGACGACCGCGGATCAGTTGCTCCTCAATTTGCCTACGTCACCTCAATTGGAAGATATGACAAGTATGGGGCAAACTTCGTCCCCCCCATTCAAATTTCACACCTTACTTCATCCACATCTTACGAATATTGCCTGCAAGGCTTGTACCCATATAGGAGCGAATTAGTCGCTCTACAGTACCGCTCGGATTTATGAGTGGTTGGTCACTCTACGTTCTTTGAAGAACGGGAATTATGATGAAGATTGACGATACCCGAGCATTATGCTCTTGAGCATATCACAATGAGAGCAATACCTTAGCTAAGGGATTAGTAACTAGCTAATAGCTGTACAATTGAGGCACATACTGGCCATTCAACATCGCGTCTTCAAGTCCTAGACACTTCCCTCCTTTTAAACCACATACCTACGGCTTATTCGATTGTCTTACTCACATGGTATATAGTTCACAGAACTAGAGATATAATCAATAATATGTGGATGGCAACGAATGTCATCTATTGAATTATATACCTATGTGTACGGATTGGTTGTAAATTGTGACGGTTAGTGTTGCAGATACCCAGCTCTGCCATAATGCTACCAACTACACTCACCATATGTTGTTTTACTCATTCGCCCAAACATTGCAAATAATAAGCATAAGTAGGATGTACAATAGTGGATAGCCACGCCATAGGATCATCATCATAGCTTGTATTCCAGCCATCGTCCGCTTTTGACGTTCCTTGACGCCTGATTTCACATTGCTTTTTATGTTTATATGCGCCCGGTAAATTCGGGTTCCGTCTTGGGTTATCAATCTACGTTCGTATGTACGCCATAGGGCGCAATAACTAGGCGATCGACTTGCGGCGGGCATTTCTCGAATGGTGGCTGTAGTTAGTGGAATGATGAATCCTCTGTAGCTTGAGACATGGCCATTTTAGGTATATCCACAGAGCAGCTGAGCTTACATTCAACGTCAAAGACAACCTCCTGTCGGCTAACCAAAGAGGTGAAACTCGTAATGCGTGCGCCATTAAACAAGCCATTCAGGCCGAACCAGCGATTCAAGCCTGCAGTCGCGCACTCGGACGAGATCGGGTGGTCGGCTGCACGATGGGATAACTACCTGCGTGCGTTGTTAACCAGACATTAATCGGCAGAAGTTGAGGTGAATTCAAGTGCCGTCTCAATTTCGTGGGGTGCAGCGGTAACGAGATGCCAGGACAGGGACGACGTTTATGATTTCTGAAATTTCGGTATTCGGACTTGACAAATAATACGGCGGCGGCCCCAAGGTTTCTGCAGGAAAGGCGACCAAGGCGGACCCAGAGAAAGCAAGACACCGAATCCTTGAGCAGGAAGGCTCCTGCGCGGCACCGAGGCCAATTCGCTGTGGAAGCCCCGGCGATCAGAGCTCAATGTATGTACTCTGCTTTGCTGCGGTAGCGAGCTACATAGAGATGCCGGTGGGAGGGAGATAGAAAAACGACGCACAGTGGAATGAAAGTTGTATGCCTCGTACATACGTCAGGAACGCGGCGCCAATGTGCTTGTAAAGTCGCTACCATTGGACCATGATGTAAAAGGTCTTAGCAAGGAATCGTGACCTTTTTTTTTTTTTTTTTTTCCTTTCACACCCGCATCTCGTCAGTATGAAGGGCCTCTCCCCCCGCACTCGTGCATATAACTTGCTCGGCTAACCCCTCTCTGATTCGTGGCGCGGCCGTTATCTTTGTACGAGCTCGGGAGAATAAGAATGTCCTTTTTTTTTTCAAACGGGGCGGGCAAGCTCGGTGAAAAAAGCTCAACCGCCATGCCGTTCCCGTACCTAGGTAGATACCTAAGGTAACCAGGGCTACGGGCTACCTAACCAGGGGGCCAAATCGAGAGAAAAAGGGAAAGATTAGTCGAGAACTGAGAAGCGGGGGGGTGGTAAAAATACACTATTAAACATACATACAAACGAATCGAACCCCGTCATCTCGCCTTCGGCAGCCAAGACTCCGCATTCCTTCAATCTGAAAAGGGGGGGAAAGAATGGGGGGGGAGGGGAGGGGAGTGGTAACCTTTTCCTTCCCTTGGGTACGTTGGCGTTCGTTTGTTTGTCTGTCTGTTTGTAGGTACAGAGGAAAAAGGAATGGGAAGTGCGGGGACCGAACGGGGAGCACCGGTTCGCCCATCCGAATCGGCTCCGAAAATGAATCGGACCGGAGACGCCCATTTCTGGAAATCAACAATCGACCATCGCACGTACCTGCGGCCCAAAAACTTGACAACAGGGGGGGTTGGGACCAATCCGGTTTCGTTATTTTATTTCTAACCTACATACCTGGCTGCTGCAGCCGAACCTTCTTTATTATCTCTACCCCCTGAAAAAAAAAAAATCAAAAATCAAGAGATAGAGGGAAAACCCGAGGTCGCACAAGATTTTGCATCTCCGGAAAGGTCTGCGCCCGCGCCACACACAAGAACCGCTGCCTGCTGCTGCTGCTGCTGCCGCTGCTGCGTTGCGTTTCTCACATATGATATCTTAGGTATGTAATGTAATCAACGTTACATCTGGAACATACCGTACATACATACATATATGGCGAATAACACACGTAGGTTAAGTAGGTATGTATAACCGCAATTGGCCAATCAAGCGAATGTACGTGCGTAAACGCATCGTTAAGTATTTGAATTTACCTTTTTTTTCTTTTGGTCTTTTTCTTTTTCTGCGGAAGTAGTTTCCGCAGCACATTTGTGGACCGGATGGACCCTGGGAGGGATGCGGATTACGGAGCGTCGAGGATATATGTATATAAGAGAGGTACCTAATGTATGCACATCATGACACCGCGCCGCCTCGCTACCAAAGCCACCATATGTCTCGTGTAGCCACATGGGATAACAGCGTGACATCCAAGGGACTCGGATAGAATGCCCTATTAAGCTGAGGCTCGGAAGCCTGCATGCATATTGACCGTCTTGAATTGATTGCTGGGGTTGGCGGAATCTTCCTTGGGTTAACCTCTGGCCGTCTGGATATGGCGATATGTTTGCCACTTTCTCTTGGTGGCATGTTATGTGCCGAAGATGGAGCGTGTTCCGGTATATAGGGTTAGACTTGTATATGAATTCCTATGTAGGTACTATAATATTCACGTAGAAGCCATAAGCTATGTACATGTAGCTACCTAGCTCGGTATACGAAACCTGATTATTATTTCTTCTAGTTTCCCCTAAGTGCTTATAGTCACCAGTTAAGGATCAGTAGTTTGAGCGACCAATTGCTTCGTTAATTATTATAATGTTAGTTAGTCTATAGTTGAATGCTCCCTATTGGACGTAAGGCCTTCCGAGGCAGTAAGCTCGTCGTTCGAAGGCCTACTCTTCATTTGACTAAGTTAACTTAAACCAGCCAAACAACCATCCCGCCTTCAAGCCAACCCTTAAGTCGGCTTCCCCGTAGATTATGTTATAGTAGTTTCCTAAGACCACCAAACACTGGCACCAGCAAATTTACATATTCTGGTCCGTACTTTAAGACACCTCCATCCTCCCGAGCTTCCAGTAGCTTTATTTTGATGAAGTCTTAGCGCGTTGCAAAGGTTGCGTTACAAAGGTAGAAACCGCGCCACAGTTGAAGCTTTTGATGACACGTGAGGCTTATGATATACCAAGAACTAGGTCGTTGATGAACAGAGGGATACCTTCAAGGTCGAGACGGATAAATGAAGGGCAAAACTGATCCAGCGCGAGCCTCGTTTCCGCCACTGGAATCGTTGTTCGGATCGGTACTAGACTTGTCACTGTCGCTGTTTAATAGGATTCCACAACCGGCGATAAAGGTTTAGGTTTTAGGTTTAGAGCTCGGTTCCCAAATAGTGGGCGTTGATGGCCCAATAATCAAGATCTCGACAGAGCCTCGGTCCAGGCAAGAATAACTGATGGTCCTCCTCGTGTAAGAATGCTGAATAACTCCGCTGATGACGTTACGCGATTTATTGTTAGTTATCTTAGGCGGCTTATCGATTCGACTTTGTATGCTCAAACCTCTTCACACTCAGGGCAACTTCCATGCTGCAACGAAGAGACTCCAGCCTTGTACGTAATACCTACTTAAGGTCATGCGTCGCTCGATTCGACTTTGTCAGAGTACTATGGGTTGTAATGTTGTGCGCAGTAGTAGCGTGTCGCTTCTTGCTAGTGATGGTTTCAGTATTAGTGTTGTTGTTAAACATTACACTTGGTGCGGTTGCTGACACGCGCTTCCCCCCTTCTGGCCTTGTGCTTGAAGAGTAATCATCAATGAACCATACCAATGCCGTTGCTATTCCGGTGGGGAGTTTTCCGAAACCGTTCTGCGAGTCTCCATTTATTCGGATTTCCTCGAAGTCTTCTTTATCTGGTAGATGTGATAGGATTCCTCGGCATTTATTGACGTCCCAATTTCCCTTCACTCCGATTCTGTAGATTTGCCCTAGCGCTGACATGGTGTTGCGGTATGGTTGACCGCTACTCGGCTGTCCGTAGGGATTGAAACGGACAAGTGTGTAAAAAGTTGCCAAGAACCTAGACCTCGATTTCATCTTTGTCGTCGCCAAGCCGAGGCCCCCAGGTAGAAAGGTTGTAAGCTTAGAGAATATGTCCAGCAATATGGAGTCATAGCGTGGGCGCGGGAAGCGGGGACGAGAGTAGGATCGGCTGGGAATCGGATCCGCTGAGGACCAGCGGGCCAAACCTGCCACCAAGTCAAACTAATCAAGTGGGTTAATGACAATTTCAGGAATCGCAGGAGATTAAGTTGTTGTGATGGTAGTCACGGAATTAGAAGAGACCCAAAACTTACCTCGAAGGGGATCTCTTCGCCCCCAGGACCCACGAAGTAAGCCCCGTCTTCCTTTTCGATGATGTGGATGTCCATCGTCGACAGCTAAAGGATACAGTATTAGTTTGTGTGTCACGCATAGTCAATAAATAATGGGACCATACCGAAGCCATTGTGTTGGGACTTGAATATAGAGGCCCGGGAGAAGCTGGAAAGGGCATAGCGTTGGCATTCGCGTCCATGCTTTGAATATAAGTTAGTGTTTGCTAAGAGTAAATGTATAAGACATATTAATAAGTAGGGAAAAGGAAACCTCGATGTTACTTACTAGTAGTTGGCCAGGTTACGGTTCGGCCACCGGTCAGTCCACGGCGAAGCCGGTTCTTCCGGTGGCGTTTTGGCCGGCGAGGACGGTGTATTGTTCGTCCATCCTGTGGTTATCGTCGCCGAGCTTAGTCCAGATAGTTGGACCCTCATCTTAAAACAGTTAATTGACAGGTACGTTTCGAAAAATTAGAGGGTAGTAGGTTGTGAATATATAGAGGTCATTGTAGGCTATCCTTTTAAAGTCCAATCCACGGACTTTAGGATGTCGACTGTGTTGAGAAGATAGTTCTCTAGCGGATAATTAAAGTTGCTTATGAGTCGTATTCTCCTTGTCCATATTCATTAGCTGCAATCACTTGTTAGTATGATTGTTAGAATGATAAAGTTAAATGAGAAATCATTGAAGTAGAAGTAGAAAAGGTACTGTTAAAGAAGGAATTTCTTGTGTTACTTACTAGACTTTGAGGATAAATTGTGTTAAACAGTTATTGTGGCTGCTTTTGTGAGGTAGGATATGGTAACTATTTCATTAAACGTCAGCGCCTAGATTAGCAACAAAGACAACTTAGAAAGCAAGCCGAATAGGAGTTTAGATCGTAATAATAAGTTCTGTTGTCATCGGAACAAGGATTGTTTTTGGGGACAGTGGGTTGAAGTGATCAACATGGACCGCTGCAAAAGAGAAGTGAATAGAAGGTAGGGAAACCCAGCGGGTTAAGGGGAGGGAAGTAGTGGGTGATAATGTGCAAGATGCGTCAACAAGATAAGGTAGTGTAACAGAAGAGACGGATCAACAACACCAGGGTGTAGGGATCAAATGAGATGTATGATTCTCAATGACTGACAGTTCAAAAATGTTGAAGGAAGTGCGCTCGCTGATAGATAGAAGCGTTCGAAGGACTTACTAATAATTTGGACGCGTTTAATGATACCTCGAAGCTTGAGGATATCGTAGACGCCACAGCCCAACCAACACCATGTGGTCATTCGCATTTCCTGGTGTTGGTAGTTAAAATAATACCCAATAGTCTTCTTCATCGAGGCTCTCCAAGGCTTAACCAGACCTTGACGTGTTTTTCATGTTGTAGTAAGTAAAAGTGTTGTAGAGATTTAGGTTGGTTATATCTTATTAGACAAATAGAGGTTAAAGAGGTATTTATGGGTTGAGAATATTTTGGTTGTATTAGGTTGTAAAAAAGAAGTGTGTAAAAAGAAAGAGAAAGCGGGCGACCTAGGTAGCCGTCGTTAAATATACAATCTTAGGCGGTGTGAATAAAAGCCTGAGGCGGCAAAATAATTCTACCAGGGCAACAACGAAAGGGATCGCACCTGCCGTCCTACGCTACAGCACATGCATGTATTCCTTAGGAGACGTGTGGTACATCGAGATGTATCTATCTTGATACCTTAGGTAGCATAAACCATTGAAGTGTTCCAGGTACCTACAGTTGCTATTACCACTTCTAGCCTTGTTTTGTAGTATCCTTACGGCGCCCATTAACCTAATAGATTGTACCAGTGTGACAAGTTTGCCTACCTGAGTCATTACGGTGATTTGGATCTATCCTAGCGTTAATAGTAGCAACGAGGTCACTTCCCACATTAATGCCATTTAAAGCAGTACTTCAGTTTCAGTTACACATAATATGTAGCGCCGAATCTTAGACATCTACCTACCTAAGGAAGAAAGTGTACCTTGCTAATTAGGTAGGTACTTTCGCCTAGGAGCCTACTTTTGACAGGTACATCAAAAACCTCGAACCAGGAAGGACCTGAGTTATCAGGTAACTTAGGGGTAGAATCATTCTAAGCGCCTAAATATATTGTAAATATTCTCCTAGCGAGCCAATTTCTTCACTAATACGTCTAATACCCAAGATATTATTAGGTAATTGTGCTATGAAAAAATGTATCGAACCTAACTATCTTATAGAAATCATAATAAACCTACCTATTCATACGTTTCTTTCCTGGGGGTTCTGTTAGCTCCTTGAGAATAAGGCTGAGTAAGACTAGAAACCGGTCTTCGTATCTATCTTCTCAACATTAATATTTCCTGTGTATATCATGCCCCAAGTCTTAACTCCTCCCGTAATTATCTCACCCACCTCCCGGAAGCCAAAGTGGGCGTAGATATCACGAGCCCGTTCGTTGCCAGCTTCTAGCCACACAGGCATAGCGCCGCCTTCGTTTTGGTCTGAAGTGAACCTCTCCATGAAGGGGACTAGCACCGCCCGAACTAGAATAACAAAAGTTAGCAGTTTATTAGGACCAAATAAGGTCCTATTAGCAGGGTCAAAAAGAGAGATCTGGGATATAGGCTGGGAAGTACTAAGTAGCGTTTAGTATCTAGCTGGTTCCTGTCTATATTGTAATAATATGATTATAGGCTGTGGCATTTGGGAAGCTTGCGGACATAGGTTTACTTCCATATATTTTACAGTTAGTCCCTAGGCATCGCAATCCATGCAACAGTAACAATTAGAAAAAATGGTACCTGGCTCAGAAAAAATAGGCTCCAAAAAGAGGCTCAGCATCTGGATCATATCAAATCAACTGGAAAAGGGGTTAGGGGGCATACGAGTAGAGGTCACTTACCAGCCCCTGGTACATACTCCACCGCCGGATCCCTCGCCATAAGGCTCAACTTCCAATACCGGCCGGCACTCACGCGCTCCGCAATAGGATACAGATGCACACGCATTAGCTCCGTGACTCTATCCACAAATGCCTTAAACAGCGGCCTCTTCCCTGACACTGCCGCCGTCGACACATCCATACGGTGCGGATCGCCCGCTCGCCCCGGCTCCCAGCATGCTACTGCCGCAAAACCACCAGCTTCTACCACAAACCCGCCTGCAGCTATCTTAGCCGTGAGCCGTGTGATAGCCGAATCGTATACGATGCGCTGCATGGTGGCGAGATCGACATCCTTGGTTGTCTGTCCTGGAGGTAGCTTCTCCCCCTGGAACATGACTGTCAGGGGGTCTGTGGCCGAGGCCCGCGATACAGCGCTTGCAAGACCTTGGATGTATCGCTCGGATGTGCCCGTAGTTACCTCCGGGAGCACCGCTGGCTTGCTCGGCTCTTGTACGATGATAGGTGATATGCTTAGCAGTTCCGCAGGAAACAGTGCCGTTTCTGTTGTTATTGGGGTGTCGGCCATTGCTATTGTTAAGGAACTATTAAAGGCTGTGGAAACTGAAAGAGGAATTGTCGCAATTATTTGACCTTGGTTCTTTCTTATATATAAATATTTAGTAGGTCTTGGTCTCTGGGCCTGATGGTTCGTGTAGGTACAAGAAATAATCTAATTGTAAATCATCTTAACCGAGTTTATTATTATTCGTGAGATATACAAGCAAGCTTAGGGGAGGAATCGCGCCATGTTCTATGTGGACGAGAGGGGATGTTTAAGGGCTGTTCAGGGGTATTTGACTTGAGTCACACCCCGTACCGACTTCGGGAGCAAGGTCCCTCCTATATTTATAAGTATAGCATCCCCTAATTGCTGCGGTATAATAAATGAATTGGCAAAAAGTTTCCATCATACCTCAGGTAGCTGAGCTACTAATATTAGGACTAGTTATTATACGTATGCATGCTATTCGATGTATCTTAATTAGTATATTTTTAGTGTTGTTATATTAGCTATGCCACTTCTGATATTCTCTTTGTAAACGGATTCATGCCTGAACTCTCCTTTGCAATACTGATTTCTCAACTGCAACTGAATGATAGATTTAACTATGTCAACTGCCAGGAAATAGGCTTAGATGTCTATATGGGGACTTAGAGTACGTGGTGCAAAGAACATACACATCTCTGGTTGTTGCAGCATGGGTTCAGCTCTTTGTCTGGATCTTCATTTGGTTACATTATGTGGCTAAGTTTAGTTAAGCACATATATATCGCAATCCCCTCTTGCATATACCGAGACCCCTTTGTCTTTTCCTTTCCGTAAACGCCGGCGAGGCAAATATTAAGTCAAATCCTCAGTGAAATAGTTTAAGCGCCTGTAGCTTCGCGGTAGAAAGTCAGGCTTCTATTTGCGCCGGCCGTGCAGAACATCTCGTTTCGTCCTGTCTTGGGTAGCCACTTGACAGCCCAGAGTGCCTTGTCTGTCTCGCTGTGAGTTGCGACACAGGCGCCTTTGTCGATAGACCAAACCTTCACTTTGCCGTCGAAAGCACCACTGAGTAAGTACTCGCCTGTGTCGTTCCAGTCGATAGAGGTGATCCAAGCTGTATGACCCTTTAGGTTGCCTACATGCTCACCATGCTTTGTATCATAAATAGCGATGATACCTGCGTCGCCCGCAGCAGCCAGACGTGTGCTAGCCGGCGAGAAGGCTACTGTTCTGATTGGTTTGACCAGACCTATCTACTAATTAGTCTACAAGAAAAACAGGTATGGAAATATGTGCACAGGGATGATTGTGAAGTAAAACCTACCTGGAAGTGAGTATTGTAGTCGGCCCGTGTCATTGTTAAATACGTAGACAGCACCACTTTGGTGACCGCTTGCTGTGTATTTCCCATCGCGACTCAGATCTACACAAAGCCCAAAAGAGCCAGAGCCTGCATTGCCAGTTTCGTACTCGCGTAATTTCTCGGACCTATCTCCAAGAAGGTCCCATACATTCACTCGCCCATCATAGGTAGTAGAAGCCAGGTACTGGCCGTCTTCACTAAGGGCAATGGCCCATACCTCTCCAGCACTCTTTCCTGAGCCTTTCCCAGGATCTAGCTCTCCAAAGGGTTGCCATTCGGTTGTATCTGTTGTATCTGATTTGGCCAACTTCCATATTTTCACTTCCCCACCAAAACCAGCCGATGCTGCTACCTTGCCATCGCGGGAGACGGCAATATGGTGGCAGCCGAGCTTGTGCGCGCCGGCTAGAGACTGGACAAGAGGAATGGAGGGTTGTGAAGTGGCATGTATATGTATAGTCGAGGAACCGCTGGCGGAGAGGAGTGCTGTTGGCGTGGCCGCAAGAGAGAATATGTCGGTTATGTGTGCTAATAGATATTAGCATAAGTCTAGCTGAAGCTTAAGAGCTCGAAGCTTCGTGTCCGAGGTTGGTTTGGGTTTGGGTTTTAGAAAAGAGTATTGCTCACCATTGTCGATAGTATGTGTCGTTAGGTATTGCTTCGACTATAAATGTATTAGCAAGCTGATATTACGGCACACGGTGTCATTTTCTATTTTCTATACTTACCATGGTGTAGCTATCGATCCATGTGGACTTATTGCGAAGCTGCTGGGTAGAAAGTGTGGTGGGGTTGATGATGTTAGGAATATTAATTGCTGCAGACGGCATCTGCAAGTTGTCTTAGCTATGGTGGGGTTAACTAAAAATTGGAGACCTGAGCAGAGGCTCTTTCTATGCACATCACACATCTCTCCCTTGGTTCCTTCGTTTCTATCTTGTCTACCTAATTTTATTAATCTTAGCGTACGGCAGGCACTATGGATAGGCTAGGTACATGTATTTGATACATGTACTTGGTAGGATGTACATGTAGTTATGTATTCTATCCCGTGGAATGATTGTATAGATCAGAATTATAAACCAGAATTTACAACGACTTCACTTAACATCTGACCTCATAACTATAGCAAAAGCGAGGTTCAGTTCAGTTACACTATTAGGTAGTCATAGACACATACTCAATACACAGGTAAAACGCAACTTCGTAGAATCGTGGTTTCATTTGTACATGTCTTTTACCGTTAATATTTATTGTAGAATCCCTTACCCTTATACCAGAACGCCGGTGATATGCATGAATTCTAGTTTCATGCCTGGTCTGTATTATGCCTTTTGTTTGAAATCCCGTTCAAGCATACCACCGAGACCTAGCCATACACAAATTAGTATATTGTCGAAATCTTGGAGAGATACTACTAACGGCCCATGCAATCGGAGCATAAAGTATGCATCTTTTTTACCCCCCCGCAGGCTGGGCACTTGTTTAATGCTGTGACATCCTTCAGAGCCTTTCCTGCCATCTGCCGATGCCTCTTCTTCATGTGTGATGTCTTTTTCTTGGGTACTGCTCGAAGTATGCCTTCCCATATATCACCCAGCAGAGACGGTATATTTGAGATAGCAGCGGGGATGGCGATGGCGAGTTCGGTCACTGACGGTAGTCGCGACTCTTGCGCATGTTGTGTATACAGAGCGGTTGATCGGAAAGAGGACTGGAAGCTTGTTGATGCTATCCTTGGGAAGAGGGAGGGGAAGAATGAGGCTATTCGTAGTTGCTGGAGGGCGGCCATGGTTGATACCTTTAACAGGTGGACTAACCGTTGCCTTTCGTAGTGTTGTAGTAATGAAGGGTCCTTCTTTCTTGGTCACTTCCCAGGAGAATTGCTGTGCGCAAAAAGAGAAAAAGAATGGCAATTATTGCGCACACCTCTATGTACAACGGCTTCTTGATAGAAAGAGCTTGCCGTTCTCTAAAAAGTTTCTAGTGCAAAAATGGAGATTGATTGGTCGAGAGTTCCGGGCATCTGCCCATCAGCCGGCACCAAATGATGCAGGCACGTACGACTTTCAACCCCAGCTCCGGCCCACTAAAACATCTACGCACGGATGTTAATTGGCCTATTAGCACTTGCCAGCCCCCTTCCCCCTTTCCTGTGGTCCCCAGCCCATGCCCAACTTGCACCTTCTTAACGGAAATTATTGTTTGGCAAGGAAATCGCAGGGAGCAATCTAGAGAGGATCCATCCCCTTCACGTCGAAAAATTCCCAAACGCCAACGAACCTCAACCTTCTTTTCCCCATCAACCATCAACTTCAACTCTGTCTCGCATCAGAGCTCACGTCACCACTCCTAGTCATTCGTTCGTTTCTCCAATTGCCACTAGGCTATTTCTTGGAATAGGAGCCGACATTTTATCAATTCATTGATCCATCAAGTCAGAAGCAATGGCATCGCAAACCATCTACCCTAACAGCCATGTCGGTTTCGACAGCATCACCTCTCAGATCGAGCGCAAGCTCTTGAAGAGAGGTTTTCAGTTCAATGTCATCTGCGTTGGTAAGCCATATATTCTCTCTATTATCCTTCAAGTTATAGCTACCTGATAGCTACCGTTTAACCCGCTGCGGCACGTTCCCCTAGTTCGTGTAACTGACGTGTCTCGTGTCATGCAATAGGCCAAACTGGCTTGGGAAAGTCGACTCTGATCAACACCATCTTTGCATCCCACCTTATCGACTCGAAAGGTAGAATGGTACCTGATGAGCAGATTCGCTCCACCACCGAAATCCACCCCGTATCGCATGTTATCGAGGAGAATGGCGTCCGCCTAAAGCTCAACATCGTCGACACCCCGGGCTATGGTGACTTGGTCAACAACGACCGCTGCTGGGACCCCATCGTCAAGTATATCAAGGATCAGCACTCCGCATACCTACGAAAGGAGCTCACAGCACAGCGAGAGCGTTACATTCCGGATACCCGTATCCACTGCTGCTTGTTCTTCATCCAGCCCTCGGGCCATTCTCTGAAGCCAATCGATATCGTAGTATTGAAGAAGCTTTCCGACGTTGTCAACGTCGTGCCGGTTATCGCCAAGGCCGACACTCTGACCCTGGAAGAGAGACAAGAGTTCAAGGAGCGAATCAAGGAGGAGTTTGCTTTCCACAACCTCAAGATGTACCCTTATGACAACGATGAGCTCGATGAGGAAGAGCGTTCAATCAACACTCAGATCAAGGTATTTTACACGTCATATGTACCCTACCTACCTTGTACTAACGAATTATATAGAGCCTTGTTCCCTTTGCTGTTGTGGGTTCCGAGAAGTCAATCATTGTCAACGGCAAGCAAGTTCGTGGACGTCAAAACCGATGGGGTGTGATCAATGTTGAAGATGAAAACCATTGCGAATTCGTCTACCTGAGGAACTTCCTACTCCGAACCCATTTACAGGATCTCATCGAGACTACTTCGCAGATTCACTACGAGACCTTCCGTGCCAAGCAATTGTTGGCGCTCAAGGAGAGCAGCGCACAAGGCCACGGCAGCAGACCGATCAGCCCTGCCGCAGATCGCGAAATGAGCAGGAGCTCTCAACGGATGACTATGAACGGTTACTAAGTCGTCGTCTAATTTTCTTTGTATGCTTTCTACGAGGCGTTCCTCGGATTCCAGGCTTTCCCATCCCCGCGAAAGATCTTTAATTGCCCTTTACGACTATTACAATGAGCGGCTCCGGTGACTAGGATGCAACGTGAGAGGGGGCGACTCATTTTAATAATTACTCCGAGGGCCCTAAAAGTTCCCTTAGGATGGGATACCCAAAACTGCGTCCGCGTGGGAAAACATTTGAGGTTACGTGAGGAGGCGTATTTGAAGCTAAGGTCAGATATGGTTGACCTGTCTGGGTTGTTCGAGCCTGTTATGTGTTTGTCGGCCAAGCAAGCAGTATTTCCATCTACAGTCTGGCGACGCGACGTTCTTATTATTTCCTTTTTAGTATTCCCCCAAAGCTCTGTTCATCTTCTCTAAAGCTGCTAAGATTAATCCGTGGTCAAGCCTCTACTGTACTCTAATAGAGCCCGCTCTGATACCTGATGGAATAAATACGAAACTTATGCCCCAAACACCTCTGCTTTGAATTTGTGATATATCGTGGTCCCGTCCTATCCTGTTGGCTGGTTTTATATTCCCCGGGATTATGGTCTTATCTATCATTCGATTCTAATGTGCAACCGACATTATTCCTAGCTTCGTTACCTATGCTAACGGTTTATAGATGAAGTCTTCTAACTCCTTGAATGCCTTCTCGACGTCGTCATTAACAATGATAATATCGTGAACACCGGGTGTATTGGCGTATTCGAGCTCGAGCTTGGCCTGATTTAGCCTCTTGACGATAGAGTCCTCGTCCTCGGTACCTCGACCTCGCAGGCGCTTTTCAAGTTCCTCGAAGCTAGGCGGCTTAATAAAGATATAACGCGCCTCTATGCCGCTCTTCTTAATCTGTTTAACACCCTGTTTTTTTTTTTTTTTTTTCACTTCAGCGATATCCTTTTTGACCATGATCTGTAGGTTCGAGAAACTCACCTCCATCTCAATATCAAGTACGACGACACGACCCTTGGCAGTCTGATCGGCGATAGTTTGTTTAGAGGTACCGTAGCGATTGGAGCCGAATTTGGCGTGCTCGACAAAGCCATTGGCCTGGACTAAGGCTTCGAATTCTTCGGCTGACACATAATAATAATCAACACCGTGGGCCTCGCCGGCGCGCGGCTTACGCGTGGTATGCGACACGGATAGAGCGAAACAGTCCTTGTGCGCGTCGAACAGGCGCTTGAAAAGTGTGCCCTTGCCCACGCCCGATGGGCCAGAGATCACGACGGGACGGCGGTCTTGAGGCAGCGCTGTTGCGGGAGCGAAGGGAATTCAGTTAGCGAGGCTTTTTGCCTGGGTTCGATTCGAAATCGTTCAAGTGGGATCCCGAGACGACTGCAACCCCGACAAGCGAGGGAAATAGAAACACATACTAGAAGCCATCTTATCTACGCTGCGAGAGTTGTGGACGACGAATTGGGCTGCCGGCGATGTGCAGAAACGAGAGGCGGAGGAAAAGAAGGTCGGATTGTTAAATGTACTGAATCTACGCAGAGATGACACCGTTCGACGGTACATGTGAAGCTGCTCGGACCAGCCAGCGAAGGTACCTAATGTTCGGTCAATTGATGATGGACCGCCACTGTTTTTTGTTCCTTAAAGTCACACTGCAGAAATCGGCCGGCGCAGTCCGAAGGCAGAAGCAGTGAAACCGGCAGAATTTCAAGGGCTCAGGCTTAGGTTGTTACCTTAATTTTAGGGTCCGACCGAAAAAAAAAAAGATTTGAGGCTGGTGTTGTAGTTTCTGTGGCTGGTGAACGCGGCTAATGCTAGCAGTTGTTTTCATTCCATGCATTAGATCCCATTCTGTCATTTGGCGCCGTCTTGAAGCTAAGCTCTATTCAACCTTTATTGTTACACCATAGAAAAATGGTAACCATTGGAACCCCTGTCTCAGGTCTCAGGGGTGCCCTTACACTAGTGACTAGTGTAGAAAGCGCCACTACGCCCCGGAATTTTTCTATTGTCTTCTCGCAACTTAAATGGATCTTCAGGGGAATCTTAAATGTTCGAATTGTGATTTTCACTAGTACCCACGCGCACAGAGAACGGTCCGTGTTTCATCATTTTCTCGACCCTACACTTGTATAACAGCTGTGACGTCGTTGTAGAACATTCCGAAACTGAGGCATCGAAGGATCAATAACTATGTAGAAGAGACAGAAGAAGAAAGTGTTCAAAGAATAAGCCACAAGATGACCTAACCCTATCCCTCGAACCAGTGCAGAAGAAAGCTTAGCATCTGTTAATAGAATACTTCGCGAGTTCAGGATGCCACCATAGCCTGAAGGAAACTCGTACATCTGACAAGACTGAAGCTAAGCAAATAATAGCCTATGCAGCAAAAGACTTGCCCAATCCATCACGAACCAACATCGTATTAGTCTCGGATTAAACTCCGATAGAGGGTAGGCTGGGTAGAACACCAAGCCACGAGAAAAATTCCCTGAGGAGCAACTAATTCCAGACATGGTTGCCCTAGATTAAATCTAATTATGAAGATATAAGCAAACAGCATACCATCGTTACAAAATGCTGGTGTTGATGGAATACATACACTAGCAACACAAAGTTGTATGACAGATAATACCTGTAATAAAACGTTTGACTTATTAGGAGAAGGTCGGTGAAACTATAAAATTGGTAGAGGATCTTGAACAGGGCATGTTCGCTGCATGATACAGTACGGTTCGATGGTGTCATGATGCCGGACACGGTAGTTAAGCGCGCCAAATAGGTGAGAAATTACAGTGCGAATAGGAAAATAATGCATACCCTAACTAGAGTGGGTAGAATTAAACTAGGTTAGGAGATTGAACTAAGGAACTGTCAGATGAACCAATCCTGGTCGGACTATACTCCTTTCCTTGTTTGGATGGAGACGGCCCAAGAAAGACCAAGACGCCCTAGTCAGCTAGTAAAACCCCTCGTAAAATCGAGACGACATAGGTGGGCAGTCACTGATTGGCATCGTGTAAATGGAAGTAGGTACATTACCATAGTACATTCATTCTGTGTGTGAGTGTATGTGTGTATGTGTGTACCTATGTAACATTCGGTCATTCGCTCCTGCCCGTTGCACCTGCAAACCTGAACCTTGAACCTGCCAACGCTCCCTCCTGCTCCAATCATTATCTATTAATCTTCTTCCCTCCTTCGCACCCAACCTCTTTTGCCTCTTCATGATTCTTTCCATCTTGTCACTTCTTTTCTGCCATCTTCTTTCACTAATTCACTTAGACTTACTCACACAATCGTTATTACTTGGCCGTAGGCTTATTCTCGTCGCTCTCTCAAGAACTCTATTTAACAAAGCTACTTTGTGTTGATTATTCGCGCCTATAAAGGTTGTGAAATCGATATCCCGCAGATACTAATTAAAACAAACCCCCTTCGAGATTCTATTACCTGGAGAAACGAACCTCGCATCAAATACGCCTATTGGAAAACACATTTGGACAATAAAAATAATCATGTTACTTCAATCTGCAATCGTCGCCCTAGGCGGCGCAACCCTAGCAGCTGCTGTCACTCCTCTCGAGGTTCAGGGTCAGCAATTTGTCAACTCCAAGAGTGGTAACGCTTTTCAGATCGTGGGGATGGCTTATCAGATCGGCGGAAGTGCTGGTTACGACCCATCGCATGGGAAGGATCCTCTCTCTAACGGTGATATCTGCAAGCGAGATGCCGCTCTAATGCAATCTCTGGGTGTCAACACGATTCGAGTGTACAACTTGGACCCCAATCTAAACCACGACGAATGCGCTAGCGTATTCAACGCTGTAAGTTTTGGTATATTAAGTGGCATGCGACTCTAGACTAACTGTTGGCGACAGGCGGGTATGTACATGATCATTGATGTGAACTCGCCCTTGGCAGGCGAGTCTCTAAACAGCGGTGCACCTTGGGAGTCGTACTATGCTGCGTACCTTAACAGGACCTTCGCCATAGTCGAGGCATTCAAGTCTTACCCTAACACTCTTGGGTTCTTCTCCGGCAATGAGGTCATTGATAACGTCAAGACCGGTGCCACTGTGCCCCCTTACGTCCGTGCTGTCACTCGTGACCTCAAGAACTACATCAAGAATCACGCCGACCGCGCGATTCCCGTTGGCTACTCGGCCGCCGACGTCCGTGATGTCCTTGAGGACACCTGGAACTACTTCCAGTGTGCTATCGATGGTGACGAGAACGACATGTCCCGAGCCGATATGTTCGCTCTGAACAGTTACTCGTGGTGCGGCGACAGCTCATTCCAAAAGTCCGGATACGACACTCTCGTTGCTCTATTCGAGAATTCTTCAGTTCCCGTCTTCTACTCCGAATTTGGTTGCAACACGCCTTCTCCCCGTGTTTTCACTGAGATTGGCACCATCTATAGTTCGCAGATGATGGGTACTTTCTCTGGTGGTGTCGTCTACGAATGGGCCCAGGAAGACAACAACTACGGTCTAGCTGAATGCAACGACGACGGAACTGTTACACTTTTGTCTGACTACCACACTCTTCACGATCAGTACGCCAAGGTTGACTTCAACAGCGTTCAGAGCGTCAAGGCTACTAACAAGAAGATAACGCCTCCTGAGTGCAAGGCTAGCTTGATCAAGGAGAAGGGATTCAACAACAACTTCACTCTTCCCGCCCCTCCCCCTGGAGCTCAGAAGATCATTGACAATGGTGTTTCGCCCAAACCATCCGGCAAGATTGTTGACATCAGCGACTACTCCGTCAACCACAAGGTCACGGATGTCGATGGAAAGACTCTTTCGGGTTTAGCTGTCAAGCCACTTTCGGGTGACGAAATCAACACACCCAGCAGCAGCTCAAGCGCTACCGGATCCAGCTCGTCTGAATCCGGCAATGCCGCCCCTACTCTAGCGCCTCAAGGCTCCCTCTCCGCTGCCACCATCGTCATCCCGGCGATGATCGCCCTGTCCTTCACAGCCGGGTTCACGCTGTTCTAGGCGATCAGTTGAATAGTTACTGGATAATGAATGTTTGGCGTTGCACCCAGAGTAGCCGTGGGTTATGATAGCGTTTTTGACGTTTTATTCCCCCTCTTGTAATTGCTGTTTTCAGTCGTAGGACACCAGGATCGAGGGCTTCGTTGTATTTTAAATTAAATGTGCGCTTTTGTGCAGTACATACATAGACGTCAAATTTGGCATCATTCTTGTTTGAACCGTGATTTGTCTAAGAATGCCGGTGGTCCTAGGCTGTGTATTACACATGATGAATATACTTTCACGGAAGATTATGCAACCTATTGTACAGAAGGACAAGAGCTACTGTTAAGCTTTCTAGCCTCCAGCAAATATCATTTATTCCTATAAACCATGTCTGAATTGACAATAGGAAATGAGAAAGAATGAATAGACAAGGAAATCTCTACGTCATGGTAACTAATGCCTAGTACATACAACAGCAACCCCTAATATTCTCGTCGCTGCCTATTCCCAGTACTCATCATTCTTAGACCGGCAACTATCGCCAAATACGCAATAGAAGCCACCACCATTGTTATTTGTTTTAGGGCTGTTCATAACAAAGGGGTCGCTGCGGATAGTTCCTCCGCATCTGCCATGTTGCACTTCTCGGACAGAGTACTATTATGGCAAGCATCGATCAGCCATTATTTCGTGATGGGTGCAGTAATATCGAAACGAGGCAGTTCAAATTCGAAAGGTACTTACAGACGTATAGGCGGCATTATACCACACGCAAACCTTATCGCCAGGTTGACCAGTGCATGAATAAGTAGTCCCTGATGTCCAAGTTTTGGATACCTCGAAACCACCACTAATCCACTCCAATCCAGGAGGTGCATCCGCTGCAAGGGTGAAGCCAACGGAATACGATGTCGATTCTTCTTTGCCAACCTCACATTCACCGGAACCGCATGATATAACTTCCTATATATATGTCAACCGAATTTGTCAGGCAAGTTAATTGTTTAAACTCCATGTCCAAGGGGTGGGAACTAGCAAATGTAGGGGTAGGTGCCTTTTGTAATGGCTTCAGGGGTAATGGGAAGCAAACCAACGTACAGTTAGCTGCTGGTGACGGAACGTATCATGGGGGCTGCCATCCCCATCAAGCTCTGTGGTGGTAGTATAGAGTAGGCAACTTGGATTGTCAGCGACAGGGACTGAGTGAACAGATCCGAAACATGCTAAGAAGCACATTGGCATCATTCCCGCAAACTGGCTGAACTTCATCTTTCTAAACGTGATGAATGTTGACTGGAATAAGTAGTAGATGAATCGGTTAGGATAATCGAAATTCTAGCAGGGGACAGGCGGAACACATTAACCTTTTCTCCGTTGAGATAGATATATAACCACAGGAAATTTGGAAATGTTGCGGTTGTTCGGTTACGTTTTTTATAATAAAGCATCGAGATGATATGGGACGTATACTTTGAGCCACACACGTAATTGGCAAGGCATTTTTCCTGGCTTCAGTTCTGAAGTAAACCTGCCTTGCCCGGATGATCTTGGGGCCTTGCCATGTCGATAACAGTAGGAATTCCTATTATTAGATATAGTACTTAGGATCCAGAGGTCACACAGATCCTTTAAGTGTTCCTTAGATACGTCATATGGGAGGCATGAAGCTGAAATCAAAATGGGATTCGTTGCACAAATTCCAAATTTGCGGTGATAAGTATGCCTTTGTGCAACAGTGGCGCTTGACTCGCCTCCACCAAAACGGAAGAGTTCGTTCGCATTTGTAGGATGGTAGAAATAGTAAGAGAGGCGGGAACTCCACCAAACAGCCTTCTGGGGCTCAGCTGAGGATTCGAGAAAAGTTACCTATTCCGCCTTAGAAGCCTTACCTATAATCTCCTTCATGTTGCCCTCCGACATACTTTGATACAAGTGACTGTTGTAGTAGCTTCTCTTTGTATATATAGTAACGTAGCCGGGCGCCTATCACGCAGGTGAGGATATTAGCAAGGGGTGGCAATATAACTCTGCTGAAGTATAGGGAACTATGAACTTAGTTGGGATTAGGCCATTAACACTGATCTGGTTGAAACCACCTTGCCCTATGTACCAGTAACTAGTTTAAAGATCTAATAACTCTTATGTAACACGTTGAGTATTATCATCATCACCTTATGAACATTTTTGTATTTAGGGATTGTGCAATAAAACCTCGGCTAGCTATCCGTTAGTTTATTAAATTTCATCATTTCTCTTGAACCTGACTTAAGCTATTTAAGTTACGTGATTTGTGCCCCGGAATGTAATCATTTGGCAAACAACTACTAAAATAGCTACACAAATTGAAAGTTGTGTATATAATAAATGAGCTTCTCCAGTCGCTTCATTATCATTGCGTGATGTAGTATTAGGTCGGTACTACTATGGTCCTTAGTAGAACCCACAGCATAGTAGTTCACCGGTACATAAAGTCTAGAGACCTTTCTCCTCTATAAAAGTAAATTAGAAACCGAAGACTATCTAATAACAGCCCATATAGTGTGGAAATCACAAAGGGTTGTAGAGAATAATGGAATAATCCATCTTATACCAACCGCCTCCGACTTCTTTGTACAGCGTGTCACTATTGTTGCTTAACAGGATACAACTTTGTTAAAAATAGACGGCCACCAAACAAACAATCTTTAATCAATATTTCTGGCCACTCTCATTGGGCACAAATTCCCGAGTTCACAGTTACCAAGACTGCTTCGGGGAAATGTACCCCAGTCAATGTAACAGCTAGCAGGTAAACTACTAGCGATCCAGAGGCTTTAGGTGAGGGAATAAGTCGTGGTGCAAACCCAGCCTCCTCGGATCTAAGGGCTCATTGTGTGGAGGGAGACGTGAATCTTTAATCACTATGTTAATGTAGCAACCCGTCAGGCAGCGTGCAACAAGGCAACTTCAGTTTGTGATACCGTCCAACGTTGTTCAGAAGACGACGAGGACCCGCGCAGCCCATACACAGCTGTGAACCACAACGACACAGATCATGCACCAAACTCGCAGTCACAATACAGTCCCAAATCATGCCAAGAAGTTTGACACAATTTAACTGTCCTACAACAAACTGCCTCGATACCTCGGCGCCCTTTAGCCATCATGTCGACTAGACAACGGATCCGAGATCTCATCAACGTCGCCAAAGACCATATTTCAACAATATCAGGCGGATACCGCATCTCACCCGCTGATTTCGATCAGCTGTATCAGCTCTACCAACAGGACACCTCAGCAAAGGGGCTCTACGAATTCATTGTTGACCGTGTGTACTAGCTTATGCATAAGAGCTAGTTATATGATTTACTGACCTAGCTACCTAATCTAGATCCGATGACACATGCTATAGCAGGAAAACTGAAAAAGCGACCTATCGACGTGCTTGCAGCCATGGTTGACAAGACAGCAGAGGATTGCCAAAAGGAACTCGACGCTGGTAAGTCAACGCGGACGGGAGACGAGATCACGCCTGACTAACAAATCCTCCTCTCAGAGATCGAGATCCACCAGGCTGCGGAAGTGAAAGCCGCAGCAGAGCGAGCAAAGGCAATGGCCGAAGCCAAAAGTGCGAGTGAGCACACTTTGAAGGGCGATGTGTCGCTACAGATCCGCTGTGTAGATAGTAAGAGTGAGATGGAAAAGTAGGCCTTCTGAGAAAACCCTGAGATGAGAGAGGCGGGACGAAGTAAGGGACGATAGCAGGTTTGAGGGCAATATCATGGCAGCACGAGATGTTTAGCCACTGGAAAAGACCAATGAGTCATACTAATCAAACAGTAATATACAATTCAGAGAATGAAACCCTACGTTAGATAATTCATGACTCGGCAAATAGGCAGCTCCATTTGCATAATGATGTTTTCATAGGGAGTTCAGTGTTCACCAAATTAGGCACCTAGCTTTTCCATCCTGGTCCCCTTTCTTCCTGAAGTATTTAATATAACGCAATCAAATTGACTACTGTCAGTCTTAGTTAGGAAGCAGAAAGAAAGAAGAGGATATTGTAATGGGCTGATTGAGCAAAAGATGGACTTCAGGGGTCGAAGAAAGATATTTGAAATGAATGGACTTTGTATTTACCCTCTTATCCCTTGGCTTGCTAATATGTAGAAAGTAGTAGTAAGTTTCGTATTACTATTGTAATTACATTCGGCTCGAGTCTGAACTCTCTATTTCTGACATCTCCAAAGAGTTGCTATGAATAAGGGGGAGCTGTTATTGGTCTATGCAATTATACGATATTTGAATTAGTGAAGCCTGCCTGCCTATAGTCACGTGACAGCGTTCGGATTTCGTGTTGCCCCGCCAATGATCAGACAGCCAGGGAAGCCGTTGTCTGAAAATCCCCCACGTCATTCCACAATTAAGCCGATCTGAGATCTACAACGTCGCACAAATATCAAACAAATCTTAATATATCCGTTTGATCGTATATTCTATATTTATAGTTAAATCATCATTATCAATTCTAGTCATCGTAGTAAAGTTACTGTATTATCAGTTTTCAATCTCAATAATCACCGCAAAATGACCAATACCAGACGTTCCAGCGGCGGCAACCGCACCACTGGCAAGCAGTCGACCCTATCCTTCAACCACCGGGTTACTAAGTCCGTGCCTAAATCCGCCAAGGACTTGGTCTCCCAACCCGTAAAGCAGAGCCTGCTAGGGGAGCACGTCTCTTCCGCTCAACCGGAACCCAAGGAGGAAGAGGAGGAAGTGGTCAAGGACGAACTCGAAGACGGAGAGCCTTTGGTCAAACAGCCCGATATCCAACCCGAGAAGTCGGAATTAGAGCTGCGCGCGGCCAAGATTACTATTCGTCAAATTGACCAGTATTGGCGACGGCTAGAGCGCGAGCGTATTACTAAGAGGGTGCATCAGGAGGGTCTAACGTTGGCGGAGAAGGTGCTACGATATTGGGATGTCAGCTCCCAGTACGGAGTAAGTGGCTTTAAACCCCCCCCTTTACGTTGTTTTACAGTTTCTAATGAGCCCTGATAATAGCCTTGTGTCGGGATTACTCGCATGAAGCGCTGGGAGCGTGCTAACAAGCTGGGTCTAAACCCGCCGCTGGAGGTCCTCGCCGTACTGCAGAAGGAGGAGTCTAAAGGGACCCCGGGCATCGAGAATGCGCATATGGATGAGATTCTCAACTCAACCTCTGCCGGCGCCGCCTGATCTACAGGTAGTCGGGGCGATGAGACTTGTGGTTTTAGAGATGCGTGTACGATGAACGGGCGGTAGGGAGATCGAAGATCTTGGCCTTTGTGATATTTACGATGGTTTACGCGATGGCGTTGGGGAATCCTGATATTTGCTTGGCCATATTCGCCGAAGATAATCAGTGCTTGGGCTAGATATACTGCGTGATATCATGCATCTTTTAGCTGGTAGCCAACCGGGACTACCTAGATACCTAAGGTATTATAATTGGCTTATGTACAGATTACTACAATCGTAATCCATTTATCCAAACTGCTTAGTACCAAATGCTCCTCGTTCGATGATGTGGAATGGTCTCTTTTCCTTGCGCCTCCAATAGTTTCATGGTGTCGTATAGGAAAAAATCTATCAAAATAGCGTTGATCTTCGCGTCAGGGTGTTGACGTTTGATCTCGCGCTTGAGAAGTTCCACACACCAGATACTACATGCTGATTGACTCTTTTAGTATGTAGCGTCCGGAAGCAGGGGTGAGATTAGGAACGTTAATACTTACCCCTGAGCTGTATTTCATAATTGCTTCCGCTCTCCAGAATATCACCCCTGGCTATCATTGCATGTAGAGGCGGACTGTATCCTATGCAACCCAACGTAGCCAGTATCTGCGGGACACGGTAGTCTGCGAACATGGTGATCTTGTCGATGTCCCTGAACTCCCCGTAGCCCTCACCGTTGAAGCAGGCCCAGATATCTGCTACCAAGATCTGGGCGCGCTTGAGGAACCGGACGGGTTTTCGTCGCCCTTCAAATCGAGATTCGTCTCTGAAACAGTTGAAGTCCCTCGCAAGCAGGTTAACCAAACCCGCGGCCGACTTATTGGCAGCTTCTATGCATTTCGTAAAGCTGCAGCTGTATTTCTACAAGGGGCCGAAGCGCGTTGGCGATGCGTTATCTCCATGCTGTAGTTCTGGTTGGGTTACCTACTTCGTATAAAACTTGTCCTGCTTCCCGTAGGCAGGAAAGCCTTGCTTCTAGCAGGGGAATCTCTTCGTCGGTGCACGACCTGAAAACGTATCTGAGGGATTCAAGGTTGCACTCCTCTTCGTTCTGCCAGTAATGCGGATCGGTTATGGGGATATCTTTGTATTGATTAACTGAGTATGCTCATCTTGGAAGACACGCTATCTTGACACTGAAGAAAACTCTGGGTAACGGATCGTCTGAGTGTTTGATAATATATTGACCAACCTTCTTCTAGTGCTCTCTGCAATGAGGCTACTAGGCTCCAGTATCCGGTCCAGGTCTTGTCTCGATATGAGATGGCAAAGCGTTCCTCTTCCGGGTGTAGGGACCAGAATGAGAAGTTGAGAAGGTCCATGGTAAAAATGAAGGCAACGGTAGATTCGTCTTTTGTCTTGGGATGCAATTCATGTTCGGACCAACTCGCGGTCGAGAACTCTTTCTGCTGCATCTGCTCGTAAATTAGAGCTGCAGCGTTTTTGGACGCCCTCATGTTTAAAGCCACATCGATCGAGTTGTCGCAGACATATTCGGCGCCCTCTAAGACACCGGTCTCTGGCTCTTCATCTAGGTTTAGCTTCCCTTGGAAATGCTGTCTTAGAAGAGCGAGAAGCTCTGGATCCGCCTCGTCGTCCGACATTGTAGCAAGCTCAAATGGACCAGTTCTGAATAGTAATCGGTGAAAGTGTAGTAGAAGATGATCCAGTTGTTTGGTTCTTAAGCCAAAATCTTGGGGATAGTGGGGAACTACAAACATATATTGAAAAATACTTATTTAGCAAGATATTTACCCAAAATTGAAGTTATGCGAAGGAACCGTTTCAATGAAACTCCAAAACAATTTAATGTATCATTTGTATCCTACTCAAAATAAAAGAGTCATATCTTCTTTAAAGACGTATTACTGGGCACTTCAGTTTCAGCTCAAGTAAATACGTGTATTAGGTAGGTACTATTCCCGCTTATCGGTACTTGCATTCTTTTGAAGCTTCACATGGGTCAAGTAATCCGTACATGTAGGTATTGAGGTACTAATTATACCTATCAGTTACATGTACCTAACGTAATGTATACAGGCTTGGCAATCTCAGGAGGGTGCTCCGCACAGGGCACCAAATGATGTGCAACTTGCATACTGTGTTTGGAAATTAGTGGGTAATATTGCATATCAACCCAATAGCGTGAATTCCCGGTAGCCCCACGGCTACCAGCAGTAGCACGGTACCTGTACGGAAGCTTGCGACCTGCCTTGGCTGCTTCTACCTAAATGCTTGCCTGCATTTAACTGCATTCAACTGGGGGCTGCTAGTGTAACTTTTAAAAGCTTTACGGTTAAGACATTACCTAGTCCCCCCGATTGCCCCGAGTTGCGAGGTCATACCAGTAAAAGGTAGGAGCGTCACACTTGCTTCCGGCTCCAATTGAGCCACTACTGTTCGAGCATTCTCCAAGGCTGGCGGCGCCTTCTTTAATACTCGCTTTCTATCGTCTCATCTTTCACACCAAGCTTCTTTTTACCTTTTTACTCCGTCTACTCTATCCTTTTGCTCTCTTCTGTCCCTGGCTCTCTCTCTTTCCTATCCCATACCTAATTCTCAACCGTATTTCTTATTTCCCATTCAGTACGCATATTACACTCTACTGCAAATTACATCATCATATGCATCGACGAAGAGATCTCCCCAGATAGTGACGTGACTTGGGTAGCTAGCTGTTCGAGATGGCAGTGGCACGAGATACCTTCAACCGCCGATCTCTTGGCCCGTCGTTAAACGCGCATGTCAAGGAGGTAAGTCGCCGAACCGCATCCTGCACGGCATCGTCTCGTTTGCGCCCTGCATCTTTCCTACCGCTGCGCGCGCCGTGAACGGTCGATCCCGGCTGTTTGCGATTTATCACCGCAGCCTCAACAACCTTGCGCGACAGCACCTCGCCCACATTTCCAACCTGTAGCCTATACTGGCGTTTACTTCATTGTATATTGACATTTTTCAGACTGCAAGATGGATTTACATCCGGCTTTGGAGTCTAAATTCATGCTAACACAAGATACACAGGCCCGAGTTCTCATGGTTGGCGCAGGCGGAATCGGCTGTGAACTGTTAAAAAACCTTGCCCTCACCGGCTTCGGTGAAATTCACATCGTTGACCTCGATACAATCGACTTGAGCAATCTGAACCGACAGTTCCTCTTCCGACACGAACATATCGGGAAATCCAAAGCCTTGGTACGAGCAAACTATAGATCGGATAGCATAGTATGTATAATGACGTACTGACCACAGGGTTAGGTAGCTAAGGAGGCGGCGGCAGTATTCAACCCAAATGTCAAGATTGTCGCGCACCACGCCAATATTAAGGATGTGCAATTTCACGTCGAATGGTTTAGAGGCTTTAAAGTGGTCTTCAACGCGTTGGATAACCTCGAGGCGCGGCGTCATGTGAATCGAATGTGTTTAGCGGCCGACGTTCCTCTAATCGAGAGTGGAACGACAGGTTTTAATGGACAAGTACAAGTCATCAAAAAAGGTGTTACAGCTTGTTACGACTGCACCACAAAAGAGGCGCCTAAGACCTTCCCCGTTTGCACGATTCGAAGTACGCCGAGTCAACCTATCCACTGTATTGTTTGGGCCAAGAGTTACCTGCTCAACGAAATATATGGTACAAGCGATGATCAAGCTTCCCTCGATGTCGGCGAGAACGAAGATAACGCATCGGAGATTGCAGAGCTCAAAAAGGAGGCAGAAGCATTAAGGAAGATAAGAGAATCAGTTGGCACGGAGCAGTTCGCGGAGATGTTATTTGATAAGGTTTTCAATACAGACATTGTTCGCTTACGCTCTATGGAGGATATGTGGAAGTCGAGAGAACCACCTAAGCCTCTCGAATACAAGACGTTGATGAGCCAAGCAGCCGAGGCCCTCACATCGAAAGACCAGATCCTCAAGGATGGCCAGCGTATATGGACTCTGGAGGAAAATTTGGTAGTCTTCAACGATAGCTTGGACCGCTTAAGTGGGCGAATGCTGAAGCTACTGGCGACACGCAGTGAAGACTCGCCAAAGCCTACCATCACTTTTGATAAAGATGACCAGGACACACTCGACTTCGTCTCTGCTAGTGCGAATATTCGATCGCATATCTTCGGAATAGAAGCCAAGTCGCGTTTCGATATCAAACAGATGGCTGGTAACATCATTCCCGCTATCGCGACCACAAATGCGATCGTTGCTGGCCTTTCCGTCCTCGAATCATTCAAAGTTCTTCGAGGGGAATATGACAAGGCACGAGAGGTGAGTTGTAGAGCTCATTAGACTTGTGCATCCCACTGACATTTCAGGTATTCTTGACGCCTTTTGCGCCTCAGAGGTTACTGGGGACAGATCGTCCTCGACTACCAAATCCGGAGTGCCCAGTTTGCGGCGCTTACAACGCTAATATTAATGTTGATCTATCGAAAGCAACACTTAATGATCTAGTAGAATTTATTAAACAGCAACTAGGTTATGGTGAGAAGGAATTTGCCGTTAATAGTGATGCTGGCTTGCTATATGATCCTGACGAGACGGATAATCTTGATAAAAATCTTAATGAACTCGGTCGGTTCCAACACTCATATCTTTATTGCCATATCTAATAATCTACAGGCATCAAGCAAAATAGCTTTGTCACCATCGTAGATGAGGATGATGACGATACCTTCATCAACGTTGTCATTAATATTCAGGAAGCGTATGTCGTAGCACACAATTCTCACTATACTAATAACTGACTCTCCTTTATAGCGAGCTCGCGGATAAACCCATTAAAGGTCTCCAAGTTGACCAAGAACCTAGCATCCCTCGTCGACCGAAGAGGGTGCTTACTATTCAAAGCAACGGCATTAACCAGACCAATAGCAAGCGTGCTGCCGATGGAGAGCCCAGTATCCCTAAGAAGCGTTTAATCACGGAAGATGGAGCATCTCCAGCAGCCAAGAAGGCGAAGAATGACGATGATGTGGTCATTATTGATGATGACGCTGGTACCGGTGCGATAGAAATTATTGATTGAGTATTCATTGCCTTTGGTAAATGAGAACTCGACGAGATTTACGTTGCACTTAAGCCTCCGTCGATATTGAGGACGCAGTTGTGTGCGTAGGAATTTTGGGCTAGGAATAATGCAGCATTTGCCACCTCTTCGACCAAGCCGAGACGTCCAAGAGGGATGAGAGCAGATAGCTCACTTTTCTGATCCATGTCTATCGAACCTGTATATTAGTAATCGTGTACTTTGCAAGAAGATCGGTCAGGGGAACGGGTTTGAGTAGGCCGGGGGGAGAGGGGAAAAAAAAAAACTCAGGAAGGATGAGATGTCACCTTTCGTCATATCGGTCTGGATATATCCAGGTACGAGGACATTGGCACGAATGCCAAACCGGCCGACTTCCCAGGCCAGAGATCGCGTTAGACCTAGAGCAAGCGGGTTTAGTTAGCTTACGAGGTTGAATAAACGACCGAGTGCGTACCAACGACGCCGGCTTTTGACGCGGCATAGACGCTTGCCCCCCGTCCCCCGTGCGTAGCTAGCAGGCTAGCTACGTTAATAATGCAACCTATAATAATAAGGTCCAAGCGTTAGTTATGAGTTGAAACTAAGTCAGCATGTAACCAAGTTACCTTTTCTCTGCTTCATCATCTTGGGTATGAAGTATTTACAACTCCATATGGTGCCCGTGAGGTTAGTGGCAATGATCTGATTCACGTCTGATGTGCTGGTGTTGAATAAGAAAGAGTTCTGCGAAACGCCGGCCGCGTTGACGAGAACATCACAGGTTTGCTATAGCATCATATCTACGTCAGCGTCGTGTACGGAAACATAGCTGCAAGAGAATACATACTAATTTGGAGTCAGATATTAGCTTTTCCCAGCCATTCTTCGTCGAAACGTCGAAGGCGGCCGTGTAATGCTGCTGTGGGGAACGTTCCTGTCGATGTAGAGAATTAACAGCACTTAGGAGAGTGTGTTCATCACGTCCGATAAGTGTGCAATCTGCTCCCTGGGCGGCGAAGAGCCTGGCGATGGCTAACCCGATACCCCGGCTGCCGCCCGTGATGAAGCAATGTTTTCCGACTAGGGACTGCATTTCTCCTATTCTGTTGCGCAGGAGAATATGGAACTTATTACGAAAGCATTTATGTCATTTTTCTTTATTGGTATTTCATTATATTCCGTATTGGTAGAGAGCGATGCCTCTATATCCATATCCAAGGTACCTAGGGTAAGGAAGTATCTCGATATTCAAATATCATATACGGAGATATGCACCTAAAAAGGCTGGTCACGTGCGTATAGTAAGCTTAAATAATGCCCATGTACATATGTAGTACCTCTGATTCAATTAAGTGGCATCTAATTCGCACAAGATACGAAAATTCGGAAAAAAAAGTACCTAACTTAGTAGCGCCAAGCTCTGGCTTTCTGCAAGTTACATGCAACTTTTCCCCTGAAAGATGACCACTTCGAATCAGTTTTCAGGGGTCCATACTTACACTACACTAGTAGACGAAGGATTGACGATACGACGATACGAATGTGGGGGGAGATATGTACCTATTGTAGGAAATCACAAACGCCTATTTCTGATTTGTACATAGTTGGACCTACGACTTTTAGAGTTGAGATGATGCCAACTCTACAACTTTACTATTCTGCGATGACGGGGGCGGGACTGGGATAATCCAAACCATTTAAAGGGAAACAATTGCAGCTAAAAAAAAAAAAAAAAGGGTAAAGTCCACATAATCCCACATAATCTTAACTTCCAGATCTACATATGCGAGATATCGGGAAAAGATCATAGGTGAAATTATAAAAAGTTATCGAATACTTGGAAGAAAAGAAAAAGAAGAGGAAGGGAAGACCAACCACGATAGGTTATATGCGGTGATCCTTGTGGCTTTGGGACGGGTTGGTCGACTGAATCCTACTCACATCTATTCTTAATTATCTTTTACCTTACCTATTACCTACTATACATCCCTATATTCCTATTTTTTAGTCGCCTTCTCTTACCCTATAATATTCCTACCTAGATTGATATTTCTAGACAATCGCAAGTCTAAAAGTAACCGCCGAGATTGGATCGATTTTCGATGCGCGACCGTCGACATCGCCCACGACTCACGACTCCAAGAATTGACCCGACCTCGACCCCGACCCCGACCGGGACGGGAGCATCACCGGTTACGTCCCGATCGTTCATGCTAGCGTCCAGATTCAGGAGGAGAGACCCCCGGATCCGATGAATATAACTAATCACGTCCACGCCAATGGCGGTGTTGGGCCTTTAAAGAGTGTTGAGGACGTCGAAGAGAAGCCTCCCGTGATTGATGCCGGGTTGCGGAGTTTAGATCATTGTATGTGAAGGTCCCACATACGGGGAAGGGGAATCTTATACAATACAACCTCAAGAACACACACGCTAATCTATCCATCTTGCATTATCACAGACAAGCGCGCTCTTCCGAAATGGCGATACGAGTTGCGACAACGAGCTCTCCCTCTCGTCAGATGGGAGACACCTTATTTAGCCTGGTTACAGGCGACTTTGCGCTCGCCTGCGCTCGACAGTTACTTCGCTATCACGGCTAACCTCGGCACTCATACCTTTTTCATGATCGGTCTACCTATAATGTTCTGGTGTGGGAATGCCTCCTTTGGGAAAGGGTACGGTTATCTATCCATCCCAATTACGAGAAATCGGACGAAGTAGGAATGCGAACAACTACTAACATAGACCATTAACCATTAGAATTGTACACATCCTTGCGACGGGTGTCTTCTTCACCGGCTTCGTTAAAGACTTCTTCTCACTACCGCGACCACTCTCTCCACCCCTCCACCGTATCACCATGTCTGGATCCGCAGCACTCGAGTACGGCTTCCCCTCGACCCATTCCGCCAACGCCGTCTCTGTCGCCGTCTACGCTATCCTATGTCTTCACGACCCCGATAACCCCTTCCAGCCCGCCACACGCTCCGCCCTCGAGGCGCTCGCCTACTTCTACGCGATTAGCATCGTCTTCGGTCGCCTTTACTGCGGTATGCACGGCTTCGTCGACGTCATCATCGGCTCTCTCATGGGCGCTATCATATCTCTTGTCGAGTTCTACGGCGGTCCCGTCCTCGATCTTTATCTCGAGGAGAGCTGGACAAGCCTATGCGGTCTATTACTTCTTATTATCATCTTGATTCGTGTACACCCCGAACCCGCGGATGACTGCCCTTGCTTCGACGACAGCGTAGCCTTTGCGGGTGTTATGATGGGACTTGAGATTGGTACGTGGCGCTTTGCGCGGTCGTCGTGGGCCGATATTCCGTTTGACGCCGTGGCGCTAGGATGGGCTGCTGTTGCGCTGCGTATCCTGTTCGGTGTGTTGGTTATATTCGCATGGCGTGAGGTGGCCAAGCCGGCGCTACTAAAGGGCTTACCGCATCTGTTCCGGCTTATCGAAATTTGGGGCCTCATTTTGCCTCGCCGCTTCTTCATGCCCGCCTCCGAGTACAAGAACATTCCTCTACGTCTCCGCGTCGACAACGTTATGCCTAACGTGAGCGATCTACCCAACTTGATCACAGCTGTACGACACCCCGGCCGCGGCCGTTCCGTTAGCGTTGGCCCCCAGAGTGCGGCCGACGCATACGAGACGCTGGCGTACCGCGAGCGCAGGCGCAGGGAAAGCGTCAGCGTGGGAGCTGGGAATGCAGAAACCAATCCTGCCGCTACTACCAGCAGTACTAGTAACGGCGTGTTGCGTAATAGAGCCAGCGTACAGGATATCCGGCAGCAAGATGAAATTGATAATGCGCAGAGCTCGGCCGTCGGTAATATCAACGGCGCTCATACTAAGCCGAGCGATTATGAGAAATTAATGGGAGAAGGCACAGTGGTGATCTCGCCGGCCGAGACGGGTGGGGAGCCGGATTTGGTAGTGGGACAACATGATGAGTTAGGTGAGAAAGAGGTCTTTTCTAAACTAGTAAAGCCGCGGGTGCGGTATGATGTCGAGGTTGTTACAAAGTTGGTTGTATACTGTGGTAAGTATTTCCCTTTTTCTTCATTATTCTATCAGTTATCATTACCCGAAGCTAGGCGGGGCGCTTCTTGGATATATATATATTAACTAAGAACCCTAGGAATCGGCTGGCTGGCTGTCGAAATCGTGCCCGTACTGTACGAGGTCATTCCCGGCTTAGGCGCGAGCCACCTCCGAGTGGCGTAGCCCAGTCGGGACTAAGAGTGAGACAGGGGGGAGGGGTTACGACACAACCGTAACTTAATTCAGTACGTGTACGTGTGACGCTCACCATGAGACATACCATGATACCATACGTCTGCAGTGCCGATGGTTGCGTTAGCTCGCTTGCTCATGTGATGATATGGAATGCCCATTCTTCTTTGGTCTTCTTGTATATAATTCTTTTCTGGCATTTAATAATATTATATTTCTCCATATATATATTGATTTTCTGTGAGTGGATGTCCAGTCTACACTTTTCACAAGTTTTCTACCCGTGACATAAGTCAACTTCGTTAATGCATCATTAAAGACACCAAGACAATATTGCATTAAAGAGGTTTCCAATCTATAAGAACGTACAGGGCATTTTGGAGACAACCTCCATTTACACATATGCAATAAATAGCCAAGTAAGCCTGTAAACCAGTTTTTATCATAATCCAACTCCTAAATCCCATCGCTGTATACGCCGTGACTACCTCCTATCCTCAGATAAATTATTGTTCATCATGGCAGTTCTGATTCTCACAAAGAGTAAGTCCTATGTCATAGATGTGTTAGTTGGTGAAGCAGTCCTCGATCAGATAGAAATTGTTAATACTCACGTTCTTGACCCCCAATCAGATCCGTCCACAGGCGTCTCCTCTGACACAAACGTCTCCTCTGACGCAAGCGTCTCCTCTGAAGCGCGACCTGGGGGGAAGTACACCGGTGGAGGTGTTTCGGGCGGAGCTAGCTCCTCGGGTTCGACCAAATTATCTCTATGGCGCTGTTCATAGTGTGGCAGCGTTCTGTTGGTGATGTTGGTGATGTTGGTGCTATTGGTGCTATTGGTTCTGTGGGAAGAAATCGTAGTGATTTCATCGGAGCGGTCGCTGGAGCTCAGGTTGAAGTTAAGATCCCAAAGATTGAGGTACTGTGCCCAGCCATGAGGCGCGGGCGCAGGCGAGGAGGCTCCTGTCATCCTTCGGATGACATACGGTCGGCGGTGATGTCCTTCGGACGCGTACTCGTCGAGTGCGGTGGAGATGGTACATACGATGAGGATGGGAATGAGGAATGCGAGGAAGAACAGCGTGAACAGGACGCCGCCGAGGACAACGGGGATCGGTGGCGGCATGCCCATGATAGTCTTGCGTTTCCATCTCTTTTGGGATACCTTGAACCCTAGAATTACACAGATACAGGAATAGATTATAATGCACATGTATAGGAAGGCGGCGCCGAACGATGTCGCAGCATCCAACGGCGATGAATCCGTAGGGGCACTTCTGTTCATTAGTTACAGTCGAGAAGGGGACACTCTCTTCTCAACAAAAGATAGAAAATAACGTACCTCATCGTAGATATTTGGCCAGAAATCTTGTGCGTTTTTTGCGTATTTGAAAGGTAAGTAAACGGTCGGTTTGACTAGAGAGAAAGATGATGCGTAGCATGGAATAAATTTCATTTCCTTGACCCCCTTCAAGTCCAGCCGGGGGTGGGCCCCTTTATATAGTCCTCTCGAATAATAGAGTTTATTTAGTATCCCAAAGCGTGTGCGTGTGCGTGGCCGTGACACGCTCGTCGAGGCCCGAACTATCAGCTAGAGTATGACCATGGGCGCCGGGTCCATATAGTTCGGTGGCTTTGTCAAAGCGCTCCGATATACCTCCATGAGAGTTTGGCTCTTTGGTAGTTTAGGTCGAATCTGTTGAGTCATATCTGTGTGGCGTCAGGGTTCGGTGAGTCGAGAGTGTGGAAGGTAAAAGTCCTCCATGGTTAACCGGTGCTATGCTTGGGCCCATAGCGTAAACCACACAGACCTGAGGGAGGTTGATGGTTGATAGGGGAACATAGCGTATATATTAGCTTTGTTGTGGCAAAGTTAGAACATATTTTGATCTCTGCAAGAGAAATTAATAAAAAATCATCAATCATCTTCTGCATCGGCACCTGGTTCTGCCACTGGTGTTCCGAATGTAGATACTTTATATCTATGGCTAAGGTTCATCTTAGTTCATTGATAGCACTGACTCATTCGGGGCTTAAAGTGTAGGCAGTCCGGTAAGCATACTAGATAACATCATATTAAATGAAACTCTAGGTGCCAATATGAAATGAGGTGTCGGAGAATGCGAGAGCACGTAACTAGGTCTATAAACCAAGACAATATCTTTGGCCTTAATATCCTATAACGTGTTCAACGCTATATCCTACAGGTTAATTTAAATATAGTTGTACGTGAGCCTACTAATATATATCTGATGGTAACGATAGAAAAGCTTGGTCGTCGGATCACAAGCTACGTAACAATTTGCTATTAATCTGCATTTATATCTAAGAAGTTCTCGTTTCCGAAGAACTAGATAAGAACTGATAGTATACGCTCCCTTGACCGGTATATGATTTTTCCATCCAGATGGCCTCTAATAGGTATCAATGATAGCTATGCTATTCATCTGGATAGTTGGCGTACTATAATAGACAGCTAATAATGAATACACGGTTCGAAGATAGATCGAGGCAATATATTTTATGCCTATTTCCATATGGTAGGGACCATGGGAGCTATGAGAGGCCATTATAGCAGAGGGGAACACTATGGGACTCTCTTCTTTTAACCTCTGGGGCCTTAAGGAGTCCCTAAGGCTTGTATCATTCCTAGAACATACATGAAATCACTACTATTATAGCACCGTCTAGCTTTATTAGGTAACCTAGTGTACTACGGTCTAAAGTATCCCTATCCCACCCGGTTTTTCAATATGAACTCGGTACAATATTTACGGAGTTGCGGTGAGATGACAGGTTACTTATGCAAGTTCAACGTGTTTCTCGTCTCCCTCTCAGACAATCTTCACTTCTAGACTCCTATCTAGGGGGTTATGTGTAATCCTCTTCTACCGCAGTGAACTCCCATTTGCTAAGACTAGACGTTTCATGAACTTGCTATCAAAAGTTTGGATTGCAAATAGTATAAGGAATTGCAAGCTGCAAAAGTAACAGTCCTATCTGTACGCGAAATTCTTTCCCTTCAGTACTATGGTAGCTTAGAAATCGGGCTAAGCTTTACTAAAGGTGTTCACCTAACTTTTGACGTAGGAGGCAAATAAATGCCCTATAAATCAACGCAGCACTACTGGCTAACTTTAGTCGACCGCAAAGCGCATAATGATACTCTATGACTCAGACTTAGTCATCAGTGAGGTCTATGACTTCAGATGTAAGACGTCGAGTCTTAGCAGGACGAGCTGATGTGCCATCAGTTCGGTCATAAACCTCACTAACCTCACGCTTGATGGACGTCGGTTCCTTTTTGACGAGCTGCTTTCTTGCCTGGATATAATAGTTAGTTGCGCTCTTTGACGAGAAATACCAAAACTTACATTTATTTCCTCAAGTCTCTCCTTTGCCAGTCGGTTTATTTCAGCCGTAGAAAGTCCGTCTAGACTTGGTGATCCAGGTGGAGTCCGTGGTATTATCAACTCTTGCTGGAGAGCCTCTGATTTAGGTGGTAAGCAAAAGAAATGAGTGGCTCCTGCAAAGAGAACTTACTTTTTGATCTGTATCGAAATTGGAAAATAGCAATAGGCCCATCGTCGCCTGGGAGACGTTTGGTTTGCGCAAAATCAGGGCGTGGTATCTTTGTGCCAGGGGTTAAACTAGGGCGGTAAATTAGCATATTATGTAGAGAGAATAGAACTTGTTGTCTCACATGGTTCCATGGGAAATCGACCTGCCCTTCAGAGACTTCTCGGCAAGCTCGAAAGAAGAAACACTCCGGCTCATGTCCCCGCAGTAGCTGTGATCCTTCTCCACATAGATGTGGCGTTCTACTTTAACCTCGACTAACCCGAGATTTTTGGCTACCTGTTGATCTTTCTCCATGCGGGCCTTTGTTACGCCCTCGACTTAAGCTCTCAAAGTTAGTACCTAACGTTTATAAATTACGAATTTCCATCTATACGTCCTAGCTTACCGACTTTCACTTCAGAAAACTTCAATGCATGGTTGAACCAGGATTTAGTTTTATTGCAGAATGTTGGTTTGCCTTTGATTACACTCTCAAAGTAGCCATTCGTGAGATGGGTTTTATGGATGAGATGAGTCTGGATCCACGTAGAATCAGCCCGAACAGTGAAAACAAGGCAGTGACCCTTGTAATTCCAGTCGTAATCTTTATTAATGCTTAAGCAGAGAGTAAACTCGGTGTTATCGAGCGATTCAATGTATTTCGATGATGTTGGACGACTGGGCTGCTGCTCGGGAACATTAGGGTCATCGTATTCCAGGCAGTCAACACCGTTGATGCGCACGGTGACCGTTATACCAGGAACGGCTTCAAGGATGGCCATGATGGTAGGTGTGTAAAAGAGTTGTTTTTAGCTTGGGTGATAGTCGATGCGGGAACGAAGCCTACCCAGCTTACGGGCAAGATATGTTGATGCGATCTAGGAATCGAGTTTGAAAATATCGGGACGGTTGACCCAGAGGAGTTAATCAGCGTAACACTATCTGGTGATGAGTGGGAGGATGTGTGGTTGAAATTGAAAGAGAGAAGAAATTAACTTTAGAAAAATATTGTAGTTGATGTCTACCTACCTAATGTAGGCAGGTACCTAAGAATATGTGCACAAGGTAGGTACCTACGTGAATTCGAGGAACTGCAGGCACGTGCCTGCTAAAGTTGTTCTTGCACTTTCTTAGATTATGGGTTCAAGAGGACTAGGTGCTTAGGCAGTTACTAACTAAAGCTACACGGAAGAAGCAAACTGCTACATACGGTAGTTGCAGTGGGCTTGTAATGGACTTCTTTCTTTATTACATAGGAATCTACGGTTCGCGATTCTGTCGCACCTTGTCAACAGCAACGGTGCGGTTATACAACTGCCGGTTTTACACAGGCCCGGATCCCTCTGGTATCTTCTACCGTGGGAAAGTTGGACTCGTTTACAGAACATACCCCTATTTCTGGAACCAAATGTTCTCTTCCACCCCACTTGCCGTTGGATGAAGTAAGACCGCAAAATTTAATAGCTGAGTGTCTATTGAGCATAGGGTGTGCAGAGGTTTAGAACACATAAGCTTCAAATATATACTCGCCTAGATGGACTTTGGCCGTGGGCCTTCGTGTGGTATGTGTAGTATGTGTAGTTTCGTAGAGTAAGATTATGATATGATATGATACTCACGCTGCCAACGGATTAGCGTGGATAGTCACCTTCTCGACCAACACCTTCTCCTTTGGTCGATTCTTCTTGTCCACTTCGAGTGCTTCTAGTTTAGCCAAAGTAGCGAGGCTGTCGTCTCCAATAAGCTTTCCAAACACGGTATTCAAGCCATCCAGATGAGGTGCCTTATCGAAGATAATAAAAAACTGTGAGCCGTTGGTCCCGGGTCCTTTATTTGCCATTGATACTATTCCACGGGCATTGTGCTTAAGTGTTGGCCGGATCTCATCCTCAAATGTCCCACCCCATATTGACTTGCCACCTTTTGGGTTATCTGGTGTAGGGTTTGCTGGGCCACCTGTTTGGACCATGAACCCAGGGATCAGTCGGTGAATTGGCGACTGGTCGTAGTAATTTGATGCACATAGTGCTAAGAAGTTCTGTGTAAATGTAAGTTGCCTGATGATGTTGAAGCGAAGGCTTAAGTTGGATGGGTATACATACCTCTGCGGTTTGGGGCACGCTTTCACAGAAGACCTCAATTTTGAGATCACCCTGAGTGGTGTGTAGGGTGACGGACATGGTGTTGAAGAACTCTTAAGACAGGCAGCATATCCGGGAAACTTGGACTACGCGATCGGGGTCCTAAGACCTCTTAGCACAGCTCTATCTAGTGCTACGGGATCGTATGAAACAACGAATGACGAATGACGTGAAGTCGGAAGTTCAAAAAAAGTTACGATTCAGCAATAAAGAATTGTGGGGGTCGCGGAGTGGAGGAGGCTAATACAGCCAAATTTAGGGGCCGATGCGGGGCTAATACGCCCTAAATTGATTGGACGGGGGCTACCTAGTTTGGTACATAGGGCTGGTAGGTAGTACATAGTACGTATGTGCCTGTAAGAAACAGTGGACTTAGACATGCAGGTCACATTTTGTGGTCTATCATCTTATCCCATCATCATTTTTTATCTGTAGTCCTTTTTGTAAGGATCAAAAACTACGTATTGAGAACGCGGGGACACGTGGGAGCAACACCTGCGAATCATCCCACGATTTCCCGGAAACATAGGTAGGGTTCCCGCCGTATAATTGATGGCGCCCTGGGGGGTTACATTGCTGCTGGGCGGCAAAGGCGCCGTGTATACCTCCTATGCGGCTTTACATTGGTGTGGTATCGTGCATACATATGTAGGACTTTAGACAGAACGGGTTGTGGATTGTGGATTGTGGGTTGTAAGCGCTAAGCATAGCTAAGGGCTGAGGGCTGAGGTTGAAGGGTTGAGCTCGGTTTATTCTGACAAATAGTAATTGCTAGCTCTATTCTCTTCTATAAGCATGTTATTAAGACTAGAAGCTCGATAGCATTATAGCGTTGATCAATGATCAATGCCTAACTTATTGGTTTAGTAGATACTTGCATGTATGAAGGCAATAAGACAATTTGATGAGAGCAAAAATAACACTTGTGTAATATTGCATGGTATCGATACCCAGCAGCCTAGACAGGGCCTAGGCAGGGGTAGCCTTCAGGGTCATCAGCCTCATCCAGTTGGCCAGGTTTAGGCTCCTACATGGCCCCCAAGCTAAGAACCCTTCTGTACATACCTACAATGTACATACATAGGATTTCGTGAAGGTACACGTCTGTGTCGGAATACACCAGGCTTCTATGCAAATGGCAGTCTGTTTCACTGGCCCGAAGTTACACTCCCACGTGTTGTCATGCACATTATGGCACCAATTACCCATCCATTTTTTTTTCTGTATTACTGAATTATATATAGTTGTTGGGATTGAAATGTTCGATGTTGCGATGGGGGCGGAATGTTTACTTAAAAGAAATAATATAGTATCGATAAGTACGCGTGTTTTTGAGTGGAAAAGGCCAGTATAAAGTTTAGTAGGGTATTCATTTTATTGTAACGATAAATCATCTCTACGACAGTTCTATATATCATATCTGCGATGCTAACGTGTTTGGCTAACATCAATAGTTGATATAGCCTACTTCTGTCGTCATTAACAACTCAATATACTCAACTATAACAACACAGTTGCGCAAGACATGAGATTTATAAGTATGCAGCCAATTATATCAATATATCCCTTAGGTACTTCGTACGTAGAGATATACCCGGCGAAGTACTTCTAATGATGTATGTACCTGTTGTCGGTGGGTATCATTGGTACGACACGTTGAGTTGCTGGTACCTGATATTTTATACTCTGGGCTCGCCTTTGTAGGTACTTGATATATGTCAGATAGGTACTACTATGTACCTCCACTACGCCTAACCGCCCGAATCGGAACGGCCGTCTATTGGCTTTAATTCAAAGATGGTGGAAGTCTCTCCAAATCCTCGTGCTCCTACAGCTTGCCAATTTCCCTTTTCAGCTTCAAAATTTCGGGCAGGTGGTATCTGTCACATTTTCCCATCTTCCACTAGCTAAACTCCCTAGAAACATCCTTAAACATCCCTAAACATCCAAGCATTCAAGCTTTAAGAGACGCTTTTTTACCTTTTACCACGCATTATATTACCCACACCTGGCAATACATAAGGTACCTAGGTACCTAGGAAGAATCCCTGGCATTCTTTCCACCCCCGGTATAGGACTTGTGGGGTTAAAGCACTTGATTCTACATAATTCAATGTAAATTGGCCTTCCAGAACCTTATCCCCCCTCTCCCCCTCCCTTTTCGCGGTGAACCTTTTAGTTGGCCGTTATCTGGTCGTATACCTACCAGTTTCGTTACGTAGCACACTTGTAACAATACAAGCCAAGTCCTAGCAGCCGAGCTTACGGAGCTACAAACCTGCCAACTTCAACGTCTGGAAATCGAGGAACAGTAACCTCCAGGGGATATCCCACTCCGCTCGTTTTTTTGATACCATTTTGATATACCATTTTGCAATCAATTCGCCTATCGATCTTTGTGGAAACCGAGCGGGCTGTGACTTTACATACAGTGCACCTACCCACCAGTCGATCATCGGTCAATAGTCCAGTCCACAGCCCGTCGATTTCGCGTCACTATCTCAGCCACCCGTCTCCATCAGCTACCGAGCAACCAAGCAACCAAGCTATCTGTACCTAACCTAGTATCTACATACCATACCTCATAGTATACGTATTTACCAATTGCTGCGTCCCGCCTTTTTGCGACTCTCCACCCTCAATTCCCCTTGAAAGGTAACACTAATAAGCGACACCACTCTCGACGATAATAACTTCGCTTACCAACCACACCTATACTCGAGCCTCGACGACCTTACTGCGACGAGCGACGACTAAAATTTGACATGTAATGCGCATTTCCACGTCATATCCCGGACTGTGCAGAGATCGCATTTCGCAAGAGGGTGTCGGCTTACGGCCGTCCGCGAGGAATAGATGCGCCCGGCCGACGCTGAACATTTGCCTTTTCTTCCACTTACCGGACACAGCGCGTAAGGAGGATGGCAGAACGAGTGCAAGCCCTGGTTCGGGTTTCCGGCCCTCCGAATAGCAGTTTTTTAGTTGGCTATCCCGGTATTTCAGCGACGTTGGTGAGTTTGCGCATCGATCCCATTTCCTACCTCGTCCTTAGCCTTAGCTTCCGCTTCCGCTTCCGCTTCCTCGACGTGGGGTTCGCGGCTCGGATAACCCGAATTTAAGAATGACTTGAAGCCTCTCCAACTACCTAACTCGACTAACGCATGTCTGTAGCCGCGCATTGAGGGCAAGGTCGAGATTAGGCCTGCATCGGGGTATTCCGCCCCCGTCGCTATCTCTCTAGTACGAATATGTCTACAAAGAAGAGAAACGATCCATCCAGCTGCCGAAAACGTAGCCAAGCGCCACCTCGGGACTCCTCGACGCGATACCACGGACGTTGTTGGAAAGGAACTTCTACTATACCGGTGCGCAACGGGCAGGGAAGCAGAGAATGTCATGACGATGGACCTGCCATTCGTCTTGTTTATCCCGTTTGGACGAGGCGGTGAAGAAACGAACAGAAGGATACCGCCGGCTTCGTTACAACTCCCAAGCAGGACGGCTGAGACATATTACGAACTAGTGGTTACCGTGCAGCAAGGACAGAGCATCCAGAATAAATATGCGTTTCCGGTTCCCTTACAACGATACGATACGTTATCGACCTTTGGAATGTATAACAGGCCTGAACACAAGGCCGTGACCTCCGATAACATAGTCACGCTCGGCATTTCGCTTCCAAGATGGAGCTACGGACCTATGGACCCGATTACGGTATATATTAAGTTGGCCCCCAACCTCGATTGGCTAGCCAAGGCGAGGAAGGTGACCATACAGAAGATCACGCTCGCGATAGAGGAAGAGATTACGTACAATCCCGAAGGAGACGAGCCGACCAAGAAAGTGAACAGGTTACAGAAACATACACAGACGATAGGAGCCAAATTGCCGGAAGAAGGTTACGTTACTAATATGGGCATTATCTTTCCGCACAAGGACCTAAGGGATGCGAATGGAATCATTCGAAGGGGGCAACCGGCTTTCCCGAACTACGAAGTCACATCATTCACGACAACATCTACACTCTACAAGATCGAGTTCTTCCTTACTATTAAGGTATGTTGGATACGAGCGTGGTAAAAGTCGCGAAGGGCCTTGTTTGTAAATTATCGCTAACACCCGGTATAACACAGGCCCAATTGGCATCGGCCCGTGATATCACCCTTCGACAGCCTATTGTCATATGCCCACTAGATCATCAGGCATGTAAGGAGGAAATGGACGCCATCGAACAGGCAGCGAAAGATGCCTCCGCAGTCGATCAAAACAATCCAATGCTGCCGGCGAGAACCATCGTTTTGGCCGACGACCCGAATGCTTTAGCATCTCTAGGATATTGCTTAGTAGGAGGTCAGAAGAAACCATTGATCGAATGAGAATGGTATCCTACGAATTTGATGAGGCCGGGGTGTCTAACTTGAATTTCGCGTGATACTATACCCGAGCATTGCGGTTCAGCAAGTTTAACGAACGGGGACATACTTTTCACAGGTTTAGGCGTTCGAAAATTCGTCTCACTCAAGAACTTCCGTGCATCCGAAGGGCCATTGGTTCTCCATCAGCGTACCAGCCCGAACTAATATGAGAGGAGTAGAATTACTGTCACAGTAGTGGAGTGCTAGGCCAATGCACAATGCAATGCAATGGAACTGGTTGCTCGTATTATGCATACCTGCTAAGGAGATTAGGGGGGTTTTTAAGCCCTTTAGCTCTTCCTGTTAGGGTTGCAGCAAGATATACCATCAACTCCTTAGACGATCTATGCAAACGGGCAAATAAAGCATAGGCATGATTCATCAGTAATCATTCGTTCAGGGAGATTTCAGAATGGGATGCGAAAACGGAGTTGGGGTTTAGAGGATGCGTGGTTTGATTGTAACAGCTTTGCGTTCAACGGACACGCCTACTGTCGTGTCGGATTTTGCGGCGTTACGGTCATGAGGTATTCCCATAGGGCGGTGCAAGATCGGAGAATAGGATACCAGCACATCGAATTCCGGGCGTTCATGGGGAATACGGTTATATGGATGGCCTCATCTTTACTTTCTCCCTTCCTCTAATTACGAGCACAGAAATATTATTATGTGCTATTCGCCAATAGGCCAACCAGCCTAAGGATACGACCGGATAAGAGGAGAAATGTATCATGGAACCTATTTTACGTTGCCACCGAGGCGTCCGTCCAAGAAATTGATATTGTAGAAGTTGGATTGGTGGAATTGCATCTACGCATACATAGGCCGCAACTTTATGATATCCAGCTTGGACAAGAATGAGTGTACGTTGGTGTGGAAAGGAATTCTAGCATTAAAGAAGGTTGGCCTATATCCTTGGCGCTATATTAAGTATTGCATATGGCAGCGGTACACCTTATAAAGGCTGCTTGGATATTTTGGCATAGGTAACTTAGGTATTAGGCCAATTTTTAAATAATTATCTTATATTGTTTGTTTACATATGGAGTAAGGGATGCATGTGCTTGCTGAGATATCTCGATTTTCCAAATCACCTAAGGGGAAACCTACCTACATATACATATTGACGTATTTGAGAAGCTTTTACCCCGCCCCCTCCGAACTAGTCCAAACGTAAAAATGAAAATAATACATGAACAAGTTGCCGGGACTACCTGATAAATAGATCCGAGTTTGGTTAAAAAGTTGCATATTGTGCAAAAAAGATATGTTTTGAGAGCTGCAGGATTCGAACCTGCGCGGTTTCCCATCGCGGGTTATAAGGTGTTCTTTTGGAAGACCTAAACACGACGCCTTAACCACTCGGCCAAACTCCCATTCGTTGTTGAAGAACTGGACTGGTGTTTTAGTATATAGCGCAAAGTGTTTGGCCGTCAAAATTTTCTCAGTGGTGAAAGAGTAAAGGCGAAGTTGATTGGACAACCTAAGCTGTCTAGGCTAACTTGGGCTTGGTGAGCAGGTGGGTCCTAGGCTAGGAAAATAACCTTTAGCTAAGATTCTTCTTTTCAGGCACAAGGCAAGCATCCTGGCATCTCGCTTACCTACCTAGGTAAAAGAAGAAGAATATGAGATTAATAGTCTTCGGTTCTGATGGCATATATTGAATATATTTAATAAGTGTTAGGCGACATTCATTCTTTCTCTTACCGCAACAATTCCTTTCAAGTGAAGTAAGACCATTCTTTAAGCAACAATATTTCAAACTTCACATGCGGTTACCTTCATTAATTATACCATCATAAAGATTCCGACTCTAACCGGGGTTCGAGTCCTTACTCCCCCCCAAATCTCAAGCAAGATGGCCTTTGACGACGAAGATCCCACTCTATCGTCGGTTTTACCACCCACTACTGGGGACCAAGGAGCAGATGAGACGCCGTCGCTTGAAGATGCCCTTGCGGATGAGATGCAGGATTTCCGGCTGTTCGCCTCACTCTTCGATAAGAAGCAAGCCGGAGGTAAGACGTTACGCCGCGGCGAGAAGGATTTCGAGTCGCATGGCACACGCGCGCAACAGAGCGCCTTGGACGCCAGTCGCGATGCTATGCACGAGGTCCTGAGCTACACCCGCTCTCATAAGCCCAAGGATCACACTCGCGCTTGGTACTTCCCGGATAAATGGGTTGATGCGCCTCCCACGGAGGAGACGGAGGGAGAGAAGGGCGCGGGGTTGTTTGCTAGAGAGCGTGTGGTGGTCGTGGAAAATGAGATAAAGGGGCCCCTTGGCCAGAACACTGGCCGAGTTGTCACTGGTCTCGAGGGGTATAAGCAGACGCCGGGGTGGCTTAAGACGTGGTTATTACCGGAGGAAGCTTTATATCTGGTCGAACGTGGCTCGTTGGATCTCTGGTGGCCGGCACGAGGTATCGAGGATATCCTGCCGGTAAAGCAAGACGGAGCGAATGAGAACGATGACGAACTTGGCAGAAAGTTTGAGGACTACGAGCTCGGAATCCCGCTTAGTTTCCAGGCAGCATACGCACTTCTTATCGGCCAGGACGGCGAGAGAGGCAAGGTTAGCCTCGAGAAGTATCAGGTCTACGCTAACCTCCGGAGAACCGGATATAAAATCATGAGAGCGACTTCAATACCGTTACCACCGCCAATCTCCGCCAAACCTTCATCCCAGGCTCTATGGCAGTGGTTATTCTCTTTATTCTCCGTATCATCGCAAACACACACGCCGTCCTACGGACCCCTCGTCAAGCCAGGCCTCTACCGTTCCTACAACCCAATCTTCACACAGCTCTCCCTACTCCCGCGACACACACCTACCCCCAACCCCCAAGCTTCCACCCCACCGCCGGAAGAGCCGTTCCGGATCCACTTCCACGTGTGGAAGAGTAGTACCGCGTTCCCCAAGACCAAGCCCCCCTCTCCCGACTTCCGAATCGCAGTCGCAGACGCGCGCAGCTCGTCCGTACCAACTCTCGAGCAGCTGACGGCGCTCCTGGAGCACTGCACACCGTGGGATCCGCCCGATGTGAAAGACGGCAAGGATGGAGTGGGAGCGGGGGCTATGTATCGCCGTCTTAAGCACGCGTGGCGCAACGCGATTATCGCGGTCGTGGATCGCGGGCTCATTAGCTACGTCCGGTTTGGCGAGATGGCGTTTGGAGAGGAGAAGTTGTACGAGAATGTTGGTGGGGGCAGGGGGGCTAAGGGGAAGAGAGGCGGCAGAGGCGGGAGAGGAGGACGAGGCAGGGGGAGGGGGAGAGGACGGGGCGGATGAGTTTATGTCTGGGTTATGTCGTCGCCGATGTCTGCGACATTGACATCATCCTACTTGTTGAATTGACTGAACGGGCGAGTACCCAATTCAATCTATAAGCTCGATGGATACTCAACTGTATACGAAAACACAAATTACCAATTGTACCTATATGCGCCGATTCTCTTGGTGTTTAACGAGTAGTCAGTCACGCTGAATATATGATGATCATTAATTTCCACTTCTCGTATCTGGTCCTGCTGTGTATGTCGATGATCAACTAGCGAAGCCTATCTACATACGTAGCCTAATATATTGCTACTACACGTGGCCTCCCTCTGCTATCCAAGAGACGCACGTAGATCAGACGCCTCTGAAGAAAATATTGATCTTCTAAAGAATGAGCGTCTCCCACGTTCCTAGTGCGGCCCTGGATGGCATCCTTGTCTAGGTATCATCTCGATATAATGTTACCAAACCAACACTGAACTCTGTCGTACATGGATTAGTCGTCAGTAGTGCGATAGTCATATAATCGGACCTACGCACCTCTTACCTGACTACCTACCCGAAACGAACTTTAGATCCGTGCGATATTCTTACGGTGGGGGGAAACGACCTCGGACTCTTTAAAGCCTTTTCCTTCTAGTCGCACTGTAACACAGCTGCCATCGTATCACTAATATGTATTGATTGATTGTGGCCACATGATGCGAAACTGCTTAGAAGAAACTGGATAACTACCTACCTAGCTAGCTAAACTGCTTGTTGTAATACGGTTGGTGTCGGCAGATATGTACATATCTTGTCTTACCTGTTGGAACACGAGGAGACGAAAGTTCCACAGTAGAGTCCTTGTGTTGCGATGGTATCGACAGAATTAAAATTGGAAAATTTTCTTCTTTAATAATTTTTTTCTGTCGCTCTTCATCGTAGTTTGTTTGTTTCGTCCGTATATGGATTGGATTTAATCGGCTATATGTAGCCTTAGATAACTTATCGCTTTTGTCTTCGTCACTATTGTCATTAAGTGTAATAAGATAGATAGATACACGTGACGTAATAATTAGAAGAGTTGTTTGTTAGATTTATTATATAGCATTATCACATGATTACGGAAATGAAATACACACGTGTAGGTTAGAGGAGAGGGGGTTACGTACCTAATCTAGAGACAGACTTTGTCGAGTTCACCCGGGACTTGCAGGCAGGGGTAGGTACCTCAATACATACATACTCGTAAAGAGAAAGTCTTGGCCCCTGCTTCTATTGAATTGCCTTTCCACACCTAATCATCAACCCAGTGCAACTCGTCTCATATAAACCTATAAGAAATGAGTTGACGTTCATGATTCAACTACAATTGAATCTAACATCTGGGTATTTGAATTATGTTTATGGTGTCAATGTCATCATCGCTAAGTTATTAGTGTGAAACTTGAGAGTCTGAGTCTGATGAACAAGCGTAAAGCATAAACATGACACATGGAATTGCGAAAGGGCTTTTTAGGCAGTTTGAGAGGGGTATCGAGTTTTATTATTATTACCTGCTACCTGCTGGCGGCACCTTGTGTCGCCCCTTCGGTCAGACCGACATAGAGTCATTTCTATTACGCCGACTCGACTGACTTATTATTCACTCGAGTAGAATCAATCGGTCTCGTCGCACGGGCACGTAATGTTTATCAGCAGAGGGTTAAGTGATGACATGATGGCGTAAGATTCGTGTATCATCATACCCTATCAGGTCCGTCGATTACTGAGAGATATATAATCTAGTTTAGACATGCAGCATTAATACCTTACCTACAGTAGGTGCGATACATAGCTGGATACATAGTTGTGTCCACGTTGCATCCTAGCCTCCATGCGTATTAAGAGTAGAGTATCATGCGCCGAATTCTAAACTTTCTGTGACGTCCCCACCGGTGTTTAACTCGAGACTGGGAAATTGATGATCGGGTAGACGCGCAACCCGGCGATCGAAACTGTTATTTCTAAAACTATGAAGTAGATATCGTATATGTTAGGTTAGGTACCTACATATGTCCATACCATAGCAGCATCGTGGGGCCGATTGCAGACAGCTTAATATCAATTAATGCTAATAGTGTAGTTCCGGTTGGGGCTAAATGGATAGCAACGCTATAATTATTACGTAGAGCTATAATTATTAGAACCGTCTACTGTTGCTCGAAGCTGGTTGGTGCTGACCCATGTTACTTTTTCGCGCAGACATGTCATGTTGGAAGATAAGCGCGGCATCGCACCTTAACCTACCTATTCTTGTCTCTAATGATCAGTAATTGTATCCGCAGGCTGGGCTATTTAGTATACGTGCAAGACAAATTGGCCCTTTAGTCCGTAGCATTTTCGATTGAATACAACTATGAACAACGACCCTTGAACATGCAGCAGATAGCCGATTGTTAAATGCTGTCTTTGCTGATAGCTAAAGTTATTAATAGGGACCCATAAGTGCATGCTACAGCAGGCTATTTGACGTTTCTACCTCTATTGTTCTTAACTATCTAATGGATTTTGGCGGAAGGAAGACATGTTACGGCTAAGAATAACGTCCTTCCCGTTTAACGCTTTTTAACTTGCGATTTAGATAAACAAACGCGAACTTCGCACTCCTATGCATTTAAGTTCGTTGGTTGTCGCCAAGCCTTGTCTAATACAATACTCTTACCCAATTCTATCCCTACCTCATACCATCGACTCAATTCACCTAAACGGAATAAGCAGTAGGTTTATCTAGACAATCTTAGATGGTAATTAAATAGGGACTGGATGATCTTATCAGGTTTTCTTTGCGCTTATTCCCGATGCGATGGACCTAAACTTGTCGGTGAAGGAGGATTGAGTAGGATTAATATTTTCTACTCATAGAAAGTGTACGTTACACAATGCGAAGCGACTCTAATCCAGCCAGCCACAAGCTCCTTTTGTATACGACCATAGAAGCCTGCCTTTAGCTGACAACATATTTAACATAATAGGTAAAGAGGAAAGAGGTTAGGTTACAATCTAGATAGGCGATGCATTCGTGCGTAGCATTATGTAAATGCCCGGGTCACACAGCCTAAGCAATAGCGGCCATGTATAGTGAATAGTAATAATAGTGTCAGCTCGTATATTCCTCCTCTTGGGGCTTTCTTGGGGCGTCGCAAGTAGGTATTAAGTAGCCGGTAGCCGGTAGCCTTGAGTAAAGGTACCTAACCTACCTACTGGATATTAGCTGATTACCTCCTAGGTTAGTATCTTAAAAAATTGTACGTGGCTCTGTACGAGCACGACATTTATTGGACTTCCCAAACTTCTATCGATAGCGCACTATTAATTAGCTAAGGTTGGCAAGTGGGCTGTATTAGCACGTCACCAATCAGCTTAATCAAATTTCTGACTTGTTCTACCCCTAGTCGGGCCTTAGTTTAAGAGAGCCTGTATTGCACAATATTAACCCCCCCTGCTCGGGTTTCCCTTGGGTCAGACAACTTTGATTTACAAACGCTTACTTTTGCCGGATACTTCTCACACGATATCCATTCCCACCTTTAACCTTTTTCCACCTTCAACTTTTTTTTTCTAACTAATTTTACCTTGCTTGTGCCGGAGAGACGACCCAATCCACGCAGACTTCTTGTCATCTTTCCCCCTCTTCTCTTTGGGTTGGATAACTAGGTGCCTAATCTTCTTTTACTCCCTCCCCCGTATTGCCAACTCTCATTTCCGCAACTCGCCATATTCCAAAACCTTGTTTCGGTAAGTCCTGCAAAACTACTCGTTCTCTTTTCTCCGCCGCGTATGCCCTTTTCCGTCCATCATAATTCGCGCGCCAATTGGACCGTACCGTCTCGGCAACTCGACAAGTGTCGTCAATTAATTTTATTTCAGATTTGTTGCTACGTGACTGTAAAAAAAGGTTGTTAGGCTTCGACGTATTTCTATTTTCCACTCGAGTCACTCATTAGTCTGTTGGTCGCACTTGGACCTTATCTAGAAACACACCACGCTGGTCTTTTTTCATTTTAATTTTTTTACTAACTCTATGTCTAGGATTAGATTAGTCTCTGCTACCTCCGCTCTTTGACTTCAAGGTTATCTTATCCCACACAGCTTTATACACAAAGTAGTTTAGCTACCATCTCCGCAAACTCGCCCGTCGGGTGGAGAATAACCAACAAATTGTCAACGAGTCTTGTTTCGCGTCTTGCCTCGAGCATAAGGCTTCCTTGAGTCTTTACTCTCCTCTTTTGGAGATACTTACGCATACCTAGTGAGTCCCGCTTTTTCTTGTTTCCAACACTTGGAATAACACAGTGGGCCTTGATTATAAGCAATCAGGTACTTCGTCATTGTCAAGTGGATTCCTGTTCAAATGAACATGAGCAGGACTGTTACCAACTGCCAACTAAGCCACGTACTGTGCGTCATGCAGTTTCTGTGAAATTTCTTCCCTAGCAATTGGCTCTTTTTTGTACCGTGCGTACAATTATACGCATGATAATGACCGAGTTCCTTCCAGTTGACTTGTTAATAATTTATTAACAAGACCTCAGATATTTTTTCAACAACCGCCGACATTTTCAGCATTTTCAGCTGCACCATTGCTAGTTCTCATCATTGTTCTCATCATTGTCCTCATCGTAACACTTTTCAGTTTGTACGATTTGTCAACCATGGAAGAAGAGAACAAGAAACTTTTATCCCCCACCCCTATCGAGGCGAAGGAGGGGGAGACAGTAGAACCTACTGTTGACGAAAAGTAAGTATACAATTCCTTTCTTAACATTCTGCCTTGCGTCTCTTATCTATCTTCTACTCGAGTTTCGATATCTACTATCACCACGCTCTACCAATCCCCTTGGTGTAAATCACATCGTTGCATCCCTCTTCCCTTTTGAGTCAATCTCTTCGAAGAACTTGTACCTTCTCTTTGCGGTTTCGGTACCCGTATTGGCAGCATCGTGACTTCCCTTTTGCGCAACTTACCAGTCGTAGCTCAAGTTGAGCCGCATTCGAATACTTCGATTGGTAGACCCTATCCTACCCCACCTCGTCCTATCACAACATCAACTCAGCAATTATACCTTTCATCTCTTCTTTCACTTCCTGGACAAGTATATGCTAACATATCTCGAAGACGCGCTGTTCCTGTCCATCCCAAGCAGCCTGCGCCTTCGGAAGAACCTGTCCCTGCTGTCGATACGACTGAAGCTGCAGTTCATGAAGCTGAACTAAGCTCGCCTCCCGAGAGCAGCTCGGTGTCTAGTGTTAACCCTGATATGCTAGGCGACGAGATTGTTGTTGGTACACGTGCTAACGGCAACAAATCCCCTGCACGTCGAGTTGCTTCCGAGCGAGGGGACGTCGACATGCCTGACGTCGAGGAGGACGATGAGCCCGTCCCACATTATCCGAAGCGCAAACGCGCGTCACTTTACAACAACCTTGGCGATGAAGAATTAGAAAATAGCCAGGTCAAAGATGTAGATGATGTCGACGAGGGTTCGGCTAAAGGCAAGCCACGGCAAAAATTCGACGAGGATAGCAAACACGTGCCTGTTGGTTATTGGCGTTCTTCCCCGGTCCCTCAAATAGAAGGAAAGCATATGGTGGTCGGGTTTATCGATGTACGCGATCGCCTACGAACAAGGATCAGACCTAAGGCGCTAAACGGTGACCTTATTAACCTTCGACTATTCCCTATCCCTTCTGGTCCTGGTGGCAGCTGGATTACCTTTCCGGGCACCGTATTCTTAGACCATCTTATTGGAAGAGATCATAACGTTATCAAGGAGTATGTCAAAGTCCGAGCTGAGACGCTCCACGACCGCTCCAAGGAAGCCGACCAGGCCGCAATAACAGAAGCCCTACATCGTCTGGAACTCAACCCCCCGCCTGAGACACCCCAGCCTCCTTCTATCGCATGGGGCCAAGATGTACCCGAACAAACACAGTCTTTTCGCCCCGAGGCAAAGCGCCGTCGTTATGGTAGTAGTGTTGGTACTATCGCCGAGCGCGCCGATCGTATTGAACAAGCTGAGCAGGCCGATAATGTTGAGCTTGTTGAGCGTTCCGAACGTCTTCCTATTGTTCCCCATAATCAACCGGACATTCCTCAATCACCCCGAAAACCGACCCGCATCCTCGTTGGCTGCTGGGCTAAGTCAACCGCGCAGAAAGATGAGGATAAGCTTGCCGTCTATGGTATTTTGGGAGCTAATGACATGTTCCGTGTGAAACTTGTCCGCGAGACAATGGATGGTCGTTATACTGATGACAACTTTCCCAGTGGAGCGGGCGCACTGTGGATTTCGTACGACGAGGTGCTTTTCGTGAATCATCTAAAGCAACTTACCAGACCGGAAGTCAAGGAATATGTCCGAATTCGCCAGGCTCAGATTGATGCTGGGGAAAAGAAAGAAGAGCAAGTAGCGAATGAGACTAAAGCGGTTCACGAGGCTCAACTACGAGCAGCGGCGATTTCGGCGGCCAGTCCTATCCGAGCTCCTAACCAGGGACATTCAGGTCCTGGCCCTTCGTCCGGTCTCAGCCGTGAGGATGTTCGTGACGGTCACGAATCGAGACAGCCCCGACGTGAAGTTGCGTCCCGAAACATCGAGTCAGCCCAATCAATGCGACATTCTCACCCGGAAGTGGAGATTCGACAGGCTAGTCGTAATGCCAGTAACGATCCTATTGAGCGCGTTCAGGGTTATGCTAACCGCGAAGTTGCGAGAATGGAAGCGGTGCAAATGCGTACCGATCGCCACCAGGCCAACCGCAACTCTGTGGCACATCCTGGAACCTTGATGAGCGCGCATGACAACCGGCGCGACTTCGACGAGAATATTCTCAAGATGAACCAGGTTTGGGAGGCCCAAGAGAATATGAGAATGAGACCGGCCAGTATCCACGGTAATGGAGATGTCATGATGCACCAGGGCATCAAGTATGAACGAAAACAGAACGGACCATTCAAAGACAGGCTTGTCAGCCAGGGAACGATCATTAACATCGATGGCGAAGATTACGTCGAATATCGCGTTCTTACGAAACCCTCATTTTTCTAGACTCATCTCTTACGGCCTTTTCCGGCGTGGTTGGCCGATGCATAGATTCTGATCGGAACTCGTCACTTTCGCCGAGTCTATCCTTCCATATGAACATAGCATTCTATTTCCTGCTTTCGGAGTTCCAGTCTTTCACGTTTACGACTCATAGTTTTTCCGCACTGCTTAGATTCAACCCCGATACCAAACTTCTATTTTCAAGGAGTATTAATGACGCAAGGTCAAACATGCCCAGGTGCATATGAAACAACCTTTTTCTAACGAGAACTATAAGTTTTCGGTATTTCTCTTTACGAGGGCGGCGTTACGGAGGGAAAAGGAACCTAATCAGTTGATGATTTTAAGTTGACGCGCACGAGACGCGCAGCCACCCCCGTGTATAATATTAGGTTTCGCGGACGATAACCTTCTGATTAAGGAGAGGAGGGAAGAGAGGAGGGGAAGAGGACGTGCGGCAGGATTCTTTGATGCAGGCGTCCGGTGGCGCTCACTTGTGGCTGTGTAATATTGGCTCTATGAAAGCCTGCGATGATTTCTAATACGAACCGTTTGCATTACGTGCTTTTAGATGTACTTCTTCATGTGCTCATAGTCGCTGTTTCGTTACTTCTAACTACATGGCATTAATACAAACTCAACGTCCTTGATTGCCTAATAAGGGTTTCTCTCAGGAACATGCTACTTGCTATAAAATATATTCAGGTAGTAGACTTGCAAGTCCGTATCCCTATTGTCAATATACCGTGGAGGGCTTACATTTCTACGAGTTTTTGAATCCGGAGAAACAAGTGAAAGGACTCTTAACCAGAGTATTTATTGTATGCTCAAGTGTAAATCATCGTGATTTTGCTCTAATCCGAGTTGGCCTCATGAATACTTTGATCTAACAGAAGTATTATAGGTATCAGACCTATAGGATTTGAATCCTTGAGGCGCCTATGCGTTGCTATCCCATCCCTAAATCCAGTTTTCCACCCTCATTTCAACTTGCTAGAGTATCATTCGGGGACACATGATTTGTATAACTTTAAAGCCAGCGCAGGAATTTCAAGTGCAGGTCGAATCCATTCGCAATTGTGTACTCATAACTCCCTCCCCCGCCTCTCTTTAGACCAGCCTTGCATGCATATCAGTGCCTTCTTCCCCGGTGCTGTAAATAGTAGGACCCTCAGGATTCCAGCCGTTTCATCAAGAGGAGCGCGAGCGTGGACCCAATAAAGCTTGCGCTTACGAGACTCAACATGCTAGGTAATGAGCCTTGATTGAGTGTGATATGCCCGGTCCCATGTCGGAAATTTTGAGGCATAATATTTACGCTCTTATTATGAGCGAAAGTACCTCGGATTATAACAGACGCCGGCTTGGGCTCTTGGGTGGATTCGGCCTCGTCATCTTTATCCTGAAGGTCGGGTGTATTTGCCTCGAATTTAGGCTTGGGCTGAGGGGGCACCGAATTGGCGCTGCGCGATCTTGGTATCAGCTGTTGATGACATTGCGGGTCTAGGGCATCGTACTTCGGCATCGTGTGCGTATTGATTTTCGTAGGTGAAGACATTGGCGGCGAAGAGGCAGGAGATTGTTTAAAGATTTTGTTAATTAAACCTGTTGTTACTTCTTCAAGAAGTCTTGTTGCAAGCGCGCTAAGGAGAATTCCTGGTATGAGCGCTTACGGGGGCGGGGGGGATATATTTTGAAGTTGGAAAAAAATAATAGGTAGATAGATTTCTACAGCAACGCATAGAACGAGGGGAAGAAGAGGAGTCACTTAGAACACATAAAGACCTTTTTCAATGAAAATCTGCTCACAATTTCACTTACATGAGATGGATCTCTCATTATCAAGCAAACCTGTACATCACCATTGATAAGACTTCTTTCATCCGATCTGAGACCACGTGTGGTATTAATTAGACTAGATATCCCCCCTTAAAAAGTCGTCTTAAAACCTTCCATGCTCATCCCTACATGATCCAATTAAACAAATGCTGCCCACGGCGTGCCTAGTACCTTGCCCTTATCATCTAGTCTTATGCCCTCCCCACGAAGAAGCTTCCGCTTTTCATCGAGAGTGATGCCTTCGCCGTCCTTAGGCCACTTTCCCTTGAACCCACCTAAGGCACCTCCTGTCGCCACCACCCGGTGGCACGGCACTTCGGGTGCGAATGGGTTCCGCCGAAGCGCGTTCCCTACAGCCCGTGGGGACGAGCCTAGATGCGCCGCGAGTAGGGCGTACGTTGATACGTGACCACGGGGTATTTGGCATAGAAGGCTCCACTGTATTGGAGGGTATAAATGTCAGCGAGCTTTCGTATTTCATATGATATCTCAGCTCTTAACTAGTCTACGTGATATGGCGCGTGAAGAACAAAATGAAGAGAAGAGAAGAGGAGATATTGGCTTGGATATCTTAAATACTCACCACTTTCTTTTCGAAGGGAGTACGGTCTGATTCTGTAATGCGTTTTAATTGAGGCTCCATATCTTCAGGAACAGAAGTGGATTCTTCTTCTTTAAGCGCGACGTCATTGGGGATAGGCTTCGCTATCTTTTGCGGTAGAAGTATAGTGGCGTCTACATTTTCGCCAGTGCGCTTCCGCTTTATGCCCACGGCCATAATGCTCTCTCAATCGTTGATAATTTGAAGTTGGTAGATTGGCTTTGAGGATAGTTGATCTAGTCGAGGATACTAGGTAGTTATTTAATATACAATACTGTCTTCACTTTGATAGATTTGAGATGCTAAGAAATTTATTATGTACCTAATATAATGAGAGGTCGAGGAGATGAGCGCCGAGTGACTCATTACGCGATGTCACTAAAAGGGCGCGTCTGCCCCTCGTCTGACATCACAAAGACATAAAGACGCGACACCAAGTCACATGATCAGCATCACTAGGAGTTACGGATATTCTAGATTTGATAAGATATGTAATTAAGTACCTAACCTAGTCTCTAGTATTTCTATGAGAGTTGTTTACGAAAAATTCAACTAGGTCAGAAGCATTTTCTTCCCGAGTCTCGGCTAACTTCTCGACAAGATCCGCGTGTGTATTCTTGGAGAATTTAAGATTCGGGTGATTGATTAAGAAATCAAGCATCTTTGGCATATCCTTACGCCGCGACGGCTTGTTAGAATGCTTTAATATAATGTACTTGTAGCGACGAGCTCGCTTTCGCCCGATATTGTTATGATCTAATAGAGTTATGACGACCGGAAGAAAAACATCTGTCCGTACTAGTTTATCAAAATGCATATCAGCGACATCCAATTTTTCCTCTGCTGATAAATCCTTGATTAGGAATAAAGCATTGGAAACACAACGAAACTTAATCGCGATCCCAATAGGGCAAAGACCATTGTTGTCGACAGCCTTGGTGCTATAACCAGTATCGAGCAATAACTGAAGGGTCTCTTCGTTATCCTCGCTACTGGCTGCAAAATGCACGGGCGTATATCTCGTGTCGCGTAAGTAGCCTTCATTCCCCAGAACTTTGTAGCCTCGAGCTTGCAGTATCTTAATGACCGATGGCATCTTGCACATAGCGGCAAACTTTAGTGGTGAGAATGTACCTGGAGTCTCCTGGCAATCCTCAAGATCCTGCGTGAGACGGGCTAGGGTCTCGGCTATATGCACATGCCCATATAGCATAGCGATATGGAGTGAAGTAGCCTTAAAAGGTTGAAAACGCACAAATTCGGACAATTGAAACTTTTTGCAAGGGTTTCTATCAGCACTTAATACGATTCGCGTATCAACCAGAGAAGGACAGGTCTTTATCAGCTCCTGGATCATCTCGTCCGCACCATATTTGGCTGCTAATTGAAGCGGCGTCATTGCGTCCATTCTACCACAATGAGCGTGTAGGTAGTCTGGCCAATGTGCCAGTGCTGCCTTGATGGACTTCCGAGCTGTTATCATGCTAGCACTATCATTGGCTTTGACAGCCCAGTGAAGGGCCGACATATCGTTATAATATATCGTACATAGGCTCCCTGTCATACAAAGACCTTCGAAGGGAGTGTCGAAACGCCACATTCGTCTGCGCATTCTGTCAAATATATGATTTAGCTCAACGCCTCTTTCCTTCGCGACGAGTACGTCAGCTCTATAGAGCAATGGATCTAGAGCCCCGCAGTAGAGGCGGCATGTTTCTGACAATGTAAGAATAACCTTTGGTTTGTGGAAGTTGCTCCTGACTATACGAAAGATAATATCGCCCGAAAGCGTAATTGATGTGGTTGGACGTCTGGGATCCATTGTGGTACAGAATGAGTGATTCAATAAATCGTATGTTGGAGAATTGGAATATAACCCTTGTGGATGGCTTTTCTGAGAGATTAGATGGAAGTTGTGCCTATTGCAAGTTGGGCAATATCTTATTATACTTGGCATTGGGTTATAAGATCATAACGCCCGTTAAGTTACTCGTTAAGTTACAAGAATTGTTTCGATACATGTGCTTTTAGAGAAAAAGAAATAGTCCGAGTACACAGATAGTTAAATATTAAAAGGAAATAAATAACAAAGGAATAATTTATACTGAATAAGAAACAATAGCAAACAATAGCCTGTTTTAGCGCGTATGAATAATTAATATGGGATAATTAACCAATTGCCAAGGTTAGTATTGTAGGAGTAGCTGACCAGAAAAACAACTTAACGATAGTTACTAACCAGCTTAACCCTACTTAATCCGACAATTGGCTCAGCTATGTGGGATATATCTAGGTGGACGCTGATTTTCTAAACAGGTGCTTACTTATACGCAACTTCAAGAACTGTCATGACCAGCCATGCATAACCTCATGTCTGTTTCTAAAAGGCAGGGTTAGAACTTTTTCTTATATATATCTCTATCTCAACAAATATTAGGTATTGTTTAGATTCTAATGGTTTTAAATGCACCTCTATGAAGAATAATGACGTGCCGGATATATTCTTATTTAAATACACAATCCTATAAGCTACGGCGATGGATTTTATCACCGCATCCGACCACTCTCTAGAGTCACTGGTAGTCTTGCTGGGTAGTACCTATTCGACTACACTGGGCTTTGTGAGTTAGCTAGTTTTGCTAAATGCCTGAGCTGAAATCTTGCGTAAGGGCGGAGTATGAATAAAGAGTTATTTGTTGGAGATGAACGTGCAGGCTTCTGTTGGTTTCCCCTTAAGCCCAAGTGACCCTATTGGTCTGACTACGAGCTTTTGCTATGAGAAACAGGGCTAGGGTAACAATAAACGTCGTATTCATGATTTCAGCTGGTACCGGTGGTTACACCCTTTGGGGTGTTGACTGACCGCGGCAACTGATACAGCTATGGCTGATTCGTACCTTGCTAAGAGGGAGGACTTATTTAAGAGTTGATGGGCTGGAGTGGCCGAAGTATTAATAACAACCATGGGCGCATATGGGCCACCCCTAGGTTGGACCGAGTCTATGACTGCGTAGTTCTACTATTGAACCTCCTACTTTCCTTACTTTGGATATTTACTCCGAAAGAGATATACCCAACCTTATGTTAATTTCCGGACGCGCATGATCACCTGGGATCTCTGACGCGTATATGTGTTTAAATAGCGCGTTTAGGGGAACCTTTTGAGGTAGTAAGGATGGCCATACTATAAGAACCTATATTTGGCGGATACAAATGGGGTTACGGACACGATATGGGGTGACATTGTTGGCTTATGTAAGACGATATCTCGCGAGGACACCAGAAAAGTTACGTTAGTGAGGCTTTAAAGGTAGTAGCAACTTCGGTATTTCAAACAAACGCTTTTGCCGAAAGTTGGAAAAGCGACTGAACAAGTTAAAATGCTTAAACTCAAAGGTTCTATGCACGCAGCATAGTAGTATTACTCACACATTTATTAATGTTGTCCTCAAGCTGCATTGACTATAATAATCGAGATTGTAGAAGATTTGTGAACGATGAATTGGGGGCTAGTGATAGGGGGAATGGTGGTAAGGGGGACCAGTACCGATGGCATATTCAAATGCACGCTTGTAATGCAGCTGTAGTGCTACATTGTAAACTCAATATTAACCCAGCCTCCTCCGTTTTATCAGAGGTAGTTGCTTAAACATGTCAGCAAAAAGTGCACTTTTCACCGCCATCGCTGTGGGCATGGAGTACCCCAAGATGCAAGTAAATCTTCACCGAAAAGTATCGAGTAGATAGATAATATAGCGATGAATCCCCGAGAAACTTGTTTCCGTGGCCGATTCTAAAAAGGGGGCCTTCCTTAAAGGGGCTCGGAAATCAGGAAGAACAAGATATTATTCTTAGAGTTCCTGTTTGTTTGATAAGCGCCAGCTGTGTTTCGACATGCTGGGATGTCGTACGAAGTCGGCGGGATGTAAACCGTCAGGGTGTCATACTAAACCGGCTCCTTCTAAATCAGTGGCATGCAAATCGATTCCTTGTAAGTCGATGCCTTGTTTTATAAGATCGACGACTACTTGCCATACAAAAAAGCTATGTGATGCACCGTGTTGTAAGGGAGATGTGGAGCGAAGGGACCAAGTCTCCTCCAAGCACTGCAAGAAACATAAGTGACCTTTATATCATGTCTTACGAAGGATACGTCAAGATATTCCGTGACTTACAATATCTCAAGACACATGTGAGCACCTCTGGGAGCCACTGTTCGATGCAGAGCGCTGCCAGAATTACAAACAGCCGGAAGATTCGGTCTGCTCTCAACGTGAGTGAAATATGTCCTTCAATAGAGGATTATCTGACTGGTATATAGACATAGAATGTATAACAGTAGGTTGTATGAACGCGAGGATGCGGTACCACGATCGAGACCGGGCTGGAACACCACAGTACAAACGTCGGAAATACTGCTTCGCTCGTAAGACTCTTTGTAAGGACTATAAAGAAGTTATTGATGCTGATTATTAATAGACACGTGTACTGCAATGGAGTGTCCTAATCAACGCGCCCCTATGCTGGCCCCAAATCAATACCGGCCGTTCTGCGATGACCGTGAGCTGAAACCTCCAACAAGATTTATAAGACAAGCTAACAAGTGTAAAGATAACTGTCGTGCGGCTGATTGTCCTAACCAGGTTCTGGAAGGCACTACATGTTGTCGAGGGCGTAAGTGAGAGATATGATATACCTAATTAAACGAACCCCAGCTTCTGACCTGCCAGATAGATAAGTGTCAGATTCGGGACTGCATGCATATAGCTGCCCTCCCGTATCCATTTTGCCTAACACGTAGGCCTTATTTCCGTATGAGACTAAGGTTCTTGGTTAACTCGACTGGCTAGACAATAGATGTGAATGGGGGCCGCCGATCTGCAACCGTCCTAAAGAAAGGAACAGGAAATATTGTAGAGAGCGTAAGTAAACTACCGTATTATGACTTCTTCCTCATGGCAATCAATACTTACAGAAATTAGACCTCCAATGTCAGACTCCTGGATGCGTACTGCAGAAGATAGAAGGTTCATTTCACTGTATGGAACATGCATGTCGCGAAAGGGGGTGTAATATTTCGTCTGGGGAACATGACTATTGCGATGATCGTAAGCACATGTCTGTTTTGATTCGTGAGGAAATGAGAGATTGACCAAGGGCGTTACTAGATCGATGCGAATGGGAGGAGGAATGTGAATATGCTAAGTCAGGAGAGCGCTATTGTCCGCTCCGTAAGTGTTCTCTCTATTTCCTTCGGATTTATTCTTTGTACCACTATAACTAACTATCTGGCCAGATTCTTGCCGGAGCGAGGGTTGCCCAGAGTGTGTCAATGATACGGGGATATTTTGCGACACTCGTAAGAATTATCTATTTGTTGAACGCGACTCGATCACTGACCGGCTACCTTTTTTACTAGATGCTTGCTCACGGTGCGGCTGTAAAGTAGAAGCCAAGCCATGCCTGGAAAACAAATGTTACGACCGTAAGTTGCCCCCCTGAGATGTAGATGGTAATATTCTAACACGTTTATAGATTGGAAAGAGGATGTTGAGATGTGTGTAAGGGCGGAATGGTGTGATGAGAAGAGGGGGTTGACTCAGAGGCTTAGCGAAAAGGATCACTTTATCCAAGAGCAGGATAGGCGCCTACGAGAGCAGCACGATCAACTCTGGAGGTTACAAAGCGGTCAGAGGAATTAATACTAACGTTGTATATGGGAAATGGTTTCTGGGGAATCCCGCCTACATGGGTAATTTAAGAGAACTATCCCGATGTACGGGTAGACATTGACGGCAAAGTATATCGTGTAATGATCTGTCAAATATGAGAGTCCCGCCGGAATTAAGAAGTGCGGTAGCATGGTTTGGAGATATACTTCGTTCTTGATCTTGGGTTACGATACTACAGAATGTAGTAGCAATGGATACAAGGCCCTATATTGTACTGACCCTGAACATTTGGAATGCCAGATGTGTATCAGGCTCTCATTGAATACATAGCGGGTTGATAGCACAAGCATATCCGCACTTGCACTCGACAACATATCGTAGACCCGTAACGGCAGTATAGCCTTCCCCTTATCCCCTGCTTAATCACCAGTGTCAACTTCCAGATCGAGCTGGACTCCGTTGCTAATTTCATAGTCGGCAAGTGTAAGCATGTCTTTGAAAGGCCGTTGTCCTTGTCTCTTGAGCAAGATCTCGTGGGGCTCTCGACCGATGCGCGCCGCGACCATGATTTTGAACTCCTTAATGCGATCCGAAGCAAAGCATGGGATGGCTGCCTTGGTACCCAGCCGATCGTTGATATGGACGATAATCATTTCTTCGCCACCGCCGCCGGAGGGAGCTGCGGGTGCTCGAACAGGAGGCTGGGAGGTGTCTCCGCCGGTAGATTTTGACTTGGGTTTCTTAGTAGACGAAGATGCCCCCGAATCACGTTCGCGATTGCGGTCCCGATCTCGATCTCGATCTCGGCGACGTGGGGATGGTGAACGGTTTCGATAACCTCTAAATGAGCCACCACGCCGGTCATCGTCTCTATCTTCAAGCTCATCGCGACGCTTATCCTTGAACTTAAAGCCCCCAAAGCTCTTCTTTTGTCTGGGTCGGTCTCGATCTCTACCCTCACTCCTATCTGGATCTCTCCGGTCTGAGTCTCTCTCCTCGCGATTGTCACGTCGTCTTTCCACGTCTCGTCCTAACCGCTCGGAATCGTCTTTGTTCTCATCATTTCGGTTCTTCCCAGGCTCGCGCCTTGTACCCCGATTCCTATCATCGTCTCGCGATCGATAATTGTCGCTTCTTCCGTAGTTATCTCTGTCTGATCTGTCGCGGTGGCTACGTGGTGATTGGCTTCGATCGTCGCTTCTACTCCGTTTGCGAGGGGGCGGTGAATCACCTCGTGGGGCGCGAGGAGATGCGGATTTGTCTGCCATTGAGATTGGCAAATGTTTGTGGGATTTTATGATTATTATTTTTTTTTTTTGTTTTGTAGTCTTGGTTGCGTAGTTGGAAGGTTGACGCGAAAAAAAGATACAGAATTGATAATGCGATGTTACATGTAGGTACGAAGTACTTAGGTACCGGCAGGTAAATACCCCATATATCTCTTATCTATATAATATATGATAAGTAAATAATATGCATAGCTAAATAAATTGATGTTGTTACCCCCTTTCTACATCACTGTATTCTAACCAAACCTGTTCAAGCGAATCTGGACTTATATACGGTCATACGTTGGAAATCAATTTAGTAAAAATAGATCTGTATTATCTCTACCCTTATAATAACCACTGTATTAATTTATTCTTTTTTCTCATTCTCCTGTTGCTAACCTAACCGGTCCTCAACAACAACTAATCTTTACCCGATGTAACGATTTACGACTGGGAACTTATCTTGCCAGCGAAATACGCCAACTTTATCCCAAGCAGCAGCCTGGTTACCCGGGTTTCCGGTGACCATGTACCTGTGCAATAATCCGCGACCCTCGACAGCTTTAGACTCTCTAGCTTGGGGAAAAGACGGTTCGGTGGAGATTCTTCTATCGCCAATCCTAATCCATAAAAAACTGTTATGTCGTGACACAAGTACTTCTCCAGACCTTGGTCCTGAAATCCATCCAGCTTCTTAAGGGCGCAGCAGTCTACCTGGCTAATATTGAATCTCAAGCACGTTGTATTGGTGAACATGCGGCCGAGGAAATGCCAAATATGTTTCCAGTGTAACTTATATGCGGTGCCATCGTAAATATCCATGGTGATCTCAGTCGGTCTGCGTAGGCACTCATTTGATATTTTTGTGACCTTGCTCCACGGCTTCACATCACACACATCCTCGTTGATTTTATAGACTCCATCGTAATAAAGCCAGTGGTCATCGTCGTTCCAATCCTGCAAGCGGAGATTTGGGTAATAAGCAACACCGGCGGAAGGCTTTAAGTAATTTAACTTCTCGCCCTGAATGACTATGGTGTCCAACCATGGGCTGAAAGGAAAGTTATTCTCCTGGGGAAACCCATAGTATGAAATGGCTAGATTCCGGAACGCGCGACAGACCTGAAGAACCTTTAAGTCGGCCCAGGCCCGGGGCTTATAGAGGATCAACTGTGTTGAGTTGATTTGACGATATTTGGTGCGGCGACACATCCTTAGGAGATATCCTTTTAACTCATAAGAGCCTACAGTATATTCGAAAATATGCTCAAAAACCTCACACGGCAAGTCGAGAAGCTCCGGTTTCCTTTTCTTTGGCTTTGTAGGACTACTTAGCATTGCAGTGTCCTTGTGATTGTGATTTGGGTAGACAGCTTTGGTAGGTGGTTCAGGTTCGTCGAATTCGTCTGTGAACTGTCCTATCTTTTTAGGAGTCTATAGAAAGGTCAGCACTTATATTTAGGTTTAGTAATAACCATCGGATGCTCAAACGTACCTGAGATTGTAGAATTTGTTGCCAGGAATAGAAAGTTTGTTTAAGCTGGCTCGCCCATTCAGGTTTGGGGTCATCTCCCACATAATCTTGAGCGCTAGCGCGGTGTATTGAATGATATTGTGAATCGAGATTGCACTTGTCGATGCACTGAATGAATGAAAGAATGCGCTTTAACGTATTGTCCCAGGATTCTTGGAGTTGAGTGTTGACAGGGACTTCAATGGTACGTTCGTGGTCATGTTGATGCTCCATTGTAATTAATAGAATGTAGTTATTGTTGAGACGATGAAGAAAAGTAAATAATAGGCGTAATTTCTCCCAAATATTATATAGTTGTTACGCAAGTATGGTTTGTATTCAAGTAGAAGACGTGATGTGTTATGCTTGTTACTAGTGGGCAAAAAGCCATGATCTGGAACCCGTTCCATGGCAACTGTAATTATGATAAAATCCTTATCGATGTTCCGTGAGTCATGGATTTCTTTTGTGTAGAGTTGTTACTTAGATGATAACTGCATAAAAAGTCATGACAGTGCCAATTTCTAGGTCTTGTACGCTTTTTATGAGCGAAAGTCGATACAATCGGTGTCAGCCATTCCTATTACGGGAGTATACCTAACATTAGAGAATAAAAAGATGCAATTTTCATAAATCATCAGGTTAATTCGAGAAATAAATGAGCTCTAGTTTACGTCCTTCGAAGCGCCATTGCTTCCCAGTTATACAGACAATGGTGGTACGGAGTAGGGCGCAGTATCATCCGTACCTAGGTATATTGTCAAGGTCTGCCTGTAGTAATGCCCTGTAGGTATCTTGACGCTGCGGAGATTACCCCAGGTATATGACGAAGCTGGCTTATAAGTATATATAGTAATATAGAGTATTATCGGGGTAACTGGTCGTAATCATTATGATCCTGGTCCTTGACTATGCAAGCAATGGTGTATTGGATGGAGTAAATAGTTTCGTTATAGGAATGCTACAGGGAGATATCCCATGCTGCGAAGAAATACGAATACAACTGGATCAAGACTTCTAGTAGATATGTACTATGAGCGAAGAAGCCAAGTTTGACGTGACTCCTGCTTTACTTCAATTTCTGCCTAGAAGTTTGTCCAACTTATCTCTATTTCACACAACATTGGCAGTTTGTCACTTAGTATTTGCCATGGGGCTTGCCACAACCCAGAAGAATAGACGAAAACATCGACCTGGTACCATTACTAGGATCCAGTAACACCTGGCTATGGAATTTTGAAAATATATCGGATGAATGCTGCTATTCAATACATTAAAAATATATTTGCGATACCATACCCACATGACACTTTAAATATCCTGGTGACTACCTCATATGTTGCTGCTCGGTGACTTTCCCATTTTGCTCAAGACATTTCCAATACGTATTTGGACGCGCAATATTCACCTTCCTTCACTTAAGGGACCTAATAGACTACACCTATATAACTGACCCTTCTGATCCTCTCTTTTACTATATATTTATCCCCTGAAAGCCAACTAGAAAGGCGTTGGGATCAGATAACAACTCAATAAGCAGCTCAATCACATCTCGTCAAACACCATAACAATTTCTAGATTTGCGCGAAGATTTAGGTGCCGTTTCGCTTCAAAGACACTCCTACCAATTAGAGATACCTATCAATTTGTATACCTAAGCTATTTTCCCGAACATCATCCTACTTCATAAAATGGCTACGCCGATCCCTACTGTACGTATACCTATTTCCCCGGCTGGATTATTATCCTCCTGCTTAGGGATATAACAATGAGGGCTGTAATGTCTATTCTATGGAACGCCTTGAAGAAATTATTTTAACAAGTATTGGCAGTTGGAGCATCGATACTTTCAGCCGTCTGAACAGTTGACAGGCGCTGCTAGCAACACCCGAAAGACGAGTCGATTTAATGGGAACTACCGAGGAGACCACAATCTATCCACAAACAAAGGCACTGATGTTCCAGAAGAAAAGAATACTTGTTTGTGGATTACTGGACTACCAGGGCCAATAACTATCCCTAAGCTCCTTGCTGTAATCACTAAGACGGGCAGGATTCGTTCGACCGTAATCAACGGCCCCAACGAAACCAGCAGTACCGCTGCGGCATCTATTAGCTTCTTCAAACGAAAAGACGCCGAGATTCTCTTCAACGCAATAGAGCAAGGAAGAATCATAATCGAAGGCAAGTTTCCAAGAGTGCAATGGAACAGAAATAGGGTTGGAGAAGAAGGTGCTCCTAGCTATGCTAGCCGTGTGCTTCTAATTGCTGGCGATCCACAGGTTGTTAATCGAGACTACTTGGATGCTTTTTTCTCAAGCAAGTTCGTGTACGACATCGATGATATAATCGATCACGGCACGGTGTCTGGGTTTGAGGGTCCTATCAGTCGACTCGAGTACCGGTTTGGATCGTGGCGTTCACAAGCTTCCTTTGCTCGCCTAGCACTCAATCTCGAGCTCAGGGGATTTTTACTAGCGGAATACGGCGAAGATCCCTGTGCGATCTAATGACATACGTACGTACTGGCTTAATAATTCTATCATAGTAAAACTAGCTCTCGGACACGATGATTTTACGTGAATTTTGGGTCCCTTATTTTATTGCTTTAACTTTAACTGAAGCTTTAACCCGCGCTTTACGATGGAGAATATGTAAAATCACACATGAGAATAATAAGCAAAAAGGTCTTGAACATTGATATAATCTCTTCTTATATTCTTACCAAGCTGCCTGGAAAAGGGGCAAGATCCCAATCTCATGGTGGTGGAAATAACCACTGCCTTGGACATGAGTCTAATTGTTAACTTGATATATGGATATGAGAAGTTCAGCTGCTTCTCTGTCTTCGGGGCTGATTTCTGGTATGAGCGATTCTGATAACTCATCAGAGACCGAGAAATCAATATTTTGAGAGATAGGAGTGTCTGTTATCTCCACGTTAATATGCGGTGATATGCTATTAGAATCTTCTCTCCCGGCTTCGCCCTCGAGTTGTAATACTTTCTGCCTTAACGCTTGCTCTGATTCACGTTTCCGTTGACGATAGGCTCTGCAAGATTCCTTGTGATGGGCTGCATGTTCGTCGCAAAGTTTTTTTGAAGTGTCTGAAATTGGATTTGGACAATAGAAACAGATCCCGGCATCTTTACGCTGCTGATATTGCGTCCTTAGAGCATTTAGATGCTCATCACATCTTGAGCGCCCTTCCGTGACTGGATTTGGACATCTATAACAGATCCCGGCGTTTCTACGCTGGAGATAGTTCATCCTTTGAGCAGCCACATGCTTATCACATTTTGTGTGCCCTTTTGCGGCTGGATTTGAACATGAGGTACAGATCCCGGCACTTTTATGCTCGCGTGTCCATCTATTTCTGTCAGCCAGATGCTTATCACATTTTGTGCGCCCTTCCGCGGCTGGATTTGGACATGCGGAACAGGAACAGATCCCGGAACTCATACGCTGGTGATATTGAATCTTTCTAACAGCCAGATGCTTATCACAAACTATTTGCCCTTCCACGACTGGATTTGGACATGAGACACAGATCCCGGCACCTTTACGCTTGCGATATTTAGTCTTTCTGTCAGCCAGATGCTTATCACATTTTGTGCGCCCTTCCGCGGCTGGGTTTAGACATCTAGCACAAATACCCGCAGCTTTTCGCATATGATAATATTTATTTGGATGGTTTTTGTGGTCTGAACAAAAAATGCTCCCTTCCTCTATTTGCCTTTTGCAAGAACTTACTACGCATTTTGTAGACGTCTCTTTAGCTTTAGGCTTGGGGTTTGGTAGTGGGGTTCGTTTTGATTGTTGCCTCGGGGTCGTCATCTTGATTGACGGTTGTAAATGTTGTGATGAAACTACAAATAGCTACACGGGAATAACTTTCTAGTAAGAATGCCTCTATATATCCACATCATTAACTTACGTACGATATGATGTTCAATGGAATTGTATGGTAACTATGCTGAGAAACAATGGATTGTTCGAGGTAGTTAGTAGAGTCCCAAGGGCACGGAAAACCGCGGGGATTGTTTTGATTGTTCTTTTTATTTTGATTGTTACGATAGAGTAGCGGAAATTAGCGTTTTCATGGTGAGATGCTGGATTCTGGTATGTACCTTATACTCTACATCCAATTATATCGATGGCGAATCTATTTGCTTTTAGAATTATCTTATCACCTCCAATCAAAGCCCATTGCGCTCGCTGTTCTCGTATTAGTTCAGGTACGGCCTTTCCCTTTGCCCAAAGTGGAAGGATAGCTAACATCCTTGTTGGTGGTACTCTGCGGGCGCATCGCTAACGAAAAAGGGAAGGTCGTTAGGATGATCGAGCACGCGATGGTGCCGCCTTGCTGGAAGATAAGCTGCAGTGGGTAGGTGGACCATGTAGCTAACCAGCCAACAAGGGGACGAAGTAATATAAAATGTGAGTTACTTCCGCGGTCCTAGGAGAGAGAAGAGACATCCGCAGCTGCCTGGGAACTACATTCACATTGCCAAGATGAAGTTTCCGTGTGCCGTCCAGTTATTGCTGGTAGCTGGGGCCTCCGCCGGCTTTATGAAAAACAAAGCTGGCATGCAAATCGGCCCAATTGACGAACTCAGCATCCTAGCAGCTGGCAATGGCACCGCTGGTTGGGGTACTTTTCCTCAACTGCTCGACCATTCTAATCCTGATCTCGGCACTTTCGAGCAGAGATATTGGTATGGAACGAAGTACTGGAAAGGACCTGGATCGCCAATCATTCTTGTCAATCCTGGTGAACAGGCAGCTGATAACTTCAATGTGTCTTATACTACGAGCCAACGTCTTACGGGACTTTTAGCGGAGAAGCTCGGCGGTGCAGTTGTCATTCTTGAGCACAGATACTGGGGCCAATCGTCTCCCTTTGAGAGTTTGACCACTAAGAATCTCCAATATCTTACACTTGAGAATTCTATTAAGGATAACACCTATTTCGCCAATAACTTCGACACACCTTTTGACAAGACTGGGAAAAGCAGTGCAAAGGATGCCCCTTGGATCTTCACTGGTGGATCTTACCCCGGTGCATTGGCCGGATGGATTGCTGCTAAAGACCCTGGTACGTTCTGGGCGTATTACGGTACCAGCGGGGTGGTGGAAGCCATAGGCGATTTCTGGCAATATTTCGTTCCTGTCCAAGAGGCGACGCCTAGTAACTGCAGTTCGGATTTAACTACTGTCATTGATTACGTCGACTTTGTTCTCCTGAGCGGTGGCCCTAAGGAGAAGGCTAAGCTAAAGAACAAATTCAAGCTGGGCAACCTGAAGGATGCTGATTTTGCCGCCGCCCTCGAGAATGGCCCATGGACATGGCAGTCGGGACAGTTTTACTCGACGACGACTTTGGGATACAACCCTTACTACCAATTCTGCGATTATATCGAGAATGTTTGGCCCAATTCTACCAATCCTGTGCCTGGTCCTAAGGGGGTTGGCTTGGCTAAGGCCCTAGACGGTTACGCAAAATGGTTCACAGAAGTCGAGTTACCGGGAACTTGCGAAAGTTACGGGTATTTCAAAGGCGAAAACAATACGGACTGTTTCCAGTCGTTGAATGCTTCCAACCCCATCTACCACGACCTTTCACCAGGCAACGCTGGGAACCGTCAATGGAATTGGATGCTATGCAACGAACCTTTCGAATATTGGCAAGACGGTGCACCCGTCGGTCGTCCTAGTATCGTCTCGCGCCTCGTTAACAAAGCTTACTGGCGTTCGCAATGCCCGCTTTGGTTCCCTGAGCTGGAGTACGGTATTGCCAAAGGCAAGTCTGCCAAGGATGTGAATAAATATACCGGCGGTTGGTTCGAGAGCAACGTGACCCGATTAATGATGACCAACGGTCAGTGGGATCCATGGCGTGATTCAACGCTCAGTTCCAAGTTCCGCCCTGGCGGTCCGAAGGAGAGCACCCCTGAATTTCCCATTCGAGTTCTAGAGCAGGGTACACATTGCTCTGACTTGTATGGCCAAAACTGGGCTGTCAACCCCGGTGCTAAAGCTATTGCCGATGAGCAGGTTGCCAACATGGCAGAGTGGGTGCAGGAATTCTATGACCAAAAGAAGTAGGTCAGAATACACGTACGATAGCGGTAATCAGTAATGAATTAATGCAGTATGGCTTAGATCAAAGGATCCCGCACTTTATATTTACAATAGCTTCATTGATACAACGCGGGTTTCTTTTTCGCAAACTGCTTTATTCTTTCTACACATCTGCTATGTCATTCGCCCGTTCTTCTTTAATGATTCTCCTCTGCACGTTCTTTACTTCAACACTAGCCTTCCGCGGGTTCTTCGCTTCGAAAATCGCGTCCAATTCTTCGAGAGTCATTCCTTTGGTCTCGACGAAAAAGAAGTACATAAACGCCATCTCAAAGGTATCCCAGAATACGAAGAACACGTAAAACCAATAACCAATCGAGATGAGGGCGATGGGACCGACGAACGTGTTTAAGAAGCCGGCCGCCCCAGCAGTCAGTTTAAACGTTCCCATTGCCTTGGCCCGCATCTTGTTTGAAACCACTTCAGCTGGATAAATGGGCTGCATTGGAGTGTAACCTGGGTAGATGTGAGCGCTTTTTGTTATCAGGGCGAACAGTAAAACTCACCAGTTGCGAAGATAGCTCCAAAGAGAAAGATGAACACAATTGACATTGTAGCGGCAGTACTGTTGTCATACTCGACTTTACCGGCGGCTCCGGCAGCTACGAGAGCCAGACAAATGGTCATTCCCAGAGTGCTACCTAGCAACATCTTTCGGCGTCCTACGACATCATGAAGACGAGCTCCGCAGACCGAGAAAACCCACCCAATGACGGAATATACGATATTGAGAATCTATTATGAAGGGTCAGTGTTTTGAACGATATTGTATAATGAATAGGTCTATTATCACTCACTAATTTCGTATTAGTGTCAGTAATACCAATACCATCCAGCATAATAGGAAGATAATAACTGATGATACTAAAAGCTATAAGTCAGTGGTAAGTTTTACTCTTTGGTTCTCTGGTGACGTACTTGTTTCCACTGAATTGACCAAACCAAGAGAATGCCACGTTCAGCATGAGCCTATATCTACTTGAACGTGTCTCAACGAGAACTCTAAGGTCAAGAAGGTCCTTCCAGGTCGCTTTAGATGTGCCTTGAACTGTCCCCAGCATCTCTTTCATCTGTAGAGTTACAAGGGGATGGTCAGGATCACCATTAGTACGATATTTGGCGATAATATCTCTGGCTTTTTCATGTTGATCATTTGCAATGAGGAACCGCGGTGATTCGGGGAAGAACTTGATGATAAGGCAAACTATTCCAGGACACACCATCTGCAGCCACACGGGAATACGCCAGTCTAGATCACCACGATCTTCGAGATGAAGATGGCATGCGTAGACAGAAGAAGTAGCCAGGATGGAGCCAACGTTATAGAAAGTGTTGTACGCTCCTGCAATAGTTCCTCGGTATGCGGCTGGAGAGATCTCGACGAGGTAGAGCGGAGCCGCCGTGTGTGCGCAAGTAGCGAAGAACGATAGAAGAAAACGTCCCCCAATGAACATAGGCAGATTGATAGATAGAGCCGTAATTATGGTACCGACACAGACGCCAAGGCAGCCAAAGAAGATATGCCATGTTCGCCCGTACCAGTCTGTCATCCAGACAAAAAGAGCACCGCACATTTGACCGACCTAGGGAGGTTAGCCCCTGTCACAGTAGTTACTATTTGAACCAATTATTTGGAATATAGCAAACACAATCCCAGTTGAAGCATTTCCATTAACAGGAAGCCCAAAATATTTGGTATAATTTGGAAGAGCCTGCTAGTAGTGTTAATGCAATTTTCGAAATTGGGTATGAAACTCCATGCATCGCTTCTAATAGGGGGCCTGGATAAATAGATGCTGCTTACATTAATAGAGCTCATTAATGAGCTGTCAAATCCTAGGACAATCAAGATTAATCTTGAGATATAAGATATGCGAAACATACTAACCGTTCATAGTAGAGCAAAGAAAAACCATTCCAGCTAGAAGGTAAAGCTGAATATAGCCAGGACCTCGAGGATTCGGCTTGTTTGTCGCTATGATGGTTGCATATGTTTCCGGACTAGGCTCGATCCCGTCGACATCGTTGAGATTAATACCTTGTCCTTTTTTATTCATGGAATCATGGCTCAGACGAATCTTCGCCGCTTCAGAAGTTTGCGTGTCTCTAACATGGTTCGCCATGGCTAAGGAGGCGACGAATAGCGAAGTTTGCTCTCCTGGCCAAAACATGAACAATCAAGAGTTAAGACTTGAACGAATCAGCACGAGATCATCGTCTTATACAAGTACTTCACACGACGCGAGAAACCTGGAGAAAACTTATCAACACCTGCTCTCCACTCCCCTGGTAAGCCCCAGGAACACGGGTTCCCCATGGGGCCTGTAAATTTCCCACGCGATGTCCTTGGGAAGTGGAGAGCCAAAGGATACTATTCAATCTGGGGTCATGTTGCGAGGTGTGATTGGCTCTCGGGAATTTGATTCCCCAGACATCTAGGCCTTAGAGGGCCCTATGGTAGAGTTGGTGGGGGTAGTGTTCTAATTTGGAATGCGGTCTTATATAAATCCCCTTCCCTGAAATAGGATACGGTTGAACAAACCGCCGACCGCTACCAAGCGGTAAGGCCACTATCGTCAATAGAGTTGGCTGCAGTTTAAAGTATTGAGGGTCTTGAATAATTCGAGGCTTGTGACATTAACTCCTGAGAGCTATTCCTAGGATCGAATATCACTTAGCGAAGGAATTTCAATCCGACTGTTTGTGTACGAAATAGTCAAATTCTAGTAGTGTAACTTGGGGGTCAATCGGTTGAGCAATCTTATGTTGGCACTGGGCTATCTATCAAACTACGCCGGTTCCGATTTTGAAATATTTTCATATCGGGGAATTACTGATTAAACGAACCTCTCTCCTGAGCTTGCAAAGCCAGACGACTATGGGTCGAACGTGGAAACTGGTAGAAGGTATGTGACGATCGATACTGGTGGGTTATTTAGAGGCTTGCTAAAGTTCCGCAGTGAAGGAGCATAAAACTCAAGAGAGTTGTTGGATGGTCTTGCATGGGAAAGTATATGATGTAGGCTATCATATCGAAGTATAGAGTGTAATTTTCCACGAGCGTTAAGCTAACCCGACGTGATTAGATCACTTCATTCGTCCCAAAGCATCCTGGAGGGAGAAGCATTCTGCTGAAGAATGCAGGACAAGACGCTTCGGCGGCCTTTGATTCGGTCCACTCAGTCGAGATATTGGATGAGTATCTGACGCCAGACCAAGTAATAGGAACAATTGAACTAGGTGACGCTTCCGAAGATAAGGAAGCCCGGAAATCAAAGCATGATTCGCACATAGGATTGAAGGAAATTCCATCAATCACGTTGCCGCCCCTTGCGTCGATGTTGAGTGTATCTGAGATTGAATCGCACGCGATGAAATGTCTATCACCTAAAGCGATATCATATTACGCCTCCGCTACTGACGACCAACTCACAAAAGAAGCAAATGGCCAAATATACCGCTCTATCCTCCTGCGACCGCGGGTCTTTGTAGACTGCACAGAGTGCTCGCTGGAGACATCGATATTGGGGAACAGGGTAGGCCTGCCAATCTATGTCTCCCCAGCCGCCATGGCTCGTCTGGCCCATCCGAGTGGAGAAGCTGGAATAGCCCGCGCATGCTCAAAATTCAATGCACTTCAGATCATCAGTAAGAATGCCTCGATGTCACCGCCGGCAATCGTGAGTGCTGGGCCCGATGCAGTCTTCGCGTGGCAACTATATGTGCTCAAGGACCTCGCAGCGACTGAGAGGACTTTAGCCCAAATCCGCAAGATCCCGCAGATCAAGTTCATAGTCCTAACGCTGGACGCGCCGTTCCCAGGAAAACGCGAAGCAGATGAGCGCTTTAAAATGGCCGAGGTAGCTGGCGGGGCGCCACCGCAGGCTTGGGGGACAGAGTCGGCGTTAACGTGGAGAAAGACATTGGATTGGCTAGGCAGACATACAAGCTTGCCGATAGTCCTTAAAGGAGTTCAGACACATGAGGATGCATACGCCGCAACGCTGTTCCCTGCCGTTAAAGCTATTATCATTTCGAATCATGGCGGCAGGGCACTTGACACTGCCCCTCCACCAATACAAGTTCTGTTGGAAATTCGAAAGTTCTGCCCCCAGGTTTTTGACTGCATCGATGTACTCGTTGATGGGGGTGTTAAGCGAGGTACAGATGCTGTGAAGGCTCTGGCGTTAGGGGCGAAGGGTGTTGGGATCGGTCGAGCCGCTCTCTACGGGCTCTCAGTTGGAGGAGAAGAGGGTGTTACGAGAGTGCTCAAGAGTAAGTACCTAGGTTAGGGAGTGTGTAGGTGATGTCTATGGCTGACGTATAGTATAGTTTTGGCTGACGAGACCCAAACGGCGATGAGGCTGCTCGGTGTGAAGAATGTATCAGAGCTCAGCCTACGGCACGTAAGTCATATTATACCTCTCTGTCGCAATTATTTTGGCTAACTATATAATAGATTAATACAAGTGCTTTAACATCAAGGTTATTCGATGGGCCTTCAGGTCTTGAGGATGTTGAAAGGAAACTCCAGTCGAAATTGTGAAGATCTTACTGGGACTAGTAAAATACGTTAGCGAAAGGTAGGCGGTACCTAATGCATGCCATCAAATAGGGCATGATCTTAATAAAAATTTGAAACCTCTTGAATTGTCTTTGGATATTCAGGAGGCCGATGAAGCGCCTAATTGAGAATAGTAATATACATATGTATAATCGCTTTTAGATCTCGCTTTGTTGAGCTGCGAAGAAAGCTCCTTGGAGATCATCATCCATTAGAAACGAACCCCAGTCCAACTCGGCGGTAAGCTGTTCATCATACCAGCCGAAGAAATTTGAATCTCCATCCTGAGATGGGGTTCTACCAGCAACTTCTGCCTCACCAGTAATTGCTTCGTATATCGCTGCGACTATATCTGGTCCCCTATCTGAGGCTCGCATCCAGGGCTTCATTTCCGAGAAAGTTTCGAGAGCTTTGACAAAGCTTGCGCGAGCCGAGGCCAATGACTCGGCGTTCGGATCGGGGCGCGATTGCTCAATCACGATGGAAAGTAAAGGAATCATACAGGCTTGAAAAAGATACCAAGCTGAATTCCAGACGTGAATTCTGTTCGGTGTCCAGTAAAGTGCTATCGAATCAATAGCTTCACCCGCAACGGTTCGGCAAGTATTAATAATCTGAAGTTCTTCGGCGCTAAGCTGAGCCTTTTGAATGCGGCTATGCGCAAGATACAATATTAGAGATCGCATTAGGATTAAACGTATATTCAGGTAACGGTTCCGCACTATCCGAGTAGAAGTCAGTGGATGTTTCTTTTAACGGTTTTAGTATTAGTAGGTAACAACTCCCCATCGACTCCATCATGAAGCTTGGTCTCCCGATATGGGGTAAATAGGGGCGAAGAAAATTCTGAATGCTACATACTAAACTCGCGTGCAATAGTGAGACGTGATGGTGAGTTTGTCGGTGATCGAAGGACTAGAGGTATAGAGGCGTACCACGTTTGTAACTCTTCATCATAAGAGACTGCCTCGGCAATCGTAAGACGACTCAGCCGTGCAAAGCGATTCTGTATGCGATTGCATGATAGGCAGAACTGTAGACTAGCATTTAATGACATTGCCATATGATCATTTTCAGTTAAAAGACTGGGAAATAAAGTATCCATCGTGGTGCCCTCCCATCTACCACAGGTTGGACGCCCCAGTGTCATACTTGCCCAAGTATCAAGACAGAATAAACTCCACCACGTCCTACGTTTAGTTTCGGCCCGGCTTAGCTTCGTACCCTCTTGAACTTTGCTAGTGGTAGTATTTCGATGCCTAGACTCTCTATGTAAACCTAGAGCGATGGCGACGCGGTGTGCAGCACCAAGGATAGCATAGGCCATGTTAGGGGCGTTCCGATAATGTAAGTAGAGACCCCCAAGCAAACAGAGAGCTTGCAAGCTTTCTAGATTGCCAGCGCCAAAGCTATCGAGATCTAAAAATTTACGAGCCTGTTCGTAGTATTGCTCATGAAGGGTGTCGCTTCCAGAGGCTATAGAGCCAAGAGTTATCACCATATTTAGCAGACCGAGCCATCCAGGATCTCTGCGATGTCTCAAAGAGTAGGAATTCCGGAACTCTTCTTCATCTAGCATAGGAACGATTGGATGGATATGCTCGAAATAGAAATCGATACATCGTTGCTCTTTGAGGAGATGGGTACTCAAGTCTCCGCTCATAAACGGTACAGGTTGAGGCTGGGGTTGAATAGGAATCTCGGACCATCTCTTGGCTTGCTCAGCAACGCGACGCTTCGCTGAGGGACAGAATCGGAAAACTGCTCGGAGGATGGCGCTGATTGAAGTCACTCCTAGATAAGAGCGACGGTGTTTGTCGGTTGCGAGATTGATAGCGTTGATATCATCAGCGGCCGGCAGTACAGGCGGCTGGCGACTTGACTCGTCCCATTGCCGATCGGCCGCAGGCTCGCCGTTTTCGGATACTTGAGCGGAATCATCAGCCGCTTCGGCATATTCAGCAGGCCGGATAACCAAATCCACTGATGGCCCTTTGGATACTGAGTTTACGCGAAGGATTTCCAGCAACTCATCACGACTCTTGCCAATGAGCTCGTCCACGGACCCGTCAGGAAACAGTCGTTCAAGGATCTCTGTTCGTGACCTTAATCGCTCTGATACCTCCTCAAGAGTACTAAGTCCAGTCTTGTAAGTAAGATATATATAGAATTCAGGTGGTTAAAAACGATGGACACTCAGTTTATAGTGGGAAGCAGGCATTGGAATGGTTACCTTCTACTGACAGCATTCCTCTTGTTCCGCTGGCGATAGTTACATACGTGTGAGACCTTGTAATACGTACAAGAGCTATGATATGTATCAGTATACAAACTGTGGGATATGCAATACGGCTACTTGCCTACATGGGTGGCCACCATCACACTTAACCTTCCGCCTAGTATAGCCAGTCAAGTCTTAGTAACCGAGTCAAAAGGGGGATCCTTGGCGTCACGCACCTCGTGCATTCCGAGCACGACTTATTAAGGCGAACTGGTGCCGGTGGTGATGGGCTCGTTTTTGGATGGCTGCTGAAATTGTGGAACATCAACGCAATGGGACATAGTCACGTATCTGTGACCACTCAATTCATCGAAAAGGACTTCATCGAAGGGGGGGCTTGGTGAGATCAGGTGAGGTTCCCCGGAGGAACTCGATGATAATGCGGAGTATCGTGATTCGTGAAAGCCCTTGCAATAAGATGAGCTTTTGATTTGATATATCTGCTTAGATGAATATTTATCATGTAACAAAAGAGTTATCGCTACAACCCGATAATTTCCCCGGTCGCCCCGCACGAAGAATTAAATGTCCGCATACCAAAAACAGCATTCCCACTTCCCACTATCAACCTTCTACCCTAGGAGATGCCTTAGAATGTAATTGCCTTTACAGGCACCTATCTATTACCCATCTAGTTGGTAGTTACGAAATATCAGATCGAACTTTAAAATGTCTCGGTCTCTCTATCCCGATGCGGATATTTGAATTGTCCGCTCAGGAGAGTCCTACCTAATGCCGTCTTGCAACATGACAGGGATGTCACAAACAACAACCCTTATGGACCTCGTTTGTACCTATTCTGAACAATTGCACTTCGAATTCGTCAGGTATCCGTACAACGTCGTTTAAAAAGAGGATCTTCTATAAACATAGCATGATCCATTCCAATTTGAAAACGAACTTTGACATTCTAGGTGACATCTGGTCAATCCGATCATACTTCCATCTAATCTACTATGGCTCCCACCAAACACATTCTAGATCAGGGATGGACTTTCCAGCAAAGCAACAGTTCCTCGGACGACTGGCTCCCAGTGCAAAAAGTCCCAAGTCAGGTTCACATAGACTTACTAGCCAACAACAAGTAAGGATTATTGCCTTCTCTTTACAGTGTCATTGCTCTTAGTATGGGAGAAAATGCTTACCCATCAGTAGGATCCCAGACCCATTCAATGATCTCAACGAACTAGCAGTACAATGGATCGGTGAGAAGGACTGGACATATAAGGTCCGATTTCAGCGACCCCCACACCCTATAGTTGATGAATCGCTTATCACAGATGTTGTTTTCGAGGGTCTCGATACCTTTTCAACAGTGCTGTTAAATGGAAGCGAGATCTTAAAGTCGGATAATATGTTCTTGTCTCATCGAGTAGAGATCTCCAGCCTTCTTGAAGATGACAATACTCTCGAAATCAAATTTGACTCAGCTTTGTTACGGGGCCGGCAGCTGGTAGAAGAGCATAGTCATGAACACACATTCTATGTACGGCAAACAGAAGTCGGTCGCGTTCCTGTGAGAAAGGCTCAATATAATTGGGGCTGGGATTGGGGTCCAATACTAATGACAGCTGGGCCCTGGCGGCCAATTTACCTGGAACAATACGTCTCAAGAATTGATGATGTCTGGGCTCATTACGAAGTTAGTGAGGACTTAAAAAGATGTTCAGGCCGTATTCTTGCCAAAGTTGCGGGTGCAAGTCAAAAGTCAATTGTACTTTCAGTATCTTTAGGAGGGACGACCATTTGGGAGAAAGAAAGTGTTGTTGACTCTGATGGGCTTGCTGAAATGGAGTTCCGGATCGACAATCCAGAGTTATGGTACCCATTTGTTTATGGCCAGCAGGTCCGTTACGAGCTGAAGGCGACAATTGCAGGCGACGAAAAGACTAAACTTATTGGTTTCCGGCGAAGTGAACTAGTTCAGGAAAAGGACGAGTTTGGCAAGTCCTTTTACTTTCGCATCAACGGAATCGACGTGTTCGGTGGTGGATCGTGTTGGATCCCCGCCGACAGTTTCGTCTCACAAATCCCGCCACAACGATACCGCGACTGGATGAAGCTCATGGTAGAGGGAAACCAGCATATGCTTAGGATTTGGGGCGGTAAGATATAATATTAGAATCCTTAATCTAGTATGAAGCCACTGACTAGCGATTGTAGGTGGGATTTATGAGGACAATGCCCTTTTTGACGCTTGCGACGAGCTCGGAGTCCTTGTATGGCACGACTTCCAATTCGCATGCGCCAGTTATCCAACATATCCCTCGTACTTGGAATCTGTTGAACAAGAAGCACGACAAAATCTTCGCCGACTGAGGTCTCATCCCTCTTTAGTGATATGGGCCGGAAATAATGAGGATTATCAGGTCCAGGAGCGCTACCATCTTGACTATGACTATGAAGGGGACAAAGATCCTCAGTCATGGTTGAAGTCCAGTTTCCCGGCTAGGTATACATACGAGTACCTACTACCAAAGATCGTTAAGGAAGAGGATCCATCCATGATCTACCACCCAAGTAGCCCATGGGGAGACGGAAAGCATACTACTGATAAAACGGTAGGAGATATTCATCAATGGAATAGTAAGTCATGGATATATAATTATTATCATTCCCTTTCCCGCTAACGATACGAAGTATGGCATGGCGCGATGAACAGATATCAGGAGACCCATCTACTTTCTGGTCGATTTATCAGCGAGTTTGGAATGGAGGCTTACCCGCATCTCGAAACAATTCGTGACATGATTAAAGACCCACAACAACAGTACCCGGGATCTATGATGATGGACTTCCGCAATAAAGCTATTGATCACGAGCGCCGTATGATAACATACGTTGCAGAGAATTTCTTGGTGAAATATGACCTTCCGTCATATACCCACCTCACACAAATTGTTCAAGCGGAAACTATGCACTTCGCCTACAAGACATGGCGTCGAGAATGGGGCAAACCCGGAGCGCGTAAGTGTGGGGGTGTTCTAGTATGGCAATTGAACGACTGCTGGCCGACAATGAGCTGGGCTGTGGTTGACTATTACCTTGTTAAGAAGCCGGCTTTCTACGCAATTGCGAACGCCTTGAAGCCACTGGTTGTGGGTGTGTCCCGAACGTATCACGAATGGACAACAGGTCACGCCGATCCCACTTTGCCCTCCCGAGACACGAAATTCGATCTTTGGGTCGTAAGCAATCGACAAGAAACAGCCCGGCTCGAAATAACCTTACGATTCCTCTCGGTTCGGACAGGCCAGGATATTCAGTCCCCTTTAAAACTTGATACTGTATCGGCACAGCCAAACAGCACAACAGAAATCTTTCAAGATCATGCTACCCCTGTAGTAGAATCTCAGTTAGCTGATACTACGCGGCCATTCGATCCAGCGAAATACGATCCCTATATAATCCATGCCGTCGTCAAAGAAGATGGCCAGGTGATTGCGACCGATACTGCATGGCCACAGCCACTAAAGTACTTGGACTTCTCCGACCGAAACATAAAATTCAAAGCCTTATCTGTAAACAAAGTTGTCATACTCTCTACTCGCCCAGTAAAGGGATTTGTTTTCGAAGAAACCCGCGAGGTAAAACTAAGCGATAATGGGTTCGATCTCGTCCCAGGCGAAGAAAAGATCGTAGATGTATCTGGAGCATCTTTAGACTCTTTACGCTACACCTACATTGGAGCGCCAGAAGGATCTTTGAAAGTGTCAGTGTCTACCTCGGAAGGGAGCTGGACGACGTCGGTAGCTAGTCTTGTGTCAAAGATCACCTCTTGAGGAACTATAAATAGACGTGCTACGCATGTATCTATCTTGACGCTTGCTTTTGGCAGGACAGTCGACGTGCCAGACTAAAGTTCCGACCCCAACGTCCGTACGGAATAGCTTCTGTTAGACTGCCGCCCGATTGGCCCGAGTCATCAATTTAAGACATGCCCAGTCCGAGGTCTCTTTACATAAATATGTAAAGATAACCGTGAATTTAGAGGCCGGAACTAGTGAGATCAGAATCAACTTCCGGCTTATGCAAATTTTAATTTCTACCCACCTTATCAGGTATGGGATCGTCTCGATATTGCTAGTACAGCCAAATCTACCCCGTCCTCATACACGTTCCGAAGTTACTATATTTATCAAATCTTTCAGGTCGGATTCAGGTACGACTACTTCATCATATAAATATCCGTCGAGCATATACCGTTGGAAACTCCATACTCCGTCCTATTTACAATAAATATACTAAATGGACCGCTAGTTAAGGGTTCCGATGCTCCATGTCGCGACGATAGTCGGTATACTAACGGCGCGTTATCCTAAATCGTCTTTAGGGCAATATCCAACTTTGATGATCGCAATATGTGTCCATCCGTTCAACGTAGCCGTTAACTCTCTCCATCACCCACCCTGACATCACTCGCGGGACAGCGTCTTTAGAGATCTGATGCCCTAGAATAACGGCCGTTGACGTCTTACAGGACTGATCTGTAAATGAGAATTGTACGCAATCGGGTTGCTTCTCACAGATGTTGCGGCATTCATCGAAAGAAGCAGCCGGACCCTGGTCAGCGTCTGATAAATTATCCCAGTCACTAAGGTTTGACGAGAGACGAGGCAAAATATAATATTCAAATACGTCTCCGTGACGTAGACGAGATACGTTCTAACGAGAACTCTAATGTTAGCATCGGCCGATCTAATAATCAACTAAGTTTTAAGCTTACTTCCCGATTCCAAGTCTGTTCGAACTTGGCTAACTTATGATATTCCGCGGGTGGAAGATGGTGATAACTTGCAGCGTAGTAACACCAGGGTGTCTTATTTGATCCACCAAACGTCGAGTTGAAGTTCGTATCAGCGGGCTGGTCACTAGTCAGAGTCGGGAAGGACCAGAGCAAATTTACACCCGAATCGGCTAGGGCTTTGCCTAAAATACAGTCACCAGCCCAGTGAGCGCCGGTGAGATCGTCGTAGAACTGGAGGTTTTCTCTGCGGCGTTCCACAACCATATTCAACGCCGGGTTGGAAATCGCAAAACCTGCGCCACCATAAGCAAAAACGACGTCGCCAATTTGCATCTGCATGCCCAGATAGTGTGGCTTTGAAGGATCAAAATGAGCAAGCCATTCTAGGAGGGTTTGCCAGAGCATATAAGTGTCGGACTCGATGAAGATATACCACTTCGCATCGGGTCGCTCGCGAAGGGCCTTTTCCGCTAATGGGAGAAACTTCCACTTATCCAACCTCCAACCAGGACTATCCCGTCCGCCTTTTGTATTTTTAGCGGAACTCCATTGTTCTAATTCTTCGGATGAAAAAGCCTCTCTGCCCTTCTCTTGTAGACGACGGTAATATTCGAAATCGGCATGCGTAGATATAATTTCGGGGTTAATTTCATCTAAAGCATTGTAGACGTGATGCCCTTCAATATCCTCCTCGTAATCGGAATAGATGGCGTAGTGGGGAACGCAGCGTAGGGTAGTCGAAAAATGAACTGGAAGTTTTTTAGGGGCCTCAGAAGCCCCTGTCCTGAGAATTACGAAAAGATCATCGAGTGCCTCAAGCGAGTCGCATGTTGACGGAACGTTTTCCTGGTTAGGATATTTTTGGCTTACGGAAACCGGCCTGCGAAAAGAAAGATACTGCTGGAGTATTAGAAAAACCAAAATCGCCGCAAGCACTCGGTATCCTGAGCGTGAGAAGGGTGACGGGAAAATAGAAAACATCATACAAACTAAGATGTTGTATAGTTAAAGGAAAAGTAATACCAAAAGGAGTGAGTTAGAAGTGATAGAGCTAGCTCCATTGAAACAACCCAAGAACACACCAACAAACCACGTTTACGAATTTTCGACGGTTCTAAAATAAAAGGAAGTCTCCCTAAAACAAAGCAAGCATACGTAATGTCAGAGTGTATGTATGATGTACGGATGTATCTCTAAAGAAAAGTATGTACTCTGTAGATCATTAAGCAGTTTTGGCAGTGCGCTAAAACAGAAGAACAAGAATAATCGAAAGACCCAATCCTACCGGTTTAGACATCCATGTCTATTAAGTGGGATTGGTATGGTATGGGATTGGTACGGATCCATAGACAACCCTTGGAACTTGTACCATAACGACATGGCCTTGGCGGAGTTAGCCACCAACACTATTTGAGATCTAGTTGGCTTAGCCCGTGCTTCGCCATAGAACTAATGCAAGGGAGTTGTTATAGCAGATCGCCTGAGCGCTTACAAAGACACTTACATACGGTGTATTAGGTGTATTGTTATGTGTATTATTATGTATTATAATACACTCCTCCCCAGGGTCATGATACCAGCGAATTGCCCGTGATCGCGACGCCCAGGACAACGCACATTTAGTGTATGTACGTTATTCACTCGGATATCTTTAGTCAACTTGCGGCTGAGTCCTTGGACTCCATAGGGCTGCTTTTACAGGCCAGGATGAAAGAAGCTAAACATTCTAATTTGCAATCCTTGAAAGTAGTGTAGAAGTACCAAAAGCCAAATGTCAAGCCCAGTAGTGCATCTCCTGGCTCTGACCACTGGGTTATACGAGAGACCATAACTCCCTCACGATTTTCTGGGGCTTTTTATATTTTTTATTTTATTTTCCTTGTCATTGCTGCGTTGTTTTATATCTTCTTGCTATCGTTGGGCATTTCCGAAAGGCGGCCATGTGGTTTGGACCGCTCTCCGCGTTCATATCGCTCATATTCTTGAGCTCCGCCGTTCTTGCACAAGATCTCCCCGGTCCAGGCGAGCCGGCGTTCGAGTACACCGATGGCGCGTTCACAGAGCCGAGAGGATCCCAATCAACATACAGATTGGGAGCAACGATGAACGTTAGTTGGGAGACAACGTACGAAACTTCGAATCTTTGGTTGATCGTTGGCTGGAGCTTCAACTCGCCTGTACAACTTGCATGTAAGTCGCGTAGCACAACAATATATATTCTTTCAGCCCTGTGAGATTAACTAAACACCGCATAGCCAACATCGGACAGACGTGGTACGAATGGACAGTGTCAACCGACTCAACGAATTCTTCGGAGATATACGCATTTCGCGTGGTCGATGCGTCAGGCACATCTGAAGATCAACAAGGAGGTGGATTCTTGAGCGCGGCTTTTTGGATCGGTGGTCTACCAACTACCACTTTATCGTCGTCGACTATATCCCATATATCAACATCTGCCTCCGCACCTGTTACGACATCTACCTGTTAGTTATATTTTCCCCCTCGTTTACTTCGGACTTAACTAACCAATACCGAAATATCAGCGGCGAGCCCCTCGGTGACGTCTCAGACCCCCGAGAGCACGTCCGAGAATCAGTCTTCTGTCTTAACAACTAGCGGTAAAATCGGTGTTGGTGTAGGAGTGGGAGTGGGAGGCGTGGGTATCATTGCCCTCGTTTTAGGAATATTGTTCTTCAGACGGTCAAAGAACAATAGAACACAAGCGGCCGATAGCATGGAGCCATATTCTCAATCCCCACAAACGTTCCCCCCGACACCGCAACCCTACCACGGTGCTTCCGACGCGCAATTTAATGGATATTATAAGCCAACGGAACCAAGCGAGATGGAAGGAGTAGGAAGGGGTGCTGAGCTAGACGGAGGACAAAGTAATATAGAGCTAGACGGAGGACAAAAGGATATATTGGCTCCCGGCGCATACCCAGCCAATGCCCCCAGACAGCACCTTGCTGAGCTTCCAGGATAAATTCTTTCAAAAGCCAGAATGATTTATAAGATACCCACACTTTGATTTTAAAGATTCATTCTTGGTCATAAGTAAATAGCCTGCATGTTCGTTATGAGTAACTCAAATTTCTGAAGCTGCGAGTCATACGATAATATTGTCGCTTGAATATATTATTACAACCATCTCATTCTATGTTAAGATCGTAAGAGCTGATGTTCGTAGCGGTTGGAGTAACGTAACAGGTATCTATATGATATTATATGTCAAACGCAAGGTTACAGATTCGTAAAGGCAGCAATCGAATTACCTCCTCCAGATATATCTGCTTCTTTAGGTTCTATTGAGTACGTCCGCAGTCGTGTTTTGGGATGAAGGGGCATTTTGAACCGATTCATCAATCGGTCTACATCGGCATACGTTAATAGATTATCGCTCGATGAGTTTTTGAATAGCTCTGTTCATTATCAGTCAAAAAATACCAAACTCAAGACCCCCTCATACTTACGAAGCAAGATTTTAGGTAGCATCCATATCCTGGAGAAATTTTCCAAGAATAGTATGAGAGTATTCTCGGAATGAGCGAGACGGGATATCAATGGCGACCCGAGATCGGTAATGCATCTGCGGTGCAGGTTCGTGATCCAGAGAGCCTTGAATATAATGAGACATAATGCGGGATCGACACGACACCAGAACTGGTTATTCCATTCGTCGACAACTGAGACGATTTCCTGGCAAATCTCAAGGCTCCGTTGCCAGCAGTTTAACCATCGGGCCTCGTTGGCGTAGAGGTTCGAGGGTAAGGAGGCGACAAGACGCGTCATGTGCAGATGCAATATGTTAGTAACCCGGATGCAATGGTGGATATCGGATTCTGCCGCTAGTGCGTTGCGCTTCGGATTAAGATATCCAGGGGGGAGCGCGAGGAGAACTGAGGTAAGAGCATCCCCTAGAACAGCCGTTTTCGAGTCAACACATTTTCTCGTGGCCCTAAGTGTTAAGACACTTCCAGCATGGCGCAACATTGCGGTGGTAAGAATGTGAATGTTCAACTCCCGCCCACAATAATTTAACACGACATCTTGTAAAGTTCTCCAGAGTTGGTCCGTATCGTCAGTTAAGAACAGTTTCGGCGAGTTCGAAACCACCTCATCAAATAATGACCTCCTGACGAGAGCGCTGTTGATACTTTCCACGTCGACCATAAAAGGGGTACCCAAAGCAATATTTGAATACGAATCGAGACGGTAAACACACCACCATACGTATCTCCAGTCTTCGATTTCATCTTCTGTTACTGACCCGTGATTAAAGGCTGAACACAAGTCTGGATTTTCTATTTGATTGAGCCCCAAGATATAAGCCTTACGCGTTAGTCGGCTTATTCTCATCCCGGCTGATGGCCCGGGAAATTGATGGAAGTTGTAATAAGCGAGTAGGCATTCTTGCCTGAGGTGATCCAGACCAGTCTGAGAGCTTAACGAATCGTTTTCGTAAGCCGTCCTCCCAAGTAGTGAGTTTATACACGAGTCCACATCCTCAGAGCGCCAAAACTCAACTGGTCCTAATAGTTTAGTCGTGATCGCGTTAATTATTACGACTAGATCATAACAAGCTGCGCCTTCATCGTACGACTTAAGAAATCTGCTTTTCTGAAACAGTGGGACAGCGGGATGTACATCGTCGAAAAACCGCAGTAGACTTCCTAGGGTGTTAAAAAGGGGTCCTAACGAGCTGTATAGGGGCTGAAACTAACATGTCTTTTTCCTGCGAAGAGTCTAAGTAATAGCCTGGGAAACTAGGCAAGCCTAATGCAGGTACAGTCATAGACACATACGGTAAGAAGCTCGGACCGACATGATCAATGCATGGTGCGAAATGTACTGAAACATTATCGTTGAATATTGGGGGTACAGGTTGATTATACCGCTGTAAATAAGCGACGGGTGTCGATTCATCGTCATTTGCCTGGTGATTTAGTGGATTGATGACCGCCGGATTCGATGCTGAATTATTGCGAGTCCTCGGCCGAAACCCTCGCGGAGGACCCGGCTTTCGCTTTCTTGTCGAATACGTACATGAATAGCCAGATTCTAAACAACGAGAGCAATGAGGACGTCGTAGGTCACCTAGAACTTATAGCGTCAGCGTATAAGTACCTAGAAATTATGTTATGAGTTGTCCGCTTCACACTTGACTTTTTTCCTAACATCATGTTAGCACCCCTTGTCCTTATCACGATGATCAATTACAGTAGCAACAAACTTGATGCATCGGTCGCATACACGACTATTGGCAGGCATATTAAGCGTATATCTGCATTGATTTCAACCCTCGTCCAGATGAATTCATGGTTTTACAAAGAATGTTTTGCAATCCTAAACTTATGGATGAGTTGGTGTTTCTGTTGAGGATATCGAGCTCCTTCGTGCCGTCGCGATTTCATTTCTCGACTTCTGTGGCTGAGATACAAAGTAAAGTGGCTAATTAAATGTGGCTCTCACGAAATCGTCCCCTATTCACCCCCTTTTCAATGACAATTTCTGATTCTAACAATCTGATATTCAGCATTAGCTTCATCAAGCAACTCTCACGTGAGGATGCTTGATAAAAAATACCATGGTAAAAAAATCTTTTAAAAATAGTGACTTATTAAACGCCTCTATAGTTTAGTCTATACCTATTCGTCATACTTTTCAATATAGCATAACTGGACATATATACATAAAATAGAAATATGGTTACCTATATATGCGATAGATTATATTTTAAATCTTTGCCCGAAACATATGAGATGGCAGGTTTTCGTGGAACACAGCTTACAAAGAGAAGTTATTATCTCGTTATAATGCCTTCATACCCAGTAGAATATTTATATTAAGCGAAAGTAAGTAAATTGTACCAGATATTTGGAGTTTCAAACTCGCATTCAATTCATTGGGTCCCTTCGGCTTTACGAAGACATTGACTGACTATTGAGGTGTTGCTTAGAAGGATATACCCCAATCTGAGCGGTGGTTCCTCCGCGGAGGAACTCCAACTTTGGGCCGGAGGAACTGAATTACTGTCGTGTCAATTTAAGGGTTATGATTAGGCGACATATCACGATGTTCCAATGGGACTTTTTAGTGAGGAATCCCTGGAATGGCGAATCTCGCATATTCTATTCGTATTCAGCGCCTATAAGCAAGTCTAAATACCGAGCGACGTGTCACCTAGTATTCGCCAACCTGACAATGAAAGATACTTTGGCTATAAATGGTGCAGGATCCCTACTTTTTTTTATCTTCATTTCCTATAACATCTATATTCAAATATGGAAGAAACAAAAGTCATCATCGTGGGCGCTGGCCCATCCGGTCTAGCTTTAGCACTCTCATTGGCTAAGTTCAAAGTTCATGTGAGTCTTAGTATTTCCTATCGGATAAATATAATGATCATTATTGACGATCCTGATAGTCTGTAATTTTAGAGAAGGAATCTGATATTACACAAGACCCAAGAGGTGTTTATCTCACTAATGATGCGGTTCGCATCTTGTGGAATCTTGGTCTCGGCGATAGCCTGGAGGAGATTGGACATGGTACATTTTTATGCCATACGCTCATTGAAATCTCATAGCTAATCATACATCCAAGCGCTATCCACTGTGAACTTTTATCAGACTTCATTTACAAACGACCCCTTCTACGTGATGGATATCAGCGATGACGTGTTCTGGCAAGTACTTCCTAACGCCGTACTTCATACTCAACCAAGGCTAGGTAAGATTAACAAACTACCTCTCACGTGAAGGCGAACCATCTAATATAATAAAAGAGAGCGCAATGCGACGAAAGATTGCCGAGTCGCCGTTTTGTAATCTACGATGCCAGTGTGAAGTCGTAGATATGAAACAGGAGGACGACCGTCCTGTTATTGAATACGCAGACGAGAAAGGAGTTCGTCGCAAGATCTTAGGCTCCTTCGTCGTTGGGGCGGACGGAAAGAAAGGCGTTGTGAGAAAAAACTTCCTCGAGGAATTGGCCGGAATCAAGCAAGTCGAGGGCTCGTACCGTTATGATGGAACGTGGATTGCAGCGAACCTAAAACTCAAGGTACCAACTCCGGAGACACATCCTGACTTCCCCCTTTGGGAACTTGGGTTCAGCCCTGAAGCAGTATACGACCTTTTCTGGCCGAAAGGTTGGCATTTCTGTAGCCCACCCGGAAGAGCGACTGCCGCGGGGAGATTTGGCCCTCGCGCGGACCGGCTATGGCGCCATGAGATCGAGCAGAATGACTGGGATGATTCTATGGATTCTGAGAAGCTCTTATGGGCGAACCTCAAGCCTATGATCACACGTACGAAGGATACCTCAAACAAGCCGTTCCCCTGTGGCGATGTTACATATCCGCGCGATTGCATCAGCATTATCCGGTGCCGCCCGTATCTGTTTACGCACAAGGTCGTCAATAAATGGTATCACGACCGCACCATTTTGATCGGCGACGCCGCACACGTGTTCCCGCCGTTCGGGGGCCAGGGTATTGCAAGCGGTTTTCGCGACGCCCACCAGCTTGCTTGGCGCATCTCGCTACTTCAGCTTCTACCCAAGAGCGACAGATCGCTTCATGATGATCTTCTGAAGGGTTGGGCACGGGAACGCCGCTATGGTGTTGACGACGCCACGAAAATCACAAGCCTAAATGGCAGATTATGCAACAAAGGCGATGATTTTTATTCCTGGCTGATACGCACGATGGTTTGGCTCTTTGGACGCATTTCTACTATCTTTAGCATGCCCAATCCTATGGCTGCTTCTGAGACTCGAGGATATCAGCATGTTGACGATGGCTTCATGTTGAAGAAATTCCATGGCGGGAAGCGCCTAGCGCAGGTTTATGTGGAATCAAGTCACCAGTCTCCCGTGTTATCGGATGAGTTGATAAGGAATACTGAGACGGTGATGACGTTACTGGTTATTACGAGAGACCAGTATAGAGATACGGTGGCGGAGGTACGAGAAGTCCTCAGAGCAGTTGACCTGAACCCATCAGTCTTGTCGGAAATATCTCTCCGAATTTTATCTCCCGATTCCCCATGCGATACCGATGATGTTGAGGTATATTTTCCTATGCCCGTTCGTCGCCTTGTGGATTTAGGCATCTCTATCAAGCAGGGATACAGCCCATCTAACTATCTACGTCGACTGAGCCCAGGTACAAAATTTGTTATCGTTCGCCCCGATTTATACACATTCGCTCTCGCGAATAACACGGAAGAATTAGTAGAATGTCTTAGAACACTCCGGTCACGGCTCCAACAAGAAAATTGAGCTGCCCAGTCAAGACCGGGTATTATATTGGTTAGGTACCTCCTAACCCATCTCAACCGTTATGTAGAATACCTGAATCCATAAGTTTAAATATACGAGCATAAGATTCGGGGGGGATATGCAGCTCTTTGCACACCGCCGGATCCACAAAATCCCTCGTTGAGTCCCTACTTTTGAATGCTTTGTCAGAATTTAGTATATGCCGTATCTATCTAACGGCGGTGGTGTGTTTATCAACTCTGGGGGTATAAGAAGCTTGTATGGAATACCTTAGGTCCATTTCTCAAACCTGACTTAACACTTCTACCATCTTCTTACCTACATTACTTAACCTACTCTTTTCTCATCATGCCGACGGGTAGCTGTCTATGCGGAGAAATTAAGATCGCCTACGAAGGTGATCCAGTATATCGGGTGAGCTGCCTCGGAGGTATTACCTATTTGATATATACTAATAGTAAAAGGCAATATGTTATTGTCACGACTGTCGTAAAATGGCATGCATGCAGGTTTTCCAGGTGTGGGAAACGAGCTTCTCGGTAACTAAGGGTGAACCAAAGACGTATACAAAGGTGTCAGATCACGGAAATGTGAGTCTAAAATCAGATATCTCCGGAGTCCGTGACCTAATCTTGCCTCCTAATATAGGAAATCATAACCTATTTCTGCGCGACGTGCGGTACGGCTCTGTTTCGAACCGGCGGGGCGGAGATGAACAAAGGTAAAATAGGTGTTCGCGCTGGTGTGTTGGACGACCAAAGCATTCTGGATAAACCGCCTGCTATTGAGGTCTACGTCGAGAGACGACCGCCATGGATAAAGCAGGTTGAGGGTGCCGTCCAATTAAACCACAAATATGAGGTTGTTTCTCAATAAGGGTTACGAACCACGCCTCTTAACTATAGATATTATAAAGGATTGTATCTTGTACTATATTTTCTATAATATCTCGATGTTCGCCATTCCTTTTCCAAAAACCTAAAGTGCTTTTACTTACCCTTAAGTATAAGGTGGATTATCCTTATACGCGCATATTCCACAACGCGCCATATAATTTTTACTAATTAAAAAGATGCGATTAATCCATTTATTAATTTAATTTTTTATATAATAAGATTTTTTTACTATAATTATTAAAATTTTTTTATATTATTAAATTTTTTAATTTTTTTTTTTTTTAATAATATATAATTTTTAATTTAATTTTATGCGGCGATTATTATTTATAACGTCGAAAATAAACAATTTATTTATAATATATTATAATATTATTAAATTAATTATTATTATATTAATTAATATATAAAAAGTATATTAATTTAAATAAATTTTAATAAAATTTATTAAAAATTATTTAAAATTTAAAAAAATTATTTAACTTATTAAATTATTATATAAAAAGTTTTAAGTTATATATTATTATATTTTAAATTTAAATTATTTATTTAACGTTTTTTTTTATATAATAACATATATTTAAATTTCGGAAAAAATTAATATATTGGTTTTTTACGTTATTATTTTAAAATTAAAAGTATTAAAAACCGTATTATAAATTATAAGCGTTTAAATAGCGTTATAATTAAATTGTTAAACGAATTATTTATTTAATTAAAAATTTTTAAAATAATTATTATTTCGTTAATTTTTTATATAAACGTTAATAAATTTAAATTAATAAAAAACGTTAAAGATAATTATTTAATATTCGATAAAATTTATTATAAATATATTTTTTTTAAAAATCCGTTAAAATATAAATAAATTATAATAATAATTATTATAACGGTTATAAATATAACGTTATTACTATTAATAATTTTTAACGGTATAAATATATAATAATAATAATTTTTTAATAAAAAAAATTAATTATATAAAGTTTAATATTTTATTACATTTATTAATAATTAAATAAATAATAATATTATTTTTAAATAACTTAAAAAAATATATATATTAAATATTAAATTAAAAAATTTTATATAATAACGTTTATTTATATTTAATAATTATAATAATTATATAAACGATAAATTTATATAAAAATACTTTTTAAATAAAGTATATATTTTTTTTTTTTAACTTATACGTTTTATATATTTTAATTTTTTAATGTAAATATATTTATTGTTTTTAAGCGTTTTTTTTAATTTTATTTACGTATATAATTATTTAAATAATTTTTATAAAACATAAATAAAAAAATTTTTTTTTAAACATTTTTTTATATATAATTAATAATAATAAAACTTAAATATATTAATATTAAATAAAAAATATTAAATTTATAACCGATTTTATAATTAAAACTTTAAAAAAACCCGTATTTAATTTTTAAAATAATTTTTAAAAATATTTTTTTTTAAATTTTATTATTTATAATTTTAAGTTTTATTAATTTCGTTATAACGTTAATTAAATTAAACGTTATTATGTTTAAATTATTACGAAATATAAAAAATTTTTAATTAAAATTTTTTTTATTTAATCTTTTTTTTAATATATTTATTACGCAGTTATTATTTTAAAAATTTAATAAAACTTTTAATAATTAAATAAGTAATTTTATAATTATAAAGTTTTAAGTTAAATAATTAACGGTTACGTTAAAAAAAATAAAACTTAAAAAATATTATAAAATTATTTTAAATTTAAATAAAGAGTTTATACGTATAAAAAATATAAAAAAAGTTAAAATAAATTTAAAATTATATTTAACGAAAGAATAAATTAATATATTAATAAAAATAAAGTTAAAATAGTAAAAAATTAATTAAAATAATAATAAATCGATATAAAATTATATTAAAGTTATAATAATAAAATTTAAATTAAAATATAAAAGTAATAAAAAAAATATAAATAAATAAGTGTAAATAATTATATTAATAATAATTTCGAATTTATATAACGTGTTATAAAATATATGTATATAAAGGTAATTTATTTTAATTTTTAATTTAAACTTTAATAAAAAATATAAAGCTATTTTACGTGTTTATAAAAAAGTAAATATTTAAATTATAAAAAGTTATAAGTTTTATTTTATTTAATAAAATGAATTTATACGTTAATAATAAGGTTTATAAGTGGATTAATAAATATTCGGTTGAATTAATGAGGTGAATTTTAACTCTCATACTACGAAATCTGCTTAATAGTTTATAGCAAGGGGCGGACGATATAAAGTATAAGAATCATAAACGTATTCGATAAGGATTGGCTTCCCAAGCCTTACATTATACCGCAATGCACTTGGCATAAATGTTGATATTAACTTTTCTCGTGTACTTGGGAAAGTTTGTCTCGTTTGGAAAACCTACCCTTGCTTATTTTATCCCATAAGTTGAAATGATATAGATACGACGATCATAGGATTTGATCACCAGGTCGTTTTTGAGGTATATCGGTACCGAATATAGGTATTATGGCTCTTGTTAGCTCGCAGCTTATCGTTTGGTGGTATATTCAAGACGTAGGAAGCGAATAATCAACATGAAGTATTTCAGTCATAGACTTGTATGAAATGTTGCTGCTTTGTTTGATAAAACCAATTAGGTAAATGCTATCTAATCCTAAACTCTTCGCTTTAGTCCAATATCCAATGCTAGTGGCTTCCTTAAAAACCCCTCGCGAGTCTCCATCTCTCCCTGACAGAGAAATACGTTATATCGCCGCGCCCAGGTCGCCACGATCATCTTCATCTCCATCTCGGCCACGTTTCGGCCAACACAGGCTCTGGGGCCCGTGCTGAATGGTATGAATGCGTTTTTCTGACGCGTCGTCGCGTCTTCCCACCTCTCGGGGCGAAACTCATCTGCGTCGTCACCCCATATCTCCCGCGAGTGGTGCATGGTATATGTTGGAACGCTAAGCACCGTGCCGGGAGGGAAGTAGTATCCACGGATGTGTACTCCCTCAGATTCGGGAGGGATCTCTCGTGGCAAGCCGATTCCGGACGTGCAGTGAATGCGCAAAGTTTCGTTGATGACCATCTGGAGGTATGGTAAATTTCTGATCGTGTCGTATGCGGGCACGGTGACATCATCACTCGGGATGGCTGCGTCGAGCTCTGCCTGCAGCTTTTGTAAGACGCCAGGAGTCCGTGCGACGTGATAGAGAAGAGCACAAGACGAATTAGAGGTCGTGTCTGACCCGGCAATCAGCTGCGTTAGTGCTTCTGCTGTCAGTTCCTCGAAGCCTAATGGTTCGCCTTTCTCATCGCGCCCTTCTTGCAGCAGGGCAAGAAGATCTCTGCGGTTGATATCCGGTGGGTTCTCGAGACGATCTTTCACGCGCGCAATAGCGATGCCGGCCAAGTTCTCCACAGCTGCGAGACCCTTGCTAAAGAACGAATCGGGGAGCCATTTGGCGTATGGCTTGAGCTGTGGGAAACAACCCAGCGTAGCAGATACTTCGCCGCGGCGGTTAAGTATTTCAACCGCCGGCGCATAGATGGGTGGCGAGTCAACAGCTGTGCGAACCTCGGCGATATCTGCTCCTGCTTTCAGCATACCGAACGGAGCGCCAAATGCTAGATCCCCAATGGTGTCAAAGGCAACGTAGTTGAACCATTTTAGGCAATCTATATAGGCCGTTTTATTCTCCTTTGGCGAGCTTTCGATCAGCTCGTCCCATCTCTTCACAAACATCTCGAGATTCTGATAAATGTAAGGCTCAAACTGAGATATGGACTTCGGAGCGAATGTGCTTGAGACTAGCTTCCTCTTACGAGTATGCTCGGCACGGTCCCGAGTATTGAATAAACCGCGCCGGATCGACACGAAGGCGTCGTAGAACTCGGACTTGAGGAACCCGTTCCCGTGACCGTAGATGACCTGGATAGCCTCATCGTCGGCAACGCTCACGTGATTTGGCTGGATACGAACGACTGGACCTAATTTCTGATGGACCTTATCTACGACGAGATAACGTCTTCCCCGCCTACAGGCGTAGAGGAGCCATAGATTAGTAAATTGAGCTGGGAAAGGCGCAGGAATATTTCGAAGGTGACTGTTCGTCGTTAAGTATGAGCGGATGTAATAGACTACGATAGCAAAGCATCCAAAGACTAATGCCCAAGATAATGGGATCTGATCGATGATTGACATCTTGGCGGTTTATAGCGCAAGAACAGCTTCTTGTTGAAAATGTGTCGAAAGCATGAGAGTCAAATGCCTCTCTTTCAATTTACACCGATCCTTCTTCACAACCCTTATAGGGATCTTAACGGCTAGTTAGTATTAGATTTGTAGGATATTCTAAAGGTGTAATGCGGAGATCTGACCTTGCTGACACCCCTCAAATTATACCTATAAACATCATCGGTTATCAGATTCGGGTTCTACAAAAACCAGTGTTAGAGACGGGTGTAGTCCGGATTATGTACGGCCACTACGGGCTGTGGATCGAAGGGGGCACTACCTAAAGAGCGCTGAGTTGTAGGTTGAACTGGTTGAACTCACTGGTTGATCATAACACCTTCCAGAAACCAAACCCCTGTACGGCAGACGGGCACGGCTAAGGCGCATGCAACCTCTAATCGCCGAAAGTACCTAAACTAACCTTAACTAACATAACAATACATGCTTATTCAAACTTTATTCGCCAATGGTATAAGCTTCAGAATAGAAATCTTGGGAAGGAGCGCATTATGGGTAGGGTACTTATGTTAAAAGGATTCAATTTACCTCCAGAACACCTCTTCGCTTTCGCTAACCCTGATCCCGGCTAGCAGCCGCGCCAACAATTGGAACCAAGTACCCAACAAGCAAATACGTAAAATGCCTAGTAGCGACTCACGTATTGTACAATGTATTCCGATTATGTGCTACCTATGCTACATCTCTTTTTCTCATCTTACGAAAACACCTCAGGAACAATACTAGCAAATTTTGAAGATACGGCCCGTACACTGCGACGGTGAAGCCGAACGGCACTACTTTTCAGAGTACGGTGAAACCCCGCATTTGACGGTACCCAACGTTAAGATGGTCGACACACTACTGTAATGCGTGTAATGCGTGTAATGCGATGCGGTACCAAGACTCTTCCAAAGCTGACATCAGGCCTTATATTCCTGAGTGAGGTCGTTTGGATATTTGGCCACACGACAAAACAAGATATTTAATATCTTAGTAGGATCCTCAGAGACTACACGTGAAACCCATATATATATTTTATATATGGTATGATATAGTCCAACAGTCTATGATGAACGTCCTATGTTAGTCTGGTTGTGGGCGGATACAATCACCTGATATGATGTGTTTGATTGACGGGATTTCTCATCCGATCCCGATCCTTGGCTATCGTCTATGGACGATTCCGGGCCTCGGTTATTCGCGTCTGAACCGACGGCAAGGACACACGGGAGACAGGTACAATCTATGAAATAATCAACGCTATCAAATTCACTGTGCAACCAGGTAGGTAGTGGTGATCAAATCAATTCATAAAAATGTAGTGGAAAAGTTCAACCACAGGCTATATCAAATATTGACTAAAATATTTTAGAACCCTCTTCGTGGTAACCTCGTCTGACAACGCCCCTCTTTGATTAATTAATTTATAGTTTGCCGGCTGCGCGGAAATCCTCGAGTGCCTCAATAACACGGGCCTTCATCGTCTTCTCGCCTTCCCTCACCCACACACGAGGGTCGTACTTCTTCTTGTTCGGCTTGTGGGGACCTTCGGGGTTGCCGACCTGAGTTCTTAGGTAGTCGACGTTGTTTAGGATGTAGTCTCGGTGACCGACGAGGTAAGCCCACTGGAGATCTGTGTCGAGGTTGACCTTGACAACACCGTGGGAGATGGCCTCAAGGAACTCTGACTTGCTCGAACCAGAGCCGCCGTGGAAGACGAAGAATACCGGCTTCTTCTGGCCGTCGCCGAGCTTCTGGGCGACGTGGGCCTGGTGCTTTCCGAGGAGTTCGGGGTGGAGCTTCACGTTGCCCGGCTGGTAGACACCGTGGACATTGCCGAAACCAGCAGCAATGCTGAAGAAGTTAGAGATGGGGCTAAGTGCCTCGTAGATGGCAAGGATATCCTCGGGCTGAGTGTAGAGGGAGTTGTTGTCGACATCTTCGTTGTTGACACCGTCCTCCTCACCACCCGTTAAGCCGACTTCCATTTCCAACCACAGGCCCAACGGTTTAGATCGCTTCAAGTATTTGGCCGTTGTCTCAATGTTGTACTGGAGGTCTTCTTCCGATAAATCGATCATGTGGCTGCTGAACAGAGGTGTGCCGTGCTGTTTAAACCATGCCTCATCGGCATCAATCATGCCATCAAGCCACGGTAGTAGCTTCTTGGCACAATGGTCACTGTGCAGGATAACGGGGACACCGTAAACGGGGGCAATTGCGCGGATATAGTGGGCGGCAGCAACGGCACCAGCAACGGAGGCTTCTTGGTTTGTGTTCGGGATGGACTTGCCAGCGAAGAAAGCTGCACCTCCATTGGAAACCTGAATAACAACAGGTGCTCTCGACTCCTTAGCGGCCTCAAGGACAGCGACGACAGTGGAGGACGAGGTCACATTGACGGCGGGGAGAGCGAACTCGTGCTCTTTGGCGTACTGGAACACCTAGTGGAAGCGTAAGTTAGCCGCATGAAGCAGGTAATTATAACAAATTAGTTTAGTAGTTACATTGTAGACATCCTGGCCGTAGATGACACCAGGCTTAAGATTCAACTTGTCCATTAAACCCATTGTGAATCTAAAGCGACGTGATAAGTGATAATTGAGAAGGGAGGTAATGAGATATAGGTAGTGAGGTACGCTGCAGCGAGAGATGAGTGTTGATAAAGGTATTAGTACCTGTTGTAATTTTGGTGAGAAGTCTGAGGGAATTAAAACAGTGACAACAAAAGGTTGAAGAAAGAAGAAGAGGGGGGCTATAAGTGCTATGGAGGGGTATTTTCTTTCGGTCAGACTTGATCCACGGTGACGCAGATGGCCGAGATTTATTATGGAGAGCAACTACCCGAGTTATTTCGTCAAGTAAAATTGTATCATGCCCTGAAACATTCTGGCCAAAGCCTCCATCTTTTTAGTTTTAGGTGGCTTCTCTGCTTCTTTGGCTTTCTACTAGTGGCGCATTTGCCGTCCCGGGTACTTTGCCGAGCAATGGACGACCTCTATAGCTCTTTCTCAGGATACATCTACGTAATAAATCGGCAAGCTTCGACGCCTCTACCCCTCCAATTTTCAGGAGCTGCCCGCGACCGGGAAGTCAAGGTGGGGTAACCCGCGTACTTCTCGGCGCAACCAAGCAAATAATATTCAACACTTTACCAATAAATTATGGACATATCTCCCAATTCTGAAAAATCCTAAACGCACGTTGTAAGATTCGCGAATAAGGAATGTCCACATCCATATCTTCAATTTCATTTTGGAGCTACTATGTATGTTGAAGTCAATTGCGGAGCATCTTTCATCATAGTACATCAATACCAGTCAACAAACAGAGAAAGAAAAAAAGGGTCCGCCAAGCCCCGCCACTTACATGGTACCTATATTGAACCTCTTATCTTATCAATAAATATCGCGAGTAGGCGGGGCTGAAGAAGACGTTCAACCAACTTCCACAGGTACTTCAATCTTAGTTCTACTTTATTTATTCAAGTTTACTTACATGACAATACCTAAGAACTGCATGTTTATATTTTCAACTGTATCAAATCTTCTTATATCTGACGGTCGTCACCCGTTAATCACGCTATCGATGCGCTATTAGTTAAAACGGCACTAAACTACTTGGCTGCTTGGGTAGGTAGCTTAGTACTAATGAAGTTGAAACTGCCCATTAATAGCTCAAATCAACCCAGATTATTTCATACCTCTCGAGTCTTTTTTTCGGTTGAATTGGTAAAGTATTGCTACGTGAAAATATTTCCTATAATGGAAGGTTAATGCCGGCATGATATATACTTCTAAAGTTGTTATCGCTCGATTAATCGTATGATGATGAGAGCTTACCATAATGAAGAAAAGGGGGTGTCGTTGCTGGCTGACACTGAGAAAAGAGAAACACATCAAGGCATATCAGGTACCTAAGAGCCTTTAGATATAGGCTTTCCAGAATAGTCGGTTCCTTACTCTCCATAGCCTTCCGCTATTGTCGTTGTGGATTACTATTATCAGCATTTCTCTTCCTCATGTTTTCTTATGCTAGAGAATGTGGAACTTAGCAAACGAGTCCACTCTCGACGCTAAGGCACATTGTACAACGAGTAAATTCCACAAATACCTATAGCACAGTGTAACTCACGATGCTATCACCAGCATCACCAGCATCAAATGGCGCAGTGGCGGAGTGGTCTAACGCGCAAGACTAGAAATCTTGTTCTTTCGGGAGCGTCTGTTCGAATCAGGCCTGCGTCGTTCCAGTGAAATCTTTTTTTTTTCCACGTTTCTCAAGATCCAACTGGGTTGTTCAACTCATATGTGTTATTTCAAATGTCTATTTTTATTTTATGAGTATTATAAGGAAGTAGGCAATTGACATTCTAGAATGAACTTACTAGTAAGACATATTTTCATATAAACAGGCGCATAGAACGCAAATATAGGAGATGTCTAGCTTCAAAATGTATCTGTCTTAATCCAACCCCCTTATTGCATGTCCTTTTGTTGCTATTAGATCATATGAGAGACAATTTATTAAGTTGATACGTTGCTTGACTCTTTAACAGGAAACAATAGTTGACAAGGTTATTGTAATCAAAACCTGAATCAAAGGAGTTGTCTCTTATTCATCTACGAGTGCGTGAATATAAAAGCGAAAGCAGGAAGACGAAGCATAAAGAACGCAAGATTACGATTATCTTTGCTACCTTTCATCTGTATTAGCAGATTTAACTCCTTTCCGTGCAGTAGCATTCAATATCATTATCAGTGAACTGCAAGCCCAGTGGCTACTATAACCCCAGGACAATGGATTTGGGTTCAGAAGAGGCTGAAAAATATAGGAAAGTGTACATGGATACGCAGCGCTCACACCTGCAGTATATTCTGTTACTTAACTCGATGGAGCCTACTTGGACAGCCGAGCAACTCTTTCATAAATTTGAACAGGATGTTGGCGTCGCACCGTCTGGATTGGTAATGCGACTTTCACTTATGTTTATATATATGTAGGTGGTACCTGAAGTTATAATATCCGCAGCGTCAATCTAAGAATGGAGCTGCGTCTATTCGATATCCTTGATTATAATATCGTAGGGCTACCAGCAGCCCAACTTGACAGGCACCTAGCTTCAAAAAAAGGAAAATTATAAAAGCTTTTTCACCTATAAATGTGTTTATTTATCAAGTTTTATGTAATATTATACTATATCTACCGTAAGTATAAATCTAAATTGAAGTCCTAGTGTCATATCACGCATTGTGTTTATTACCGAAACACTTACTAAACCCCAACTACGTGTAATTCTTTAAATCTAACGTACAGATACATTTGTAGCCTCTCAGTTGCTCATGTTAATTAAAGTTGGAAAACGGTATGAAGGTTGAAGCTGCTAGGAAAGGGGGAATGCATGTAATGAACAAGAAATGCTAATATTGGATGTAGTCATGTGGGTGTGCCTAGATCAGTGATAATATAGTAGGTTGTATTAAAAGGAATAAAAGGAGCAAGTGTAACGAGCTCGAGAGCGCACTAGCGCTCCCCTGTACCGTGACAGGATGTAACTCAAAATATAAAGTATTAAATTTATGTATACAATATGAAAACTTAAGGGCTCTTATTATCATGAGTCCGAAAGAATAAGAATAATAAATGAATAATTTGATTTAAGACGACGACTAGGTAGGTTAGGTGCTTAAGGATATGCGAGTATAAGATCAAATAGCAGGAGAGACCTCTACAACAGGGTGTAAGAATTATATAAGAATGTAAATTAGGCGGCGATGATTTCGTGGCAATGAGCCATAATTAAACCCTGAAGCAAATGCATGATTATTCCAAAGAGCAAGTAATGAGGTTGTGCTTCAACGGAGTCCGACCCCACCGGCGGCCTCCGAGGATCCCGCATCGTATCCGTGACGGAAGACTATTTATTCGCCCCTTTTTACAACATATTAAATGTTGGAAGCATATATTCACAAATAAGACATGTGTTTGGAACCGCAGCCTTAAACTTGAATTGGCTACCTGATACCAACTATTTTGGAAAAGTCCACAGACCCTAGTCCTAGCCACCACGACGACCTTCGATACAATCGGCCCTTCTTCCAACATGAATTATACTATGGCGGACGTAGTAATTGTTGGAGCTGGCCTCAGTGGCCTCCAAGCAGCAGTGAATATCCAGGCAGCTGGTTTTACGTGCTTAGTCTTAGAAGCTACCGACAGGGTCGGTGGCAAGACACTAAGCATCAAATCCAGCTCTAAACAAGCCGGTATAAACGATGCTGGAGCTATGTGGGTGAACGACAGTAACCAGTCAGAAATATGGAAACTATTTGACAAGTTTAATGTTGGCGCGGTTGTCCAAAGAACTACCGGCACGAGCTTTCGGCAAGCCGAGGACGGCAGCACGATCTCACACCCTTATCATAAGGGAACGTCGGTAAGTTGAACAGCTTACCCAAGATGATGCATTAGAGTAAAGATGACACAGCTAATGCTGTATTATTTACGAAGGGTAGAGATGATGATCGAGCTAATGAAATGCGTCGCATATACTGGGCAATTCATGAAGCCGTCGAGACGTCGGACCTCGAGCATCCCGAGACTAGCGCCGATGCTCAAAAGCTTGATACTATGACGTTCGCTGGGTTCTGTCAGGAAGCTAGCCCTAATATAGGCACTGAAATTGCTTCAGTAGTTACTGCTGCTCTACTTGGCGTTGAGGCCCACGAGGTCAGCGCTTTATTTATAGTTAACTATATCAAGAGTGGATATGGTATCCGGGTAATAACATCGGATGAGAAAGACGGAGCGCAGTACATTCGAGCCCGACGCGGTAAGAAAATACACAACCCTTTACTACCGCAGTAAGAGCTGACATTGAGGCTTAATCGTATTGTAGGGATGCAAGCTATATCGGAAGGGCTCGCCAATGAATTGACCCAAGGATCTATTTACTTGAGCACAGCGGTAGAGTCCATCCAGGAAAAAGGCGACGGGCTTTACGAGGTCCGTTCTACTGCGGGCATGATTTTCAAAGCCAAGCATGTGGTGGTGTCCATCCCGACCAGCTTATATCACACCATCCAATTCACGCCACCGCTGCCGGAGAATAAGCAAAAGCTAGGAGAGAGCACCGCCCTCGGGTACTACAGCAAAGTTGCGTTGGTCTTTGAGGAGCCATGGTGGCACACGGCAGGCCTGTCAGGAGTAATGACTTCTTACAAAGGGCCCGTATCCTTCAGCCGAGATACTAGCGTGCCGGAGGACGATCAATGGTCAATAACCTGCTTTATTGTAGGTGACATGGGGCGCGCCTGGAATAAATATTCGAAAGCAGAGCGCCAAGAGGCGGTCCTCGAGCAGTTCAACTCTGTCTTTTCCACAGCGACGGCTGTCCCCAAGCCTATTACCATTCACGAGCAGATTTGGTCTGAGGAGCCGTACTTTCTTGGCGCTCCATCTCCTGTAATGGGTCCCGGAGTGCTAACGTCGCTTGGCTCGGACGTACTACGGAAGCCGGTCGGAAATATCCACTTCGTCGGCACAGAGACCTCGGTGGTATGGAAGGGATACATGGATGGTGCCGTTCGCTCAGGACAGAGAGGAGCAGAAGAAGTAATCACAAGTCTAAGAGGATAAATATTAATTATGCGTTTATGCATAAATGATCAATCATATTTTCCTTCAATACGAAGGTTGGGGCCAAAAGTCTTGCACATATGAGCTTGGCAAAGCCACGTGCGAGTAAAAAGAGACTGCACGGTCTTATTTAAGCTATAGTGGCTGATATCGCTATAAATATAGTGGTAAGCCACCTGAATTCAGTGGACAGGCCACTATCCGACCTTCAGCTTAGAGTGTGGCTGATACAGTATTAATAAGTTAAAAGACGTACGAAAATCGATGCCAAGATTTGGACATGTGCAAGACTTTTGGCCCCAACCTTCGTACTGGACTTACATAAACACTTGGTATGGGCTCTGGTACCTATGCGGGGTTATGCAACCGTGAAACTTAAAATTGCTAGGTACGAAGTATGATATAAGTTCTTTCACATGAGTTGCGTTTGCATTCTAATTTGACACGTCAGAAACGAGCCGTGTAAGAAAATGAGCCAGCCAATAGTTTCAATAAGCCGAAATACGTAGGTTAGGTACCCAACCTATGTAGACACGGCTTGCTGCAGGCTGTAACTGCTGAATGCTCACAACCCGGCCATCGCGGTCTGGAGATTAAAACCCGACTCTTCCCTCTGTTCCAATATTTCTGATTCCCTTCCTTAACTATTATTTCACAACTATACCAATCTCTCTACACTTCACCATTACAAGTACTCATACTTTACACTCAATCCGAGACTGCGAATATTCACGACAGCATTACGGTCGTGAAATATAAATGGAGATGGCGCCTATATTAGACAAAATAACTGCTTCTGGAGAAGAATATTGGCGCTGGATCCAACAAAACCCGAAGCAAACTGCTGCTTACGCAACCGCTGGCATTGCAGTTGCAGCACCGATGGCTATCGCCGCCCCGATTTTAGGTGTTTTCGGGTTCGGGGCAAGCGGTATTGCAGCAGGTATATTTCTATAATAATCATTCTTGCCTTGTAGTTTAAATAATTGAAAGAGGAACTTAACTAACCTGTATTTTTCGTTAGGTTCCGTGGCGGCCGGCGCCCAAACTGCGAATGTAGCGGCAGGAAGCCTATTCGCTATACTGCAGGTTAGTGTTTTGAGATTCTTCTGACCCTACGAAATATATTCCAGAGATGGCTAAATTTCATTCGACAATTAGAGCGCTGGCATGGGTGGCTATGGAGTTGCCGCCGTCGGCGGTGCTGTCCAAGCCGGAGGCTTCGTCGGTGGTATTATTACCGCCTTGAAAAAGGCTTGTGATCGCCAAAGCCTTAACCCTATTGAGAGTATATGGGATGAGCGGCACGGCATTGTGGAAGCTACGAACCGGTTCTGGGATAGCTTTCCAACCGAAAAACTGACAACCATGATGAATATGACGCCACAGATAGTCGAACGTCTTAAGAAAATGAAAGATTCAATGTTGGGATACTAAGTTTGGGATACTAAGTTTAGCATACATAAACCAGCCGCACAAACAGCTCCTGGGTCTCTAGGTAATTTGGCTATTCTTACTTGAGGTCGAGAATGAATGTACTCTGGCATGGGATTCATAACGTTTTAGTAAATTGACTATTAACACACTATGTTTCTTTGCGCTCTATCTGCCAGGATATTAATACAATCCTTTGAGAATATAAGTTTTCACTCAGTTCGTTGTGAAATTTCATACAGCCTCAAGCTTCACGAAACACTATCGAGGGGATCGAAGCAACTGCTCGGTAGCCTGGAAACTGTTAAATTCTGGAGGGATGGGTAGAAACTTAAAGCTCATCACGATTAAAGCAATTGTGATACGTAGCTCCAGCATGGCCAACCGTTTCCCTGTACATATTTGGCCAAGTTAGTCCTCACGAAATATACTTGAGCATGCCAGTACGAGCATAGGACTTTATGAAGAACTTACCAAAGCAACCTCTAATTCCGCCCCCGAAAGCGTTATGAGCGAGTGTAGTTGGATCACAAATCTCCTTTCCGTCCTTGTCTATCTTAAGCCATCGCTCTGGGATAAATTTGTCGAGTTCTTGAGCACCAGGGGTATGTGTCCAATCTACCCTATCGCCCTTTTCGAACGCAGCTCGACTCGATAAACTACGTCTCCCCTCTGGTACGGGCATTGAATGCCACATCAGCGTTGCGGGAGCCGATAGTCTTGTACCAGCGGGTATTTTATGGCCGAATATCTCGGTATCCACTGTTGCAACACGCATAATACGAGTTGCAGTAGCCCCGCAACGAAGGCTCTCCTCGATCACTGCATCTAGATACGGTACATTCTTGGCGAGGAGGTCTGTAATGCTCGGCAGCGAATCACCAGGAAAAGCTGTTCTCAAGGCTTTCCGAAGCTTCATCTGCGCTTCTTGGTTGTTGGTCATGAATTTCACGAACCATTGTACTATGTCAGGTTAGCAAATGTACCTTAACCAAATACAAGAATTAGGGAGAAGACACGATAGAGATGAGAGAATAGGATATAGTTTTGGAGCTTACACGTTACACTTGTGGTATCGTGACCCTGTATTTTCTTGTTAATTTGATGATGACTTGATATTGTCGAAGAATAGTAGACTTACAGCATATATGAATAGCAGGAGCTCATCCTTCATATTCGCATCTTTAGTCGGATCTGGGATTAACTTTCTTCATATTCGCATCTTTAGTCGGATCTGGGATTAACTTTCCCGCCTTTTGGGCAGCGCCTATGCTTTTCTTAAGCACAAGATCCATGGCGCAAGTGTCGTGTTCCTCGCTATCACCCGAGCTATCATGTACCGATTTGAAACGCTCAAGGGCATCGAGAAGGATTCGGTCCAGTTCCCGGTCTTTAACTTCCATATACTTACGATACTTAGAACTTCTTTGAATCCTCCATCGAGTTAATGCTGGCCAGAACCCCGCTCGTGCTTCGCCAAGTTCGTTTATGTACTGAACAGTGCCATGTACATATGAACCTTTTGTCTCAACTTGTTTCCCTGTTTTAAGCATCTGAATCTGGGAGTCGACTAGGTCAAGCGGTTGCCCGAACGTCGCTATCCAAAGGGCATCAAGCGTGGCAAAGGAGAAATCCTTCTGAATATCAATTGGGTTACCATTTGCACGTGAACGCCGTATTTCCCAAAGCTTTATTAGGTCCTTGACGGTGTTATAAATATGTGTTATAAATATTCTTTGCGACCGCACGATGGAGAAAGTTGGGATGCATGGTATCTTGCCACATTCTTCTCTGTGCCTTCTATTCGGGAGTTACCGCTTGCGCAATTGAAGAATATGGGATCAATGTAGTAAAGGCTCCTTCGGATAGATCTCTATCAAATTCCTTCATTCTCCTTAAATTCAAATCAGCTATTTCTCGTGGATCATCGACTACGACAAGAGGCCTGGAAAATGGGCTTGTGAAGAGTTGGTGAATCGGCGATTGAAGCTGAAGTGATCGACGGCGTGCGGTGGGGAGAAACCACTCCGTCAACTCCTTTATGTGTCTGAAATTGTCGGGTAGTCTCCTGTAATCCTCTTGGCCGCGTCCTTGTCATATGGTATCCCGGGCAGAGGGCGCGGATAGAGAAATCTTGTCAATAATGAAATGATGGTGACGGTAAGTATACCGCCTATAATAATTACGAAACTCATTTTGTATTGTAGTCGTGACTTAATAGTTCGCTTCCACTATTCTCTCGCTACGTTTATATATATGATGTAGTAAGAAGTACGGGTGTTTATAAGGTTACGGGGATGAACTGGGTGTTACAAGCTTTTGCTAATAGGTATTTAAAATTCGTAACCGAGGTATATAAGACGCAGAGATAAGTAAAAGCCTCATCCAATAATTCATAAAATGTTTATCATAACCGCCTTACCGGTCCTTGGCCGCGTCCGTATTGTCATACATAGTGTGAATGTTAAGACAGCTGTACTGACCTATTAATGCCTGCCTTCTACCCTGTTATAAGGGCGTTACACACCTCTTGTCTACTTAATCTATCCCCGAACCCACCCATAAACCGACAAGCAGTTCCCTATCTTAATCTAAGTATTACGTCTCTTATGGGGGGTTATCAGCCGTCATACGGGGGGCTCATCAGTAATTGGTGGAGTTGCCGTGGCGCACTCGCTTCATATATATCGCCGGTGTAAGTAAGCTCCGGCATCTTGAAATTTTACGTATGCCAATATTGATTGATTTCCTAAAAGGGCAGGTTTTAGCTAGTCCCTGAAAAGCTCATGGCCAGGACTTATTTATTAGCCTTGTGAGGTTATCTCAAACATAGCCGACCAGGAATCAGGTAATCTTTTTAATTTACTACAATTATTCTTTTCACTAGGTCCAAACGAAGCGTTTAAAATTAGAACGTTTTCTAATAGTACTAATGCCCTACCTAGTGATATGCTTGATAAAACGGTGCCTTTGAACGAATTATTTAGACAGTATGTATCTAACCCCTGTCAAGTTCCTAGGTAGTTATTACTCCGAGACTAGGTAAATATCGAGGATGTCGTTCTTAATTAGCTCTCTACACCTCTATTAAATAGTCGTCCTCCTATATTGGACGTACGTTCAATGAAGGGGACTGACTCATAACGCCTTTCGAGCTAACCCATGGAAGCGGCTGAACAAGGTAGAGCATCCGTCGATATAAATCCAACCCCATGGGGTAAACCAGGGGTAGAATCCTGGCTTTGGCAGATTGTGGAGTGGCCAAGGAATTTCTCCAAGTTCGTCTCCAAATTCGAGAAAGTTGTCATTTCCCCCACAAAGTCAGCCCCTGTTCTAAATCCAATAGTGCCAGTCCCATATTGGTTGTAATTCGCGGGGAAATGTCTCCTTGATTTATTAGTTTCCGAGGATAAAAGTTCCCTCTGGAGAGATGGTGAAGTTCGGGGACATTTACCCCGGCTTGTCGTTTGATTAAGCAACGTACATTCGAATAAATTTAGATGTTGTGCCTGGCATTAGTTAACGTCGTTGTGTTACAATAAGCTTGTCTTATGTTTCGTGAAGAGTCATGGCCTTCCTGTTCCTTGGTCTCGTACTATTGTCAGACCTGGCCTTTGGAAAGATCAATAGGTATGTATAGCTTGAACAAAATTGTGTCATACCTCTTTAGGTTTATTTGATCTAATTTTACTTCAAATGAAGGCAGGATATTGTTAGCAAATACAATGTTAAGAGGGAAAGGTTAATCGATAATAATACCACCCCTTTACAAGTGGGAAATGGTAATTTCGCATTCAATGTTGACAACACGGGGATGCAGGTAACAAGATTCTCCCATTAATCGCTAGGGATGCAATACTGATAATAGTACCAAGACGATCTTGCCTTTCAATACACTGTCTAGTTGGGCGTGGCATAATGATTCTCTGCCGACAAGCAAGTATGTTGCCCGCCTAAACCTTTTTTTATCGTAGCTTCTGATGCATCTATAGGGGAAAAATTAGCGACTACCATGGCGTAACAATGATCACGCACGGTAGAAATGTCTCTTATGATATCCCCGACCCCGATCTCCCGGAAGTTTCGCAATGGCTCATTTCTAATCCCAATCGAATTAACCTAGGTCGCATTGGCCTCAGGTATCAGGGAGCTACTTTGGCAGCTTCTCAGATCACGAACGAGGTTCAAGAGCTCGACCTATGGAACGGAGTTATAACGTCTACGTTCGATGTTTCCGGAGAGAGCGTCAAAGTTATTACTCAAGGAGACTTCGAATCTGATGCGGTAACTTTCCATGTCGAATCACAGCTTCTAGCTTCGGGTGACCTAGAGATTGAACTTGACTTCCCCTATCCGCCAATACACACTACGAAGTATAAGTATGAAGTTTTCGCTGGTGTATACGACTTTCCTCTTAACCATACTACTTCTATTGTCAAGAACTGCAAAATGGATGAGGCACACATATATCATGAGCTACAAGATACTAGTTATTTTGTTAATTTACGATGGCCCGTCGGAAGCCCACTTAATCTCTCTAGAGTCGAACCGCCTGGGTCAAATACTCTCACCGCTCACCGCTATACTCTGTCAGCAGCATCTGAAACTCGCTCTCGATCGAATACTCTAGACTTCACTGCGCATTTTTCTCCAGATAAACGGAAAGCTGCACTTCCATCGAATATCCAAAAAAGAAACCCCAGAGGGTGGAACCAGTACTGGGAGGAAGGCGGTTTCGTTGATTTGACGTCTTCTTCGAATACAAAAGCGGACGAGCTCCAACGACGTATCATCTTATCCCAATATCATGTTCGAGTGAACAGCGCAGCAACGGGCCAGTCACCACAAGAAAGTGGATTGATGAATAATGGGTGGTATGGTATGTGTAGTTGGTGCTTATTCTAATATATTTCCCCTGGAGCTAAATTTCTGTAGGGAAGTTCCATATGGAAATGGTCGTTTGGCATAATGCCCATTGGTCAACGTGGGGCCGACAGAAGTATTTTGATAATATCTTCCCTGGATTATACGAGACCTTATTACCTTCGTCGATGGCGAGAGCAAAATCAATGGGATGGGAAGGAGCTAGGTGATTCGATCTTGAAAACCAGCAACACATACTGCCAACAACTAATAGAATGCTGACTAGGTGGCCAAAGATGACCGAAATTGACACTGGAGTTAGCTCGCCGGGTGGCATTAATGGTCTACTCCTATGGCAGCAGGTACGTTAAAATTCTTGTTTTACTAACGACATCTCACTGACACACCCTCCCCTTATAGCCTCATTCCATGTATATGGCAGAACTAGCGTACCAAGCTTCCCCTAGACGAGAGACTTTGAAAAGATGGGATGCCATTGTAAGCGCTGCTGCCGATTACATGGCTTCATATGCTTGGAAAAATGAGAGCTCGGGGCGTTATGACCTTGGCCCGCCCAGTTACGGAGTAACAGAGAACACGCCTCCAGCCGAAACGCTAAACCTAGCTTATGAAGTAAGTGGCGCACCTACGAGCTCTTATAGCATCGTACACAGTACAGCTTATATTTACTACCTACCTAGATCGCATATTGGAGGTACGGACTAGACGTTGCGCGCGAATGGAAAAGAAGATTAGGCCAAGGTATTCCTGAAAAATGGACAACCGTCGCGGAGAATCTGGCTCACCCACCCCAAGTTGGTGGCCTATATGCTGTTTATGAGGGTCTAAATAGTTCCTGGTGGGAAAATCCTAAACTGAACGGAGACCCTCGAAGCCTCATTATGCTTCAGGGTATTCTTCCTGACACGCCGGCGGTTGACCCTGACGTTGCGCTCAAGACAGCGGATAAGATCTGGGAAGTATGGACCGATGACAATATCCGTGGCTGGGGCCGACCCGTGTTGGCAATCAACTCTGCTAGAATTGGGAATCCCGAGCGTGCTATCTATCACATGACAGCGTATGACTATTGGCTATTCGATGACGCAGGGTTTGCCGTGCGAGGAGGCGATGGTAAGCTTTATCTGCAGTTAAACGAGATGCCGTCCTATCATTCTAACGATCGTATATAGGTGGCACCCCTCCTCCATTTATACCCGGTAACGCGGGATTCCTTTATGCAGGTGAGCACTCTACATAATCTCGTCGAATTCGTCATGGCTATTAACGAATAATAATTTAGTTGCGTATATGGCTGCCGGTTGGAAGGGATCTACGCAGGATGCTCCGGGTTTTCCCAAGGATGGAACTTGGGTTGTTAAACATGAAGGTTTACTAAAGGCGCTTTGAAACGCCAGAACGCCGACCTGAGCGATGTCATCCCCACTTCCCCAGCCCCACTTCGGGAGTCGGGACAGCCCGAGACATATGACGTATGGGTTTTGGACTAACTACGTAGAGACACGTGACCTTTATATCTCGAGATAGAAATCGTAGTCTTTGGTACTTTAGTCGCATTCGTTAACTCCATAAATACAATATGGCAGGAATCTGGTATCGCACATTCCGAGATTTCTTTTCCATTCGGTGGTTCTGGCTCTTCCCTCTTATTGCTGGTTTATCTTGGTTTTTGACGCTCACTAGTTTGCTGGTGATATGGCTGGCTGTCGGCCGTCCCCAATATCCCGGACAGGTGAACCCATACCTCCCGTTTATTAGCGACATTGCTGCCCATGAGTTTAAGCCTGTGTTTGTCATTGGGTGCTCAGCTACCGGAGTTGCGTTCTTTGGGACCATTTTCTCGGTACATCATGTGCGCTATGCGCCTAATTTCTACGGACTGACGGACGACGCCCCGTGGCGGCAGATTGTGAGCTTCATTGCGCAGATTGCTGGCATTGCTGCTGCTGTTAGCTTAATAAATCTTAGTGTCTTTGACACGGACGATGCGCGTATACGACATCGACACCTCCTTATGGGTACATTTGGAGGCCTTTTCGCAAGTGCAGTAACTACTACTGCTGTGTGGTGGGATCAGATTTGGGGCCCCAGGGTGTTTGTGGGTTTAAGGAAATGGTATGTCTTACCGAACCCCCCCAAAGTTTTGAGCGTAAGAAAGTTGTGGCATTAATATGACCAAAGGTGCCTCTTCAACACAGCTCTAGTAATCTGTCAATTTGGTTGTGGACTAGCATTCGTAATTCTGTACAACAGTCATTTCAAGTCCTCGGCCATACTTGAATGGTGCCTAACTTATGTCGGCTCCTTCTGGCTTGCCTCGTTTGTGGGATATACAATGTAAGTGAATGAAAGTTAAAGTTGCCAGCTTATTAGCTCTAACAGGAGATATAGGTTTAGAGAAGGCGATCATCCTGTGGTTGAGGACGATGCTGAGCAGCAGCCGCTATTAATATAGGTCCTCGTGCAATACAAAGTAGTAGGGTTGGATAAAGGTTTTCTGATATGATATAGACACCGTGATATTGTTGCAGCCCCGTTCCGTCGGTAGGTTAAGGTAGTTTCCTCCTATCCACTAGAGTTTAGAGATTGTTTATGTGAGATCCTGTTCCAGCAAAATAAAGGAGTTATACTGAGAAATTTACAAGTATAAAATATAGCAAAATATAGCATAACAAAAAATAAGTAAATAAAAACTCGGTTTATAATGCCTTGAATGATTCAGATAAGGCTGGGTACTAAGTACTTTCTTCATCTACATAAGGGGCTAAAAAGTGCGGCGGCGTTAATAGCGTACGGTCTAGTGTACGTAACTTGCAGATTCCCCCCACTTCTATTAGCATTAATCACTTGTCGCAAACGTGCTTCTGGACCGTGCACTACTCAGAAACTTTACCCAACCAAAATTTCTCCTCCAGTAGCGCTACGCAGATTACAAACCACATCTAGCGGGTCGATAAGGGGAAAAAAAAAGGACAGAAAATGGCTTCATCATCCAAACCATATTCACTTCAACTAGCCGAACGTATCCACAATACCACCGGCAAGGATCAACTTGGTCGCATATGTTCTGCAGGCTTCATCTTAGAATCATCATGGCATTTAGTCGTTGAGAGGAGATTCATGAACACGCCGCCTCAAGTTGTGAAGAAGGCTTTGCTTAGAGCAGGTTTCTTCTGGACGGTGTTATATTTTGGTACCGACCAAGCATTGAAATGGGCCGAGGGGAAAGTCAAGAAGGCCGAGGAAGGTCGGTCATAAAAACGAGTAAGCATCGAAAGGGGACGTCCCCTCGTATGGGAATTGTATAGGCCGCCCATTTCACCATCGGTCATTTGATACCCTTTGTCGTCATGTATGAACCAATATCGTAGGAGTACTCATACGCCAACAAACATGGGTAAAATACCTATCGCTTCCCGAGGGACGTATTATGATACCTGCGAACCTCACGAATTCCGTACCATCAGCTTCAGGTTGGCGGGATCTCTTTCCTTATGCGCATTTTATGTCTATCGAGCTGGTTCTAGGGGGGGAAACAAAGTGACCATGATAGCAACAACTCAGAGATGAACTCTGCTCAATAGAATTAAGTACATGTTGAATGACGCGAATCAATATCGTTTAGGCGAAGGGGATCATTATTAAAGATGGCGAGATACTGCTAGGTAAATTGATCACCAGAAAACACTGGTTCTCGGAGGAATCATTGTAGAACATCCACAGGCTATCATGATGCCAAGCTAGATGAAGATATCATCAAGTTGTGTGGAATTGCGGCATCAAACATTGGAGAACCACCAGTAATAAGGTAATGATGCGATCAGCCCAACTAATCACGTCAACTCCAATGCCCTTCACTGGATCCACAAATTTCAATCCGTCCCCAGTTTGGCCAGACAGCCTTACGCAATGAAAACCATCGTCGTACAATCACGACAGTCCAATGCTGCCCCAACTCTCGCATGTTGTATTTATATATGTTCATATATCGAGATCTGAGGCCCCTAATGGATTTCCAGGTGCTCAACCCCCCCGTCCGTTTGGTACATACTACCTCCCTTAACTCTGGTATTAACTCTTGCTTTCCGCATGTCGGAAACTATAAAATACTAATCTAAGAAGCCGTGCGTCCTGGCAGTCATGGTTGAGCCTCGGATCTATAATAACCATACCGAATTTCTTGACAAGAGTAGCACGGATATTCAATTTGGGTCGAAAAAAGCTTGTTCGAAGCGCCCAGCCATTAGCCTACCAACTACCTAGCCCCTAAACTGAATCAGAAAGACCCCAAGACGAGTACAGCAAATGTCAAACTACCAATCCTTCCCACAATTTCCTCGACTACCTACAGAGATCAGACGCCTGATTTGGGTTCATGCTCTGCCCAGAGGCCGTATTCAACTCTTTGCCAAGAACGTGCCTTGGGAGAACTGGCGTCTTCTACCGCCTGTAGTTGCCCATGTTTGCCAAGAGTCACGAGAAGTTGCCGTGAACCACTCAGTTGTGCGTGGTTTCCCAACTGCAGAAGATATTCATACGACCACTTGGTTTATCGGGTCTCGTGATATACTTGAGCTTCACAGCGGCTATCCTTACCCGTTATCGAACCCAGAGCCTTTCTTTTCTGCGGCAGAAAGGCTGGCAATTAACGCTGGAGACTTTGAAGGCGAGATCAAAGTTGTTATCAAAGATCTCATCGAAGGTCGACGATTTCATAGCGTCAAGATGATATATCTCATTGTCGAGCAGATTGAGACAGCGTACTGGCCCAAGTTTCGACCGGATATGACGGAACAAGATAAGGGCAAGGGGACAGTTCTTGACTTATTCAGTGATGAAGATCTGAGAAAAATAGATGGATATAAGACATGGGCACGTTTTCAAGAAATGTCACCGGTCTTTCCTCGACGTCAAGACGTTGAACTTATCCTTAGGTCGAGCCTAGACAGGATCATACTAGAAGAAATCTGTCGGTACCACGAACGTCTGTTGCAAGCTGGATACACCGAGGAAGAAGAAGATATAGCACCATTTCCAACAACTACTCCTATCGCCCCTGATCATCCTTGGATCCTCCAACAATGGAGGCGCCTACCGGAGTTCCGCCCGGCGTTATTAATCCTAGGATGGAGGTAAATAATGTAATGTCTATATGGATGACTTATTTAGGCTCGTTTTCCACTAGCAATACACCCCTCAAAGTAGGGTTTCATATCTCAGTTCCAACTATACCTAACACCCAGGATAGAATAAGTTTAAATTTTTTTCCCAAGCATGTTCTAATTGGTATGGCCCTCGGGGATGTACCTAGGTAGTAGTCGACAGGGGGTCGTTGTGGCTTCAGGTGTGGCTTTCTAATTAAGCGAACCGAAGACTTTAGGTAGAACATTTAGCGACAATTTACCGGTACCGAGGTGCCATCTGTTCACCTCAAACCACCTTTCCTTGAAACTACCTAGGGTGGTAACACAACGTGTCTAGTTGGTTTGTTTATTATCACGATGGCATCGACCCAGCGATTCTCGGGGTACCCACTTGCTAAAGAAGGCCCTAAAACAACATACGTACCAACGCAGGATAAGAACCCTCCCCTTAGAGGCTGGTCTTTGGTTATCGCGGCCAAGCTGTAAGCAGTGCTATCTGCCCTATCCCATTCACGATCAACCGCTCATGCAAAAGTAGCGTCACATATTTTCCGTCTGTAGCTAAGGCTGCATGGGGAAATGCTAAGTTAGGCTGTGTCAAAGATATACCAGGTCTAAATGAGTACGACTGGCGTCTTCAAGTATGCAACTACCATGTATTCTAATTTAGATGTCAAGTAATTGATAAGCTGGGCAGCCCATTGTCACACCCCTTATAGCCGATGGCGTCGTTCAGAGTAAGGCCGAAATCACGCCTGATCTTTATGAACGACAGCCGGATGATCTAGCCGGCCGTTTTTATTCTGCTGCTGATTATCACGAACTCTTCAAATCCGGGAAACTGACCCCACTGCAAGTAGCAAAAGCCATACTGCCCCTCATAACCAGAGGTCAGGATCCCCCGGCCAAGTATGAATCGGCCTGGTCTGTTACAAGAGAAGATCTTGTGCTCGCAGCAGCTAAGAAGTCGACGGAACGTTATGCTGCCGGCCAACCTCTAAGTGTGCTCGATGGCGTACCGATAGGAGTCAAAGATGACACAGATGTCGAAGGATATATATCCCATAGGGGACGGCCCTTCGATCCATCCGATCCCTTCTTCAAACCTGCGACTAGAACAATCTGGCCAGTCGCGCAACTAGAAGCTGCCGGTGCTATCGTCATTGGCAAGCAGGTGATGCATGAGCTCGGCTTAGATGTTAGTGGGTGCAATCCACGATGGGGGACGCCGATAAATTGGAACAACCCATCGTACTACCCAGGCGGCTCATCATCCGGCGGAGGGTCGGCCATCTCTTCCGGGTTGGTCCCTATCTCTATTGGCACTGATGCCGGAGGGAGTGTCCGCATTCCGGCCTCATTCAACGGCGCGTACGGATTAAAACCTACTTTACACCGTGCTTACACGATGAAGTCCTCTATCTGTGTCATAGGCCCCTTAGCAGCGACAGCAAATGACTTAGCTATCGCGTACCGTATTAGTGAGTATATTCCGCCCATTACCTGTTAGCATAGGCTGTCCCCCGTAGCAAGTATTCATCATATTTGGAATCAATATCTCAAAGCTTAACGAAACACGTATACTAACTGCCAATGTATTAGTGACAGCGCCTAACCCTGAAGATCCAATACAGGGCTCTTTCGCCTTGTCAATTCCGCCGAGCCCTTCTGCAAAGAAAACAATTGGCATTTACCGTGACTGGTTCGACCAAGCTTCTCCTGACGTCCTTGACGCCACCAATAAGGCAATTAAATATTTTACTGATAAACTGGGCTACGAGGTTGTTGATATTAGTATCCCTTATTTACAAGAGGCCCAGTATGCCCACAGCGCATGGGCGCTCACCGAGGGCATTGACCACCACATTTCGCACGCTGTGGATCCAACGCATCCGTTCGCAAGTCTCAATAACTGTAACCAACTTCTAATGACCGTCGGCTCGTGCACGGCGGGAACTGATATGATCAAATATGGCCAATTGAGAGGATTGCTCATGGAGCATCTCGCGTTTTTGTGGAAGAAGCATCCGGGTATGTTGGTAGTCACGCCAACAGTACCTGAAGCTGGGTGGATAATCCACCCTGGCGATCAGGCGTACGGATTTAGTGACGGCAATGTAACAATACGCAACATGATGTATATCTGGCTGGCGAATTCAACGGGCTGCCCCGCGGTCAGTGCGCCCGTTGGTTACGTCGACCCCGAGCAAGGTGAAGGTAAACTACCGGTCGGCCTCATGGCGATGGGAGAATGGGGCGCGGAAGAGCAGCTTCTGGCTTGGGCAAAAGAGGCTGAGACGTATGTGAATGACGCTTACGAAGGTGGCCGCTACAGACCACTAGAGTGGGCGGACGTCGTCAAAATTACCAAGACCGCAGAATAACGTCCCTACCTAAGACTTACTGTAAGCCACATGGGACGAATTATGGTGTCGGCAGTGTCTCTAAATTTTCATGGTTAAAACTCTTAGGAATTTCACGCAAATGTGTTCTTAAAGGGTTAATTCCTATATTATAGAATTATTCGCGCACGATTATAAGAGCATTATTATTTTTTATTTTTTTACACTCAAGATGTCCCTGAATGTTTGGCTGGCACGTGACCGTAGGCCACGTATGGGGATACATGGTACCTGCATATCCCACACGAATTCTCTAATCCGTATATGTGCTAAACCGCCAATTCACAGTCCAAACCAATTCCTCGACCCCCTTTTTTTATGGAACTCGGCCGCGTGTCGTGCATACCGAACTGTACATCTTACTATCGGCCCGGCCATTATCTATTATACATGCCTTAGCGTTAAAGGGAAATACGTAATATCCTTAGAGCTATATATTAGCCGTTACGCTCATGGAAGGCGGCTACCGAATGTGACGGACCGTGTAGTGGATTAGGCTTGCGGACGTCGTCATCCTTCGATATCGGCATCCGGAAAAGGAAGGTGTTAAGAAAATTGTCTTTCGCCTCTGTACCCCAGAGTAAACACGATAGTATCCACCGCGCAGATAGCACATATATCAAAATTTTTGACGAGGTATGATCTGAGTTCAGGTTAAACTTTAGTTATGATCATTAAAGTGCTGTGGGCTTTTATATCTAGGTGCATAGGTATGGTTTAGTTTAATTACAATAGGGAACTGTTACGTTAATATTGTCAGTTCAATGAAGATTGTTAACGTATAGGTACATGACATGAATCAACTCTGTATATTATAGTTGTTTATCTCAACTAAGTGCTACGGGAATTTGAGGCACTTACTCTCTTACCATTGTGTCATTCAGACTATACTAGGTAAGTTGACAGTGTCCCATTGAGAAGAGATCCACTAACAAGAACTACCAAGTCTCCCGATATTACACTGCGTAACAGATACTACCATATGAAAATGCTTACGAGTTTTGAAAGGTATGTCTTGAGAGCCTAAAATAGGTGTACATAGTACGATAAGTTAGATACTTCTTTCGCTACTAGTTATGGGTATGGTTATTTTACGTGGAGGGGACATCATGCGGCACGTTAAAACCTATATGTTAGGTAACTAAATTAATACATATGCTACTTGCTTCATACCTTTTTTGATAGTGTCTACCTTTTAACTAGATCTTGCACGATGGGGCTAACCCTTTCAGTGATCACTGCAACTGGTTAGGAAAACCCGGTCACTTACCCTAGTATATGATTGGCTTTCACTATAATAAGACAAATGTAACGATATTCTAAGCAGAAGCTCCAGCTGTAGTAAGCCATTGCCCTATTATGATTGTTATTATTGTCTTAACGTAGAGATAGTTTTCATTCTATCATCTTACTTATAGATAGGTGCCTATAGAGGAATAGTTAAAGCTATTATCGTCCTCCTTCAAGATCAGGTCCTAAAACTCTAGTCACAGTTCACGGCGTGGGGTTAGGTTTCATCGTCTTCGTGTTCTCGGTAGATGATCCTAATGCTGCCGACATAGAGCTTCGCTCGTATCATTGGCCATGCGAACACTTCTCTCTCAAAACCTCCAATTCGTACTGACCTGTTTCACTCCATGGGCTTTAAAAACCGGGGTACCTAGTTGTGGTGCCCCCACGCGGATCTAGGGGGCGAACAACTTAACATGGATCATATCGGTAACATACCCGATAAGGGTTGTAACGGTGATACCTGTGCCGGCATCTTGGCGTCTGGAACCGGCGGCGGTACTGAGTCGTCACATTGATTTACCTAATCAATGACAGACTGGAAGGTCTTGGGTGGCAAAGCTTGTTTTTCTTTTCTTCCGCAGCTGTCTAGCGGTTTATTTCGTCGCCTCAAGCATTGAGTTTATTTCGACGACTCCGATGCCTCAACTACGATCTACCAGCTCGACATGGTAGTCCAACTACTCCATGAGGTAGTTGGTACTGCTATCGGGGTTCTTTTGTTTTCTCTCCTGTGTTTGGCATCTAGTTCTATCATGATATGGCTGGTATGGACACATCACGAGAGGGACAGTTGTACGTTGAGCGTGATCTAAAGTTGGCTTCAGGACGAAGGACAATTGACTATTATTACGTGTAGATGTCGCACTACTTTCATACCTTACGCTCTTAGGAACTGTTTCTAGCATCATTCAGCAGTTTCACACACTCATCTGGTGGAGGGATGTCAAAGTTGAACAGTACAAATATGCCGTCGCGCATCTCGGCAGCCCTGAAATTGCTATCGCGGGTCAATCCGTTGGCCTGGACCTTGTTCTTTTCTACATACGTGAGTACCTTTAAACTTCAAGAACGAGAGCTAAGGTATCGCTAATTGCAAGGCAAGAATACTATACATATAATGCGGAAGCAATGCTCACGCTTTTCTGGGCCATTTCACTTACGAGGACCGTCTTCAAATTTGCAAATTTGACAACCTTCAGACGTATCAAACATAGAACGAGTCAGCTGGCAAAAGTCGTGGCATTCATCCTGCCCGGAATTCTAATGTGCCTCCTACGGTTGAATAGTGTCCAGAGTT